GATTGGAAGAGCGGACAACAGAATGGATAGATGGTCATTAAGTTGGTAATTGAGCATTGGAATTTAGTCATAATAAAAGATAAAAATTATATAAATTTTAATGAGTCTCATATATAAAAATCATCTAGTGTTTCCAACATTCAAACATTAAGAAACTATTACTACTCATCACTCTTCTTCATTGTAACCGACCAAAAGATTTTAATCAGTTACACCTAAAAGGCATGGAATTTCAAGTAAGATTCGTCCTCTCAATATTACTGCTTTGCCTGGAAATGAAACCACTATTAATGGGGATAGCACAATAACACCAAGATAAAAGCATTTACCTATCCTTACGCCTCGAATATAAAGAAGTGATGAATAAAACTTGCATGATTACTTAGATCATCTTAATTCAATCAGAAAATAAAAACAGCCAACCAAACAAGCTGTTATGAAAAAAATTAGAACTGAAACTGAAATAATGAAACTTGAGAGTCAAACTTTAATCTAAAGATTTAAGAAAGTCAAAGAATAGCAAGAATAAAAAAAAAAATATTCGCTTTTGTAAACCATAAAGAATCCTTATGCTTAGCAATACATTAATTTTAGCAAATAAATATTTAATTTAATACATAATTTACATTAATTAAAAGTATCGAGATTAAAATTATTATATTTTAGGAATATTTAAACAATTCGAGAAAGATGTTTTAAGTAGTAAAGAATTTAATCGGCATGAAAAAGAATTTAAAAAAGATCTTATTAAAACAATCAGCCGATGAGTTGATTGATTTTTAAGACATAGCCAAAATGTGTTGTATTCGTGAGATACAATATATCAATGGGGAACAAAGAATGATAGATAAATTTGATTTGTCCTTGATGGATGATCTTACATACATGAGCGAGGCAATCGAAAATTTATTATTATAAAACAAACTAAATGCAATCAAAAGAATGAGTGACAATGTACATATCTCATAATAATAAATCTTAGATTTTAATTGAAGAATACGAAATATCAAAACTAAGAGAATAACTAGGAATGAGAGAAGAAGATCAAAAGCTATCAATCTCTACTTTGGCAATGCAAAGATTTAAACCTCACCTAGAATTGGATAATATAGAATAAAGATTAGGATAATTATCTTAAATACCAAAACAATACAGATAAACCTCATAAGTTTTATGTGAAATAGTTGATAAATTAAACGAATGATCTTAATCATGTTTTCATAGCAAACTCTCATCATCTGAGAATTTTAACAGATCTTCGGGTTGTTTATATGGTTAAACTTGTGGTCTATTTTATGAGTTTTATTAATTTTATTGGTTAGGTTCAGAATTACTTATTTTAAGACTTTCCTCTATTGCTCTCCTTAACTCTTCATCTTCATCAAATTCATTCATTGCTCCCTAGACTTAAAATGCATTCCCAACGTGATTGTGATAATTATTTAAAAAGTCGGCCTCCTAAAATTATTGATTATTGTCAGATTTATGATCAGGCTGCTTTAAATATTTTTATCAAATACCTTGTATTCAGGAACTAAATGCTTCACTTACAGAGTATTATAAAAGAAGATTGCTATCGAGTTCATAGCAAAGGATGGCCTCTTGGAATTATGATCTCCAGGAACAATGGACTATTTAAATAAAGATAATATCTATTACAATATTTTTATCTCCAGCATAAGCTTCATGTAATTTCTTAGTGTGATGAGGTAATACAAAAGTATCCTCATCGGCTGCAATGNCCTGGAAATGAAACCACTATTAATGGGGATAGCACAATAACACCAAGATAAAAGCATTTACCTATCCTTACGCCTCGAATATAAAGAAGTGATGAATAAAACTTGCATGATTACTTAGATCATCTTAATTCAATCAGAAAATAAAAACAGCCAACCAAACAAGCTGTTATGAAAAAAATTAGAACTGAAACTGAAATAATGAAACTTGAGAGTCAAACTTTAATCTAAAGATTTAAGAAAGTCAAAGAATAGCAAGAATAAAAAAAAAAATATTCGCTTTTGTAAACCATAAAGAATCCTTATGCTTAGCAATACATTAATTTTAGCAAATAAATATTTAATTTAATACATAATTTACATTAATTAAAAGTATCGAGATTAAAATTATTATATTTTAGGAATATTTAAACAATTCGAGAAAGATGTTTTAAGTAGTAAAGAATTTAATCGGCATGAAAAAGAATTTAAAAAAGATCTTATTAAAACAATCAGCCGATGAGTTGATTGATTTTTAAGACATAGCCAAAATGTGTTGTATTCGTGAGATACAATATATCAATGGGGAACAAAGAATGATAGATAAATTTGATTTGTCCTTGATGGATGATCTTACATACATGAGCGAGGCAATCGAAAATTTATTATTATAAAACAAACTAAATGCAATCAAAAGAATGAGTGACAATGTACATATCTCATAATAATAAATCTTAGATTTTAATTGAAGAATACGAAATATCAAAACTAAGAGAATAACTAGGAATGAGAGAAGAAGATCAAAAGCTATCAATCTCTACTTTGGCAATGCAAAGATTTAAACCTCACCTAGAATTGGATAATATAGAATAAAGATTAGGATAATTATCTTAAATACCAAAACAATACAGATAAACCTCATAAGTTTTATGTGAAATAGTTGATAAATTAAACGAATGATCTTAATCATGTTTTCATAGCAAACTCTCATCATCTGAGAATTTTAACAGATCTTCGGGTTGTTTATATGGTTAAACTTGTGGTCTATTTTATGAGTTTTATTAATTTTATTGGTTAGGTTCAGAATTACTTATTTTAAGACTTTCCTCTATTGCTCTCCTTAACTCTTCATCTTCATCAAATTCATTCATTGCTCCCTAGACTTAAAATGCATTCCCAACGTGATTGTGATAATTATTTAAAAAGTCGGCCTCCTAAAATTATTGATTATTGTCAGATTTATGATCAGGCTGCTTTAAATATTTTTATCAAATACCTTGTATTCAGGAACTAAATGCTTCACTTACAGAGTATTATAAAAGAAGATTGCTATCGAGTTCATAGCAAAGGATGGCCTCTTGGAATTATGATCTCCAGGAACAATGGACTATTTAAATAAAGATAATATCTATTACAATATTTTTATCTCCAGCATAAGCTTCATGTAATTTCTTAGTGTGATGAGGTAATACAAAAGTATCCTCATCGGCTGCAATGAAGAATGCAGGAATGAAAGCCTTAGAAACATGATTCTTAAGGGGATTGATGTTCTCTATATCAAAATTGGCTTTTGATTAAATAGTTTTTCTTATCATAGACAATCCAGCAGAGATAGCAAAAGAGGGTACTTTTTGAGCATATTATTTTGCTAACTCTTCTGCCAAGGTCTTTAAATTTGAAAATGCACTGTCCAAAACTAAGCCAGCTATGCTAGGATCTCTATCAGCATGCATTAAAGCAGTGACTGCACCCATTGATCGACCCCACAATCCTATGGTCGAAACTTTATTGCTTTAACGCAACCAGTCAACTACTATTTCAACATCATCTCTCTCGTACCATCCTAAGGATATGTAGTCTCCTTCCGATTTGCCACAACCAGCAAAATCAAAACTGAACACTTAGATATATTGCTTTTCATATTTATATTTTGAATACCTGAAGAAGTCCATCCAAAGAAGCCAAGCATTCTAACCTGCTACTACTATTACCATGCAAGTATATTACGCATGGCAATTACTCACATGGTTTTTGAATGGGCTCAAAAAATGAGCATTCCAATTTGAGGCCTCTCTTATTTTTGATTTAAAAATCAGTTCTCTTGATCATTACTCCCTAAATTTTAAATTGACTGGGACCTAAATATACATGCTTATCTTACCTAAATCCTATTCAGTGTACTCGTTATCTCTTGGAGGTCGAATTATGGCCTTCCATAAATCATCATACCCTGCAGATAGTGAAGAAAACATATATATATTAATTTTAATTCATCATTCCTTTATAATATCCATTTGTATACGAATAGATTCATTCGAACCAAAATTTTATTGCAATCCCTTAGCCTTTGGTGATCCGTCATCCTCCATATCTTCTTACAATTCTAATAACATCTCAGATTCCTTATTCAACAGTAAATTAGCAATTAAAAGCGGCTTCACTTTCTTCTCAACTCCAGCCTATGTTAAATGCTCTTTCAAATCAAGGATCTTTCTCTCCAAAGTTTCGATGATCTCTCTCCACGAATCTATTTTCTCTGTTTCCAACAATGTCAATTATTCAAATCTTTATTCTATTACCTTCCTCTATCCAACCCATCCATCAATTAATTTTTAAAACTATCCACATTATTATCAATTTCTACCTATATCATAATCTCTGTTTTCGTGCCCTTTATCTATAAGAATTAATTCTAAGCTTCCTCTGAAAATAATCCATACTCCACACACACTACAGCAAACTTTTCAAATGAAAAATTCTGCTCTCCCTTAATTAATAAATCAGCATTTGTGAAGAAAATTTCAGAAATCTCATCATTAGTCAATCTATCAGGTTCTATATGTCTAAGCAATAAATACCATTCTTCAAAATTACACATTCCATTGCCATCTAATTAATATATAATACTTTGATTACCTAAATCACATGCAGCAAATGCATTAATAACATATTCCTTGGCCCTGCTTACCAAGATTTTATACTTCACGAACATTTGAATCATAAACTAATCAAAATCTATCACAGGTTATCTATTAGATGTTTTTGTATCTACTTCTTTTAATAGATCTAATTCCTTTTTGAGTTCTTCTTTCTCTTCAACAGTCATTCTAGAATCTGCAAACATCCCTATATATTATTATGCTCTGACATAAGGCACAAAATATCGGACCTCAGATTCCTAATCTCCAATCAAGACACCAAGAGTTGACACATTTGTAACGTAATCAAAAGCCTCCAAGTATTTTTTCATCTCATCTATTGTGTAATTAACACAGTCATCAAATAATCCTAAGAATTTTGCAAAATTGTTTATTCTTACTAATTATTTATAATGTTTAACTGAAACTATAAGAATCAAAAATTTTTACTCTGCTATTTTCTTTATGCCAAATTATTAAAGAAAATAACTATAAACAAATGAAGCCATATCTTAATCTTTAAACGCCTGATTATCCTTCTATTATTATATTCTATCCTAATAGATTACTGTGATCTGTTTTAATAATAATTTTAAAGGCATAAAATGTTTAATTTTAGGTAATTACTTTAATTTGATTTTCTCAACTAATTGTGGACCTGCATTCACCTTTTAGAATTCATAAACTATATTGACCTTCTGGCCTAATTAAGGACCTTTGAAAATCAGTTTTGCTTAATTTAACTTCTTGTTATCTCTCTATTTTCTAATCATTTTTTAAGATGAATTGAATTTTGCAAATTACTCAGAAGATGATTCTCCCTCCAACTATTTTTAAGTCTACTATTATTATTATTATTATTCTTTTAAAATCTTAAATGTACCAATAGACACTGCTCTGCTTCTTGTATCCTCTAATTCTACCATGTGTTAATTGCATCTCTCATTCATCTATTCAATTATGTATTGCAATTCCTTGTTTTTATTCTCCAAACTTTGCATCATTATCACTAATGTTTTCACTTTATCTAAGTCTAAATATCGATCAGAATTGATATCCATACTCTGATCATTACTAGTTACCTATTCAATTGACTAGTTCACAGCTTTCTTAGATCTAAAGGAATCTTGTCTTAGTTAATTTAATTTAGTCACTCCTGGAGAAGGGATATCTTTATTCAGAAATTTAGATTCAATTATCTAATTCAATTATCGACCAGAAAAGGCTTTATTTGCTTTATCCTCACACAATTTGAGAGTCTCTTCAACTTGGCTTCTTTGCTTGTACTGCTCCAACACACTTTGAATTTTAGTCTAAGTATCAGTTATCAGATTGAAATCTTTAGCCATCATCACAATATTTGTTTGTATCTCCTAAGTCTTTTAATATAAATTAAGTATGTCGGGTTCAACTTAGGTCTCTACACAGGCTACTTTAATGATCTTATCCATGTTCATCACCATATTGTCCATCTCTATGATATTTTTATCATCCAATAATCCATCCATTAAGTCATCTTCATCCGATGAACTTGATTTCTCCTGTTAGGTTTATTGAACTTGAGAATTACCTAAATAAGACATTCTTCGTCCTGATTAAATTTAATTGGAATTAGTGATATGTTACAATATCTTCTGTGGCTAGGATTGTTATGGCTGATTTAATAGAGGAGGTTGCAAAACTTATGATTACCTTTACGAAAACATGCTCTCTTACTTTATTAAAATCTTTTAGCTATTAACTTATTGGTGACTACTGTTTATATCTCTTTGTAATTATTATTATGATTCTAATTACTTCTAAGTTATTATTTATAGCTTTCTGTTGAGAATTTCAATTTCTTAGTGAGATTATTTTAATTTCTTTTATAAAAACGAGGCAATCTTTCTTAGATCATTTAATTATGCTCTGTTTTTTTTGAAATTTGCCTCCAATTCCTTATATTCCTATTTACTTACATTATGTTGAATGACTTCTTGAGTGTATTTAAGTTAGACATCCTAAATTTGAGTTTATAAGTCTGACATTTTTTCTTAATAAATAAAATACACTCTCGCCTATTCATCCATTACTTAGACATCATTTTTCTTAAGCAATATTTCAGCATCAAATTTAATTTTATTTACCATTTGAATAACTTTGTCCCAAATTTATTCAACTAATTCTCCTCTTTCTAAACATTCTCTTTTCAACGATTTAATCAATTCGTTCATTGTAACTGTTAATAAGGGTATCAGATCTCCAGACTATTATTTTTAGAACCAATCTTTTAGTTGGATACTCTAAACTCTCCCTCCAGGATCTTCTGTATGCAAGGAGGATATTTCCTTATTCAAACCAACTTCTAATTTTTAATATTCCTTCATATCGATTAGATGAATTTGTTAACCACTTCTTGATTTCTTATGGAAAGTTGTCCCTTAACGTCTGGGCTAAAAACTGCGTTACTCCCCTATTTATGAAAATTGACATACTTGTTGTGGCAGGTTATCGAATTTAATCATAAAAATGGCTTACATCATCACGAACTTTCGAAATTGTAAGTCTTTAGAACTTTTTATCCATCAACAATTTTTATTGGGTAATTTATTAGATTTTAGTTTGCTTAATAAATTCCGAAAGATCTAATGAAGCCTTCGGAGAATGCTAGGTTGACTTACAACTTGTGTGTAAACTTAATGCCTCTTGTTTTGCCTTTCTAATTTAATCACTGATATGCTGGTTATTATTAGTAACAGTTTGATTCATAAAGGAGGGAGCTGACTAGGTATCATTTCTTTCTTCAACTTCTCTAAGCTTGGTCAATAATAACTTGTTAGTAATCTATTTTTAAGCAAACATTTAATAATTTAATTTATTATGATTAAATATATTCACTTTTTTAATACTCTACTTGATTCTAAACATTCCTTCTTTATGTATCCATTAAACTATCCATCCCCAATATATGCCAATTCAGCCAAGTTACCAGTTGATAATTTGTATTCTGGCTCAAATCTATCCTTCATCAATTATAGAAATTCCTCCTTTAACTTCTCCTGCTACTATTGAAACTATCTAGCTTTTATCGCTGGTAATAGTGTATTGTACATGAACTCTCTAATCCTTTTATATCTGCTTCTAACTAATTGCATTTAGATTTCCAACATGTCAGGAATCAGTTTCCCAAACTTCTCCTTTCTTCCCTCTGTCACTGCTAAAAAATTAGGATTTCTATTGCATTCGAATATCCATAAATTCAAATCATCATCAAGTATGAAATCCACTCCAAAAAACTCCCCAACTCTACTGTCCTTCAAAAGATACTTTTCTACTGAAAAAAATAGATGAGTTATCTTTCTCATAATTTAAGGGTAAAGTTCCTCATTCAACCAATTACGCGACTTTATTTTACCTTACTCTAACAAAATATCTTGTAACTCTTCTAAGTTCCAGTCTATATAGAGATCGTCATCTTATTCTTATCCTGTTGTTTATTTATGTGTTTTTGTTACAGCTGTATTACAAACATGTGCCTCTTTAGTGAAATCCAACAAATCAAACTTTAAAGCGCATTGTTTAATCAACGCCTTCTTATATCCATATAAGATGGGTGGATTTGTGGATGCAATCTAAAAATAAGATCTAAATTCCATCTTATGACCCTTAAATAAATAAGGATTCTTAAGGTACTCTTGAATTATCACTTATGAAAGATTGCGCCCACAACCTAGACTATCTTTGTACCATGATCTAATTATCTTTTCATTCTAATAATCTAAAAGTAATATTCCATTGCCTAAATGTCTATTTGTTTTGTAGATGTATTAGATCCCCTCATTCTCCAATTTATCTTTATATTGCTTTGTGTTTATGATTTCAAAGAAATTCTCGCACTCTTCTTTCAACCACATTCTGAATGTTGGCTTTTCATAACTAGCATCTTTGATACATGCTGTACTTTTATTTTCTTATTTTAAATTATCAATATAATTATGAAAATGGATTGATTGATTTGATTTTAATGCAATTTCCTCTTGGCCTGGAACATGGAAATACTTTTAGAAAATACAACCTGCCTATTTTCCAAATGTATGAGTTCGAAAATAGTTTTTAGCATATGGATATACTACTGATGTCTCCAGGGGAGTTTAATGATATCCAATTTCAATTTACCTTGTCTATACAAAGCTCGGCAAAGCATCATACATATTTTGTTGTATGATCTTTCTTGCCAAATCTTACCCACCATAATCTCTTAATACCATTTGATCTTATACTACAACTTCAGGATGTAACAATTTAAAAAGGTCACTTCTTAGACAATAAAAATTATCATGCACTAGTGCAATCTCATATCCACAATTTCTATGTATGTTAAACTCCTATACTTGCATGGTTAAAAATGAGATTATGTTAAATCAACCGTCTATTCCAACCATCTTGACATTCCTTTCACAGCTTCGTTATAATACCTATAGTTAGCTGATCCCTCTGATAAATTGGCCCTGTGATACATGTACACTATGAATAGCACAATACCAGATGCCAAACTAAGTAAAAATGATTATAACATAATTATTTTTAATAAAATATAATTTTTCATAGAATTTTTAAGTATGAACAATCCCAAAATTCTTAATGCTTTGATGTTAATTGATACCCTTTACTAAAGATTCTATGATGAGTATAGATATTTAGTTTATCATCTAATTGTTTTTTCCAGTCTGAAAAGTAAATAAGAATAAAATAATTGATGCCCAAAGATCGTACTTAAGGAATAATTTCTTATATATCTTTCTCTCAAAGGCGATTGCATTACTTTTATTTAATATCTAATTAACCCTTATATATGATCAATATAATTCAATTTTTTCACTCATTTTTTAATAATTTTGATGATTTAAGAAATACATTTAGATGCTAGTTTATATATTTGGCACTATTATGTTACTTAATTCAGAAATAGGTTTAATAGAGATATTCATCAATAAAAATAGATTACTTTTTTTGATAAACTTATGGATAAAATAATAATAAACTATTAAATTTATGATTATGATTTTTTTCAAATTTTTCCTTTATAATTGGCAAGTCTTTTTAAGAGTAAGTCTTCTCCGGTGTTAATGTAATGCATATCAAGAAAGGAATAATCATTATAATAATCTATCTCAAATCCATAGCCATCATTTTTGAGTAATGTAATGCCACAATTTTAATGATAATAAAAATATTTTGAGTTTTAAGCTCTTCCACAAACAATACCCATTACTTAATCCATAAAATTTCCATGTCCAATTATTAATATAGATTTTTTTGTTTCTTTCTGTAAATCTTAAAGTACTTTTTCTGCTCTTTATGTACATTCTTCATCTGTTTCCCTTTTATCCTTAAAATACCAACCTGCATCTTGTATTAATTCATCTATTTCAAACCCTGGATATTGATTCTAAAACTCTCTATTAATATTCTAAATAATTACTTTCTTGTTAATCCAGGAAATCCTTTATTCAATTGTTAATTACCTCCTTTTTCGTGTAGATTTTGTTATATTTTTAGAGGAACTTTAAATCCTTCACTAAGTAATTATGCGGTTTGAATAGCTCTTTATTAAGGTGAACATCTAATTTCTTCAAATTCAACCTTTTTTAATTTAAGATAATCAGTCAATAGTCTTACCTATTTGATACCTTATTCAGAAAGAGAAGGATCTTATTGACGATTCTTTTCATATTCTTGATCTGAAAGATCATTGATGATATTATTCATGGATTGTCCGTGTCTCACATAATAAATTTTCATGATTTAATTATTTTATTATTTTAATTAATAAAACTGGTTGGTTCCAATAGTACACTTATTTGATCTCAAGATAATTGATATACAATGGTTTTTAAATAAATGAATCTAAAAGCTATTTTATCAATGGAAATAATAATTAAATATTTATTTTTAGAATGTGTTAATTAATCTTTAAATATTAAAGCATTTTTTGTTAAGAATTTTATTAATTCCTTTTATGTTTTTGATTCAACTTAAAATCATCATTTTCTCTATAAATAAAATTGTTGTTATTTCTTAACTAAATAAACCAAATTCACAATTAATAAAATAAATTTTGCAAAAAATGTAATATTAACCAGCATACTAATAACCTTAGCAGCAATATATTAACCCTGGGTAGATAGATGTAATCATTTTTAGAAATCTAGACCTCTTTTAATTCAGGTTTAGATGCTATATCTAGATGTTAAAGTGTTTTCATCAAATAACGTCCTGACTATTTAGAATCTTTGGGATTCTGCGAGAAAAAAAATGTTTATTATGTGTATTAATCCGATACCATGGGAAATAAACCCGATTTTAAGCACCAAGCTCCTATCTTTAAATGTAAGGAGGAAAGCAGCTGTTGGCAAAGAAATTGTCTTCCAGGAGCTTGTCGAGCTTTTGATTTGAAAGTCAAATAATATGACTAAAAATAAGACACAAATACAGTATTTAGACTGAGTAGAGAGTTCAAATGCACATTTCTTTGTCTAGCTCGGTAATCAAAATATTTAATTTCAGACCTGTGATGGAAGTTTAACTTTAAAATGGTGGAAAAATTGGCTTTATATGTTATCCATTTATGTGTTGTGATAAGGGAGTTGAAATAAGAGATGAGAATAATACATTATTATATTCTGTTAAAGGAAGTTGTTGTCAATGGCCATTTTTAGTGTAATTACCTTGTGAAGCATGCTAAAGAGCTAGATTTGATATCTTGGATTCACAAGGATAGGTAAACTGTGATTAGTATATTTAAGAAAGTTTCGGAATTGTGGAAAGAATCTGCAGGGTTTTGCAATGCATTATGTAATGTAGATGCAACAAACTTTAGATTAATGTTTCCAGGGTAATCCACCAGTAGATAGAAGGCTCTTTTATTAGCAGCTGCCTTATTCATAGACTTTAATTATTTCGAAGAATCTCCTTAAGATTAGAATTAAAATTCCATGTGATTTTTACAATATTTTAGATTAATTATTCATCATCATAGTATTGGCTATCAGGCTTATTAAAAACCTGAATACAGTGGAAAATAGAATGGGTAGTTAGGCTTCATTCGATTTTAATTTTCCTTAATTTTACTTTTCTTATAATATCACTTATTATTATATTACTTAATATAGGCATGAACAATCAATAAAATATAATCGTTCCTCTAATTTGAAACAAGTTTTTCTAAAAGTTATTTGAAAATCATAATTTAACTTTATGCGTTGAATATAATTTTCCTTTTTTAGCTATTTTATGTTAAAAATTTATATAAAGAAACATGAGAAAGTTTTATAAACACCAACATCTAATGACTAACTGGCGAAATTCAGGGTTTTCATATTAAAAAAGAATTTATACTTTTATTTAAGGACAATTGTTGTAGTTTAAAATTAAATCATTCAAGCCTAATGGCATTTTTATACTTGTTCAAGTTTTAGCAATATTTATAATTATAATTTTTATCATCCTTTATAAGTCTTAACCATTATTTAATTAACAAAGACATTATCAATTATTAAATTTTTTTAAAATAACTTAGATAAAATAAATTAGTTTAATAAAAAAAAAAGACATAATGTATTGATCAATAACATTCCCATATATTTTATTATAACGACGTTATTAAAACACAATGTTATTTCATAAATTTTTAGACAAATTTAGCATCAATAAAAGAGACAGTCATGGTTAAATTTAAGAGATAGTTATAATTAAAATTGATTAATAATTTTTACATGTCCAAATAAAATTTACCTTATGATTAATACTATTAAATGGATCCTTCCATCATATGATGTCTACTCAAAGTGAATTATTTGCGCCCCTAATTAGTATGCATTGACCTTTAGATCGAGGAAGTCTCGATTATAAAAGTAAATTGGCGCGTTTAATTTTTTTAATAGAGTTTGATGTATTGTATTTATTAATAATGGGCTTATAATTTTTTGATACTAATTACACTAAAGAAAATAGATCAATTTAATAATAATTGATATTTTTAGTATTAATATCAAAGTTAATTTAGAGCTATTCACTAGAAGTAATTCAAAATGAATTTTTAATGTAAGTTTAATTATGTTGGTTAATCTTGAGAACAAGGCTATCAATATTACATAATTTAAACGTGATAATTTAATTATCAAAATATTATATCCTCTTAAAAAATAATTTATGACATTAAAATTTAAACTTCATCATTTTGCAATTGTCTGCGGAATATTTGTATATTTTAATTTATCTCTGCTTATTTATTTAATTTAAGATCTTTCTGTAGTTTTGTTTATATCTGGATAGAGAAAAAATAAAAAAGATAATTTATTTTTGAATTAAAATGATTCCTCAAACTTGGAATGAATTTCTTGAATTTATAAGCGATGTTTTAGATAGAGAGCTTGACTAACCTCGGATTAGCCAATTTATAAAGATACCGAATACAAGAATGACATCTTTTTAAATTATATCATACTTCAGCACAGATTTTCAAAAGTATAAAACTATTATAGCAATTTAGAGCTAAGATAAAAAGAAAATACAAGTGGGGATGCAAAGAAAAGTATTTCTTGATTTGGTGTATCACTAAAATCACGGAAAAGCTTTAAATAAAATTTCATGAACTTGTAAGACCTTTTTACTATTAATTATTGTGTAGTATTAATGGAAAGTCTTCTAGAAACTATCAAGTATCTTGGATCTCTCAGAAGAACTTTTGTTGACTAAATGGTTGAGTCTTCTCAATTATAAACTTAAAGAACAGCCTTGGAAAAAAGAAGAAGATGATTTACTCATTAAACTAAGATAGTATTATATTTTGCTAAGTTAGATTATACCCAGGACCTAAAGACTGGATAAAGATTACAATTGAATTTATAAAAACTAGTGAAACAGTAAGGTATCCTAAATAAATTCGGGAACGATATAACAATGTTTCCAATCCAAACATAAATAAGTAATCATTATATCGATTTAGAAATGAATTTCGTTAAGATGAAATACTTCTTATTCTTAGAGAAGCCTTTAATACAAAAAAAAATTGGGCAAGAATTTCTAAAAAATTACCAGGTCGAACAGATAATCAAATAAAAAATCTGTACAACTCTATTATAAGAAAAATTTTAAATGAAAAAGTATTTGTAAATATTTAACAACTTTAGAAGAACCCTGATGAAAAGACGGACGATTTACAAATTCTAAATCTAATAATCCAACACAATAATTATGATCCGATATTCATCTCAACTATTTTAGATGAAACAAAAAGGAAATAAATTTGTGTCAAAACTGAATCAAGTTCTGATAATTCTTAAACTTCTGAAATGGGTGTTAATAATGTACCTATCTAACTAGTCTACCCTTTTCTTTACAATTAACCCTTCAATTATCAAAATTTTTATTTTACCTACCCTCAATTTTACCTGTTACCTCATTAATAGTCATTAAGAAATCCAATGTATAATTAAACATGATTTATTTTATTAAAAATTTCATACAGTTTAAATTACTGCATAATATTATATTTTTCTAAACTGCATATATATATAAAAATTGAATTACTATTTCATTTAAAATTAATTTTAGTATTATTTTAAACAAACTAAAAGGATGATATCATTAAGAAAGATGTTAATAATAATTAATTTTTTAAATGTATTTCTTAGATTTTATTCAATTCAAAAAATATGTTTGCTGATGTGGAATATCTTTATTTTTGAGAAAAAAGTAATAAATCTAAGTTATTTATAAGGTATTAATTTATTGTAAAATTCTTGTTACGTACTTTTATAGAATTCTAAAGACAATTTTGTTATAATAATTTAACAAAATATCTGAATTAAGGAATAATTAAAAAATTCTCCATAATTCATAGTCATCAACCTAATTTTAAAGGTAGCCATAATATACATTTAAAATTAAATGGAATATTCTTTAGTTTATTTCTTTTTGTTTTTTTATAAGTACAAGAGTCTAATATTAGCGAACTGTTCCTCATTAACTAAAATTTTATTATCAGACTAAAACCTATTGAGATTGAAGAAACTTAATAAATAATAGGGTAAGAAAAATAATGCTGAGTAATTTCTTTCTGATAACTAATATTAACTGTTAAAATAAAAAAAAATGAAAACTTTTTAATGTAAAAATATATTGAGATTAATTAGAATTTTATGATTCAATTTTCGGTGAAAGTTATTTTTTCGCATAGCTTGTCCTATTTATATAACAAAGAAAATTAAAAATGTAAATGATGTAACTCACTTCATATATTAGAGAATATTGCTTTTAATACATACATTGAAGGGTCTAAAATAACATCTTACACATATAGATAAATGATTTACTTTGATATTTTTAAAATAGTGTTGTTACAAATTTTAACTTTTATCGACTACATTTAATTCAATAATAGTCCATTATTTCTTAATATGATTGATTTAATACAGAATTTATTAAACTCAAATTAGATTATTTTATATTGAAAATAATTAAATGTACAATAATTAGGTTTTAGATGAGTTGGAAGAGTTTATCAAATAACAAAAGCTGAATGATAATTTAAGAATAGAGGCTAAAATCGGTACAATCATAGCCAAAACTGATGAAGCACTGATTGATTTAAAACACTTTTAAGATTAATTTATAAATGTGGAGAGCAAAATAGAAAAAAAAAATTATCGTTTTGAATCTGCAATATCAAAATTAGACTATGAAAAGGCATGCAAAACATTAAAAAGTGAAAAAAGATGGGAATTTAATCTTGATATTATCTTTGCATTGAATTATGCAACTCAATTATCTTTCAGAATGGGATTTGATGAAAAAGGAAAAATCTTTTGTATTATATATTTATATATATAGGTTATGAAAGAAAAAAGGAGCTAAAATCAAAGCATTTGGATATATTAGACTAGAAAAGATAATATAGAATAACATTAGCATAATATGATATTATAGACTACAATTAAACAGAAATTTGTTTAGAAAAAATCAGAGAATATATCAGAGAAAATACATTATAAGTCACCTGTGTAAGATACAAATAAACAATGATTTATTAATTTGATGATTATTGTGAAAGCTATGTCTTCCAAGTTTAATAAGTTGAGAAAAATAAATAGGCTTTTTTGGTAGAAATTGCAAAGGAAATCACTAATAAGAATAATACTTTTAAAAAGAATTTAGATAGTGCTTTGGAATTGTTGGAATAACACAGTATATATCTATTTGAATTTAGAGAATTATTATAAACCTTTTTACGAAGCAGAAATATCTATCAAATAATAAAAGACTGCCTAATCAATTGAAAGCCTTGTTGAGAAATACATTAAAAAAATATAATAATTTCATGATGATGTACGTGCTTAATATCCCGAACCAAGCTTTGTTGGTGTAAGATTTGTTCAAACACAGAAAAAAAATGTTTAATAAGAGTAAAAATAACAATATCGCGGGTCTTAAAAAGGAACCTAATTAAAAACAAGGGGATAAAATCCATATTAACAATAGGATAGAAATTAATAAGATTAATAGTTTCTTGATTTTATTAATTCTAATGATGATGAAAATACCAGACATGTTTAAGGATGGTAGTAAAAATAACCATAATATGGTCATCAATTTGATAATAATCAAAAAACAAAATATAATTAAAGGGGAAGAGGTCGTGGAAATTTACATGGTTATGGAAAAGAAAGAGAAGAATAGTCAAATAGTGACGATGAATAATATTAAAGCAGATAAGAAGATTATTATTGATAGAGGATCAACAACAATCAATAATCTGTTTGAATTATATTAAATACAATAAATAATTTAAAAATTTATTTTTAAGAAGACTAATGAATTAACCAATAAAGTTTGTGCTTCAATTACTTTTGTTGATTGTTTTATTGGTATATTTTTATAAAAATGTCATATCTTTTACAATTTTTCATTAATAAATGCTTAACCTTAAGCAAAATTTCCAATATATTAAAATAATTAAGCTTCTTCAACCTGACTGAATACAACTTCTGATTCGTTTCTTATCAAATCTATTTGATTCAAAGAAGATAAGAGTTTCCTTCCAAATTCTTAATCTCCTGTTTCATTTCCAGCCTAGTATAATAGACTTTCATACAATAACTTTTTCCAAATACTGGAGTATTTTTTCAATATTTTTGATATTTTCTTAGACTAGTTATGCAGGATTAGTTGTGTTTACAATTTTGAAATCTTTTTATAATAGATTGGGAGCTAAGAATGGCCAGGCTTATTATAAATTTTCATCTGAAAAGGATATTTTTATAGGCATGGTGTTAAAGGATGCGACTGCTGCATAGTGCTTTAATGATTGATTAAGTTTAAATGCCTAGCTATTATAATGAATATACTTTCATTTCTATCTTATTTGTATTTAATGTAGGATTAACTTTAAGAATAATAGGTTAACCTAGTACTGCAGTAGCATTGAATCCGTTCTCCTTCTTGCTAAATTCAGTTGAAAGATAAGCAACACCAATATCTAATGATAAGTTTTTGGTTGTAACAAACCCTCCTAATAAGACTTCCTAAGGATTTGCTTATAAATGGCTTAAGTATAAATCTTTAGCATCACCAAAATCAAATGTATACTCCTAGAAGATTGATGAACAAATATACATTAGTTTCATCTCCAGGGTCAACTAATAAGGCAAAACATTCTGTTATATGCACTTTATTTGTATAGACTGTTCCTAATAATGCTCCACCTACTATGGTTTCCTCTTATCTTGAGGCACCAAATTTTCTGTAATGCAAGTCTAATATTTAGACGATCACAAGTGGATGAATATCAATTTCAAAGTTTATGTTGCAACACAAATCAACTGTTTCTTGTGCCATAAATTAAATTATTTTATGAAATAAGAGTAATACATAATATAATAGAAGAGGGAGGAATTTAGGAATGAGATTAGAAATCAGAGAAATGAGCAACAATTTTCAAGGAAGAGAATGGTGGCATCTAATGTAGCAGGTACTTCTCTCATCCAAATATTGAAATAAACTGATATAGAGAATGAGTAATCTGCAATCGTAGCTGATAATTCTCTCATCTAAATATTGTAATAAACTAATATAGAGAATGAGGAATCTGCAAATGCAGCACTTTAATAAAATCTTCCTTAGAGAATTATTAACTCATTATTCATTTCAGATGTCAACAAAAACTATGTCTAAAATTTATTGGGTAAAAATTTCTTAACATTAATCAGAACATGATAGGTTGTTTTTAGTAGAATCACTTTATTTCTTTAATTCATTTACAGCCAATGCAAATTAAGGATAAATAAAACAATGCTTTCAACTTAACTTTTTATCATACCTCGTATCCTTATATGCCAACTTTTGTTAAAGTATTACGGAAAATTCAGATATATTTTATATAATAGATTATCTAGATTGTATATTCTACAATCTAATTCTTTTGAAAGTTGAATTTTAAGCATAAGATAAAAAAAAAATGGTGGACTGCATAGAAAAAATTGTGCTTTTAAATAAATTTTAAAAGTTTAGCTTACAGGCTTAAGAATGTTTGCTTAACTTATATTTTAAACTCTCTTTAAGTTTCGATATAACAAATTCATTAACAATATGCTCTTATATTTTACAAAATACTAGCAAAAAAGAGCTTGTTACAATTGTTGTCAACTTAATTATTAGAATATTTTATCAATCAGCTCGAGAAAATAGAAAAGCCCTCGAATTATATATAACTTAAATTAAACATTTAAATATTACTGAAAAATTAGTTCAGCTATCTGATGAATATCCAAATTAAGTCATTAAATATTTTAAAGTTATGTCAAACCAGTAAAAGTCAATCACTATTGAGATAATTTCTTTATAATAAGCAAGTTTAATATATTAAAAATGGAGATACTTTGACAGGGAACTATTTTATTATTTTTTAGCAAATATTATCACAACATACAAAGTTATTTTAACAGGAATTTTATAAAATAAATAATTATTGGATGAGATAATGATTACACTACAAACCAAATAAAATTAGGAATCAAAAGAAGCATTCTATTTATTATGTACAATTGTAAAGGAGAATTCAACTACCCAGTCTAATAATCAATTTATTGGAATTCTTAATTAATATTTTGTATTTCAATTTTATGAAATAAGGTCAGTAGCCATTCAATAGAAGAATACAAATTTTATTTAAATCTGATTTTGTAAGACCCAACTATATTGAATTAAAACTGTCCCAATGCTGTAAAAACAAAACTTGAGTCATTAATTAAATTACCAGAACTTGAAACATAAGTGTAAAGAATATTAAATGATGATTTACAATTTATTTTTGAATGAATAAGTATAAAAAATTTTTCCGATACCGGGGATTGAACCCGGGTCCCCAGGGTGAAAACCTGATATCCTAACCACTAGACTATACCGGAAATGTTAATATCTATATTCAAATTTTGTTATTATTAAGCAGACTCTTAGTAGCTATTTTTAATTCAGATTCTTTGAATTAAAAATTTGCATTGATCATTTTCTTTTTCTAAAATCATACCTATAAATTAATCCATAAATTTGGTTCATAATGGTTAATAATAACACAGATTCATAAATTTAATTATAATAAAATCAAAATTATTAAGGCTCAAAAATTCTTGTACATTTAAGTTTAATTAAATAATAAAAATAACTAGTTTATTATTAATTTAAAATAATGCTATTAATTTTTTGATTATTAAACAAATTCATTTGGAAATTATTGAATAAATTTCACTAGAATCTCATTTCAAGATTTTAAGAAGGTATTAAAATTCTTAAAAAGGAATCCTCTGATATTTTTCATTAAATCTAAGAAAAATTTTATCATTTCATAAAACTACGAATAGAGAAAAATGATAAATCTAAGCTAAGTTGATTTAAGTAGAATCATTAACCAATTAACTAAGAAAATAAATGATTTTAAATTATTGGAACTTGTTTTCAAAACATAAACCTTTCATTAATATATAATAATTCAATAAAGCGCAAATTAAGTTTATTCTAATATAATAAATTTATGAATTAGCGCTCATTTGATACATAGAGTTTATGCAGAAAATCTAAGAAAATTGATAAGAAAGATGACAAATCATATTGGCAGTAATTAGAAAATTCAGCAAACAGCAAATTTGGTAGGATAAGAGGCCCTAAAAAGATTATTGATTGTTTCGAAAAAAATAAATCATTTGTTTATTTAGTTGAAGATTGCGATGGAAAAAAAAAGTTTAAAGCTCAAATATTTTTAGGCTTATCCCAGATTTAGTGTTAGAAGAAAAGTTTCCATAGTTTATGATTAAGTACTTGGAAGAGATAATTTAATTCAATTGATTTTATATAGTTTGATATTTCTAAAGATATTTACTTAATAAGAAACTTTCTTAAATAACAATTGAAATGAAAAAATAATTAACATGGTGGTATTTTCTCTAATAAATAAAGTCAAGTTAATATATAAATATTTGCATAATTTTTTTTTTTAATTTTATAAAGTAGGCTCTATTATTAATTCAAGTTATTATTAACCATGTATTTATCCTTTCTGATGGAATACTTGGGGTAATTAGAGTTTACTAAATTTTATTTATTTTTATTTTATTAGTTTTTAGTAAATTCAGAACCCTTTAATACAATTAACTATCTTCACAATGAAGACTAAATCTCACTTCTTGAGAAGATTAGATAATTGATATATGATGAATCTCAATATTAAGTAAAAAATGTATGATCTAAAAGAAAATGAATTAATTAAATCCTAGAATTGTAAAAAGAGCAAACATCTTCAAATAAATATTAAAATGATTAGATCTAATCACAGAAGAAATATTGAGATTTTTAAGTTAAAGTAAATTAAACAAATAAAATAGTAAGATCTAATACAACCTTATAATAACAATTAGCTTTACCCCTCATACCAAATTGGAAGATAAGAAATAAGCGATCTCAAAAAAATGATTATACCTTGATAAAGATATTTCACTTGTTTTATAACATATAAATTTGAAAAACTTCGATCGCAAAATCTTATTTGAGATATGGAATAAACAGACATTTATGTGAATTAAGATAATTGGATGCGCAAAATTAATTTCTCTTCATATGGTATAACCAGAAATTCCTTATAAAAATAATTTCTACATCTTGTCATACCTAAGTCCACTTTTTAAATTAATGGAAACTCCACTCGTATCACCAAATACATGGACATATTCAAAGATATCTATCTAAAATATTACAAATATTTTAGGTCTCTATTATTCCACTTATTTTTATTCATTTGTCAAGTTTTTTGAAAAATCATTCAAATGTATAGATCAATATTACCTATTAAAATAAACTTTAAATCTTATAGTTAAAAATCTGAATTAATCTTTTAAAAGACAATATAAATATAATACGATTATATTTATAATTTATGAACATAATATTTATTATCATAATTTATATGTATAATTAAAGAAGAAATAGGAAAATTATTGAAGATGAAGAATTAGAGGATTAATCCTCTAAATTCCAATTATTAGGAAATTAAAACTCGTCATCATAAAAAAAATCTTCTCCTAATAAGCAATTATGCACTATTTGCTTAGAATAATTTACTTCCCCTTTATCCAAACTTAAATGTAACCATCTTTTTTGTTAAATATGTTTTGATTAATTTATGAAAGTAGCCAAAAAATTATAATGTCCCTTATGTAGATAACCATTTTCATATGTATTAATTTTATAATTTCTAGTATGATATTTATATTAATTAAGATGGAGTGCTGGTGTGGATTAACAAATCTGAAAATTTCTATGAAAAAAATACATAAGAAAGCTACTCTTAGCAAGATGAAAGCATATTTTAGGAAAGCTTTTTAAACACACCTTCATAAAGTATTGTGAGTGCCTCAATTTCGGAAGTTTGTTAAGTTTGCCTTTGTAATGAAAACGATGATTAAATGATCTTTTGTCTATAATGTAGAATTCTTATTGGTCATGATTATTGTATTTAGGAGGATGAGAGAAATTTAGTGTTATGTAGTAGTTGTTAAAATTAATGAAATCTAATATCAAACATTATGTTATTTTTTACTTATATTATTACTATTTATTTAACTACAAAAATTTTATTGTTCTTTGTATTTTTTTTTTATAAGTTTTCAAAGTACATAAATTTTTGTAAAACTAAACGATCTTTAGGGATTTCCCTTTAATAAACAAATAAATAATAAAAATATTAGCTTTTCGGAGTTATTGAAATAATATTAGACAGAATATTTAGAAAATTTCTTACTAATTTTTATATATTTAACTTTATCATTAAATTTATCATAAATGGCATTCGAAATTACAGAAAAAATGATTGTGAACACGATTGCAGGATTTGGCTAAGTTATTAAACTTCCTGAAGGACCCGTTCCAGAACAATTAACAGTAGAAGAGGAAAACTAAGTAAATCATTAGCAATCAGAAAAGTTGATTGTTTCTTGTCCAAGTTCTCCAGCACAACCAAAAAAGTAAGATTCAGGAGTTGAGAATCCTTAAAAATCAGATAAACCAATAGAAAAAAAAAATGAAAATTAGTAAGAGATATAACAAGATAATTAATAAGAATAGCAAAATCAACCTTAAGGTTAACCTTCTAAGATCAATGCTCCTCAAAAAGATGGGCCTTAATTATAACCTAATTTACCACCCCCTTAAAGTGCCAGTAGATAGTCTTCTCAATAGCCTTCTTTAGAGAAATAAATTTCAATGTCAGAGGATCCTTTACCGTTTTCAAACTCTCTGCCTTTTTCATAATAAAGTTCAACAGAAGGTTAGCCATAAAATAAAAAAGCCCCCATTTTGAAGAGATTAACAGCTGATTTAAAAGAGTCTATAGCTTTAGCCAAGAAATTAGAAATAAAATATAAATACCCCTATTCTAATGATGAGAGATTAGTTACTATTGATTTCTCATATGGTAAGATTACAACTATGGTAAAAAATATCAGCAATGTGATATTTTTATTAATTAAAACTTTTTTTGGTTAAAGAAACTACTATTTAGCAATTGTTCCAGTTACTTTTACTACGGAATAACTAAGATCATTTATAATTGATGGGATTGGGCAGAATTAAAAGCTGTTTCATAATATTAAATTGATCCATCCCATGATTTAACTAAAAGAATTGAAAGATACATAAATTAAGCTCTCAGAAGTCGGTCTTAAAGATTTTTCCTAACTCTTATTTTTAGCCGAAATGACCTTCACATGGGATCCAATTAAAAAAGGTAAAAGTGTAGTTTTATCAAATAATAATTTGACAGCAAACAAAAAAGGATAATCAGATTATTAAACAGTGCTTGGAACATTAGCATTAAATTCAGGAAGGCATTATTGGGAAATTAAGATTGAAAAGTATGTTGATGAGGAAGATATCTTTATAGGAATAGCAAGGTAAAATTTTAGTGTAAAGTAGAAAAGAGATTGACTTGTATACGTAACCGACTACAACTGGACATTTTTATGGATATATTTGTTTATGTGCTAAGAAATTCGGAGCTGATGGATAGATATAAGATTATGGATACTCAGCTGTATAGAATGATACAATTGGTGTTCTACTTGAATTCAGAAGTGGTTTAGGAACTTTATCATTTTACAGAAATGGTGTCAAGTGTGGAGAAGCATTTAGCAATTTGACAGGGACGTTTTATCCAGCTCTAAGCATGTTTTATGGGGAAGTTCAAGTGACATTAGATTCAAAATCCCCTTTACCATCAAGTTGAATTAAATGAGTTAAAGTGTTATAATTATAATACATTAATATTTCATAAAGTAATTGGCTAGAAGATAAGGAATTTGTATGGGGTTAATTCTACAATGTATTAGTGTTATTCCTAGTTTTTGGTTTTGTAGTAAATAATAACGATCAGATATTAATATAAAAAAATTTGAATTTTGAAATGAGAGGAAGATCAATCTAAAATCCGTAGCCATTTTAAATGCGCTCTCCTTAAAGAGCTGTTTCCCCTATTATTTAAGTTGTTCCTTAAGCACCTTAGCAGCAAGCTCTTTCCGACAGTTTAATTAACATGAAAATGGAAAAAGTCTTAATGGGATTTGAAATTTAAAGATTAAATTGTGTATTACTTGAATTGGATAGAAAAAGAAATGCCATGAAAAATACAATGTAAATTTTGATTAAATAAAGATAATAACATCAGGAGAGGGAATAAGTTTTGCTACTTGAAGTATAGAGTTAGAAATAAGAAATAAACGAATTACAACAGAAAGAAAAATTAGCTAGGGAAAAATTAAATTCTTTTTTAAGATAAGCAAGCCAATAGGAAAATTAGAATAAAGTATTAAAAATCTGTTATCTTAGGATCAATCAAGTAAATTAGAAGAAATAAGAAAACTCTAAGATGAAAACAAATTATTAGAATCAAAACTATCCTATCTACTTAGTCTAAATCAATTAGAAAACAAATAAGAAGGTACTTCAATAAAAAAGGTTGAATAACCATCTTTTTCAAAGAATGAATAATTACCTGAGCATTTACAAAATGCATTAAGCAATCTTTAAAGTGGGATTTCATAATATAGAAATGGTAATTTGATTTAGAATAAATATGCCAATGCTTTAACGATGTTGGCAGAATTGATAAATTCTCATAATAATCTCTTGCAAAAATTGGATAAAGATTAAGATGACTATGAAGTAGAAATCTAGTAAATATAAATATATTTGACTTCATTAAATCAAGATATTGAAGCTTTGAAACGATACGAAACACCAAAAGCAGTAAGAAGAATCTTAAACAATTAAAGTCCTTTACAAGCAAGATCATAGTCTCCATCATTGTCATCTGAAGAAGTATTTTCAAAAATTATGACACATATCGAACATCTCCAACTTGATCCTCATAATGTACCAACAATTATTAAACAAATTTCTTTATTAAATTCATTAGTTAGATTAAAGAATGAAGATTTAAAATTGATTGGAAATAATACCAAATTAAGGGGATCTCCTGTTCGATATTCAGTTGAAAGATCCAACGGAAGTATCAGAGTATTGACTCCAATAAAATACATAAGTCCAATTAGGGTATCTCCAACCAGACATCACACTTATAATACAAATTTAAGCGTTCCCCAAAGAGTTTCCATAATACATCCTAATATATCAGACTCAATTTAAACTTAACAAAGACCAGGCATAGCAGATTCATTCCCATAATAATCAAAAGATGAATTTTAGAATGCTTTAAGTTAGTTTAGAGATAACTAAGATAGATTATATTAATTAGAATAAGAAAGATTAAGTTTCTAGGAATAAATTTAATATTGGAAATAAAAATTTGAAGATGAAATTGAAAAAAATAATCAAAATTTATCCCCAGAAAGCATTGAATAAAAATTATTAAAAGAAGTTAAAAAGAATTAAGAAATGTTTTCTGAAATTATTCTACTAAAATAAGAAATTTAAAAACTCTAAAAATAAGTTGATTTTGAATAGGAAAAGTTGCATGATCAAGCTATCAAATCAATTGAATAGCAATCCTAATAAGAAAAAAAATGTTAGAACTTAGAAATAATATAAAAGCAACTCGATTAATAAAATTAGGAGTAAGAACAATAAATATAGGATTTAAAAAGATAATTATAAGTAAATGATGAAGAGAAAACAAAATTAAAAAATTAGTTATAAAAATAAGAGGAAGGTTTACCTTAATAACCAGTAGAAAACTTTAAAATTTAGCTCTGTGATCCAATTCTTATTGAAAAAAATAAAAAGTAAGATGAAAAACAGAAAGAAATTGATAATTTGAAAAAGAAAAATATTGAATTATAAGAAAAAGTTATAGAAGTACAAGAGGAATTATATAATTTAAATTCTTAATAAAGAGGGTAAATTTAAAACCCAAATATTTAATAAGGAATGCAAACAGATTCAGAAAGAATATTAAAAATAAGTTAGTTAGAGTAAGAAAATTAAAAATTAAAGACTTAAGTTAAAGAAGTTGAATAATAAAGATAAGCTGATTTGAAAGAATTTTAAGACATGATTGGTAATGGTGTATAAGAATAAAAAGTAGTGGGCTTGATGACAGATAAGCAGGATTTACAGAAATAAGTTAGGGATTAATAAAATCAAATTGATCAACTCTAATAAAAATAAATTTCTCTATAAGCAGATTTATTAAGTAAAACAAAAGAATTATAGTAATATGATGCATAAAATTAATAATAGCCAAATAATTAATAAAATGAGTAACAGACTGATCTAATTAATTCATTATAATAATAATTATCATAAGCTAAATAATAATATTAAGAGCTGTTGGAAACTGCTTCATAAAATATAACTCCAAATGGGCTGAAAGAAAAAGTATTATAATAATAAACTACTATTCATGATTAGTAGGATTAGATAATAAATTTACAATAGTAATTGGAAAAAGAACTTCCTAAATTACAAGGATAATTAACTTAGACTCAATAAGAATTATAAGCAGCTTAAAATGATGCATAACTTTAAGCCAAAAGATATTAGGATTTATTAGCTAAGAAATAACCAGAAGATCAAAAAGGTGATGAACAATAAGAAATTCCTCAAGAAGAAGCAAAATAGTTAAAATAATAAAATTAAGAACTTCAAACCAGTTTGTAAAATTTGGAGTAAGAAAAAAAATAGAATGGCTTAGAAGTGCAAAAATTATAATAAGCTAAGGATGAAATTGATAGTTTGCAAAGAGAAAAAAATTTAGCTGAATAATTGTAAAATATTTTACAAGAATAAGTGAAAGATTTATAAAATTAAATAACAGAGTTAAAAAAAAAAGAAGAAAATCTAAAATAGGAAATAAAAAGCTAAAAAGATAATCAAAGTGACATAATAGGCAATAATCAATAAGGTGATACTCAAAAGTCTAAGGATTAACTCCCCTAACAATAGTAAGGATAAGAACGATAAGAGTAAGGATAAATTCAACCAGAAAATGTAGAAGCTTTAAAGGATTAAATTGCTAAATTAAACTTTGAAAAGGAATAAAACAAGAATGAGCTTGATTCATTATCTAATTACAAAAAAGAAAATGAAGACTTAAGAAAACAAAAGCTTGAGCTTTAGAATTAACTACTAGAAAAATAAAGCTAAATTAATAAATTATAGGATAATAAAATTTAGACAGAAAATTCTGACAATTAAAATTTGAAATTTTAAACAGATCCTGAAAAAAATTTAAAAATCAGTTAACTTACTTAAGAAAATCAATCGCTGAAAAATTAGATCACTCAAATAGAGGATTAAAAGAAAGAAGATCTAAAATAATTTTAAAATATGATTGGAAATGGAGTTAATGAGTAATAGATTGTTGATTTATATCGCCAAAAACAAGAACTTTAATCAGAAATTAGATAATTATAAAACTAGCTTGATAAAGTATAGCAAGAATCCATATATTTGTAAGAATAATTAGCTGAAAAAAATAAATAAATAATTGATTTAAATTAGACATTGCCTCAAGATGAATAAAAACTTCTTATATTAGAAAATTAAAAGGAAATAGAATAATTAAAAGCTTAGCTCAATAAAGCAAAATAATAATATTAAGAAATCTTAGAAATTCAATCTTAAAATTTAACTCCAAATGGTCAAAAAGAAAAACTTCTTTAAAATGCAAAATAAATACATGAATTAGAATAACTTCTTTTAGAAAAATAATAAGAAATAGAAAATTAAGTTCCGTAATTATAAGGGCAACTAAAAGAATTATAACAAAAGTACGCTGATTCATAAAATGAAGTTTAACTTTTGAATGATAGATACTAAGATCTATTGAGTAAGAAACCCTTAGAAATACCAGACTAACGAGAAGAAAATGTAGTTTTGGCTGAATTATAAGAAAAAAATAAAAATTATGAGGAATAAATTAAATAATTAATTTAAGATTAAAAGCAATCTCAAAATAGTCAAACAACAATGTCTGAAGAAATATAGGATCTAGGTAGATAGAATAACTTATTATAATAGTAATTATAATTAACTGAATAATAATTAAATCAAATTTAGCATGAATTAAATGAACAAAGATCATTAATTTAGTCAAAAGATGATGAAATTTTGAAATTAAAAAATGACCTAATAGAAGCTAATGGAGATTTTTGGAAATAGGAGTATCAAAAATTATAAAATTAGCAAGGAGGGTAAGAAACCTCAAATTAGGTTCCTTAATAAAGTAAAATTTAATAGGATGATGAAAAGAATAATAATGAAATAATAAACTCTTTATAATCTTAATTGGCAATTTTATAATAATAAGGCAATGATTAATAGTAGCTCCAACAAGAAAATGAACAATTAAAATAAAGTAAATTGTAATTATAAAATGAATTATTAAATGCATAAAATACTTTGAATTAATTATTTTCAGGATAATTGCCACAAAAAGCAGATAACCCTTCATTATTAGATCCAACTAAAGCGCTTTAAATTAGCTAATTATAATAAGAAAATTAACAATTAAAGAAATAGATTATTGATATAGAAGCAGAAAGAAAAGAAGATTTGAAAAATTTTGAAAATATACTGGGAACAGGACCAGAAGGAAAATAAATTGTATCCTTAATATCAGAGAAACAACAATTATCTTAAAAATTAAGGGATTTAGAAAATCAAATAGATTAATTACAATAATCTCAAATCATTTTACAGAGCCAACTGCTTGAAAAAAACTAATAGCTCATGGATCTATACGATGAATAAAATCAATAAAATGCTAATATCAAATTATAACAACTTTAGGCTTAAATAGATTTATTATAAAAACAACTAGAAAAATCAAAAGAGCAGTATTAAGAATTACTCGAAATATAATCATAAGCAGTAACTCCAAATGGATAAAAAGAAGAAATTTTATAAAAAACAAAATTAATCCATTAGCAAGAAGAGGAAATATAAACTTTATAACATCAAATCGAATAAAATTTACCTGAATTGGTCGGTAAACTTGAAGAGGCTTAATTAAAATTAAAGTAAGCAGAGGATGAAGCTAACTTATGGAAAAGTAAACATTAAATGCTTCTAGATAATAGACCAAATATACAATAACCAACGGTAGATAAATAATCGATAAAAGAACTAAATTTAGAAGAAGCCTAACAAGCAGTACAAGATTTATTAATTAAATAAGAATAGAATGAGTAACAGAAGGATGAGTAATAAAATTAAATTATTGAACAATAAAATTAATTATAACAGCTATAAGATGAGAAAGATAATCTTTAAAGAGAAAACAAGTTATTACTAGAATAAAATCAGATTATTAAATAATAAAATGATTAATAAAAGAGATAGGTTGAGGAATTGAAAAATTAAGACTTAGAGAATAGATAATAAATATTAGATCTGAAAAATTAATTGGAATAAGAAAACGCAGAGTTTTGGAGAACTGAATATTAAAAATTAGCAAATAAACATGGAGAAGATATTCCAACTTAATTCCCAAGTTAGAAATAAGTAGTTCCATAACATATTTAAAAAGATGAAGGAAATTAGACAGAAGCTTTATAAGAATTGAAAAAGTAAAATGAATTGTTACAAACATAACTAGAAGATTAAAATTAATTACAATAAGAAAATGATGAATTAAAGGCTCATAAATTATAATTGTAAGACTAATTGTTATAAGCATAAAAATAATTGCAAGATTTATTATCTGAATAGATTCCAAAATAAATAACATCCTCAGGATCAATTCAATTTTAAACTGATCCATAAAAAGCATTATAGATAAGTTAATTATAATAAACCAATTAAGCATTAAACTAATAAATAGAAGAATTATAATAATAAAGAAAAGAAGATTTATAGAAATTTTAAGATATGATTGGAAATGGAGTAAATGAATAATAAATTGTAGCATTAATGTCTGAAAAATAATAATTATAATCTGATTTAAGAATGTTATAAAGCAAATTAGATTAAGTTTAATAAGAACAGTTAGCCTTACAAAGTTAATTGACTTAAAAAACTAAATAATTAATTGATATCCATGATGATGTCAAATAAGAAGAATAGTTGTAATAATAATAATTATTATCTAATGAAAATGAACTGTTAAAGAAATAATTAGAAAAAGTCAAAAGCTAATATTAAGAGCTTCTAGAATTATAATCATAAAATTTAACACCAAATGGATTGTAAGAGAAATTATTACAATAAACGAAGCAAATTCACGATTTAGAAGAACAAAATCATATTTAATAACATCAAATAGAAACAGAAATTCCTTAATTAGTAGGAGAACTCACTGAAACTAAATAAAAATTAAAAGATGCAATAACAGATGCATAATTATGGAATGATAAATATCATGATTTGTTAGATCATAAATAAAGTGTGTAGCCTCAACATTAAGAAGAAGATATTGCTAAGATGACAAGAGAAGAGGCTTAATAAGCACTATCAGATCTATAATAATAATATTAAAACTCATTGCTAAAATTAAAATAAGCTTAAGATAATGCAGAAGAACTCAAATAAAATTTGGTAAAGGCATAAGATAATATGGATAATTAACAAAGAGATGCAAAATTATTAAAAGAATAAAAGGAAATCCTAGAAAAATAAAATGAATCTCTTTAAAATGCAATCAATGATCTAAAATAAAAAGATAAAGAAAATAGATAATAAATATTAGATCTGAAAAATTAATTGGAATAAGAAAACGCAGAGTTTTGGAGAACTGAATATTAAAAATTAGCGAATAAACATGGAGAAGATATTCCAACTTAATTCCCAAGTTAGAAATAAGTAGTTCCATAACATATTTAAAAAGATGAAGGAAATTAGACAGAAGCTTTATAAGAATTGAAAAAGTAAAATGAATTGTTACAAACATAACTAGAAGATTAAAATTAATTACAATAAGAAAATGATGAATTAAAGGCTCATAAATTATAATTGTAAGACTAATTGTTATAAGCATAAAAATAATTGCAAGATTTATTATCTGAATAGATTCCAAAATAAATAACATCCTCAGGATCAATTCAATTTTAAACTGATCCATAAAAAGCATTATAGATAAGTTAATTATAATAAACCAATTAAGCATTAAACTAATAAATAGAAGAATTATAATAATAAAGAAAAGAAGATTTATAGAAATTTTAAGATATGATTGGAAATGGAGTAAATGAATAATAAATTGTAGCATTAATGTCTGAAAAATAATAATTATAATCTGATTTAAGAATGTTATAAAGCAAATTAGATTAAGTTTAATAAGAACAGTTAGCCTTACAAAGTTAATTGACTTAAAAAACTAAATAATTAATTGATATCCATGATGATGTCAAATAAGAAGAATAGTTGTAATAATAATAATTATTATCTAATGAAAATGAACTGTTAAAGAAATAATTAGAAAAAGTCAAAAGCTAATATTAAGAGCTTCTAGAATTATAATCATAAAATTTAACACCAAATGGATTGTAAGAGAAATTATTACAATAAACGAAGCAAATTCACGATTTAGAAGAACAAAATCATATTTAATAACATCAAATAGAAACAGAAATTCCTTAATTAGTAGGAGAACTCACTTGAAACTAAATAAAAATTAAAAGATGCAATAACAGATGCATAATTATGGAATGATAAATATCATGATTTGTTAGATCATAAATAAAGTGTGTAGCCTCAACATTAAGAAGAAGATATTGCTAAGATGACAAGAGAAGAGGCTTAATAAGCACTATCAGATCTATAATAATAATATTAAAACTCATTGCTAAAATTAAAATAAGCTTAAGATAATGCAGAAGAACTCAAATAAAATTTGGTAAAGGCATAAGATAATATGGATAATTAACAAAGAGATGCAAAATTATTAAAAGAATAAAAGGAAATCCTAGAAAAATAAAATGAATCTCTTTAAAATGCAATCAATGATCTAAAATAAAAAGATAAAGAAAATAGATAATAAATATTAGATCTGAAAAATTAATTGGAATAAGAAAACGCAGAGTTTTGGAGAACTGAATATTAAAAATTAGCGAATAAACATGGAGAAGATATTCCAACTTAATTCCCAAGTTAGAAATAAGTAGTTCCATAACATATTTAAAAAGATGAAGGAAATTAGACAGAAGCTTTATAAGAATTGAAAAAGTAAAATGAATTGTTACAAACATAACTAGAAGATTAAAATTAATTACAATAAGAAAATGATGAATTAAAGGCTCATAAATTATAATTGTAAGACTAATTGTTATAAGCATAAAAATAATTGCAAGATTTATTATCTGAATAGATTCCAAAATAAATAACATCCTCAGGATCAATTCAATTTTAAACTGATCCATAAAAAGCATTATAGATAAGTTAATTATAATAAACCAATTAAGCATTAAACTAATAAATAGAAGAATTATAATAATAAAGAAAAGAAGATTTATAGAAATTTTAAGATATGATTGGAAATGGAGTAAATGAATAATAAATTGTAGCATTAATGTCTGAAAAATAATAATTATAATCTGATTTAAGAATGTTATAAAGCAAATTAGATTAAGTTTAATAAGAACAGTTAGCCTTACAAAGTTAATTGACTTAAAAAACTAAATAATTAATTGATATCCATGATGATGTCAAATAAGAAGAATAGTTGTAATAATAATAATTATTATCTAATGAAAATGAACTGTTAAAGAAATAATTAGAAAAAGTCAAAAGCTAATATTAAGAGCTTCTAGAATTATAATCATAAAATTTAACACCAAATGGATTGTAAGAGAAATTATTACAATAAACGAAGCAAATTCACGATTTAGAAGAACAAAATCATATTTAATAACATCAAATAGAAACAGAAATTCCTTAATTAGTAGGAGAACTCACTGAAACTAAATAAAAATTAAAAGATGCAATAACAGATGCATAATTATGGAATGATAAATATCATGATTTGTTAGATCATAAATAAAGTGTGTAGCCTCAACATTAAGAAGAAGATATTGCTAAGATGACAAGAGAAGAGGCTTAATAAGCACTATCAGATCTATAATAATAATATTAAAACTCATTGCTAAAATTAAAATAAGCTTAAGATAATGCAGAAGAACTCAAATAAAATTTGGTAAAGGCATAAGATAATATGGATAATTAACAAAGAGATGCAAAATTATTAAAAGAATAAAAGGAAATCCTAGAAAAATAAAATGAATCTCTTTAAAATGCAATCAATGATCTAAAATAAAAAGATAAAGAAAATAGATAATAAATATTAGATCTGAAAAATTAATTGGAATAAGAAAACGCAGAGTTTTGGAGAACTGAATATTAAAAATTAGCGAATAAACATGGAGAAGATATTCCAACTTAATTCCCAAGTTAGAAATAAGTAGTTCCATAACATATTTAAAAAGATGAAGGAAATTAGACAGAAGCTTTATAAGAATTGAAAAAGTAAAATGAATTGTTACAAACATAACTAGAAGATTAAAATTAATTACAATAAGAAAATGATGAATTAAAGGCTCATAAATTATAATTGTAAGACTAATTGTTATAAGCATAAAAATAATTGCAAGATTTATTATCTGAATAGATTCCAAAATAAATAACATCCTCAGGATCAATTCAATTTTAAACTGATCCATAAAAAGCATTATAGATAAGTTAATTATAATAAACCAATTAAGCATTAAACTAATAAATAGAAGAATTATAATAATAAAGAAAAGAAGATTTATAGAAATTTTAAGATATGATTGGAAATGGAGTAAATGAATAATAAATTGTAGCATTAATGTCTGAAAAATAATAATTATAATCTGATTTAAGAATGTTATAAAGCAAATTAGATTAAGTTTAATAAGAACAGTTAGCCTTACAAAGTTAATTGACTTAAAAAACTAAATAATTAATTGATATCCATGATGATGTCAAATAAGAAGAATAGTTGTAATAATAATAATTATTATCTAATGAAAATGAACTGTTAAAGAAATAATTAGAAAAAGTCAAAAGCTAATATTAAGAGCTTCTAGAATTATAATCATAAAATTTAACACCAAATGGATTGTAAGAGAAATTATTACAATAAACGAAGCAAATTCACGATTTAGAAGAACAAAATCATATTTAATAACATCAAATAGAAACAGAAATTCCTTAATTAGTAGGAGAACTCACTTTAACTAAGTAAAAATTAAAAGATGCAATCACAGATGCTTAATTATGGAATGATAAGTATCATTAACTTTTAGGAGATCATTAATAAGCATCTCCATAACAAATTTTGGATTTAGAATAGAAGCTTGCAGATGCATAAAATGAAGTTCAAAAGGAAAAGGAAAAGTATAATCATTTATTTTAGGAATAATATTCATAATTATCTCCTTCATCTGCTTAAGCTAAACTGTTGGAAGCAATTAATCAAATTAATGAATTGAAGGCCTAGTTAGAAGCTTACGAAAAAGCAAGAATTACTAATTTAATTGAAAAAGAGCCTTCTTTAGCAATGGATAAACTTCAAGAAGACCTTCTTAATTATCAAAAATAAGTTGAGATGCAAGAAAAATTAAATGAACTTCAATTGCAACAAATTGAATTTTTGAGGAACTAGCTTTCTTAAAGAGATTCAAAATAATAAATGAAATAAGACTAAGAAGACGAAGAAACTTAACAATCATTGAGAGATCAAAATATTATCCTATAAGCATAACTTGCTTAAAAGTAAAAAGATTTGGATAATGCTGAGGCAGCTTTGATATAAAATCAATAGGTTATTGATGAATAATAATAAGAGTAATTAAAATCTGAGTTTTGGAAGAAATAATATACAGATTTAATTTCTTAACAGGCTCCTGCTGATTAATAAAAGTAAATATTAAAACAAAAAGAGTCTGAATTAACTTAAGAAATTAAGCAACCCTCATAATCTAATAACGATAACTTATAAGAACAAATCAATAATTTACTAATTGAAAGGGCAACTCTATAATAACAACTAATTCAGGTTTAAGGCAAACTAGGCAAAGCTACATAAAACCTAGAAAGTACAGATAGCCCTTAACAAGGATAGGATAGTTAAGGATAAATTTAAAAATTAAATAGAGAAGTATAAGAATTGCAATAAAGAAATTAAAAGTATTTATTTTTATTAATTGTTTAGCCTGTTAGAATAGATGAAATCTGCGTTGAGTGGAGATGATTAGGGATAAAAATTAGCATAATTGATAGAGAAGAATAACTAATTAAGCTTAAATAATTCTAAATTAATGATAGATCTTGATGTAAATCAGAAAGAGTTATTAAAATAATAAGGCTAAAATTAAGTTTTAATTGAAAAAGTTAAAGATCTGTCTGATCCATCTGTCACAGAAAACGCAAAGTTGAGAGTTTCAGATTTATAAAAGTAGATAGATTTAATTGGGTAACAAGTAGATTTTTGGAAATAAAAATATTAATAAGTTTTAAATGAATACAGCTAATAATTATCACCAACAAGTATTTAAAGAAAAATGATTGAATAAGCTCAATACATTCATTAGCAAGAGGAAGCTTTATTAATGTTGCAATAAACTACAGATTAAACTAAACTGGATAATGAAAATTAAATTAATTAACTAAGAATTGAAAATAAGATATTAAATGACGAAAATGTTAATTTGAAAAAGAGAATTTAAGAATAAGAAAATTAATCTTAATAATTATCACGATAACATGTATTATCTTAAGATTAATATGATAAATAAATTTAATTTTGGAAAGAAAAATACTAGGAAGCCTTATAGGCCTTGCACAAAGATCCATAAAAAGTTTAAGATATTATTTAGCAATAAGAAGAGTCAGCATAAAATATAAAACCAGATAAAGATTGGCAACCAATATTAAAACAATAAGATTTAAGTTCAGAGATAATAGATAAATTAAGAAGCGAGAATCAAACATTTTAAGGAGAAGTGACATTCTACAAAAAGAGAGTATTTGAGCTTGAATAATAACAGTAAAAGCCAGATCCAAGCTAATAAGACACAATTTAATCATAACAATATTAAATTAGCCAACTTGATCGCGACTTGTAAAAAGCTCTATAAACTTCTGCCTATTGGGAATAAAAATATAATGATGTTGTACAATAAAGTATCACCAAAGAAGTAGGTCAAAGAGGTGATGCTCAAAATACAGCAAGTTATTGGAGATAAAAATTCGATTAAGCAGAATAAAGCAGATAATAACTTATGCAAGTAATTTAAGAAAAAGAAGAATAAATAGAATAGCATATGCAGTCCTTCTAATCAATTCTCAAAGATGAATTAAAAGAAGAGTTAACCAAGATTAGAAATCAAGAGAGATAGAAAATTGAATTACAACTTTAACAAAATTAACCATATAATGAATCTAATTTAATTCAAAAACTCAAAGAATAACATGAAGTCGAAAAATAGTAATTAATTTAAGAGTTTTTAAGAAGAATTGATTAATTATTATAAAGTAATGTTTAGAAATACCCAGAAGGGGAAAATTGGAAGGAACTAATTTTAAGATATGAAAAACAGAGATAAAACGAGCTTTATGAGTTAAGACAACATTTAGAAATATTATAAAGATCATAAATTTAAACTAAAGATATAGAATTTTATGCTGAAAGAAGGGCATATGAAAATGCTATTAACGAATTAAAAAATAGAATTTAATAAGATGATCCATAAGAGTTATATGATACTATTGAATATTAAAGAAAGGTCATTTTAGATTTAGAGGATTAGGTCGGGTTCTTATAAAATGAAAGAAACAATCTCGAAATGCATATAATGCAACTTAATTAATAAATTGATCAGCTCAAGGATAATATATCTAGATATTAAATGCAATCTGACAATAGAAAAAGATAGAGAGCTGAAGTCCTTGAGGCCATTGAAGAAATGAAACGAGAAAGAGCTCGCGAAAGAGAATCCTACAAATCTCCTCATAGATAAATGAGATAGAGTTAAAATAGATCTTCATGGGATAGATACCCTAAAGATTATTTAAGACCTTCAAATATTTAATAACCATCATAATTCCAAGAGCATAGTTCTCCTATGCAAAGGATACCATTCTAGCAATCATAATTTGTGTCTCCTCAACAAGAAAATAGAGACATAGTATTAAAATTACAAGAATTAGATGAAGTGAAACATAAATATCAAAATGCACTAAATAATATTTTGTAGTTAGAGGCTTAAGTGATAGAGAAACTATAACAAGATGATATTTAGATAGAATGAGAATTAATTATAAGAATTATCTTCACTAATAAATTAATATAATTCTAATTGTTAATTCTCTTTAGGTGTTAACGTAATTAAATTACTATTTATAACTCTCTTCTAAAGTTTTCGTCCCCTAATAAAAAAATACATCTAATAAAATTATATTATTATTTATTATTTCCAATTAAATTGAATTATTAATAATTGCTCATGATGGAATGTTATATTTTTTATCTAATTCTACATTATAAAGCTTCCTTAGAAATCTATATTTTTCAAATGTGTATCCTCCAAACAGAACAAATGCTGGGGCTAACATGAAAACTGCATAAAATCCTTTTTTATTTCTAAGATTTGTCTTGAAATAACAGTATCCCAAGCCCCCTATTGCAGTTATTTCAATTATTCCAGCCTTTCATAATTACAGAAGAAATACATTTTTTACTACTTTTCTGTTTTCTTCTTATATATACTCATAATCTAATTAGGTTAAATCCGGATGGAAAAGCACTTTTTCATAAATGGTTAAATCCTTACTATTTTTAATCTTATCATTATAAAGCCTCCTTTTAATATTAAGAATTAAGAATACTTATAAACTCTATATGAAGATAATTTTTCAGTAGTTAATTCTTTATTATATTTTAGTTTAGTATATACTAGTAAATGAGATTAGAAATCAGGTTTAGTCCAAAGCTTGGCTTTCTAGGCTTCAAATTTTAAGACATCCTTATAATAAAGTTTGTCATCTTCATCGATTTCATAATGAGCTTCTTATTCCATGATTTCATTTAATGATATCTTCGAGTCCTTATCAGATTCTTCTTAAATTTTACTATTTGTATTCTCTTTTCCAGTTACCTTTTCAAGGAGTCTTCTCATTTTTATTAATAATTCTTAAATTAATAATAAAATTTTTTCCTCAATTATTTTTTATAAAATAGCTTTCATAAATTAAAATAAATCATTAATTTGTAATGAGGATTAATTTAGATCTAAACTTGATTTATCTAATGAATGATGAATGGAAATACAGTCATTAATAACTGTCTAATTAAAATTTATATTAAAAACCTTCATAGAATATATTTGTTTGAAAGAAATCATTTATATAATTAAAAATCTAAAATAAATCTCAATTTAAATTGAATCATTTTGTAGTAGGATAAATTCATTTGAGCATTTATTTAATATCTGCGATTATGTTCAGCTAAAATATTGAAAAGTATTACATTTAAATCTCTGTAATTATCTTGATCTAAAAATTCATGAAGTAAATATAGGACATTTATCAATGTTTAATGGTCAACAATTTATGTTTAGTATATTTTCTATAAATATATAGCTTGATCCTCGCTTATCACAAAATGCTAACGTAGCCAAAAAATCATCTCCTCATAATTCAAATTAATTTTATCTTTATTATGAATCATTATTTTACTAACATTTTTGTTTAGAATTGAGGTGACATTTAAGGTAATCTTAAATTAATATTTGGCATCTTTCGAATTCTGACTTTTTACAATATTCAAAAATTAACTTCTTAAAATTTGAGAACCCATTATATCCTTCTGAAGCTGTAGAGATATTTTTTGACTATAATATTTTTTCTGGCAAACATTTTACAGGAATGTTGAGCCTTTAGAAATTTTATTATAGTGATCGTTAATTCATAATAATAATTTATAGTTTTAATTAAATAAATTATTGCTCAATAATTTATCAAACATTATATAAGTTTTGCAATAAATTCAAATTCTTTTTGATGGTCATTTAAAAAATGAAATTATATTAGTTTAAATATCACAATTAATAATTGTATTTAATTTTTTATAGAATCGCTTCTTAAATTTATAAAACATTAACTAGTTAATGTTGTATAATAATGTACATTTTAAATCTATCATTTTTTTCCCTTTTGTTTACCTGCAGTTTTGGCAGCTGCCTTTTAAGCTGCTTTGGTTTCAGCTTTTTGTGCAACCTTTTATGTACTTGTTACTCCTTTTCTCTATGATTTCTAAGCATCAATTTATTTTTGTTTTCTATCCTTAATTTCTCTTGCTGCTTATTCTGCTTAGGCCTTTCTTGTTTCTAAATTTAAAATAAAATTTTACTTTCATCTTCCTTTCTTCTTCTACGAATTTCTTCTAATGAAATACCAACAATAGCTCTTTAAACTTTAAGGTTTCTAATTCTTCTTTTCTTTGCACCTTCATCAGTTTTAATTTTCTTGTTTAATCTTCTCCAAGCAACAGTCCATTAAATTTCTTGGCTTTTAATCTAAATGATAATGCATATTATTACTTTTCTAGCAGAGAATGCTCTACTCTTTTAGTTTAAGTAGTAAAATAATCTGCCATCCTTAGCCACAAATCTTCTTCCATGTCCAGGGTAAATACGCCATTCGCTAAATGAGCACAAATCAGTCTTAATAACCATTTTAAATAAAAATAAAAATCTTTTTAATAAAATTAATTGTTTTTAGCAATATGTAATTTATATCAAAGCTATAGAAATGAGTATTCAAAAATGTGAAATAAAATACTTATGTGCAAGTTTCGAAATATGCTGCTGTTTAATAAATATTTAATAAAAGAAGTCTAATATAAATTATTTAAAGAAATTTTTATTTTAATAATTAAAGTCTCAATTATTTCATAATTAAATCAATTAACTAAAGACCAAAATATTAATAACTCATCAGCTCCTAATGAACACAGTTAACTTTGATCTGTTGAAGTAGCTATTCTAAGAACTTTGTCTTAATGTCGATTCATAATTATGTTACCGTTGTAGCACTTATTCCCAGCACAATAAAGCAATTAAGTATTTGTACTTACTATTTGAGTAATTGCAAAATCAACACTCAAACGATGAGGATTATATTCTCCTTCAGTATTCCAAATAGTGATTGTCTAATCTTATCCACCAGCGCATAAATAATTTTATTTTCTTTTATCCCAAGTTAGAGCTCTACCATCTTAGTTATATTGGGCAATTAAGATTTAAGGTTTACGAATGTCATATATGCATACTTTATTTGGAGATCCTGCAGCTAGGATGTTGTCATTTAAACTGACAGAATAGATATCAACCATTGTTCCAATCCTATAAATATACTTATTTTATCTGAGATCAATGTAAAGTATTCCATTATTTACTGTTGCACAACACAAAATGCAATCATTAAAACAAATCATTCTTGTAATATCATTTAGCTGGTAGGATTGCAATAGCTATTTCTGATCAGAATCAATAACAATAAGGTCACCGTTAGAAGTACTGTATACAATAAGTTCACCTTAAGAGCAAAGACTAGTTAATATCCCATCTTCTAATTGAGTTAATAATTATGTGATTCCAGTTTTAAAATTACGTGCGAACAAATTCTCTTTTAATCCTAAGAATATGATTTCTTATGATGACCAATCTAATAGTTAATACTCAGAATTTTGAGTAACATTAGGGGCATCCAGTAATTTGAGCGGTTAAATTTCTTTAAATTATTTCTTGTTTTTTGATGTTGGATTAGTTTAATTCAATAATAGTTATCCGTAAACAGTTTCAGGTTGATCATATAATAACAAATTATTAACTTTTTTAATCCCTCTTTCGCTTGAATTTAAATAATAATTTTTCATTCTTTAATTTAACAATTTGTAAAATTTTCTATTATAAAATTAATTAATAGTGAGTAAATGAAACTCCTTTTAAAGTTGCAATTTTATAATATCATTTAATTTATTTATAAACAACACTTATCTTAAGATCTTTGCAATAACTAATCCACCTCATATTTACCTAATTTTATTTGTTTATACATTTGATCAATCTAATATATCTCAATCTTTAATCCAGTCGGATAATTAAAATCAAAGCCGCTTTATATTTGTTTAATATCTCAGTTATTCATCCTCTTTCTAACTAATTATTTTATTATTTTAATAAAAATTAATATGTTGTTGAATATATTTGTTTATCAAAAACTTAACAAATAATCGGTATCAACTCCCCAAATTGGTTATCTCTATTTTTAACAACTGTTATTGTTGCTTAAAGACAGTTCAGTAGATGCTTTACTCATCGGAGAGTCATTAGAAATTCTTTATTCTAAAATTTATCTCTAAAGTATTTACTATTTTTTATAGCACTTGATGCTCTATTATACATCTGCTTTAGAATTTTGTTGCATCTTGGTTTTTCAGAATCTTTAAGAAGATCTTTTACTTTGACAAACGAAGTTAAGTCTCTCGATTTATAACTTATCAGCAATTCCGGATTGAGAAGATTTTTACGGTACCAATTATCCATTTCAACACATGAAAATGGGCCTTGAGTTTTAAACAATATTTATACCTTAAATATTATTGCAATTATCTAAGTAGTACCAATTTCTGACGATTAAAGATTGAAAATGAGAATATCTTGAAAAAGAAAACGGACTCATGTTGGTCTTCACCACTGGCCATTCTGTAAAAATATTAATATTTTAGATACTTTAAGGAAAAAAGATTCTTATTTTACCTTGAGAACTCTTTGATTAAACAGATCTTAAAAGTTATGACGAAACTTAAGGAGTTGTATTCTGACTCAGAGCTGACATAAAAATCAGTCCATTTTCATTCACTACAATTTATATTACTGTAATTTACTTTCAGATACATCAGTTACCAAGGGAGGTTGTTATTCTGTAGTAAAGTATTATGGAAAGTCATTCAGTAAGTTTTTTGGTATTAAACAATCAATGTTTTCATAACCAAGTAGTTCTAAAGTTTCTTTCTTGTAATTCATTTTATTATATATAAATATATTTATGTTTTTTATTTGTATAATTATTATGCATAAAATGTAATTTTTCCTAAATTAACTTTTCTGCACAAAATTCTATTACCCTATATTATAACATGCTTACAAAAAATCATATAATTTAATTTAATAAGTGACTTTATTTTTATATTCTTGCTACATAATAACTTAGGTTTTGAAAGGCTGAATAATTGAGACAAATTTAGTGACTTGAACTTATTTGATTCTATTTGGTTAATTTATAGCCTTCTTAATTACTTGAAAGTAACATAATAGTAGATTTGATAATATTGTGATATTTTTATAACGGTTCAAGTTTAAATTCTCATTTTCTCATATTTTCATGTGTTATATATGTTTAAGTTATTCTTTCAATTAATTGCTAAAGATACTGTTGATAGATCGAGATTTTATTACAAAATATCAAATAGGTTAAGAAATTTAATGCAAACCATAACTTTAGTTCGAATTTTAGTAATTTATTCCTCATTTTTTCTTTATGATTAAAATTATTAATACTTTCTTTTTATAAATTATCTTCTGATTTTGATATTAGACTATTAGCAGCTCAATCAAGGAAGATTAATAACCTTAAAGATAATAAGCAAGTTTATAAACAAAGAATGTGTTAAACTTGTGAAGAAAAAATAAATTTTTATTTATTAATGTTTGGGATTATTAAGTATTCTTTACTTTTTTTAATTATGTATATATCTAGAATTAAATAGATGTGGAATAACTATAATTAGAGATAGAGAATTAGCTGATAATGAGTTGGAATACTATAAATAAATGAATTATGGATTATGGACAATCCTAATTCCTTTTCTGTAATGGAATTATTTAATTTAGAGCTTTATTGTTACCAGTATTTTCTTAAAAGGCAAGAAATAGGTTTGATGAGGATAAACCATAGAACTTAAGTGTCAAAAAGGAAGAATTAGAATAACCGAATATAAGTTAAAATAACAATTAAGATCATAACTTAATGAAAAAGGAAGAATTTGTTTAAACAGATTTTGCAACAGATTAAAATTGCGAAATGGCTACATAAGAAAACAAAGGAGATGCGAATGGAAGAGGTTAAGATCATATCTACACAGATTTTCATTAGAATATTTTAACAGAACATTATGAGGATAATGAAAAATTGTAAATAGAAAATAGTTAGGAATTGATTTTCCAATAAAAAAGTGAACAAATTATAGTAGATGAAAAGTAGAATGATGAATTTGTCTTGAATAATTTAAGTGATATATCTCATAAAAATATGCTTTCTTGCAATGACACTGAAAGAGAATCTGTTAATCTAACTTCAAATTCTAAAATCTTTCATACTTATTCTAATAGCTATCAAATCAAAGATTTCAATCAAAGTCAAGAATAGAGTCATGAGAAATTATTTAAGATTTCTAAAATCTTAGAAATCATAGATGCTGTGCCAGTTATTGTTTTAAAGAAATATGAAGAGTTTGTTTCAAATAATAGAAAGGAAAGAAGAAATTTAATTTATAAAGATTTTAATAATTTTACAGATATTGATGCCCAGAATTATATTAAACTACTTAAGAACTTATTCAAATTTCATGATAATTTGATTAGAAAAGGGTAAAAATATTACATTCTAAAAAACAAAATGGATTATAAGCACTTTATTAAATCATTCAATAAATATTTATTAGATCCTCTAGCTTCAAATGAAATTTTAAGTCACCAGCGATTTGCCCTATAATAATTAAGATTTTCTTTATAAAATAGTTAGGTGCTGCTGCAATATTAAGTGCTAGAAATTTATCAAATTCTAATTAATTTAATGTCTAACCCAAATGAAGTTCTTAATAAAGTGTTCTCCTAATTTCATAATAAATCAGAATCATTATATTTAAATTCGATATTATAATATTATTTGGAAGACTATGTATATTATCATAAGAAGGTGGAGGATGAGGACTTTCAAAGATACTTAAGTAAGAATATCTCCATAATATTAGAAATCTATCATAACTGTAACGAAATTATCAATCTTTAATATAGTCTTGATGAAAAGATGAATTAATATATTTTTTAATAATAAAGACTTTTAAACTAGAATTGAGATGAAAATTTTTGTAAATTATTGTTTCCATATATGATTATAATACAATTAGATATTTGAAATAATGTATCTGACTTTCTCAACATAATCATAAAATATGCAGATTAAGTTTTGTTATAAGTTTTGAGGCATATTCAAGCCCAGTTTAATCCTTAAGACATTAGAAAAAGTAGGTTTTTTCATAGTATTTATTTAATGTTTTTGAAATCTGATATTTTGCTATTAAGAAAATATAATGATTTTTAATATATTATCATTCATTGCAATACTTTAAGGAGCCATTCAAATTAGTGATTTATCCTATATTTTCTATCAATCAAATAAGATTTAGCTAACCTTGCATGATTTTGAAACCCTCAAACTCATACTGTCATTTCCATGGTAAGAAGCCATAATATTTCAAAGGATTATCAAACCAATATGGGGATTTTGTTCTGATATTTTTCCCATCGCAAAATATAAAAGAAAACCTTATTTGTTTATTTTTGCGATTATTTGCTTTTTGCTAGAAACTTTTATGGCAGTAAGCGATGTTGATCGGAAAACGGCATTCGTTATAATATTTCTAATTCAACTGTGCATCGTATTTTGCAATGTGATAGCAGAGGCAGTGCTTGTTGAATAAAGTCACGAAGTGAATACAAGCCGGAATGTAGCTTTGTTTTTTGGAATGAGAGCAGTTGGAGGATATCTCTATACCTACATTGCATTCAATTTTCCTATTCATAGAAATAGTATAATAGCTAGATTTATAAGATTTTTAGGTCTTATCTTTGTTTCCATTATTAATTGCGATTTTATCTGTGTTCCTTCCAGAATAACAAATGGTGGATGAGATAAAAATGAAACAATTAAGAGCCAACTTACAAAAGTTCATTTTGGATCCAGTTATCTATAGGCCATTATTGTTTATATTTTTTTTCATGGCTACTCCTTCGCCTGCAACTTCAATGTTCTATTTTTACATAAATCAACTGAAGTTAAATGATGAATTTTTCATTACTCTAAGATACACGTATAGCTTTTGCACCATCATGGCTGTGACTGTCTATTATTTATTCAGAAGATACCCGTTTGGACAATTCTTGTCTGTATCAAATATGCTTTATTTCTTTGCATCCTTCCTATCATTGCTTTTAGTTACAAGAATCAACATCGAATACAACATCCCAGATTATTAATTTTGTATGTGGGATAATATTTTAATGTAGACCCTATAAGAGATCAACACTCTGCCAGTTCTGGTTTTGGGAGCCAAGATGTGTCCCAAGAATTTGGAAGGTATAGAGTTTTCCATCTATGAATTAAGGAACTGTGTACAGTTTATTGACTGGGACCATGAATTTGGGGAACACCATTTCAAAGTAAATAGGAATAGTTCTGACTTTCTATCTGGGCATAACGAATCAGAACTTTACTCATTTGTGGCTTCTGATTCTGATTTGTACTGTAGGGTCCTTGTTGCCAATGCCATTTATTGGGGCTGTGAATGAAGAGGAGGTGGATCAAAAGAAAAAAAGTCTTGCAAAGGATGATATTCATATTAAAGTAGAATGATTAATAAAGATTATTAAAATATGTTGTATATAATAAGGATACAATTGATTCAGTGATTAAATAAGTTAGATCATTTAGATTTCTTAATGTTCGCAATGGCTTACTCTACAATCTGAAGGAGCTCATCAAATTTATTAGTTTTGGCAATTTCAAGTGCTTGGGATAGATTGATTTGAGATTAAAACAATTAACCCAGATGTTCCCACTCAACTCCATAATTATAGTACATAATGCAGATCAGTTTGAGGAATGGCTTTTAATCCTGAATTTGATTGATGAAATGTTGAATGGCATTCAATTCATTCAGAGCTTGTGTATGTTGGCCAGCTGTAGACAAAATAGTCACTAAACTCATACGACTGGACACGACGCTTATTTAATCTCTGGGTTCTATTTTCTATTCCAACTCCAACACATATTTGATAGTCTTAACAGCCACATGATAATTTTATTAGACTTTATATTGTTAGGCAATATATTTAAGCAACTGTATTTCGTATTTGATGTAGGTATTTCTATCTAAGATCTTTTGCATGGCTTTGTGAGACAATAAGTCAAAAGCCTTTGATAGTATGAAGGGATCCTCGGAGTTCAAGTTCTTGATGTAATCAAAAAATAACTCATCAAATTGAAATGGCAACTGCTCAAGTAGTACTTTGACTGGGTATTCTGATTTGTTTTCCTGAATATACACTAAGCAAAGCATAATTATTTTTTCTCTAAAAAGAGGATTCCTCAAATTGTAAACGTGTTAAATGGTCTGCAATAACTTATTTTATTACATTTTTAATGTAAAAGGGAAATAATAAGCTCAAACTTTTAACAGATTTGATAAGTGAATAGATCCATTGAAGCCTATCTGGTGACCCAAAGTGATACTCACAATACAGAATTAAGAATTAACACTAAGTCTGAATATACTTCTGACTCAGAAGAGCGAATGGCATTATCTTGGGATTTGATGGATCTGCAGGAAAACAATGAATCACTTCTAATATTGCTTATTTATGGACAGATTCAAGATACTGTTTGTAAGCTGCACAACAATTAGAAGAGGATGGGAATTACTGAAAATAGAAACTGAGTATCTTTCAACAAAGGTCGAATATGCAAAGTTGAAATTTGATAGGAAAAAGAATAAGTTGCAATCCCTTCTTGTTCAGCAATAGTATTATTACCATACTATGTCCATGAAGGACCTCATGGAATTGATAAATACAGAGCTGAAGTATTTCAGTTTGGCATGATCGTATCTAATGGTAAAATGGACTCCTTATTCAACCCTAGAGCCTGGGTATTATGAAGTATTTCAGTTTGGCATTAGAATCGAGAATCTGATTCTCTGTGATTAAGTCAATATCCAATTCTTTGGATTTGAGAACTTAAACTATTGTCCAAATGGCAGAACCTATTCAATTTAAATTTATTGAGTCCTAGAGACAGACAATATATCGACTAGGATCATAAACTTGTTAGGAATACATTATTGCCTTTGAATGGAAGAACAAAGAGCCAAAGATTGGTTACTGAGACCGACAAAATCATAATGATTAATATGTAATAATATAAGATTTTCAACTTTATTCTATCATATTTTGTAGTTTGTAATTTATTTAATCTTGATAGGGCACCCTTGAAAATTTGAGTTTCAGTATTTATTCTTTCTCAAAAAATAGATAAAGTCTGAGTATGGAAGGGTTATTCTCATCCTAATATAATTTATAATCTCTAATGGAATTCACTTGTTGTTGCCATTTAATACCACTCTGTTTGTTCATGTAGAACAATAGGGTTTGTGTTATGACTAAATGCATATCTTTTTTCATCTCCAAATCGTATAACCCAAAAACATCAATCAAAACTATGTTGTAATTGCTCAAGTAGTTTAAAAAGAAGGAATCATCTTCATTATAGGCCTTGATGTATCGACTATTCTCATAAAATGCCCGAATGTGTCTCATCCTCAATGTATTGGGATGGTCATCAAAATAAGTGGCTGTATTAGTTAATCCTTCAGCAGTCTTAGAGGCTGCGTCGAAAACACTTGTCAGAGGTTTGATGATGACTCCAGCAATTCCAATGGTTGATCCTTTCAATATCCCAGCAGCTCCATCTCTTTTGCCATGTTAGTAAGGATGTGAGAAGAATCCCACCACTCCATCTCCTATTCCAGTTATCAAGGCATGAATTCCCAAATAGATTCCTTCGAATAATTGTGATGGTTTTCTTTACATAAACTTCCTTCTTGATGAAATATAATCTTCATCAAATGACAGTAGACTTATTTAGTTCCCAATGCTTCCTGTAATTTTGTTTACACTATAAAATGCTCCAGCTACTGTATTTTTTATAAGTGAGGATGCTCCTTCCAACACTCCCAAACCCATCTCCAAAGGACCTAAAGACATGGCTTCTATTGGTTTCTCTATTAAATCAACTACTCCAGTTGAAATTCGATTCAAAAAGGAAGTAGGGTTTCCAAGAATCTCAATTGAGCCTAAAATCTATAAGAACTATTTTAATAATGCAAATTTATAGTGTTCTTTGATTATTGTCAAAAGACCCTATTAGGTATCAAAAATGTTTTCCATTTTAACACCCTTCAATGTTATCGGGGCATTATCAATATTCTTGACAGCAAAATCTAATGAATTAGCAATCACATTCAAGATGAAATTTTGGTTCTGTTGATACAGTGTTTAAAAGGAGAATCTGATTTTCAATACTGGGAGTATCAATTATTTCATGTAGACATTCCCTGATGGAGGAGGAATCTCAACAATCATCCATTCATAAAAGGGATTTTAAGATGTTTGGTATGATTTAATCTGACTGAATAAGTATTTGGATGTTGCAAAATGTGAGATGTTGACTTCTTACTTCTCAAATGTCAATGCTTTTTTAAGTGCCATTAATTAATAGAGATATTCTTAATCTAATTTAAGTTCCAATGGAGCTATGTAAGCAAAGAAATACTCGATCATCAATATGTTTGCATGTTATTGATTGACTGCCCATTTGATATCAATAGCATAATTCTAATGTTCCAAATAACTTTAAAACTGTTAAGGTGTCAACAACACTTAATTTAGAGCATCATAAGAGTAATTATTGTCGATGTTGATGAATTTCACTTTAAATTGATATGAAATAATTCGATTGATTTCCTGAATGCCCACTTCGAAATTACTTAGAGTGATCAAATTCAGCTCTTTGGGTTTAACTTCATTCATGATAATGCTTATGGTGATCATTTACAAATTAATGTAGATTAGTTTATTGATTTAATCACTAATGAATTATTGCTCTTGCTTCTCCATTAGCTTAATGACTTTGACGCTGTTCTCAAAATAGATGCTGAAGTAGATGCTTTTGGTGGCACTGATCTTCTAACAAAAAGTAGAGTCGGATTTAAATAAATCAAATTGAAATTCGCAATGATCTTAATCGTTTGTCACATTGAATATCAGAATAGGTTTCAAAGAAGGAAAGGTCCAAGAAAATTCGATGAATTAATTGTACCCTATGTTCTCTTCTTATTCTGAGCCAATCTAGGAAAATCGGATTGAACAATTCGGACATTGATTAATTATTTTATACGGAGCTTGTTCGGTGAGGAAAGTTACAAAGAAGGTGGCTTTCTTTTTCACAATCACACATTGCATAAATGTTTTGGACTTATCTTCTTGCCTTGGGAGCATGCTGAAATGAATGGTTCTCATGTCTGAAAGATACAATCCCTCACTCCATTTGGTGTTTTTGAATTTGATGGCGATCATTTTCCTAAAAGATAAATGAAATTTGAATAAATACTCTTTTGTACAATCAGCCCAATTGAATGCCAATCTGGAATTGGGTTCTATATTGAATGGACTGCCATAAGAATCCTGTTGCTACACTTGCATCACATTCTCAGTCTGATTGATGATGACATATCTGGGGGCGATCTCAATGATTGTACTATACAGTCCCAATTGCTTAACGGTCTCTAGGAGACTGATGTTGATGCCAAATTCGAGCAGTTCAAATTGCTGTTATTTCCTGACCTTGATTTCAGCACTGGTGTCACCTATCGCCTTGATGGTGAATTCATTGGAGTAGTGATTGTTGTAAGACAGGATTAGGTTGGCCTCATTAAATAAGAATGTGTAATTGTTATTGAAGAGGGCGATGTCTTACCTTTGATTCTTAGCAAGAGTATGATAATTGAGATTTGTTGAGGTAGTATTGATCAGGCATATTTTAGGATAGAAGTAAAAAAACAAAGATCCTTTAATTAATGTGATCTTTTACATAATTTTAATGATACTACCTTCTTCATTAACCAATTATATTTCAGTTTATTGATTTGAATCATGTGGCTAATATTTAAATACTTCCTTAGATTGGAATTCTAATAACTCAACAGAATAGTCGATCTAATTCTTAGAAGTGTAATAGTAGAATTGCAAGGAGTCATTCACAGCAATGCTTTGTTGTTCTTCACTAGAATTATTAACTTATATTACTTAATGGTGATATTGAGTGGACAGGGTAATGAGTTATGAATGACGAGACAGGCAGTCAGTTTCAAATGTCTGGTGTTTTGAAATTCATCTTCCGAACTTAGAATAACGAATTGGTCACCCTGAGGGATTTCTAGATAGGTGAATTCAGAATGTAGGAGGGCCTTCAAACTAACAGAAAATTCTGAGATTCTCTTGTAAAGAGTGAACCGAATGAAGTATTGATCTGAGATGAGTTCCCCAGGAGGTGCAACTCTTTCATTTACTTAAAGCAATTTACTCCAAATGACATTATTATGATGAATGATATCAATCTATTATTCAAAGACTGTGCAATTTGAGACAGTTAATTGCCCTTGGATTTTGATGATCCTGGTTAATTTGCTAATGTAGGATGTAAAGTACAGAAAACATTATTGCCTGTCAATTTTGAAAGGTTGTTGTGAATTCTATTCAACTTTGTTGAGTTTGATTAATTTCTTGCTTAGAGTGTAGAATTCGACATTGAGTCTGTTGTATTTTCTCCAGATATCAATTTGACTCAATTTGGCATTGATATCAGTTTTATTGCCATTTTTAATAGTGAGTGTTTGTTCATCGATGGTGATGCTTAGATCGTATCCACTTTGGTTTTGGATGTTGAAAAGGATGATGGTTTCATTTTGTGGTGATTCCATGATTTCTTGGATGTTGATGGATTTTCTGGTGCTTTTTTTGCGTTCCTTCTTTTTTTTATTGACATGATACAGATCATTTAGGAGTATGATAAGGTTCTAATGGAAGACGATATTTAATTGGGAGAACTTACTATTTTTGTTGGTTTCAATTTGAAGATGCATATTGGGTGGGTTGAGTTTGTTTCTGAGGAACATGAGATCGAAGGAAAACTTCTCAAGGATTGGTTCAAGAATGCCTATCATGGGATTGAAATAGGAGGCCTCAACTTTGACATTTCCCGAGAGTAGCATCTTTTAGTACGATTGGTGGAGGATGAGTGGAGTGGACGAGATGCAAGTAGTAAGGATGGGAACAATGGTGTCTTTCTTAGAACTCATCAACCAGAGTTCGAGGTGATCGATGTTAAAGGATTTGCGACTCTGGGATATGAGGGAATATCGTTCATTCCATTAGTCTCCGAATTGATTAGCATCCCACATTGACTAGATGAGATGCTTAATCAGATCAACTAGTTTGAGTCCTTGTTCGATGGTTAGATATAACTTAAGGTTCTCAAGGTTGAGATTGGACTCATTGAGGAATTGATGGGTTTGAGCACAATAGCATTGGAAATTCTGGGATTTCCATTGGACAGAAATGGGTTGGAACACTTCCTTTGGTTCTTTGCCGTTTTCATTGACATATAGTGTAAGTTAACTGGATTCGATTTTCATGCAACTACTGGGAGTGTTATCATCAAAGACTGGTTCTGAGTGGTATGCGTAATGGATATCCTGAGATTGGTTTTTGATGAAGACCAAGAGCAAATTGCCTTTGGCTTGGAATGTGGTGTCTGGATGCAAGGGTTGGAGGAGTACATCAGCTTTTTGAATGATGAGTTCTAGATTTAAGGGTTTGAGCACATTGTTATCAAAGGGGAGGATCAATTGGACTGTGTCGTCAATCAAGAAGAAGTTAATGGCAGTGAAGAGCCAATTGAGATTAAGAGTGCCACTGACTCCTGGGATGAGTATTTGGATATCCTTCTATCCAGTCTACTTGTTGGTTTGTTTGTATTCTGCAAAGTACTGATCATCGACATCCAGTTTGGACAGTATTAAGTGTTATTTGTGATAGGCCACAAAATCCAAAAGGTTGAGGGATATTTGGGATTGATCGATCTAACGATGAAAGCGTATAAGGAGTTGACTGCCTATGAGTGCCAAGTCATCTTCACATTTGAGATTGACTTGATCCATCCTGAGTTCTAGGAGAATAGGGGCTTTCATTAATTTAATTAATTACTAGGTTTGTTAATTTGATAAAGATACATCTAATCCAGAGTATCATCATAAAGTATATTATTAAAGAGTAATCGCATTATTAGTAAATACGTTTTCTTGGAAACATAAAGTTTAGGAGCAGAAAGTTACATGTTAATCTTGAAAGTGCGATCTAATGGAATCTATTTAAGAATATACAACTAAGAGAACCCACATTTGCTGACGATCAATTCACAATTCATCATCTAAGAAATCACTGTCTCTCCTCCATCACCAATCACACTTATCAGAATTTCCCTTACTTCCATACACAACAGAGTCTCCCATATCATCTAAGTGCTTCTCTCGTTGCATTCCCTTATATCAGTATGAAGAGCAAAGGAAGAGCAAACCAATTTCAATCCTTCCTCACTAGTACTAATGGGCTTACAAAATGCACAAATATCCTCTATGCTCAATTTAATCGATGTGAATCTATGATCTCTCAGTTTCTACTCAATCACCTCCAAAGGAATCGAAGTTACTCCGTAGTCCTTGATAATCAAAGATATGAATTGTTCAATCAACCAATCCATGAATCTTAGAAATGGCTATTGCATATAATGAATCTATCCCTTCTTTAATTTAATCTCCACAAAATTGTAGAGATCATTATTAATCATCTGTAATGGACAATAATCATCATAGATCTTTATCAATATCGCCAACTCCTCGCTCCTTATCATCGGAAATCCCTTCTTTACAACCATCTAATGGGGATAATTGGATTGTTCACAATAACACAAGTCTCTCCCCTCAATTATTACGTCCCCAATGTATTTGCTTACTTTTATAAACACTGCTATGTCGAATCCCTACAACATACCCAAAGGAGTATAATTGTTCTGACAATACAATTTAATGCTCTTCACCTCTATTGATATGGCCAAAGAGTCTGGATTCTCCATGTCTGTCTACCTTATCTGTTGTTTCTCAGGCATTTTGATAAATTACAATGCAAAATCAATCCCACCGTAGATGAATGAGTGTATCACCTTTGCATTCCAATGACAAACTCCCTTGTCTACTGATATCCTTACCAATGGTTTATTGTATACATTTTTAGATATATTCAGACCTATCTTGCAAAACTTAACCAATTTTTACATCTTCTGATTCGTTGTATCCTTTATGAATACACACTCCAAAGATGTCTACACTGCTTCCTTCTCTAAATTCACATCCCATCTCACCTTTTCTATGCACAACCAAGCAAAACTCTACTCTTTGTAATTGAATTTCAAATTTAACTCGCCCAACTCCCCACTTATTAAATTCTGCCTATTCTTTATCTCGCATTTTAATTGCATCATTTTAACTATCAAGACATTCACAAAATTAATCTCCACATCATTTATTTCCAACCCAATACTAATTGGAATCGAAACATTGCTTTTTCTACTCTGATCACTTTTCTCCTATCTCTTCGAACCCTATGCCTTCTACACCATCACTCTGATATTCTGAATCTCTGCCTTCAAATGGAGCGAACTCCATTATAACTTCATTATAAAGCAAGAAACAGTAGCCGAGATTATAAAATTATCTATCTGCAATGGTGCCATATCCATATTATCCAATTGCAAATACCCTTAAGTTAGTGCTACCGATATCTGATGCTCATTTAGATCAGGAACAAATGACTTAAGTTTCTTTAATATGTACTTTCGAACTAATTGTTGCATATAATTAAAATAATTAAAATTAATTGATTATTATAGCTAATATTTTACAAGCCCATTCCTCAAACCCCTCCCTCTCTTTATATATCACTCTGAAAGAGTAAATTTATTAATTAAATAAAATATAATTATAAATAATTAACGATCAAATCAATGGAAAACGAAAGCTACTTCAAGACTGTCACCTCTCTACAATCCAATCGCTCAGAATACCAACTTAGCAAACCTATCAGATCCTAAGATAAACCTTTGAAGGAATCTGATCTTGCTTTGTACCAAGCTGCCAGAGACAAATGCGCTAATAAATAAACTGAAAAATTATCTACTCCACTATTTTAAGTTACTACTTTAATCACAAATGCAGCTCCACTCCACAAACCTACTGTAAAGACTACTCAATTTAGCAATCAACCAACTAGTGTTTTCGATGTATCCCAATTATTTATACTCTTTAGTTTACTGATAATCGTAAAGAATAGGCTTTTAAACCTCATTGTATCAAGGTTACTGAACCAGGAAACAACTCAGATTTAGTTTACAAGCAACAACTAAAAACATCCAATCTCCCCAGCAGAGAGAATTTGTATCGCAACCCAATTACCAATGGAGATCCCAAGAGTGAATATAATAGAAGCACCAAAACTCCATTTCCGAAAAATCAGATTAACTTTGTTGGATGATTACTTTAAATATATAAAAATAGTATTAATTGGTGTATCAAAATTAATTCACTTAGCAACCGATAATTGACGGTAACGCTTTTATAGTTTTTTCTTCTCTTCCTCCAATGCCAATTTTTAACCCACTTATTGAATCATTGTACTAACCTTCTCTATTCTTGCCAATTTCTCATAATTTCTATTTCTACAATTTTGAACCATCTCCAATTCCTCCTTAACTAAAAATGGAATTTGTATCTTCTCCTTCTCTAAGAGAAACTGCTCTGGATGAAGAATTTCCTTTGTGAGAACAATTTGCTTAGAAGTTTACTTATGCTACCTATTAGTAAAAGAAGAGGGCATGTTGCTTTGAAATGACGAGTTAAAATCAACTTACTACTCAGATTAATTTGACTTTTAAAGCGAATTAATCAATGATATGGCTCTTGATTACCTTCCATTCTAATTGATAGCAGGTGGTAATTTATTTAATTTATTACTTCTATTGGAAATGTGAATAGATCTAAAATTAAAATAAATTGCATACCCTGGTCTTTAGAAAGATGCCTTGTTTTCTTGCCCAGTAATTTTAACTTATTGATTTGATGGTGGACATTATAGATTAGGGATTTCAAAGGAAGTATTTTACAATTCCTATTTATTTATTCTCTAAAATAAATTCATTATTTTATCCTTACTCACTCCCTTCCTGTAGATATTAGCCAATCCAGGAAATAAATTAACTAGATTATCAAAAATCTTAAATATCTACAATGTGGTTTATTTTGTTTAATCAAATTTATTTGAAGCAGATACCAGTATCTCATTTTTAAAACAGGCCACAATTGGCTTTTCTAAAACCCATTGTCTTGATTTCTCATCCATCACTTGTTAAGGTGACAACTTAGCTATCTTTTCCCCATGCCAAACATCATAAATTCTAACCTCCTATTACGCATCCAAAGCAACTGCCAAACCTGTATTACTAACACTCATTCCAATGATTCTCCATAAGCCTTACTTCTATTCTTCAATTTTCATTCTTGTTCCCTTTCTAAATTGGTGAGTTCTTTTGCATAAGACTTTGCATTCTTAGGTATCATAGATATTGACGCTTCCATCATATGATGCTGATACCAATCTATTGTCTTCGCAAAATTTCATAAAAGTACAACTGTATACATGTTTGTCCAGATAACCTTTTTCTTATTCCATAATCAGATCATACACTAATACACTGCCCTATTTCAAACCAATACCTAAATTAATTGAGTTTTTCGATATTGCTAAAGAACTTAAGGGATATAAGATCTAAATTTCAATTATTTATTGCTTCACTTTTTGTTGAATAACAGTTTAGATTTACTATGTATTACAATACTCAGGCAATGCAGATTTGCAGGGATTAGCAAATTTATGTATCTCTAAAATAGTAGTGTTTGTCCATCCAACTACTATTCCAGTAACACATTCCTATTACTTGTAAGCGTTAAAAGTTTTATTTCCACTCTAAAAATTTAGTCTTTCTTTCACAAACTCCACCAGAGCCTTAAATTTTTATTCTGGGTAATCTTCGTCGCTTATCATGAAATTGGAATTCTCGTCATACAATATCTCTTCTACTACTTATACTACTTATGAAGTTTCAATTGATTTTTTATTAGGAGCAACAGATTTCTTCTTCAGATCTACCTTCTCCTCCACTTATGACTCTTTAATATTTTCAGTTTTCATTTTCTCAAGTATTCCATTGTAATTCAATTATTTTTTGACTCCTCTAAATTTCACCTAATACACCAGATCAGTCAGTTCTGTACATTGTACATCAAGAGGTGAACTCTATGTCCCAATATGCTATTGTTATTGTTGAGTTCCAATTTATTGAAATTCTCTGACTCTACCAGACATCTTAGATTAATTTTGCATGGGACTTTGAGGGTCATTGCTATTATTATTATTTGGAACTTGATTCAAACTCTATAAGTTATCTATTTTAATATCTGGAATCCTGAAGACTTTAATACAACCATTGTATTATGCAACTGATACATATTGGCAATACTAACTAATATTTATGTCTACGGGATATTCCCCAATGTAGTTCTTGTCTTTTGACATTGTAATTGTATGATGAAGTTAGATTCTGTTCTCATTCACTCTATATCGATAGATGTACACAGTTGCATCATTATGGTGTATTACTCCAATCCTATATTATATTATTATGCATTTACGCACAAACATTCTTATATTCATCCATAGCCTGTTCCCTGTCACTCAAACACACTTTCAAAATGCGTTTACCATTTGTTTCTTTCTTTGCAATTCTAATCTTTTTGATTAAATCAAGTATCATCAAATTTCCCTGGGAATCCCCTACGGCTACTAGATTATCTGAACTATCGCGACTAATATATGTTAATTAAGGTATTTCAAATATTCCCTAAGGTGGAAGAGTCCTTAAATGTCCTTCATAATTTGGATCATCTCTATACTTTTCAATTTCGAATATTTTATTATAAACTTCATTTAAAATCATGGTGTTCAAAAGCTTGTTTATGAAACTGTTAGGATTGACAAATTAAATACCTGTATGGTTTGGGTAGCCTGTCCTTGAAATTCGATGGATTGCAATATTCCCAACAATTTAACTTATCCATTAATTTTAATATTAATAAATACAATTATAAAAATTTTCGACTTTTATTTTATACTATTTTTTTTACACATCTTTTACCATTTTAAGTTTTTGGATTCAACTCAAATTAAGTTATTGGTGTATTTGACCTCCAATCTTCCAATTTTTTTAAACTCAATTTGAAGTTTGAAAATATCAATGTCCTCTGAATCTTAAAATAGAAGCAGGGCCATTAGATTGCACAATTTCAGAGAGTGATCGAATTTCAATTGAGTTTAGTATGGCGATCATATTGATGAAAGGAGTAGGTACATTTCTGGTGTAGTTACTTAAGTAGAGCAATCGAATCCTGGAAAGGATAATTACGTACAGAATTGAAAATTATATTTAATGTTAAATAAATTCATTGCGATATTTCTTATATTTATGCGTTTATTGGCTTCGCTCTCCTGGAAAAATAGTGTATGGATTTTCAAATTAATACTGTAAATTATTATTCGTATATGGTATGAAAATCTTTGTTGAATGGATTGCATATATTTTAATCTTAGTGGTTGAATTTAAAAGATAAGAAAGGCATAAGTTTGTGCCTTTTAAAGATTTTTTGTTCAATTAATAATATAATATTTTCCTCACTAATGGGTTGTACAGGAACAAAAACAGGAAAATCTGACAGCAAACTAAACTCTCCTTAAAATCGGAGTTCAAATCACGCTGTTTAGAGTGTAAATCTTGCCCATGCTCCGGCAATTTAGGAGACTGAAAAAATTGAGGCTGATTATATTTTCCATGCTTTGGATCCTTTAGTCAGTATTTGTTTTGAGTAACACTGTTAGCATCAAGAAATTATCTAAAAAAAATAGTTTCTAAGAGCAACAATGTTTCTAGGATAGCTAAGGTTTTCAATTGTTCAACTCTGAGTATGTCGGAGAAGTAGGAACTGGAGAGGAATATCAATCAATTGATGCAAATTGTAAGACTTTTGATCTAATGAAAGAAACATTTGAATTTGATTAGTACTTTATCTTACTATTATAACGACAATCGTTTGTATTTGATATAGGAATTTTGCGAAGGTGGGAATCTGCTCTCGTAATTGGATAAGTTTAGTTAGTTACAACAATACACAATGATAGATGTATTCTGTCAGATAATGGCAGGATTACAATATTTACACAATTAAGGGATGGTCCATGGGTATGATTTAAATTCTAAATTTAAGGAATATTCAATTAGATAGCATAGTATTCACTAACAAATCTATGGAGAACATTAAGCTGATTGACTTTGGCATTTCAAGTTAGATGAAATCTCTATGTATGTCTTGGAAACCAAGCGGTAGCATATAAGAGATATCTTTCAAACCGCCAGAGGTTTTTAAGTAATTAACAATGAACAGTCCTTTAACATAGAAGGCTGATATATGGTCAAGTGGGTGCCTACTTTATTTCTTCCTGACATCTCATATGCCATTTTAAGGGCGTGACACACAAGCTGTCAAAACCGCCATACAAAGAGGTGTGGTTAATTTCGATGGGTCAGAGTGGGCTAATATTAATCCTGATATGAAATAATTGGTCTCTAAGATGCTGAGTTCAAATCCTCAATAGAGACCGACAGCTACTGAAGTCATTAATCATTCGATATTTTTAAATAGAACTCGCATAGTAACCAAACCCAATAAATAGCTGTCAAAACATATGAGAGATTTCAAAGTATTTAAATATATTTAGATATATATTAGTAATAATCTCAAATGCAAAATGCTATGTTAAACTACATTGCTGAAAATATGATGTCAGAGTAAGACAAGAAGAAGTTGATGGATGAATTCCAGAAATTTGATTTGAATAAAGATGGATTGTTAACCAAAGATGAATTACTCAAAGTTTATTGTACCATGTTTTCATCTGATCAAGCAGCTCAAGAGGTCGATGCCATCTTTGCCAAGATTGATTAGAATGGGAGTGGCAGAATCGATTATCAAGGTAATATATGTTGTTTAACACAATAGAATTCATCATTGCAACTATTGATCAAAAGAAGTACTTTAATAGAGAGAAATTGTTGTTGCTATTCCAACAGATCGATAGGGATCACAGTGGGCAGTTGAGCAAGTTGGAAGTGAAGAAACTATTGAGAGACATGCAGATTCCTAAGGAGAAATTGGAGAATCTGTCCAAACAATTAGATTAGAATGGGGATGGTCAAATTACTTAAGAAGAGTTCTTATAGATAATGTTGCAGCTGACTTGAAATGAATTATAATATTTTAATTTCTTAGATTTAATTCTATAATTAGAATAAATAATTTGAATGGAGGAACAAGGATAATTGGGTTTTCATTCCTTGTAATGTGGACTCACATTTGGTTAACAATACATTTTTTTGCTTATTTCTTAGATTAATAATTCAATTATTAATTCATTGATTTGATGTTTATCAAATAACACTAACAAAAACTGCAAACACGATCAATATCAAATGCTTCAGGACACTCAAATGGGAGAATGTCTATCATGCCGTCTATGCAAAATAACACTATCAATGCTATTTGGGATATCAACCAAATTGGATAGGAATTGGATTGTCATGATGATCCAATTTTGAATGAAGCCTTAGAGCTAATAACCAACCGACAAGTCAATCAAGCGATTCTCCTTTTAACTCAAAGTAATCTTCAACACTATAATTTATTCTAGTGATAGCAGATGGAAAGAAATATCTAGGCTAGCAATCATAGGTTCAAGTAATCACCAAAGTCACTTTGCTGATTGTTTCTAGTGCCATGTCCATTCTTGAAAACGACCCCGCATCTGCCTTATTGCTCCTCTTGGGATGCGATCAAATGTTTAAAGGATTGACTCCCAAACAACAAGGCTATTTGAGAGTCCAAATTCTCAACGGATTGGGGTGCTATTACAGAAGAGTTGGATAAATGGAAAAAGCCTTAAAAGAACTGGAATGTGCTTTGGCAGTTATTCGAAAATATAACTTAAAAGAGGTTGCAGTTACCCATCTAAATTTATCAGTAGTATTGTCCTTAGTTGAGGAGTACTTATAATTTTATATTAGCAAATAGACATGAAGGTGCCCTGGAGAATGCTAAGAAGGCCGTTGCAGAAAGCCACAAGGAATATTAATTTTATATAAAGAATCATGTATCAATGTAGAACTTTAAATTCCAGCGTTGCGTAAGTGCCCTCTCAATATCCTTTTATAATGTAGGAGTTCAAGAATAGCACTTCTAAAAATACTAATTCGCACTCCAAGCCTATGCCTCAGCCTTCAAAGTGGCCGAGGACAATCTTGGCATTCATCATTACTTGACAATCTAATTGAAGGCCATCTATGAAGAATTTGCCCGTCAATTGGCTATTGCTGAAGCTCAGAAAATCGCCATCACATCACTCAATCACAAATTTCAAATTAGAGCAAATGTCACTAGTCAATATGCCTAAAGTGCCTTAAGAAACCAAAATACTGACACCGCCAAAAAAGTATCTGATAGGTTATTTTAATCAGAAACTAAAAGGTTGGGACACAGTCTCAGACCTCAATCAGCTATAATGACCCAATCTTAAGCACCTAAATTAAAAGCATTTGAAATTACAAAAAAAGAAGCTTTCACCATTAAAAAATAGATGTCAGCTACCAATAGAACTTTAAATCAAGTAAGTGAAGAGAATTTAAAGACAGATACTGAAATTGCTGAAAAGGCTAAGGTATTACAATAAGACATTGAAAATCTCAAAATTGTAAATCTTATATCCATATCCATAGTTAGCATAGAAGGAATAGGAAGAATTAAAATTCATTTAGGATTAGAAGCAGAGAGAACTACAAAAATTAGAAGCCTTTCGCTATATGAATCAATAAATTCAACAACAGAAATTACAGAAGAATACTCCTCAGACCTCTAGAGAGATCAAAAAATCATCCGAATAATAAAAATAAATATTTAATACTGATCCTTTCATTTAAGAGCAATTAGATGATAGTGAACCCTAACCTTTGGTTGCTGTTCAAACTGTAAACAATAGAGAATCCAAAACAGATGAAGAAGAGGAACATTATCTTACGACTGAGAAATTCAATGAGAAAATTAAAAATGAAATCAATTAAGACTACGATAAAAAGAGATCTTCAATGACCAGAGATGAAACATTATAAAGCTTTACTAAAAAATTAGATTATGATTAGGAATCTTCAAGCAAAAATAATTTTGGATAACAAAACATATCTTGTAAATAAATTGATGATCTCGAGGAAATTGTTGAAGACGTTAATGAAGTCAATCTACAATAGAATTAACAAATAGTTGAGAATAAAGTTGATTAAATCATTCAGTAAACTGCCAACAAATTAGATGAGGAATAAAGGCTTTAACATATTATTATGATCTAAAAACAATGGAGATCTAGCAATAGTAAATTGAAATCTAGAATCTAAAAAATACAATCTAAATATTAAGAAGCAATTGATCATCATTATATTAAAATTAAAGATTAAAACAACAATCTCATGCATAATGGATACTTATTCATAGCTTGGAATTCACAAGAACAAACATAAATAGATTTGATATTTTACGATCTATTCACCTTAAGAAAATCAAGGAGGAAAAGCAATGACATCTCACAGAAATTGGATCATATTTTCATACTAAGTTTAAATTCCACTTTTCAACTCAACAAACAATAAATTATTCAACTTCAGGATGAACTCCAACCCTTTTTTATCGTAACCTCTTCTCAATTTAGTCTTTCCTCAATGGATCCTTTCATACAATTTAAAGACAAAAATAGCGATAATTAAATTCGATTTGATTTTAATTTATTGAAGTTGGAATAAATACTCCCGAAACTAGAGGAATAGCAATTAAATTATAACACTCCTATTACAATAGCGGATATACAATAATTTAATTCAGATTCAATAGTAGTTTAGAAGGCTGCTCATACAAACCCAGATTAAATATTTACCAAAGTAGAACCCTTTTAAGATGTGCCATTGGTATAAGAATAGATAGATGAAGAAGAATTTGTCTAAAATAATTAAAACAGCCAGGCTGGATCAGTGAAGAAGGAGTAAATTGAAGAAGAATAACATTAAAATAGTGAAGGAGATGTAGAAAAAGAAAATTCCAATGATGAGAGAATTAATCAAACTGGCCAATTCAATAATAATTTATTTTCATCCTAAGGGATTTTATCAGAATTTGATAAAAACGAAGATGAAAATTAAAAATAAAAATAAACTTAATAAACTGAAGTAAACTAAAATTTGGATTTCACTCTATAATTAAATTAGATGAGTGCTAATAATTCTATGGTAGGATCAAACAATATTGGGGAAGCAGACAATTGCAATTAATAATAATAATCAGTCCTACAAAATAACATTCCAAATGGAAATAAAGAAAAGGTGTCAGCTAATAATACCATCATTGAAGAAGATGAGGATGAAAAAAAAGAACATGAAGTCAATGAAATTCAATAATAAGAAGAAAGTACAGAGTAAAATAATAAGAAATTTTTTAACGCAACTCATAATTTGGCATCAAAAAATGAAATTTCCCACAATAATATCGAAGATGATAAGAAATCAGATCCATAAAGTTAACAATCTGAATCTTAAATGGGTAGCTAGACTTCTATAGGCTAAAAGCATTAAACTTAGACTTTGGCTGTACCAAATGACGATAAAAAAATGTTTGCTAAGTAAGTAAGTTTGCAATTACCAGATTTAATGAAAGATGATATTAGTTAACATTCAGATGATGAAAGTAAGATATTTTAATATTTTAATTAGTATCTCTAACAAATAATTATACTTTTGAGAAAATTGGAGTGATTACTGGTATTAATAAAAATGATGGATCGCTCTTTTAAATTAATATCTTCATCAACAAAGAATAAGAACTATTCCAAGCCAAGGCTGAAGATGTTAAAGTCAAATCTACCTATTTCAAAGTTGAAAACGTTAAGAAAACCATAAAAAAGCCTTAAAAATACTTGAAGGGATATATAGTGAACTGGCATAATGAAAATGTGTTAAAGGTTTATACAAAGGCTCACGAGAAGGCAGTAATTAAACTTCAGAAGAAATTTAAATTTGATCACTATAGAAGACACGTGACATTTAAGTTAGCTAAATCAAACATAGAAGGAAGTCTCTATGTGGGGTCCAGAAAATAAGTGATATATCTAGCTATAGAGACGAAAAGCACTTAATAAAGAAATTCTTACTCTTTCAAAAATGAAAATTATAGTTAGTTTGTTAACCGAATCTCTTTTCGTGTTCTAAATAACTTAAAATACTCTGAGGAAAAAGGAATTTATTTACTATAAGAACCACAACACAGAATATTGGCATAAAATTTATAATGTAATTGTTGAATATAATTTGTAGCTAAGATATTTAAGTTATTAAAACCTGAGAATGCCTTTGAATTTATAGGCTACGGGTTGTTGAATGGTATTTATGACTCAGTGCATAAAAAAATAATCATTGCAAGTGATAATCGCAAGACTCAGCCATCTTAAGTAGATATACCCAAAACCGTATAAGGAGATTAATTAATTCAGTTTGCCTAAGACTTATTGAATAGAGTAATCATAGTTATATATTTTAGTCTTTTATCATTTAATCAAATAATGAAACTTGTGTTGTTTATTATGAAGAAAAGGATGAAGATTAAGCAAAGATTATTCAAAAAAAGCTATTCATGTATTAGACTATCAGAAAGATGATTATCAACTATCATAGAATGAACCATGGGCAAATAGAATAGCAAGCAGTCACAGTCGAATTGCAACGAAAATTGAAGAAATACTTTGGGATATCATGTTAGAACAAGTTTTATTAGATTGGGAAGTTATCAGAACCATAAATTAAAAATCTAATAACCAATTTTAGAAGGATTATAAGCACATTTATTATATATTAGAATGATTAAGTTGAATTAGATATTGAATCTATCAAAGAATTTGTTAACGATGGTCAATTTACTAATTTATTGAGAATGGATCTTAAAAGCGTAGTTCATTAAATCTGAATTTATATATGTATCTCTTTATAATCATGCATCTAAATAACCAATTTAACTCAATTTATATATTATAATATAACTTATATAAATAAATGGCTAAATAAGGTTGGGGTTTTTCAGGAAACACTGTCAAGTTGAATACAAACAAGTAAATATATCTTAAATATATAGTCGTGTGGAAAAGAAGTTGAACATCTGGGAAACAGCGGGAAAAGCAGATGATATCTAGTATATTCCTGATGCTGAAGAGGAAAAAAAACCTTAAAATCAGATTTCAGATGCAGGCGTTGTTTTAGGATAAAAATTATAGAATATTAACGAGTTGTAGAATTTAGCAAAAATATCATCGTTGCCTCAACCTGTACTGATTTGAGAATTAAACATTAGGCTGATGACATTGATTTTAGTATTTTAACATAAGTATTGAGACCGGTTGAAGAAGTATAAGAGATCGATGAATAATGGGAGTTTTCAAAATTAAAAACTGAAATGCAAGAAATAGTCAACAAGCTCTACAGCAATAAAATAAATTCTTGAATTATATATGAATTATTTATTAATTTAAATAACAAGAGTTACGTACAATCTTTCATGATGAATTGAAATTTTGGTTTCCAATGATCATATCAAATTGATAAAATCAAGCATATATGATGATTCTTTTATACTTCATTTTTTAAATTTGAATTAATAATTAGAATATCTGAGTATCCATAGAAGATCTTGACTTTTAAATATAGTATACAAAATGATTAGTTCAACAATTCAGATTATTTGCTATTGTTATGATATTTTATGAACATTTTCTTTGTCAATAGATTTTGAATACATTATATAAAGTTTGAAATAATAATAAATCGAAATGAGAAGACCCAATTCTTCTTAAAGGCCTAATTCAACACAAAATTTTAATCAGACTCTTAAAAGCTCTGGAGTTTTCGAAAACAATGAAGAAGAGAGGCAAAAAAAGACTTAGATGGAAAAAGCGAGGTCGGATGTTAGAAAAAAGCAAGAAGAATTACACTTGAAGCAACTTGAATTCAAAATAATAGAGGCTATGGATATGAAGGAAATCAATACAATGCTATTAGAGAGAAATGCTGTTGTGTTCTAGCAAATTAAAGAGATTTTTGATGAAGGATAGGTATAATCAATATGTATGTAGGTCAAAGAACCTGAAATTAAAGTTGATCTGAATTAAATAGATGTTAGAAAACCTAGAATTGATAATTATGGCAAGAGATATGTTGAATAAGCTAAAAACATCTATAAAAAACCAAATACTACTGAAATTAAGGAACTTGTCGAATAATTCAATCAAAACACTAGGTTGCAGGGATCAAAGTAGGTGGACAGTTTTCAGAGATTGCATATGGAATATTACAAGATTTATGCTACATTCTTACAATCACAACCAGTTATCGAGTAGAACAGAAGACAATTGATATAAGGTATTGAATAATATTATAATGCTGTTTAGAATTGGGAGAGGTTCATGAATTGCTATCAGTTTTAAATAATGCCCCGTCATTCGAGAAACCAGCAATTTGGAATAAACAATAACTGCCTGAGGAAGACAAGATGATTGTTGACGACATAGTCAATAAAAATATAAGGCAAATATAGAATAAATATGACTTTTCCATTCACGATTTTGAAAACGAAGGAGTTTTAGAAGAGGTTAAGGATTATATAAAAAACAAGTATTTTAAAGGAATTGATCATACTAAATGATTATAATATCAATTAAATTAATTAAAATTTGTCATAAACAATCATGCATCAACATCTACTTATTGGAAACTCATTTCATTTTCTTGGTTCTAATTAAGGAGACCTTATTCGAGATGGTAGAAATGACCCTTTTAACTTACTAGAAAATTGTAATCTCCTTATTCAATAACCTAACCTTTATCAAAAACATAAATGACTTTGCAATTCTACAATATAATTAAAAACGTACCTTAATAGTTGATATTCTGTGGGCTATAACAATGGATGTTTTACCAATCAAGTACTCTTCAAGTTGTTTCTAAACTATAGATTCAACATTTGAATCTAAAGCGCTGGTAGCCTCATCAAACAAAAACACACTTGAATTTCTGAGAACAGCTCTTGAAATGGCTATTCTTTGCTTTTAGCCACCTGAAATCAAACTACCTTTGCTGCCTACCTTCTTTTTAAATCCTCCAAAATCTTCTTGCATAATGAAGTCATAAGCATGGGATAGTTTGGCTGCATTCTCAATATCTTCTTAAGTAATGCCTTTAAGATTATATTAAATATTGTAGTAGATTGTTTCATTAAATAATTGTGGCTCTTATTGGACAATTGCAAAATGTTACCTTAAATATTTTAAATCAAAATTATAAATAGACTAGCCATCTAATAATATATCTCCAGAATCAACATCATAAAATCTCAATAGCAGCTAAAACAAAGTCGATTTGCCACATCCTGAAGAGCCTACAAAACCAACAGTTGTGCATGCATCGATTCTGAGATTTAAGTTCCTAAGTACTTAAATGTTTAGTCTTTAGGGATAACTAAAAGTAACATCCTTGAATTCCATATTGCCCAAAATGGGTACTTTCAGTCTTTATGATTTTAGTCGACTTTCTCTTTGAAATTCATCTTCAACTTCTAATAGATTGAAATAATAGTTGATAGCCATTTTAGCCTTCGCGTTATCAGACTGGAAATAAATATCCTTGGCACCTCCGACAACAGCAAAGATAATTGCTAAAATAGTCTAATAGATTCCAAGCACAGCTAACCCGTCATAATACAAGAGTAGAGTTCCCATAAGGAAGAGGTATCCATTAACAAAAAAGGGTTTCAATTATGCATATCCTGAGCTGACTCCGATCCAAGCACCAAGTCTTTTTGCTTATTAGCTTGGCTCTTCCAAGAGTTTGGTATATTGTTCAACCAACACATTTTCAGCTCTCAATGAATAAACAGTTCTAATATTAGTTAGAGTTTCCATTAGGATCCTATTACTTGTAACATAAACCTATTCGCAAAATGATTGTTATGATCCAACTACATATTTTGAACTTAGTACACTTCCTAAATAGGAAAGAGGAGCTATTCCAATTGCTAATAGGGTAAGTTTCCAAGATGAAATAAATGCCAAAGTAAACCCAACGAAAATGGCAGAATAATATTGACATTTAAATCCAATGATATTTTAAAAGAGTTATTAGACTGTTCTTGCATCTGTAGTGACTCTAGTAGTTAAGAATCCTACATTGTTGTTGGGATTGTCGAAAAATGATACAGGAAGATGCAAGTATTTATTAAACATTTCTAATCTCATTCTTATAGTCAATCTTTCAGAGTAGACACTGAAACAAAAGCATTCTACGGTTGAGGAAATAAAATAAACAAATCCTAAAATAAATAGATTGGTTTCACATTTGAGAATGGATTCTTTCAAATTATCAACTTTATTTTGAATCTATTCTGGCGTGCTATTTTCAATATTGAATCGAGGATTGTTAACTAATAGTGCTTCAATGACCTCGGCAATCACTTGAGAGAACAATGGATATATAGATCCATTTACAAATGCTGTTAAGCAACCAATGATTAAATAATGAATTTCCTTGTAGTTAAGGAATATGAGACCCTTCAAAGAGTGCATAAAAGATTTTTCATTGCTTACTTCAACTGTATCTTATTTTGATTGAGCTTCTTCTCTAGGAATTGACATCTTAGCTATTTCATTTTCTGTATCAATCAATCTAATTCTTGATTTTTCAGATTGATTCACATCATAAATCTATGTCTTTTTAGGCGATCTATCTGTTCTCTTTCTACTTAATTCAACTTCTATGCTGATTTACGTAGGTAGCATAATAGCTTCCTCCTTTGTCTGCTGTTTTGAGATTAAATAAGCATATTATTCACAATTTTGCAGTAATTCAGTATGTGAACCTTGTCCTATAATCGACCCTTGCTAAAACACAAAAATGACATCACTATCTTAAATAGTAGTTAAACGATGTGCAATAACAATTCTAGTTATATTTGAGTATCGTTCATCTATTATTTTAGTTATTTATTATTCGTTTGTTCTATCAAGAGCACTGGTAGCTTCATCCAAAATTAAAATATCTGGTTTTTATAACAATGCTCTAGCCAATGCTATTCTCTATTTTTAACCACCACTAAACTAATTCCCGTTTATTCCCACATTAGTATCTAAATGATCAATTAATTCTGATGCATTCATAGACACTAACATTTCTTTTAATTCTTCATCACTGCTACTCTGATTCCCCAATTTCAAATTTTCTCTGATTGTGGTATTAAATAGAGCAGGTTCTTAAGAAACAATAGCAATTTTCTTTCTAAACTACTCCTTTCCAATGCAATTCAAGGGTACTCCATTTTTGCCTACTAAAATTACTCCACTATCAACTTCGTAAAACTTAAGCAATAATTAAGCTATTGTAGATTTTCCAGACCCACTCTATCCCACGAATGCAACCTTCTTACTTTAAGGAATTGTGAAGGAGACATTCTTTAACACTTAAATTTCTCGTTTTGTAGGATAAGAGAAGGAGATGTCCTTAAAGAAAATGTCACCACTGAAATCATCACATTTTAGGAAATCATTATTTTCTTCTACAATTTGTTTCTCATCTAGTATTTTAAAGACTTCTTTTGCAGCCAATTTCCCCTTGGCAAAACTCTATAGACAAGGACCGATCTATCCTAAGGAAAAGCTTCCCATCAGAATGGCAAAAAACACAGTGCAAATACTACCAGATGTATATACTGGACCTGTATAATCGGGGTCGACCTTTTGTAATTTTCATTTAATACTTAATTTGAAACTAATTGGCCACTGTAAAATATTCCCAATGCATAAGTCCATTGTTGAAATCCCTACATGGATCCAAATGATAATCCATAAAATAATCCGTATTTAATAATTGATTTGGATGAGTGCTGTATGATTTTCTTAAACCTTTGGAATTCAAATTCCTCTCCATCAAGCATCTTCACGGTTTTGATCTAACTCAGTGATTCTTCGACTACAGCTGAAGACTCAATGTCTGACTTAATTGTGAATTACTCCCTCCAAGATGCTGAAAATCCAATAAATGCTATTGTAACAGCCAGCAGTGGTAGAGCTGAAGTGATTACTAAGGCTAATTTCCAACCCCTAAATTTAAATACAATTTCTACTTTATATATCCCACTATGAAACCGCTTATAAAGGCACAAAACGAAAATGTAAATGTCATTGTCTTCTCTCCTATTGCATCTGATATTGAAGATATTTCATTGTTAATTTTTTGGTTTAAAGCATTTGTATTCACTTAATCATACCACATAACCTACTTTTTTAAAAGACACTCGAGGTAGCGTCTCCTCAATTTTTTGGTTTGATTCTCAGTACTGATGGAGAATGTCGCATACATCAGCAAAGTCACTAATAAAGTACTAATTCCCAAGATTGCCATATATCTAAAGTCATCAATAAATATTTACAATGTGTTGAATCCCGCCTTCCTTATTTTGATATTGTCATCATCGTAAGCATAGGAATCAGTGAGGTCACCGAAAATAATCGAATAGATTGGCATAGATAATCCATTTCCAAGTGCTCCGATCATACTGAGTAACATTAGACCATACTCATATTTCGAAGCAAACCTATATAATTGTAGGTAGGGCACATCTGGGTCATCCTGCTTCTTGATTTCTGATTTTAGAGGGTCGTTTTCATTCACTTGGGTATTCATTATTTATTAAGTTGTCTTAAAAAGATAATATATTTAAATGATAATCTTCATTTATTTTATCCATTATCAAAGACATTCTTACGACATTCAAATAATTATTACTACATAACGACGCATTAATTATTATTTTGTTAATAATTTTTATTATTCCATCAACTACTACAATAAAACATATCTCCTACCTTATTTTTGTGATAAGATTGCGTTAATCAATTTCAATGATCTCAACATGCATGAACAATCGCAAAAATTAAACTAATTTATAATTTGGATTCATTTACATTGATGCTGTTTTTTTATACACCTACCTTTTTTGAAATTTCGAGGAAATGATTGTATTAAGATCATGACTTAATCAAACGTAAAGAATGAAGATTCTACTTGAATTCGCTTTTTTCAAATCCAAAGATACTTAAAATTGAGATTTCTTGACTGAAATAAAAAATATCCAGACATTAAAGAAATCTTAAAAAAAGAAATTTAGTCGTTTATTAAATTTTATAAATTGAACGTCTCAATTAAATAAATTATGCAGAGAGGTATAATAGTATTTGGTATGCTGAAATAAGATCTCCAGTATTTTTCTTAAGCCAGTCTCATTATCTCGAAGTATGGACAAATCTATAAATATTTCATGTAGCTTTTTTAGATGAGTTAGCAAAGTACTATAAGAGGTGTAATTCAATAGAGGAGAATATAGTCAGGATGGTTTGATTGGCGATTTTGAAAATACGATTTCCATCAGAAAGTATTAGAATTTCTATTTGATCAATCATTTTTGATTTCTAAAAAAGAGCATGAAATTGGAAATAACTCTAGTTTGTTAAACAGTCTACGTAATTTCGGATTATTTGCTAATTTGCTTGTGAGAGGAAACCTTCATGAAAGTAAAAGTATGTCTCATTCAGTAACATCCTCATCATTAGTTGTGTTTTTTTTCAATCATATGAACTTAAGGTTAAGTTAATGATTTTAGATACTTCTGCCTTAGTTATTATCAATAAGAAAAACAATTTTCATTATAAAATATTAATTTAATCAGAGTATTGATTGTGATATGGTAATTCAATTTATAAGATAAGTAAGTAGCTCTGAAATTAGAAAATAGTGCATAAGGAATGAGTAGAAGTTAATATGAAATATTGTTTATCATTAAGCAATAAATGATTTAATATTATTGTAAATATTAAAATGGATTCCCAGAAAAGGAAGCGTCTAATAATTTAATATTCTCTAAAATTAAAAGAACTCAAAGAAGGGAGAGATACTTCTGCCTCGAAGGGTCAACGGGCTCAGTAAAAATCTCGAGTCTTAAAAACTGAGTCCTCCATGTCCATGGTTAAACAGCCACAATAAATATAAATGCCTCCAGTAGATGATATAATTTCAAAGGGAGAATGCAAATTGATTTTCCTTTAAACATAATCCGATGACACAGGTTTTCGAACATTTAATGAGATGATGAGGACCAATTCAAGTTGGCTTACTCAAGCAGATAAATTAGCCAATACTCTTAGCAGTCCATTGCAATTGAAGAATAGACTTCAATTCAATCATAGTCAAGCCTTGAAGTTCAAGAATCGAATTGAATAAAAATGGAACATGACTGTAAAAGAAGTAGCCGATTCGATAATACAAAAGCAGGAATAGAAAGACCAATAGAAAATTAAATTAGTTCATTTAAAGATAAATCACACTGATGCAGATGACGTAGGACCGTAACAGGAGGAATGTTCTTCCCCCTCTTTATCACAAGAAGTGATAACTACAAATCTAAAGTTTTTTTGGTTTCATATCTCAATATCAGATTGGAAACCACCAATTCGTGAAGGATGTACAGTAACTTACATTCAAAATTTGAATAAATGCATAATGTATGGTGGAATAGGAAACGATTTATTCAAAACTTTTGTAACTCTGAACACACAATCATGGGTATGGAAGGACATAGGAACTGGAGTTGGGGATGTTCCATTGGAGGGTCGTTTCGGACATACAGCCACTCTTTATAAACAACAATTGATAATTTATGGAGGAGAGAAAAAATACAATAGCGCTATGAAAATGCGAGAGTGCTATGGGGATGTTCGTATCTTTACACCAAGTGACAAAACTTGGATCCAACTTAAACCTTATGGAGACGTAGTAGAAGGGAGACGCAACCATTGTGCAGAAGTAGTTGGTAAATACTTTATCGTTTATGGTGGGATCAATTCATATGGCAAAGTCTTAACAGATGTTGCAGGACTTAATTTGGAAACTTGTAAATGGTAATTTATCAAAGGTTATGTATAAGGACTTCCTTTTAGATTGAGAATTCGAGTGGATTAGAAGGAGTCTCCGATGCCACTTCTTTGGCCATGTTCAAGAGCGAAGTTAAAATGGAGAATCCTTACTTCAGTTATGAGTGGGTCAAAAAAAAGGGGAAGTCTTTCTTGCCCATTACAACTGAAGGCATCTATGTATTTGGAGGGAGATTGTAAAATGGAGAAGCTGTTAATGATCTTAGGATTGTTTAGTTTGGATTCAAACCAATCAAAATCACAAAAGTGAAAACAAAAGTATTCGCATTATTTAATTAGGGTTAAGCACCATTGGCTCGATATTCTCATTCAATGAATTACTTTAGATAAACCAATGTGATCATCATTTATGGAGGAAGGAATGATTCCAAATAAGGAAATATCCTTAATGATATATTTGTATTGCAAATCCAATAATTCTCATGGTCTTAAGTTCAATAGATCCAATAATTGTAATCATTTGCATTATTATTAGAAAACATGGCAAATGTAGGCATTCAAGTGTCTCTATTGATTCTAAAATACTTATTTTCGGAGGCTATGCTCAACATGTTTTCGCCAATGCAGATATTCAATTATTGGAATTAGATCAAAACAAAGTGGCCAAAATGATTAAAGACAATAAAAATAATAAAAACAGAGATGTCGTTATTCATAGCGATGAATTAGTTAATAACAACACTCTCAAAGTCTTTAAGACCGAATACTACAATGAAGCTGAAGATCCAGATCTTAAACAAAAGAAAATCTAAGAAAATGAATTCCAAAGATTGTGTTATAGCAATTTCAAAAGTTTTATGCCTCTGCCTCAATAAAACCATTCATCGTTGGTTAATGAATACAAAAACAAAAGAGAATAAGCTAAATTAGAAATTCTCAAGAACTAATTTAATGATCTAAGTAGAAGGAATAGTCGTAGAACAACTAGTGATTTTAAGATTATTGAGTAATGATTTTAAAAGCAAAATTGAAATTATATATTTTGTTTTAATTTAATTTATGATTACTGTTCCCCAAGGAGAAAGATTGGAATGTTTCAAAATCGATGGCCAATATGTAGGGACACTCACACTTCATAACACCAAACCAAACAAGTAATAAAATCAATTAAATTCTTAGCTGTTGCGGTTTCAAAATCAGAACAAACAATACCTAAGACATCTAAGTTATGCCACACATAGGATCTTTTACAGGATAACACTTTAAAATTGTCGTTAAGTGTTAAAAATTCCAATGTATTCTTACTTTATTATAAATCTTAGCCAATGCAAAATTACAAATTCTTACTGTGGATCTATCAGATCAAAATTTCAATAAAACTGATGTTAAATCCCTGGCCTCTTATTTTGATTCCTATTCCAATAGTTCATTTGTTGAAAAAATGAAAATAGAAATAATTACTATCGATTAAAATTAATTAACAAAATAATCTAATACTGTTAATCAATCAATCTCGTTAAATAAAAACATAGAAGAAAGCATATACAACCAATAAGATTTTGCTTACGAATAAACTACTTTGTTGAAGAAGAGCGAACAAATCAAACAATAACAAATTAGAAACTCATATACAAACTCTGATCCACAATAAAGTGTAAGCCGAGTATCTGCTTCAGAATAAAGATTTCTTACCTCAACTACATTTTAATAGGCTAAACAGACTTCATCTAAACAATCATCCAATTCATAAAATACTTTTCAATTCGATTATCCTCCCCCAAAGCCCTAATCCTACCCTTATTAACCACAACAACCAAAAGTGCATAATTATCAAGAGAAAGATTTTGAAGAAGACCCTTAAATCTAAAAATTAAATCTTAAAATACATTAATTGTAACTAGAATTCAATAAACAATCTGAAGAACTATAAAATATTGAAAAAACAAAGGCATCATTATTGTCATAAGATTCTGATTAAAATCAAGGTTAAATCTATGTAGGTGTCCAACACATATTTTTTTCAGCCTTAATTTGTTTTTTAATTGGTTATGTAGCAACGAATTGATTTTAAATTTTGTTTATAAAAATTAAATCATTTTTCTTAATTACATTTTCTACTTACAATAGTATCGATTAATTAGTACTATTACTTATTAATAACCTCAAATTGAATTAATTTTTTGGGTATATTTAAAATCTCACAATATTATTTCAAGAATTTCATCCACATTTTGGTATCTCATGTTATTTTTATTTTGAAACTAAATTTTTCGATAATAAAATGAATGCATCATTAAATAAAAACTAAAATATCTTCATTTCTCGATGAATATACTTTTTACTATATTTATTTTTTTTTAATTTTCAATATTGATCCTAGTCTTAAACTTAAATGATTATCATACAGCTATACCTATTTCAAAGATTAGACTTTTGTTAAATAAGTTTTTTAAATGATTACAAATTGCTTCGAAAGCATTTGCTTAATGATAACATCAAGTAGTTATTAAAAGAATGACTCATAAAGAATAGCTTATATAAGTTGCAAATATCTGCAATAGGAGTTATTATTTATGAAAATATCAAATATAAATTTATAATTAAATTGCGTGTCTAATTTCTATAATTAGAATAAAATAATATAACTAGTGTAAAAAATCATCATAATCATTATTTCGATTATAGAATCTCTCGTCTATTTTAACGTCTTTGTAATATGTTTTCTTCTTGTTTTTGCAAATCTCTGTTTATCATTGACCTCATTAAGGAGTTATTTTAATTAAACTCTCTTGCTGTTGATATGGCATCTCTTGATTCCTATTTTTAACTTGGCTCAAATGCTTTTTACACATTTGATTTCATTAGAAGCTTACTTGCTTTTTCAGTAAATATCTTATATTTCTTGTCATCATTCTAACCATAATATTCTGTTCCTAGCTTCCTTAATTAACTTAATTTACTTTATATAGAGCTAATAAATCATTAACCATTTTTTAATTGACTTTTTCATTTTCCAATTCTAATTCTAAGTCTAGAATTTATTAAGCAAAATTAGGAGGCAATCTTAACTTGGGTTATTTTGAAATTAATTTAAATTGTTCGAAGTCTCCTTAATCATCATGAAATAGCCAATTCTTCAAACTTTCAAACATTTTTAATAATAAATATTTAATAAAATGAAAATATGATTACAAATCAATTCATAAATTATGGAAATTTATAGGGATTTCATGAATTCTATCCTAATAGATACTATCTACATCCTTGGATTCATCATTAATAATCAACTTTACAGTTCTAAATACTTTTGTTTCATGTCTCTGAAATCTGATGGGAATTGTTGATTCATAGCACTCCCCACCTTGCATTAGATTATGAGGCACAATGTATTCATACTGTTTTTCAGAATCCTCCATTATCAAACCAATATTCAATGTTCCTAGCGTGTCCATCAATGGCTAATTTTATTCAATTTAAATCCCATAATTACTAAATAACATAGCCTTAGAAATCTAAGCTTTATTTTCAGAAGAAAGATTGGACTTAGAAAATATCTCATTATCTAATTGGATGAATTTGATTTTCTAATTAAATCTGAATTTCATTAAGCAAACTTCCTTAAATCGTTCATATTTTGTGTAAATATAAGTTAAAGCGTGTTATGGTGTTTTTTATATGTAAATTGCACTCCAATCTGAAGCAGCTTATGAGTACTTAGCAAAAAGGTCATAAGAGTTATTTTGAGCTTAGTAGGGCATTATTTTAAATCCGATTTATGCTTCCATAATAAAGTGATAATTGAAATAACTTTATTAAATGAATGGATTTTTATTTATTATTATAAACTACATTACTAATCATATTCATCATTTTAAGTAAACACACTCTTATGTTTTTAAATATATTCCAAAACCAGGTTCTTGCAATAGAATGCAGCTTATTTAACTATATTTTTATAAAATAATCAGCCATTACACAATTTGAATTTAATCCTCCTATCCATCATTACTTTGGTTAAAATCCAAAATCAAATGTAATAATAATTTCAAAATATCTGAATTATATAGTTCTTGATTAATTATTCCATAGGTGTGAGATACAGCATTTTATTTCAACTGAACACACCCTTATTCAATTTTACATTCTGATATCATAATCATTTTAATGTGATCTGATATTTTGACCGAATTTATAAAATCTACATTTAATAGTATATGAAGCTCGGGTTGCTTTTTGATTAATTTGAATTTTTAAGTTTGTTTTTGCTTACATTATTATGTTTTTTTAGATTTTATTTTTGAGATAGGTGATGATGGACTTATTGAGATAAAAATCAATAAGTTTAGTCTATTCTAAATATAAAATGAGAAGTTTATTTATGGTTTAAGTCATTCCATTCAGTCGATAATTTGTTTTGTATTTATCTAAATGTGTGTTAGGGATGTGCCAATTTATAAATGTGCTTATTTTCTAAATGTATTCTTCCTCAGAATAATACGAAGGTTGAACTGACTATTATCTTTTGGTTTTCGATTAGTTGATGAATTATTCTATTTATTTTTGAGTTCATAAATTTTATTTAAATTGTTTTATAATAATTTTATATATATTAAATAAAAAAATGATAACTCACTAATTAAAAATGTTTTTAAATTGAGTAAATATTTTGTCATCAAAAGGATCAGGATAGAGCAAATTAATTGTATCTCTGACATGGAACTTATTTTGATCTTCTCCAACCTTTTATAAGAAATCGATATCTTCTTCTAACATGATTTCAGGTAGTTTCTTGAAGCTCTCGTGAATAGGCACATATCTAGGGAGTGTTATGAAGAATGTGAATACTTGGAAGAAAAATTGTTGGAGAAATTCTGGAAGAGGTCCTCAGAAAATTTGTCTCTATATGTATTCACATAGATTTGAATTTTTGTTGGTTGTTTGATCACAATGGGGCCAAAGTATTAGCTGCCATCAGGGTTGGGTTGAGCTAATATGATTGGAATTGCACATATATATACAGATCAACTTAATAACGGCCTGAGTGTTGTAATGATTGAGCTTTATCTATTTGGTTCCATTAGAGATTTCAATTTGATCCAGATATTAAGTAACCAAATTCACTACATCCTCATTTACCTATTAATTAATATTGTGGCACCTTATAATCCAATTTGACATTCTCAAATCCTTCTATGTATCCGCATTGATGGATGAACTCTTCAAACTTATTGCCGAAATTTACCATGGATTTGGATATTGCAATTATTTGAAGAAGATCATTAGATTGTAAATCTTGAACTTTCTTAATGAGTAAATTAAAGGCAATCAATCCACACCCATAATATTTCAATAGGTCATTCATGAGTAACAAGTAGACGTACTGATTCACTTTGAAACGCAAATGACCATTTTTTTTGGTTTCGATAACATCAAATGCTCTTTGGACCAATTCCAGAATCATTTTCAATTCATCAAAGATTGACTTGAGTGGCATTTTATTAAAGTACAAGATCTTCTCCTTCTTATATAGAGTGAGTGAGGTAGAGTTTCTGAGTTTGAGTGCTTTGAATTTGATGTAATGATAATATTTGGATATTAATTCGTTAATTAGTAATTACTTATTTTTGATGTCCCTCTCTTATCGACATTCCACCAAAGGCAAATCTAACTCCTGAAATTCTTTAAGTAAGATACGATCACTCACGCACCTCAATTTTTTTGACCCAATACCTATCTATGATTATCAAAGTTTTTATGATCATCATCCAGCCATTCTCATCGTTGTTTTATAATTTCAACCTCCTCACTAAGGAACCATACGCTGTCTAAGCATTTGTTTGTAAGTCTTCTCCTGAAAGTGTAGCTAGAATCTATCTAATATCCTCTTCTCTTGGGGGATTCGTATTGGTGTAAGTAGCAGCGATTCTGGCCTTTAGAGTGTATAGGTTTGAGTGCTTACTTTCTCAAATTTAGTCTCAGCTCCCATGGTTGCACAAAATTGAGCAAAAATATTCATTTAATATATTTATATGCTAAAATCAATCAAAAGAAAATTGAATTCCATCGCAGATCGCGATAACAACAATTATGAAGTATTTACTCTCTTAAACCTATCAGATAACAATTGATTTATTGAAGCGAGGAGATCTCCTTAAAACTGAGTTGGAATTCCTAATGAAAAATTTCGGCAATTTTAAATTCTTCGAAGAATAGAAAGCTAAACTACCTCTCTACCTTTACACTTAAATATTCAAGAACCTCGATTACCAGTATGTCTAATAATACGATACAGTTTTTAATTATGGTATTTTGTTGCCATCTCAAGCATAGGTGATATGGGATCCACATTTTATATCATACTTAAGGGATAAGTCAATGTACTATTACCAAAACCACATGTCTAAGATGATCTCAAATACGGTAGGGTTACAGTATAGGAATTGCAGTAAAGAATTGAAAATGAGAAGTCAAATTAATTCAGTGACTTTGATGAGTTTTTACAGGTAGCTTATCAAGACTTTGTCAAAGTGAGAAATCTTAGTGCTGGTGACACTTTTGGAGATTATGCCTTAATTACAAAATCAAAAAGAACTGCCACAATACTCTGTTACACAGATTGTCATTTTATGATATTACATAAAAATGCTTTTGATCGTATTTTGTATGAACATCATAATTCTATACTAAAGTAATAATTAGCTTTTTTTGAAAATATCTCATATTTGCATGGCATTCCAGATTAGCACTTAACATAGCTGATGCATTAGATGATTGAGTTCACACCTCAATTGAATAGTACTATTTACAAAGAGAATGAAGAATCACACTCAGTATATTTTATAATAAGTGGGGAAGTGGAGTTATCGTATCAATTGAATAGCTGGTAAAGGATAGTGATTTCTCTGATGACAAAGGGAGCTATTTTTGGAGAGGAAGAAGTACTAAAAGGGATTCGGAGAACATAGAAAGCTATTTGTAAAAGCAATGAGACTGTGCTCAGAACATTGAGTGCATAGTAGTTTATGTCAACCTTGGAGATCCATAATTTGAAATTGGCATGTTCAGAGTAATCGGATCAGAAAGCTTTGAGATAATCGAAATAGATATTGTTGAGGAGAAAGGCTACAGAATCTCTTTTACTTTGCTGTCCAGTGACAAAGAAGAGGGACAGCAATTTAGATTCCGAAATAACTCGATTTCATTCGACCAGATAAATTTCGCTTAGTCATCGTTTATAATTAAACCCTCCAATTACGCATTCTAATTGTCTTATTCCAATTTAGATTCCGCACTATATTAAGTTGATGCCCAAGAATCAGAAGCCTCCTCCTTTATAGTCGAGACAAGGGACGAACTTCAATCGTCTAAGGAATATGTTGAAAACTGAAAGAAGTGAAGGGAATCTACAACAGGGATCATCATATTTTTCTCAGTGTTCTTCTCATCAACAATAACTATCTCCTAAACAATTCATTAACATCCATGTCGAGAGATTGCGTAAATCTAGATACAAGTGAGTGTTATTAATATATATAAATAATAAATTCATGCTGTTTGATCCAAAACAAGAGAATTTGCCATATACATTTGCATTGATTAAACCTGACACCACTCTTAAACCGAATGTAGTCTAGGAGGTGGTTAATAAAATTGAAGCAGCAGGATTAACAATTAAAAACTTTGTTCAAGTATAGTGTTTAACAATTATCTATTGAGAGAACTCTACAGAGAAGAAGTACTGAATCTGTTCTACAAATAATAAAAGTATATGGATGAAATCATGACATATATGTTATCAGGAGAATGTGTGATGTTTCTTTTATGTCATGAAACTGAAAATCCTATTTTGGTATGGAAGAAGATGATTGGAAATAAAGACCCAATTGAAGCTAAAAAGGCAGATCCATAAGCATTAAGAGCAATATATGGGACATCTATAATCAAAAATGAATTTCATGGAAGTGATGATCCATTCTCTGCCAACAAAGAAAGAGACATTTTCAAATTCCCAATCCCCCAGAAAATACCTGATTTCAAATTCGATAAAATGTTAGTCTCCTTAGAAACCCTCTTCAAGTTTCTTTACCCTCCCAATTTAGAACATTCAAATGCATTAGAACGACTGGACATCTTCGCTATTTATGGTCCATGTGTCAATTATCACAGTGTTGATCAATGTCTTTGCAGGGAATGCGCATTAATAGGGAAAGAGCATTTGGAAGGTGTCAGAGAATCACTCATTACCTCGGAATAAACTAAATTAGGAATCAAAATCAGACCCTAACCAACTACAGCAACGAAAACACAATTGCCATAAAGAGTTCAATTACCACCTATTCGATTATTGAAGGAAGAAGACATTAAATAAATCTATTAGTCATTGTGTGAAAAGTGTCAATTCCATTGTAATGGGTACACTCATCTACAAGGAGGCAGGAATATGCAGCATATTATGACTGATCAAGAACTAAACACCTTAGCCAAAGAGATGAATAAATAAGAAATCTTAGAATTACTTTATAGTGAGAAGGGTAATGCTGCCAATGTCATGATTGAAACCATTGATCTTAATGAGCCTAATCATTATACTAAGGAAATGATTGAATTACTATTTCAGGAATTAGAAACAGATTATTATAATAGATTCAAATTTTATCATCTTCAGAACGTCATTTTAGAAGATAGAAGAATCAGGATGAATGCTTGGATGAGTATTCTCATCAATAAACCGATTCATAGATTCAAAAACCCTAAATTAGTTTGTAAAGTACCTCCTGAAATGAGAAAGAACCCAGAAAGCATCCACTACACAATCAATAGAATTTTACCTCTCAATCAAACATACAAAAAGAAGGATATTACTAAAATGCCTTTGGATTTCCCACCTAATCTTGCAGATAAGGAGAAATTGAATCCCAATGAAGAAAAACTTGCACTCTTGAAAAAGCTACACAGAGACACTCATCATATGGTTGAAATTCAGGATGCAAAGAAGGTTTTCATTTCTTTTCATATTTTTAGGTGGTTTCCAATGGTGTTTATCTGTTGCGTAAGTACAATGATGGTAGAAATGGCGAATGGGACAACTATTCATCACTTAAAGCAATGAATAGAGGCTCCTATGTAAATTATGAGGAAAAAAAGAAAAAAGAAAAGCTTTGAATTATAAACAATGCATTACAATTAATATATATCTTTGATCTTATAGAACTTAGAATTTGGAACTTCACAGAAGCTTCAATACTCATAAAAAAGTCTAATGCAATCATAAATCTTTTTTTATTATTAAATTATTTAATATTTATGGAAGTAACTATAGAAATGATTGGGTTAGATTAAGAAGAAGCATTTACTACTATATTAGATGATAACACAGAACTTATTAATATTGGAGAAATGATTAAAGAAGCATCATATTATTAGTATTGATTTCATGCTAAATTCTAGGTCTTTTAATTTGAGTGAACAGTTCTGCTTAGAAGTAAAGGATACAAATAAATTTATTAGTGGAAGATCTACAATTATCAAGAAGTGTCTCTAATAAAATTAAATTGATCCAAAAATTTTAGTCTTTCATAAAGGGCTAGATGGATAAAAAAAAAGTATTGAATCATTTTTATTCTAGTGAACAAAGGAGTAATCATTGATTAGAATTTCAAGAGAGAACCTTAGATTAATAATTAAGCCATCCAAATTAAACCTTAGGTTAATAATTCAGCCATCCATAATTAACCCTAAGCACAATAATAATAGTCTTAAGTACATTAGGATAATCTTATGATAACTAATAAAAATAACTAATAAGGATAAGGTATAGTAATTGGAGGAGGTTAAATCACTGAGTCTTAGTATATAAGGAATATCGAAGAATAGCTACATTAAGGACGTTAAAGTAATGATCTCGAGGTCTAAAATCAACTAGAATCATCAAATAATGATTTAAACTAAGTCTAATTTTAATAAATTAGCTAAGTTTCATTATAATAAAGCCAGAATATCTAACAACAAGTATAACAAAATGAGGAGGCCCATAATTCATAAAACACATAATTAATGGAAACCAATGTACAAAACAACAAAACGAAATATAATCTCGCAATATGGATGAATTCTCAAGAATTAGAGAAGTATATAGAGCTATTTAGAACAGATAATATTTAATTTACATTTAATTGATAATTTGAAAGAGTAAATGTATATTATTATGCCTAATGAATTTTAAAGTACTATTATATTATTATATGCAAGTCAAGTTTTCTAATTAAAATCTAAACCCAATTAGGTTGTAATATTCAACAAAATTTTAGAGATGAATATTTTTTCCTGTTTACATTATAGGGACATAAGAATTGAATGTAAGTATTTCGATACAGTCTAAAATTAGTTATAGAAAATAAATGGAATGAAATCTTAAGTCTTAAGAATAGATTTTTGTTACTAGTTTATAAAATTTTAAGATTATAATTTGGCAATAAGTATTATATGGATATTTATAGTTAGTTTTCAATGCTTTCTAAATTGGTATAATTCGTTTAGTTGATTTATCTTGTCTTGTTTTGCCTTTCTTTCTAGATTTAAACGATTTTAAATTTCTCTTGATCTTGATTTTTCAGTTGATAATTATCCATTTTTCTGTTATTTTGTTTCACTTTCCAAAAAAGACCTTCTCTTCTCATTTTCCTCTTAAATTCTTCTATTAATTTCATCATCTATTTTTTTCTTAGTATCATCCTGAGTAGTTGATTCAAATATGCTTGCTCTTCCTCCTTGAGCAACACTACTTTACATGGGCGTCTTAAATTTATTAATGATCTCCTCATACATGTCATCTAACTACCTTTGACATTGCAATTACAATCTTTGAGACTCCTATTTAATTTAGATATCAATATCCTTAAAGCTGGGTTCAACTAATTAATTGATCAATTGATTAATTCTTTCATCCTGATGTGTTGCTATAAGTTAGTAGTAAATAGAATACCTATTTGATTCATTTCTCTTTGCAACATTAGGAGTGTCTTTTCAAAGCGTTCGAATTTGAATGTTAAACCTTCATCATTTCTGCAACGATCCAAATTCAAATCTTGAAATTGGTGAATGACATGGTCTAATTATTTGGTCAATTCATTAATCCGCTTGTCTTGCAATTGAGTTAGGTTTTCTATAAATCCTAATCGATCTTCTACTATTTTGAGCCGCATGCTCATGTTCTCATTATCTAAAAACATAGATAGTAAATAATTATAAATTAAAATTTGAAGAATGAAAATGAGGGTTGAATTTATATATTGTTTTAAGAATTAAATTGCTATCATGCTGATGATCTCTCTTAGAGATAAACCTTGACGTTGGATAACTTGGTAGCTAAGATCTCTTCAACTTATCTGATGATGGAGATTTCTTATTATCTGTGTTCAGAGTCTTCAGCATATTAGGTTCTCCATGAATCGCATTCAGCTTCCTTTTATTCCTTTCCTGATGAGGCAGCGTTCAATTCGTCGGTGGCGTCTTCCTTTCTCTTCTTTTATAAGTCCAAAGCTTATTAGTTATCTTGGAGTTATCTTTCAGAGTCTTCTCTGGCAGCGCTCAAGGATTCTCTTTATGAGGCGATTTCGACGACCAAAGCTTCGAAGTCTAATTGGGCTTAGATTTCGGTTTATCTGGCTTATTCAAGGGCTTCAGCCAATTGAGTGCTGACTTCACCTAACTTGTTGAGGACGTTGTTCAATTATTCAGCTGAGAAGGTTGAAGCAACTTACATAAGAGCAAGGATTGGGTTGGATGCACCAATCTTGTTCAATTAGGTCAAAGCAGCCAAGACTTCTTAATCTGGTTGGATTGAGCTCAACTTTTAGATGATGACTTCAACAGCCTCAATGACGTTTTCTGTTTCATTCTCGAACTTGACGAAACTATCAGCATCTTCAGCTCTTTATTCTCTGATTTGGGTTTCTTATTCGTTCAAGATGTCTAATTAGACTTATTTGTTTTCAACATCTTAGGTCAATTATTCAACCTTGGCACTGAGGGTTTAGATTTCTTAGGTTGATTCGGTGATTTCGTTGGAAGCGAAGTCAATTCTTCTGTTGTATTAGTAGATTTCTGTTTCGCAGTCAACTTCGTCTTAAGCGTGCTTTTGGTCAGCCTCTTATTGGTTGAGGATGAGGTTTTCTCTCAATTATTGTAACATTTTAGCGATGTCTCCCAATGGGGCCTTGTTGTTCAATTAGAGGGCAATTGTGTCTAACAATTTTCTTCCCAATTCGTGTTCTTCCATGGCTTCCAATTGTGTGAAGACAGCCTTGCTTGGATCGTTTGATCTCTTAACAAAGACAGCTTGTGTGAGTGTTAATCCCAAAAGAGCGATGAGAATCAATTTCATAATTAAATTAATGTTGTACAATCAAAACCACATTCACTTTTCATATTCCACTATTCGTTTTTCCCTATTACAATAATAAAATTGCTCAAATTATTTAATATATAAAAAACGACAACCCCAATATTAAAAATAGAATTATATAATTATCATTAAAATCATCATCATATTATAATTCATATATATTCATTTATTCAATAGATATGATGGCACATCTGCAAAAGTTGGCTTGAGATTATAATTTCCTGGTCCTGGAACACTCTGATCTGTCTAATTTAGATTTGGTCTTAAAGCCGTCCCGAAACCCCATCTAGGCCCATCTGATGAACCCCTCAAATTATAATTACCAGGTCCTAATCTTAAAAAACACAATCTAAACCTGGAGCATCCTTCCCAAAACCTGCATTCAGCTCAGCTCTTTAGCCAGTACCAATCTTTGCTGAAGCCGGTCTTTGTTTACTTGGCCCATCATTTGGATTATACGCACCTGGCCCTGGCTGATTTAAAGTAGTCGTAGGCTCATATTTACTGCCTAAAATCTAATGTTTGGGTCCCTCTCCTATTTTAGTATTCAAATCATAGGTTCCTGGCCCTGGAATATCCCTTGTATCACTCAATGGCCTACGATTGGCACTGCCTATACGAACTTAAGCTGATTTAGGCCTTGCAAATTCATATCTAGATTCATAGGTTCCTGGTCCTGGAGTCCTTATCAACTCTCGATTCAAGCTGTCTCTAGTCTCATTTCCGATTTTATATGAAGGAGGTCTCAATTTTTATTTCTTATCCCAATTATAAGTTCCAGGTCCTGGCACTTATTCTTACTGAGTTTAATTTCTTCTTGAAAGCATCGAAAATCCCTTTTGTGAAACATTAAACTCGCTTCTTGCTTCATATTCCCCTGGCCCAGGGTTCTTTATTTCTGAAAAAGCTCCCCTGGATGCTGTTCCAAATTTATATTAAGGACCAGCACTGTTTGGTCTCTTTAGATATGATCCAGGTCCTGGAGTACGAGTCAAATCATAAAATCCATCTCGCTTAGAATGGGGAAATCTTAAGCTCAAAACTATACCCTTACTTCATGCAAGGAACTCCCACGACTGTAGAAGGATTTTCATAAGCTCCTGGCCCAGGTTAAAATGTAGAGTAGTTTTATGATAGTTTCGCACCGATTGAATAATTGGGAAGAGCCTTCACCATTGTTCGATAATTAGGGTTGTAAGCTCCTGGAAAAATGAATGCTGTATATTTACCTGGTCCTGGTCCTTATTTTGCTAATACTGTTGGTTTCTTAAGACCAAAGGAATACCTCGGTCCTTCCTTGGTTACTCTTGAAGGATGTTCATACGCACCAGGTCCTGGGGCAAATACCTTTAGAAGGCCACTTCTATTACCAGATCCAAATCTACTTTAACAGGCAAAATTTACTTGAAAGATGGAGGGGTCATCTTCTATCTCTTTATTGGTTAGTAAGCTCCTGGGCCAGGTGTTTCACTTCTGGGTTGAGTGGCTGATTGATTTATACATGATAAATACATCGTTACGCTTTACCAATTGAAAAAGCACTCACCATATTGATTAATTTTATTTATATATATATATAATATTATTTGACTATATTTTAAACAAAAACAGTCTTGATGAGTGTTCTTAATTGGAGTGAGTATTTGTAGTGATTCAATTTTTACATGTGATTTGCAAATAGAATCATATTTTAAGAATTGAAAATTGATCTCATCAAAGATTATGAATTACAATTAACAATAGCAAAATATGTTATGTATCTAGGGATTCTCAAGAATGAAGATTTGTAGTGTATGTTTTCTAATAAATAATTGACTGTTATTGATTAATGAGATAATTTTTAAAGGGGAGTAAAAGCGCAAAAAAGTAATTTTTATTAATTATAAATATATAATATTAATTGGCGCCCATTTTATCAAATTCCCACAAATTGTGATCAATAATAAAAATAAATGGCAAAACAAAATAATAAGCGTCAATTTCTTGTGCCTGAATATGCTTCAGAGTTAAGCAGTCTAAGTGAATTTCTTGCAGAGTTTCGTGACAATTCAATAGTAGAAATTGATAATACTTATGGTTAACGCAAATACATGATTGAGTTGGTATGATTTAATTGAGAGTAAAATAGTAAAGAATAGCAAACAGATAAACCAATCGTATCGACATCTACGTAGAGGATCTTGAATATTTCTTCAATGATAGAATAGATTTTGTTAATAAAATAAAGACAAATACATTGTCATATCAAAGATTACTATATGAGGCTTGCGATACTTTGATGCCCCAACAAACTAGAGACTTTGAATAAAACTTTGATTTGTTCGATGAGGAAATTAATGTTCAAAGACAATAGAATATGGAGTAAGATGGAAACAATAACCACCAGAAGAGACTCCCCCCAGAACTCATTCGCAGATAGTAAATTAAATAAATAAGTGTAGTCAACTATTTATAATTCGAGGACCATAAACAAAGTAGCAAGTCATGGCCATAAGAAATCTGAAGGCACAACTGATAGGATCTTTAATTACAATAAAAGCCATGGTAGTTAGAACATCTGAAGTCAGACCATAAATAATAGTAGCATGTTTCTCATGTGATGCATGTGGATATGAAAATTATTAGACAGTTCATGGTAAGACCTTTACTCCAATGCTCGAATGCGCTAGTGATAAATGTAGAGATAATAAAGTGAGAGGAAGGTTGATATTCAATCATGGCAGTTCAAAATTCATATCCAATCAGGAAATCAAGATCTAAGAACTCAAAGAACAATTACCTAAGGGATCAATTCCAAGATCATTCACAGTAATGGCCAGAGGAGACAGCAACATTAGGATTTGTTCTCCAGGAGATATGGTTACTATTTAAGGTGTCTTTTTACCAGTTGAAAAAGAGGGGTTCTTTGCCAATAAAGCATCATTTTACAGCACATACATTGAAGCATTCCACATTAAAAGAGATAAAAAGAAATTCAAAGAAATTGACATCGAAAGTGTCAGTGGTCATAAGATCTTTGAAGATATCAAAAAATATCCATTCAGTGATTTGTATATGAAATTAGCTAAGTCTATTGCTCCTGAAATCTTTGGAATGGAAGATGTCAAAAAAGCATTGTTATTAATGATTGTAGGAGGAGTAAGCAAAGAGATGCATGATGGATTAAAAATTAGAGGAGATATTAATGTAGCATTAATTGGAGATCCAGGAGTAGCCAAATCTTAATTACTAAGATACATATCTCAAGTTTCACCCAGAGGTGTGTATACTACTGGTAAGGGATCATCTAGTGTGGGTCTCACAGCAGCTGTCATTAGAGATCCTATCACCGGAGAAATGGCTTTAGAAGGTGGTGCTTTAGTTATGGCTGATAGAGGAGTATGTTGCATTGATGAATTTGATAAAATGAATGAAAGTGATAGAACTGCCATTCACGAAGTTATGGAATAACAGACTGTCAGTATTGCTAAAGCAGGTATCACCACTACTTTAAATGCTCGAACATCCATTTTAGCAGCTGCCAATCCTCTATATGGAAGATACAATAAAAAATAGACTCCACATCAAAATATCAATCTTCCTGCTGCATTATTATCGAGATTTGATCTTATATTCATTTTACTAGATGAAATCAATCATGAGGCTGATACTAAATTAGCATCTCATATTGGTAGAGTTCATTAGAATAAATACAAGGAAAATGAGACTCAGGATTTGTATTCAGTCGAAGAAATCACTACATTTGTTGCCTTATCCAAATAATATGAGCCAATCCTTACTTCTGATATTCATCAATACATAGCTGATCAATATGTTGAAAGAAGAAAATAAACATTTGATAAGACACTTGATGGATATTCCTACACTACTCCAAGAACTTTATTAGCCATCATTAGATTATCATAATCTATTGTATATTACTTTTTTATTATTTTAGGCTAAATTATAATTGGCTGATAGAGTCACTCAAAGAGATGTCGAAGAAGCAATTAGATTGATGGACATTTCCCAAGAAAGTGTTAGGAGAGCATAATAAATAGATGGTATTTATTTACATTTATTTTATGTTAGACACTGTCTAAAGAAAGGACAAAACTGCTAAATTATATGAACTGTTATCATCTTTATGCAACAAAAATAAAGGAACCATAACTAAAGATTCATTTGTTAGATAGGCTATTAGTAAAGGGTCCTAAATGTAAGAAATCGAAGAGTTTTTAAATACATATTCTTCACTTAACCAAATTCAAATTCATGGAGATCAAAACGATAGAATTACTCTAGTATCATGAAATTATTGTATTTTATATCAATCTTTATTTTCCAAAGATTAACCCTTACATTTTTTAATAATACTGATTAATTTATTATCAATATTGTAATACTAATTAATTCTATTTAAACATGAATATATATATATTGATCCTTTTGCAATTAATATCATCATATAAAATAATGAAAGGTCACATTTTTTAAATTTAGAAAATTTGTTAAAGATTCTCTTCGATATCCTAGATGTATTGTTATATTTCATTTTTTTGTTTTAAACCTTTTACCTTTCCTTTTTAATAAATGGCTAAGGCTTCGGAATAGAAACTAAAAGCAACATTTAACTAAATATAAAATTTTAATTATACATCTTTAAGTTTGTACGCTAAATCCGCAACTTCTTTGAGAAGATATGCAGTTTCCATAGTTAAATTATTAGATCTCTAAAATTACCTTGCCCATAATCCAAGTACTTAAATATTTAAATTACATCTTACTTGCTAATCCATCGGATATTTTCCCTTGAGCTACCAATATTTCCACTTTGATATCAATCAATGATTTTATCTCAAGTTGATCTGTGTTTTACTGTATTCCTTCCTCAACCAATTTGAGTGCATCATCAACTTCATTGTTACTCATTAGACATTTTGAAAGTTCAGTGTATAACCTAATTACTTCAGATTTACACAATCTTATTAATCTAAAGTAGAATTAAAATTAATTACTCAGGATAAAGCTCACCTTTTTTTAACTCATCAATTACATCCTTAGCTGCTTAAAGAACTCCATAAGCTTTCTATTAACTTTCAAAGTTGAAATAAAATGAGCCCAAATGAAAGAGAGACTGAAAAAATTTAATTTTATTAACTGGTTCTTTGACAACCTCTTCATCATCAATTTACCATGTTGTGGCTATCAAAAATGGAACAATAGACGACTTTTCCATTTTGGTGAAGATGTAGACAGCGTACTCTAGATTGCTCCTAGCTTTTTCGATGTTCATTAATTTTAAATAAATCAACCCAATTTACATAGAATTGTAAGCAGAGTGATTATTAAACTTACCTTTAACCATCTAAAATTACTTTGAGGACTGATGATATAAATCCACAGCCTCATTAGGTCGTATAAGAGCCTTGACTCTGGCTTAATCCTAGAGAATATGAGCAACTTCTAATTATTCCTTGACCCCTTTCACATTTGACTTTCTTATTGTGACATATTTTTAACTAATCTACTCCAATACCCTTTCCTATCCAAGATGTTAAGCCAATACCCAAATTCTCTCAAGGATATACTCACATTCAGGGGAGGTATCACCAAAACACTCTTCCACATCCTGTAGTAAATACTACCATTAATCAAGAGCAGATTGATATAGATATAGGTTAAAATGAACTTCAGCAATTAAATTTTTAGATCTGACATATGATTGATATGAAGGTGCTCCTATTTTCTTCTTGCTCCTCTGTGTTAATTCAGGCATTTTTAATGCTATTGCAGGCATATCATCCTGACTATTATTTGTAGGTTAATATAGTTATTTTACAAAAGATGACATATTGTTATTATTATTATCTCCAGATACAAAACTATTTTATTAATCAAAATGATTTGATTGCTTACTTTTATAACTTGATTATGATGATGGTCTGTAATAAGCATTATAATTTGAGAAGAAATGTTGCATATCTTCAGTAAAATCATAATTGTCAATATCGTACTCTACTTGCATTAATTGATTTAATGAAAACTCTAATCTTTTAACAGGATCTATAGAGAGGAATCTCAAAATCAGAGCACCTAAAGGATTGGTTTATTCAAATTGAATGGACTTATTAGATTTATCAATTTAATCATCATCAATTCCAGATTGTCTTTTTGGAATGAGTTGAAATAACAAACTTTGCATCTTTTATTCATCTATGTATTGAATGTTTGGGATATCAAAATATAGTTGTAGAATGATTAGTCCAATATTGTATCTTGTCACTGCTCTAAAATCTTTAATGGGTTCTCTTCTCTTAACTTCAGGTGGTTTAATAGTTTTATGTAATGATAAATGAGTGTACACTTTTTCATAGTCATCATACATTGACCATACTTCTTTGTAGGCTGCAACTTAAACAAAGGGAATTAGATTGGTAGTTGAAATCTTAAATTATCCTCCCTTAGTTATTAATATCGATTCCATATTTAGTTCTAGAACTGCTATTCCCGATCTCTCAACTGCATTAACAAGTTACATAATTTTAAGTGCAAAATGCAATTTTTGATCATATGAAAATTTACCCATATCCAATTTTTTCAAATATATATTTTAGAGAGGTACATACTACTCTGTTATGTAAACTAAAGTTAATAGTCCATTTTATGATTATTCTGATATTGAAGAGTTCATTGTTCTAAATCTCAGGGTTTTTTTCTCTCTAAAGACTATTGGAGTTTTGAGCACTTGAATGAAAGGTAAACTATCATGTTTTGAATTAAAATAGTAATGATAAAACATGGATCGAATACTTTTTGATGAACTCAATAGATGTTCAGGCATGTTCTCAATTTGATACATGCAACTAACTTGATATAAAGTATAGATTACTTGTTTTATCAATTTAGCCAACATAATACTGTATTTAAGTGCTGAACTCAGTGTTCGTAAATGTGGGTCTGCCAAAGTAACAATCTGACACAAACATTTTATACTCTATTTCTATAAAGGAATCATTCATTTGATCTGGAGAAGTGATATACAGGAGCTCAAATTCTTTATGTATGAGATTGTTGTAAGCAAAGCAATTCTGATAGATTTTGAACTTAATTTCATAGGGTTTATGTTCATAGAAGTCTGATCTTTCTATTATGTTAATAGGAGGCAATTTAACTGGTTCATCTTTCTTTCCCCAGAAGGCAATCATTTCTTTCATTGTTGATAGATCTCTTCCCATATTTCTCATTCCAGCAGGCTTTTTATTCTCAGATATCGCTCTAAGACGCATATTTAATTAAAATAATGAATGAATCATTCACTATTTCTTCTTATCTTAGAACAGAGACTGATGAAGTCAAAGAATACAGTGGCAACATCACCGCTCAAAGAAAAAAAATTCCGTAGCTGAAAAACTTGATATCCACTGGAAAACCAAAACAGATTAAATTCAATCCAATCATTGATTCAGTCAGAAGCAGCCAAAGTTAAAGATCTTCTAAAGGGAATCTAGCTCAGCAGAATCACAACAATAATATGCTATTTAAGGATTCTTTTGAATTGTTCTTAGATGGTAAAATAACGAGCATTGAATTACTGCAATTATCCAACTATCCTAGATTACGATAACAATTGATGGAAGATCATGCTGATTCAAAGGGAATAAGTATTTTGGGACCTCTGGTGAGATTTAAAAATAAGTTTAAACACAAATAAGTTAGAAACACTCAAGATGATAGGAGTGTCTATTTAAAATCCAAACTGCATGGACTAAACAATTTAATTCACACAAGAATGATGCAAAAGAAAGAAGACAATGAAACTTAAAGAAGATAAAATCTACAAAACGTTGGATTGTTTAAAACTATTGTGGATGCTTCAGAAGGAATTGAGGATAAATTAGCTTAATTTAAAGATCCTTTTACTAAAAAGATTCCCTCCATTAAATCATTAAAGACCATGACGGTCAGTTATGATGATTTGAAACCAAGTATTATTCATATCTATTCAAAGTTATCAAAAGTGCAAAGGAAATTCCTGCCATTTCTAAAATCTTCTTAAAAAACAATTTAACTGAATCAACAAAAAAATATATGGATGAAGCCTCAAGGTAACAATATCTTAAGTAACAGGAATTAAACAAACTTACTAAAATGCAAATTACCAAATAATCCAATTCCAAATTTCAATTGTATAATAAGGATGTATTGACATCCAAAGATCTAGAACTCTATGACTATCTTCACAATAAACCAAAACCCATTATTCTTAGAAACCATTTCACTGAAATGGATGAAGAAGTTATTCCATCCCATGAAATTATTGCTTCTAAAATTGGAAACCAAAGACTCAAAAAGAGATATCATAAAACCGAATAAAAAATTCATGAAGACTTGGACAATGAATCTCATACTTCTTCATTGTAATCTACTTATGAAATTCATCTAGACAATTTATATTCTTAAACTGTTGATTTAAAAAAACAACTCACTAAAAAGACTACTCTACCAAAAAAAGTTAAATAAATGATTAAACTTGATGAGCTCAACCAACAATCTCTATAGGCGAATACATTCAAATTGACACATTGAAAAAATTATATTTTTATATATTATCAGATTTTTCTTATATTTTATAGTCTTATTAAATGTCTTTCCTCAGCATCCTTAATAGTACTTAGTTTTGCTGAAGATACTTAAGTTTTTAGCTTGTTTATTGCAAATTAATCACTTTATTATTGTTCCTACAAAATTTTGATTTATTTTCTTAAATGCTAATTTGATTCATTTACATCTTCAAATTACTTTTTATACATTTTTTCCTCTGCCTTTTAAGTTTAATGTAAAATTGCTTATTTACTTACATATTCCTCATATTGCATTGTTTTACGTTAATACTTTTCATTTTATTCTTTCAGTTATTTAATCTAATCTTCTTATTCCAATAATAAATTCAATTGATCCTTCGCTTATTCAGATAATTCTTAAAGTTGTTTTTATTATTCAGTCAATAATTCTACCTTTTCCTATAAATTCTATTAATTTTCTTCGTTTTCTGATTATTTTAACTATATTTCTCGCTCTAAATCTTTTTCGACATCTTCAAGAGCTTAAATTTACTATTTTAAATTTTTTATTATTAGTTCATACTCGTTTTTCATTTGCAGTTCTTTAGCTTCAAATTCTGAAATTTGTTTTTCTAAGGTATTTTTAAAATGCGCTTGCATAGTATATCTAATTTATTCCATCTTATCAGAGAAATCTCTTTATGTAAACTCATAGTCTAATTTCAATTGTTTCGATACAACTTAACATGTTTATATCGAAATTAGTTATAAATCTTTCTAGATTGATAATTTAAATGTTTCCATATCTAATTTGAGACTTGAAAATATCTTTTGCAAACCTACTTTGATTTTATTCTTAACTTCCTCTACTTTCAATTTATAATTTCGCAATTTCCTTTTATAATTCTTCTCCTGTTCATTTTATTATGTCTTTATATTAGCCTAGTCCTACTAGTTCTTTTTCTTATACCTTTCTAATTCTTCATTCAAATCTATTAATTTGGTTTCTAAGGACTTTATTTATTTGTATTATGTTTCATTTTATTATTTCAACTATTTAGTTCTATTTTCCAAACATTGCTTGTCAATATTTAATGTTTCATTAGTTTTTTTCAAGCTTTACATCTATTACCTTAACTAAGTAGCTGCTTCTTATTCAGCCTTCAATTATGCTTTTGTCTACTTAAAGTCTTTCCCAACATGCTGTTAGATTTCCTTTTCTTTTGTTAAAGCTGCTTATTAATCACTAACTACTTATTCTAATTCCGACAATTTTAATTATAAAAATTAGCATTACTCTTATTCTTTTTATTTATAACTATCTTATATTTAATTCAAATTTTGTTCAAATTCCTCAGCCAATTCTTATTTTTGTTATAAAATGTTCTCTTACATAAAATTTAATTTCTATTCTATTTCTCCTAAGGCTACTTACAATTCATCTATTTATTTATTTTGTTCTTTGATTATTTTCTATTTATCTGTTCTGTCTTCATCCATTTCTCTTAAATCATGTCTTAATGAAAGACATTCTTAAATAGAACATTCCAATTGAGTTTTCGTATGTGCATGTTCCTTCTTCCAATACAATTCCGTATGATCATCAAGTGCTTATTCAAAAATCGATTATAATCTATCGAGATTAATGAATTTCTTACTTCTTCAAAATATCCTAAGAATCACTTCTATTAGTTAAAAGCTTCTTCAATTCTTAGTCTAATTTAATTTGCTACATAGTTTATTATAGGAGAGCTCTCATATTTAATTAAAATAATATAAATCAATCACCTTGTTTTAAGAACCCAATAAATTTGTCTCTAAAACTAGAAGACTATTATTGACCTTGTGCCTAGTTCTATTTATTCCGATATGGGTCTATCATAATATTTAAGATTTACTTATTTTCTCTTTTTCATCCCTAGTTAAATCCAATAGACTTGCTAAAGTCTCTAATATTTACACTTTAACCTTGAAATCAGAATTGAAATCAAAGTATTGTATCAACACATTTGTTATAACCCTTTTATCAACCATATTATTAACATAATTTTGATCTTACCTAATTTTATTATGAAGAGCCTGGGCTTCTGATTTCAGATCCTCATGAGATCGTAAAAGAGATTCATGCTTGATTGTCAACTCCTCCACTTACAATTTCAATTAAGAATTGCTTAGTTTCAATTTTTCATTATTTTCCTTTAAAAACTTCAATTAACTGATATCCTCTTTACTAATCTCAGATCGTAATTTCTTAAATTCCTCCTAGAACTTTTTTATGATCTTTTCTTTCTAATCCTAAAAAATATGAATTCAACAACAATACTTTCTCTGCTTCTAATTATAGTTAGGCTGCCTGAATACCGCTTTAAAGTGATTAATTTTCAAGTTGCCATTCCTCTAATAGTTTTTCCAACCTATCAATTTCCTCCTATTTCTACTCTAAGAGTATTCTAAGATCCTGCATTCTCTGCAAATCCTAATTACTTTATGATAACTGAAATGTATATATATATTTAATACTTCCTGCTCCTTTTATTTAAGCTTAGCCCTAAGATTCTCTGATTCATTAAAATTTTATTTTATTTCTTCAGCATAGTCTCTTTTTATTTTATCCCACTCTTATTGATATTTCTCAAGTTCTTTTATTCTATTCTATAAATCCTTAATTTAGCTATTTGTATTATTGGTCTTCTCTTGCATCTCCACTATCTTCTTTTATAGATTCGCATTATCATTTATTAATTATTACTCTTTTTTACTCTATTATTAATCTTATTTTGATTGCAATATTTCGGTCCCTGTATTAGTAAGCGACTTTTCTATTAAACTCACAATCTCTTTGGACTACCCTTTTTATTATCTGAGTTAGTTAAATCTATCATAAAAAGTACTCTAGCGAGATATTGAAATAAAGAATTAATTGATCAATGCTCCTATATCCCCTATTGATTATTACTCTATGGAAAGTTGGTCATTTAACTTAGTGATTGATTCTTGAAAGTTATTTTGAATTTATTGAATCTATGTATCTAACTGATTTGATGCATTCTTAAAGATCTCATTTAGCTTATCTTTAAGAGTAACCAAATTAGTTTGATCATTATTATTAATATCTTGTTTATTTATTTCTGGTTGTTCCTGTGTTTACTCTTACTAATCTGTTTAAATATCAGGATTAATTCCTTCTTTACTCTCTTACAATTCCTCTGAAACACTTAATGAAGTATTAATTGTTTATGAAATTGATGCAAAGGTCTGTTAAATAAATTCTTTGATTTCAACCAAAGATGAATTATCAATTTCTGGTCTTTTGATTTCCTGCATTTCAATTTTCTTCTCTATTTGAATTGGAGATGTGGACTCAATGGGACTCCTGGAGGATGAGTCATTTGCTTTTTTTGAATTCTCTTTGGGACTTTAAGCTAAACCGTATCCTTTTTATAATTAGGCAAATGCTGATTGAAAATCCTGATTAACATTGTTTGTTTAATTTTCATTCTCCTCTGTATCAACTGTTATCAAATCTTTTGCGAAATCTTTCACTTTGGACACTGCTCCACCAGCCTTACTTGTAAGTTGAGTAATCTTATTCCAACCTAGCATTCAAAATAATATTAAATATTATAAAATATTAATGAATATATATTAGAAATAATGAAATTCCTAATGTTAAATAGATTGTTCATATAATATACTCAGATGTGAGAACATCTCAGGATTAATGAGAGATCATGGCTATAAGACTTTTGAGTTTAAGTGAGAATAAATTATGTATTTTATAATATTATATATAAAAAATGGAAAAAAACTATATTGTGTTAATAGGAGTATCGCTTTTCTTCCTGACTCTGTTTATGGTGAACACGTTTAATTAGTATGAGAAAGTAGTTGAATAGATAAAGTTGGATAAGCAACCATTGGCAATTGATTTGATGGATTATAAAGTGCCATCAATTTGGGATGTTGCAAAACCAGATAAGGAGGAGCTTGAGAATTTGGATAAAGATGAGCTCGAGATTATTAATGGTAGTATAGCTTTGCCAAACTGTCAATATTAGAAAAGAAATTCAGCAGTGGTATTACTAGAGAAGAACTTGGTAGAAACGGATGGACATTATTGCATATGATATCAGCAACGTTGCCTGTAGATTTTGATGAGGAATTCACATTCAAAATTAATGTGTTTTTAAATCTTTTGTATTTATACATTTAATCCTAGTGGCTAATTTTATCCATGCAAAGAGTGTGCAGGGCATTTTTTAAATATGACAACAAATTTGCCCTATGAAGGAAACTCGAGAGTGGATTTCATGCAATATTTGTGCATGCTCCATAATGAAGTTAATTAGAGATTAAATAAGGTGAGATAATTATAGAAATTATAAGACTTTGTTCAATTGCAGTATCGTTCATGAAAGATGGGGTGGAGATTGTGGATGCTCAAGTAAATTAGAAGAGAGCATCAAAAAATATAGTCGAGATTAGAATTGATAAATACATAAATATAATTAATAATGGGTTGTGCATCATCTGATTCTGCTTCTGCAAATAATCCTAGAAAATTAGAACAACAAAAAGAGTTCACAGGAGAAAAGATATCATCAGAGATCTTCGTTGACTTGAAGGATGGCAACATCTATGAAGAGTATGAGGTCAGGTCAACTTTGGGAGAAGGGGCCTTTGGCTGTGTAAAATTAGTGGCTCATCGCAAAACCAGTATCAATTGATATTATCAAATTAGAAATGCCATACGCCATGAAACAAATCAAGAAATAAGGATTAATTAAGGAGGACCAAAAGATCTTATTTAGTGAGATGGACATTTTGAGGTTAATTGACCATCCCAATATTGTTAAGTTACATAAACTATATTAAGACAATATCCATTATTATATGGTCACTGAACTTTGCTAGGGAGGAGAACTATTTGATAAACTTGCTTCAGAAAAGAACTTTACTGAAAAGAAGGCAGCTGAAATTATGAAATAAGTATTATCTGCTGTGACGTATTGTCATGAAAGGAAAATCATTCATAGAGATCTCAAATTGGAGAACATCTTACTAGAAACCAAAAGTGCCAATTCAAATATCAAAGTAATAGATTTTGGTACTTCTCGTAAAGTGCAAGAAGACGAAAAATTAAAATTAAAAATTGGAACTGTATTTCTTATCTTAAACTTAAGTTATACTACATGGCACCTGAAGTATTCCAAGGTTAATATGATCTTAAAGTCGATGTGTGGAGTGTTGGGGTCATTCTCTATATCCTCTTGTGTGGTTATCCTCCCTTCAATGGTGACGATACAACAATCAAAAAGAAAATTCAAAAAGGCACTTTCGAATTCAATGGTAATCAAATCCTTTCTATCCAGATACTGAATGGAGATCAATTTCCCAAGAAGCAAAAGACTTGATTACTAAAATGTTAAAATTTGACCCCTAACAAAGAATCACAGCCCAATAGGCTTTATAAGATCCATGGATTCAATCGAAAGCTCCCAGTAATCCAGTACAACCCAATGCACTAAATAATTTAAAGAATTTCTATGTATCATTGTTAAAATATCATCATAGAGTACATCTAAATTAAAAAATGCTATTTAATTATTCATTGTCACTTAAGTTACAACCTATCAGGAAAAGGAAGAATAGCTGAAATAATTTAAAGCTATGGATACTGATGGAAATGGAACTATCAGTCCTGATGAACTAAAGAAACATTATTCTAAACATTATGGATAAGAGTAGGCTGAGAAATTAGTTTAAGAAATCATGAAATAAGTTGATATTAACTAATCAGGATAAATCGATTTCAATGGTATTTTAGCATTTTTAATTAATTTTTAGAGTTTTTGGTGGCTGCAGTAAATAAAGAAAAAATACTTTCCCAAGAGAAATTGAAATAGGTGTTCTAGATGTTTGATAAAGTATATATAATAATAATTTTAGAACGGGGATGGCAAAATTCAAAGAGCTGAACTTTAATATATTATGTCAGGTATAAAGATTGATGATGGCTAATGGAAGAATATTTTGGAAGAATGTGATAAGGATAATGATGGGGAGATCTCTTTGGATGAATTAATAACTCTGATGCAAAAATTAAAGTGAATTTAGTGAATTTTATTAATATTTTTAAATATAATTATTAATGAAATCACTAGTCTTTGTTACAATAATGTTTTGTATAGCGTTAAGTTAAATTACATACGAAGAATGCAAACGGGATTGTACTATGGATTGGTTAGATTGCACAAGTGGATGTGATAGTATTGGTAATCCATCATATTGCCATAAAAATTGCCAGAAGTACTTAAAACCTAATGTGTAGTGTGGTTCATGGATGTTTAGATGAATGTCCGAAAATAATTTGTATTGACGAGTGTAGGATCATATTGGAACAGTGTCGTAAAAACGGAACAGGGATTTGCGAAGTTCATTTTAATCAGTGCAAATTGATCTGCGAGGATACTTATAATGAAAATTAAGATATATGAATATAATTTAATTAATATCTAGATAGGCTACGAATGCATCAAGATTATATAATTAATAATAATATATAATCAACATTAAAACGATGAATTTATATTCCGTTTTTGGTATTAATAAAATAAATATGAAAACATTCGTTGTGATTTGCCTCGTAGCAGCTGTGTTTGCACTTGACACAAACAAATTCGCCGTGCTTCTCCAAGCAGGCACAAGAGGAAATGATGCCGTCGAATCAGTTTACAATCTCTTGAGAGATTTGAAGACAGAAAATGTTAATGTGTAAGCTGCTGCCGACAAAAAGAACAATACAGACGAAGGTACTTCATTCATTCATTCTTTCTAGAAATCTTTTCCCAAGTCATTGGCGACTTGACTAATGTTGCCTCACTCAACAAACAATAATGGGAAGCACTCGGAGCTGTCAGAACAGATGTTGAAGCCTAAGTCAGAGTAAGCAAAATAATTAATTCATCAAGGATGGATATTAATGGTTGGCCTGGGCTGAATCCAGACTTGCTGAAATCGAAAGAAGAAATGCTTAACTCCAAGACTAAAGATGTTGGGCCAATGGACTCTTCGTCAAATCCCTCGCTGATCACGGTGATGCCGTCGCAGTCGTCTAACTCTTATAATAAGATGTTGCTGGTTTCCTCACTAACAACGCTGGAGTCGAACTCGTCGAAAAAGCCCAAACTATCGCCGATAAATTATCAGCATATAGCCATCTTTTCTAATAAGATGCCCTCCAAAAATTCAAATCACTTGCTGAAGTCAAGAGAGAAGGCACAACCGGAGAATAAGTCCTCCAAATCTTGTTTGACTTATAAGCTGAATTAGAATCCACTCTTGCCACTCTTTAAGAATAAGAAATTCATGCTGCCTTTGCTCTTGCTAAATACGTCTCAGACACCAACGCCGAAGTTGCCTGGTTGAATTCCGAACACGAAAGAAGAACTGGTCTTGTTGAAAAATTAGAAACTGTACTTCCATTTCTTACATTCCTTTTTAGCAACTCCCAGCTGTCCTTGCCTAATAAGCCAAAGCACTCAAATTGTGGAAGGATTCCTTGAACGCTGTTGCTGGTGCCACTGCTGATTTGGAAGAGAAAAGAGAATTCTATGCCTCCGAAACTGCAAGAAGAGCCGGTACCAATTATCACAATAATCTATAGAGGAAAATGCCATTATCGATGTTGTCATCTAATTGTTCAAAGATTAAGTTAGATCCTTAGCTTCATAAACCAGTCTTGGAAGAAAATGATTTCCATTATACAAATATATTCAATTTAAAAAATGAATCATTTTTATATCATTTCAATCCAATCTCCTAAATATTTTATAATAAAATATTCTTAATAATTTTTACATTAATCTATAAATCCAAACTCAATAAACCTTTATTGAAGTACTCTATATCCCTGCCTTTCTTAATAATACTAATATTCTATAATGCTTCAATAGTTAATAGGATAATAAGATATAAAAGAAACATGAGTTATTTGTCTTATGTGTATTTAATTTATTATCTTCTGTTTCCAACACTATCATTAAGATTAGGTTTATTACAACTCAATAATTTATGGTTTATATTGTTTGAGTTAATAATAATTATCTTTCTCTATAGAATTAGCATTAGTTTTTTCTATAATTCATGACATATTATCTCATGAATTTACTCAAAGAATTTTCTAAATTAGTCATTGTTTTAAAGCATTGAAATCTTATCATCAGTATTTTTATATAGTCTTTTTGAAAAAATTTATAATCTTCTTAATAATGATTTTCTCTGTTGGAAAATGTAGAGTAAAAACATTTCAATTAAATACGAACAATCAAATTGAAACTACAACTATATTTAAAGATATTGGTAAAAATTATTTACACTTTTGATATCTAATCAAAATTTATGTTTAGAAGATAATATAAAATAAACATAAGATATTGTTTTGATATTATCATGATAATTACATTTAAACTATAGCTTGTAAAGTACAATTTTGATTTCTAGTTTACTACTTCTTTTCTGTTACAAACTTTCATTCTGTAATTATTATATACTTTCATATCATAAATTAAATAATCAAATTAAATTAAATAATTTAAGTAATAAGATATTATTTAATGATTTCCATTTTTTTAAAGTTTTAATTTCAAGCTACATAACTTTTTGGAATTTTCGATTAAATCAATATAAAATGTACTTGATTAATTCACCATTTAATTTAGCATTTTTGCAAATAAATCAAATATCTGGGCCAATTAGATTAGCAAAGCTTCTAAAGACCATGAATATACTTCTTTATTAATATGATTCTCTATTCTTTAATATAATTGTTTTCAAATGACTTCATACGATATTTCAAGTTAAAATTACTCAATAATATAAATAGAATAGAATATGAGGTTGTTTTGGATTCGTAAAATAACTTTTTGAATTTTCTTAAAATACCATAACCAAAAAAGATACTATCCATTGATATCTGTTAGATTAGTATAGTTTAAGTATTTAGGCAAAAAGAAGACTATCTAATTAAACTTCATCCATTTTAAAATGAATCAATAAATTTAAAGATTAAATTAATTTAGCATAATAATATATTCGAATATCATCAAAATAAATAAATATTTAAAACTATATAAATCTTTATATATTTTTACCAAATTTGACCACAATATTGAATTAGGGATTTTATTCTAATAAAAAGTTTCATAGTTTATTTTGATTCTGTAGAATTATAAATTCGAAAATAGATATTCTTTTTTTACTAAGAATTCTAAATAATAAAATAGAGTAAATTTATTTAAGTAATATTCAAAAGGGGGGAAATATAAATTTTATTATACATAAATAAAAATTATGTTAACTTCTTCTATAGTGAGTGTTGATTCCAGCAAAGTATATAAACCAAAGGCTAGTCAAGTTGGATTGCTATCTACTGCAATTAGCAAACTAGGTGATTCTAGCTTTGTTTCAAAAAGTAGAGAATCTACAAACATGTCTCCTGTTAGAATGAGGCTATTTCGAGATTCATCACCAAAATAAACTAAGGGATTACAAGGAGTAGTTGTTGGAGAATATCAGTATGATTATTAGGTAAATAATTTAGCCCTTTGACACCTACAAATATTGTATTTAGTAGTATTCATAAAAGCACATCTCCTCTGAGATCTAGTAGAAATTATAATGAGTCACCATAAAGAGCAAAGGTAAGATTGGATAGATTCAAAAATTGGGATTCAAAGTTAGGACTGGAACTCCAAATATAAAATACTAAATTTACGCGTCTCAATAATGAATTGACTTATTTAAGTCACTAACCTCATCATTAGACCAATAGATCAGCTATTTTCTTGGGCAGCAATTTAAGTAGACTTGGTGTTGGTGGAAACTAAAGTGATATCAGACTTTTGACAGCCAAATTGAATGCCATTCAACCCTCTCAAATTGGAACCTTTACTGCGGGGTAAGAAATATTATATAATATTTATAGTCATTCTCACGAGTTGTCTTCATTGCAATAATCGTTGAGCAGAATCATGAAATCAAGCCGACAGTATTGAACAAAATTGATTTTTATATTATATTAAAATAATATAAAATGGATATTAAAATAATAACTTAAAGTGATACATTCTTAATCTATAAGGAGATCTAAACTTTATAAGACTTAAAGAAAGAAATCAAAAGAATAGGGATCTAAACAAGAGACATCATAATTTAGTACCAAAGCTATTTCTACTTAAGCTTAGCTTTTATGATAATGATTCTGATAAAGTTGTGATAATATAGGATGAGGATCTCTAATATGCTTACCAGCAATCCAAGGCTCTAAAAAAGCAGTCCATCAAATTATATGCTTATTACAAATTGAGTCAGCCTAAAATTCTCCAATTTGAACCTTCAATTAAATTTTCAACGTAATAGCCTAAATAGGATTGGATTTTTTAGTCCTTCAATGAAAATAGCAGCCAATCTTTGACAAATTCAAACGAAATTCAAACCTGCTTTCAAAATAGATATACTATTGTACCAGAGCCACCAAAAACAAGAGAAGAAAAGCTTAAATCAGCGATTGATTCTTTCATTGATTAAATTTTAAAGGAAGAATATCAGATATGATATCTATTAATATTATATATATATAAAATATTATACAGATATATTTATGATTAACTTAATTTATTATATAATGTACTTATGTATTGTATTATTATATCAATCATTTTCTGGCTGCTAAGGCAACTTGAGTTGCAATTCTATTTAAGTCTTATTATCCTTCCTTGGTAACAATTCGTGATCCCTTTTTTAAGAGTGACTTGCTATCCTTCTTTAAAACTTTAATAGCTTCCAATTATTGAAGCAAGTATCTAATGACCTTTCCAGATCCTGATTCATGTTTGCCATTATCATTAACTGAACCAAACATATGAGTGAGATTTCCAACTCCCTGTTTTGTAATTAAAAATTTCATACCCAGTGACCTCTAACATAAATTTTACGAGCAAGTGCTGCAGCTCTAACATACATCCAATCTTAGTCAATTGGTGAAATTTCTTTTCCAAGTCCTGTCTTGACAATTGAACCCCATTCTGGAATTTTGATCTTGTTATTTTTTTTCAAATATTCAGCATAAGCATGAATGAAATCTTATGCAGGTACGTCCTTTTAAAATTAAATAGTTATTCATACTTTCACTGTGAAAAATGGTGTTGCCATAAGAAAAATTAAATTATTTTTTGAATATTTGCAAGATTTTAAGTCATAAATAAAAGTGTTTAATCAAGTATGCTTAACATTCTTTCAATTTAGTCAATTCATAATTTATTTCAATTTTGAGAAATTCATAATGATGATGCTATAATTCCTATAAGATTAGAAAAGGCAATTAGCTAAGGAATCCTTAACCAAAAGGAACTCATCTTTTCAATAAACGTAGCCTACAATTTGATTTCAATATTAAATTCTTTGAATGAATTAGATATCTAAAATAATTTTCCCTCAAAATATAAATAATGATAGTGTATAAGAAATTGTAAAAAAGCTTATATAATAGTATTAACATTATTCTTAAATGAAAACTAAAATTAATAGTATTATAGGAAATATTATTTAGTAGAAGTCATTTAAATGATGAAATACGTTATAAACGATAGGAAACTTGGGAAGGGGTATTAATCTATAGAGGATAATCATAATGAAGGATAGTGATAGGAGGAGGAAGGAGAGATAAATTGGAATAAAATATTAAATTATAAATTTTTTGATTGTAAGGGTGAGTATAGTTGGGAGATTTGATGGATGAAAGAAATGGTAATCAAAAGTTGATGAGATGATGTTAGTAATATTATAAGAAAATGGGGAAAAATATTTATAAATTAATTACATACATAAGCTTTATCGATCCGTTTTTAAAAACATTAAATAAATAAATGCAAAAACTAGCTATCTTGACATTGGTTCTTGCTCTTGCAGCTGCCAAGTTTGTAGATACACATGCAAGCTTGGCTTAAATTGATGCCAATCCATTCGGAAATGTCGTGTTGTCAGCCATCAAAGCCCACTTGTAAGCCTAAACACCAGCCAATGAAGTTAATATGTTATTGAACGGTGTTGCTGCTGGATTGTAATAAGACTAAAATGACCACGACCACGCTTTCGAACTTGATACAACCACAAACAACAGAGTAAGAATATTAAACTATATAACAGATCGTTGAAGACTTGGAAAAGGAAATCTTGTATCACTAAAATCAAATCTCATCCAACACTTAATTGAGAGATGACACAATTGAAGCTTTGGCTGTTTCTGAAGAAGACATCAGAGTTACAATTTCAGACATTGCAACAAATGAATAAACTTATGCTAGAGAAGAAGCCACAAGAAACTAATAACACGAAACCTTTGTTGCCAAGGTTGCTGCCATCGATGATGTTATTGATGCTATTGATGATGCTGCCAAACTCATCCAACATTTGAGCTTAGGTGCTTCATTCGTCTAAGTCAAATCAAAGTATGAAACAGTTCACAAGAGACTTACCGATAACACTTCACACAGCCAACTCTTATAAGTAAATCCTTCTTTCTATTATCCCTCTTTAGCCAGTCGTTGTTGCTCTTACTGAATTAGCCACTCACGGTGTTAACTAAAAGGCCTTGACCAAGATTGCCTAATTATTGAGCGAAATCAGATAATAATTAGTCTAAGAAAAGGCTGCCAAGACAGTATTTAATTAATCAAATTATCAAGGACGTTGAAGATAGATAAGCTGCACACTGGGCTGAATTCAGCGTTCATTTGAGCAATGAACACACCAGATTGGTTGAAAGAAAGGCTTAATTGGAAGTCTAAATCTAAGAATAAAAGGATACCATTGAAGATGCCTAATCTTGGATCGAATTCCACACCTTGGAATTAGAAAACAGTGAAGAGAGACTTGCTGGATAATAAGCATGGTATGCAGTCTAATCAGAAATCTATGAAACCTAAACTGCTGAAAGGTATAATAAATTATAATATCCTTCTTTAGAGCTGCTTAAAATGAAATCGTTGATAGACTCTAAGAACACATCAGTGAGAAATTATCAACCACCGCCCAATTCATCAGCAAAAGAAATTGATTTATTAAAATAAATAAATTATGAACAATAGTTCTTTATGCATTTTATGTTTTCAGCAATCTTATATAATGAAAAAAACTATAGATATTCTTACTTTAAAAAAATGAATCAAAACGCCCAATATAACACCGTAGCAAAATAATTGGTTATCAAAGGATAATGATGATAGGTAGGTAATTACATAAAATTAAGAATCGAAATATATCAAAACTTCTTTAAATTCATCTATTCTTGATATAAAATATAAAATTTTTTTAATTTTCTTTGTTTATTTTGGGGGTACTTAAGTTATTGATATATATATATATCTATTTATATAATAACTTTTCTTTCTCCAGATTAATGAAATAAAACAAATGCGAATTATAATCTAATTTGTAAATTATAACGAAAAACTTTATTAATAAAAAAACTTATTTGGCAAAATAAATAAATTTATATGAATATCGATTAAGGTATAAAATAATTCAAAGGAGATGAGAGACAATATAAAACATCCCTACTCACTTTTGATTCCCTCACACTATGTCCATCAATCAATAATATTGTTGAATATTATCAAAATAAGGATCTGAAATCAATTTAATTAGAACTTAAGTAGATTTATCAATCAGCTCAAATAGTCAATTTAACTGCATTTGGAACCACAGTTTCCTAATTCATACAGTTTTTTGAAAGAGTTAACAAGCAAGAACCAAATTATGATTATTAACTGCATAATTAATTACGCAACTATTTCTTAAAGGTCAAAGAAACTAGAGAATTAATATCATAATATGCTGGAGTCTAACTAGATTGCACTCAGATCGATTTCATACTTCAGCAAATGCTGTAAGGACAAAACTTGAATAATACTGTGTCTTAACCAAAATCCTTTAGATCTAATGAGAATCCTACCAATATGTAGGATGAGAAAGACTAATACTTACAAGCCAAAGATAATGTAATCTCTTAACCACGAAAACCCAATGAAGACTGCTGTTTTATATCATGAATATATTTCTTTAATTTTATAAAAATAAATTTATTTCACTTATTATAAATGCAATGAAGCATGAGAATAATATGCTTTATGTTAATTCTTCATACATATACCTTAGTTACAAGTAAACAATGCTTAGGATAAATAAAAGGTTTAATGGCTTGTAGTGATAACAAAAATTTGGTCAAGTTTTTAAAATTCACCTTTTTGTTATAAATACTCTTCTCATACTCATCATTTCTTCAAATTTAATATTCATAATGAAATTTTGATAACTTGAAACAAAGACTTTAAAAATAATATACTTGAATGTACTGTTAATTATTTTTTAAAATGTAAGGCTCTTAAAATTCTAAACAATTTTTCTCTTGCCTTATAGATTTTGTTATTTAATTTTATTCATTTACAAGTTATTATGATTGCATATAGATGTTTTTTGAATTGTAAATCATCCAGGATTCACATTTGAATAAATAAACATTCATATTCTATTATAAAATATTTTGATGATTTTTAAAAAATGAAGATTTGATTATTAATAATCATAATCTTTTTAAATTTATTTACAATTCTTGTTTGTTAACATATAAAATCAAAATAAATGATAAGATTCTTATAAATAATATCTTGAATTGGAATGACAATTATTGTTATTTAATATAAGTTGGGGCAAGTAATAATGATATGGAATGTTCAAGGTTGACTTACAATGAAGAAAATAATTAAGATGCAATATGGAATGGGCATTTACATTTAAATTCTGATTTAAAAGTGAAATATCTAAATGGTTGATTGGATCTTGGGTATGGGATGGATTGTGTATTATAAAAATTTGGTGATTATAATAATAATGTATATCAGATTAGGAATGAGTGTAGTGAAGATTGATTTTTAATTAATTTAATGAGTGATTTAGCTTAATTCAAAGAGTCAAGAAAACGTGGGATTGATGAGTTCCATACGAGTCAAGACTTGATCTACTACATCATTTCGAAGAAGTAAAGCATTTAAGATGTAAACGAGTAGATGGTTGGAAGAGTGGTTAGAGAGTGAAGAAAAAGGACAAACATTTAACAACTACTCTTGTGTGAATTCAGATCTCCTTTTGCCTAAGCCATCAACCATCTTTAAGTATGATCCGATTCAAAGCCATATGTGGAATAAGATAATACTTCCGAATCTTTAAGAGGGAGTGGATTATGAAATTTTAGATAAGGCAACTTGGGAAATCATTGCTAAAAAGTCATGATATATTTGATTATATAGGTTCCACACGACAACTATTGAACGAGATGCCGTAATTATAAATGGAAAGAAACAAGTGAATGTCAATCTTGTACCTTTAAATTTAGGAGCAGTGTTTCCTTCTTCACTTCGTAAATTCAATGGAGGAAAATCAGTATCACTCATAAAGGGAGACTAATATGTCAGTCGAACATGCAAATTATCCTCATTTATTGAATTGTTAGCAAACACTTTATAGACCGTGTACGTAATTATCATAACACCATTAATAGTAACGGTTATAATTTCATCAAACATGATGGAATTCGACTCTATAAATCTCCCTTGGGCATGACTGTTTAAGAAATTGAAAAGCATATCTCTGAAGAAATTAAGAGTCTTGGAACTTATGATGAGGTAGTATTCGATTTCAAAGATGGTGAATATTTGGACCCAACCAAGTATGAAACTATTGATGATTGTCAAATCGCACCAGGCTAAATAATTCTTGGAGATTTCAAAGAAATGTAAAAAAATTGGGCCATTAAACACCCCAATTTCCCAATGGAAGGAAAATGTGAAGGATGTTATAATTTTAAAGTCCTTCAATTTCCATGTGATTGCAAGAAAGTAAGCTATTGTACTGAGGAATGCAAAAAAAGAGATGAGGCATACCATTTACCAAGATGTGAAAAGACAGATTCTGATGATGAAACTATGGATAAACTCTAAAGAAATGAAAACTCTATGGATGGCAAGGTTGGATTGAAGAATCTAGGAAATACTTGTTTTATGAATTCAGGAATTCAATGTATTGGTAATACATACCCAATAAGAGATTACTTGTTGTCTAATCAATATAAATAAGATATCAATGAATTAAATACTTTGGGTACCAAAGGAGAATTGGCATCAAAGTTTGCTCATCTTTTGAGAAGAATGTGGTATGCTGATCGAACACCCATACCTCCCTTCTCACTTAAAAGAGCAATTGGAAAATTTTAACCATAATTCTAAGGATTCCAATAACATGACAGTTAAGAATTGATTACTTATTTATTGGATGGATTGAATGAAGATTTGTGTCGTATTAAACAAAAACCTTATGTGGAGAGAAAAGATTATGATGGCAGACCTGATTTTGAAGTTGCTAAGGAATCCTGGGAACAGTTTAAGTTAAGAAACGATAGCATCATTGTTGACAATCTCTATGGTTAATATAAAAGTACTTTAAGATGTCCAAATTGCAATAAAATATCTATAACATTTGATCCATACTTGATGGTTAATGTTAGTATACCTCAGAATACAACTAAAAAATTAGAAATTCAATTCATTGATCCAAATTTATTGTGGGATTGCCAAACACTAGTCTATAATTATGACAAGGCTTAAGATCCGACACTTGGATAAATCCTACAATCTCCAGAAATTTAAGAGAAAATTTAACAAATTAACCCATCTGATTTGATTTATATCTGTACATCAGCTTACTAACACGATGATACAGATGAAAACGATAAAATGTCGAGTTTAAGGAAGAAGTTGAAATATAAAAAGTTATACATCAGAAAAGCTTTGTAATCTGAACTCAACATTGAAAAGGAAAATAAAATTTGCATTATGATACATGAATCTTTCAAGCAGAATGCCTAATATCAATGGAAAAGAGAAATTACTCCTGCCTTCAACTTCTATTTTGATAAAACAAAAACAAAACATATTGATATACATAAATTCATATTCGACATTCATATTGGAGTTTTGGCAACCTTTGAAGAGCTTCATAAATATTAGGGCGATAATTGGAGTGAATATTATGAAGAAAATATATTGGACAAGGTTTATTACTTAGAATTCAAATCCAATTAAAATTGGCAAGTTGAATGTGCCTATTGCGATGCCAAATCATGTAATGATTGTGTCTGTGCATATGGATCTGATAATTCAATTGAAAAATATTTATAAAAAGAACCTAAATTAGAAATTGAAGTATTTGTTGTTTGGAAGAGAGGCTTCAAATTCACAAGCTCTGTCGATGAATTATACAACGATTGGTCCAAACATCAACAAAGAATATAAAATAATGTGGTTGAAGAATTGCCCAAATAACAAAACGATCAAGAAGTTTAATAGGATAATGTAGAAGATACAAAGCAATAGGAAGATTTAACGGATGAATAATTGGCTTAGAAATAAAACTTCAATACATGTGTTATACCCTTAGGACCTTCAATACCTACAATCTAACCTACTAATATTAAGGTTGGAACAGAAAAATCAATGAAATTGGGAGAATGTTTGAAATTCTCGGAAGAACCAGAACAATTGGATGAAGAGAATACCTGGTATTGCAATTAATGCAAAGATCATGTGTATATTATCATTTTTATATGTTAGACGTGCATTTAAAGTTATGGAAATCTACAAAACACCTAAAATATTGATATTCCACTTGAAGAGGTTCAAGAACTCAAACAAGTTTTTCAAAAGCAAACTTGAAACATTGATAGAGTTTCCAATCCAAGATTTTGACATTAGAGAGTTTGTTTAGAATCATCATTTGCCTTCAGATTTTCATACCGAAGACCCAGAAAATCCTAGTATCAAATTTATTAATCCTAGAACTTAACAACCCTATATATTATGATCTTTATGCAATTTCTAATCATTTTGGAGGATTGGGAGGTGGACATTATACAGCCTTTGCTAAAAACTACTATGACAACACATGGTATAATTTTGATGACAGCTCAGTGTATCCCATCAAAGAGGACTCTGTTAATTCAACGTTAACTACAAGTGCAGCTTATGTATTATTTTACCGTAGAAGAGAATGATATACAAAAAGCAAAAAATAAAAATATATATTTATATCAATCATATTATTTTCTAATCTGTCTCTGCATGTAATCTTAAAAATCATTGTCCTATATTTCAATGAGTTTAAACCTATCCAAAGAGTCTTTCTATTTAATTTTCCTTTCCTTAATGTTATAATTATTGATTTTCACCCTATAACTAGGATTATTACTATCTGAAGTTGTTAATTATCTACAACTGTGTTATGTTCTTCTTCTATTTGTCATTGACTCCTCTGTTTGACAAGAGATTGATTATTATCGTTTGTTTCGACTCACACAATTCAAAGGAGATCTAGTAGCTGAACACATGAATTGTATCAGCTCCTGTCTCTTTGTTTATTAAATGATGTCTAGCTTTCGCAACAGTTGAGTTTTTCGAAATGTTCGAGAGAATGTTGAAGATGTGCTGGGTCTAGTCATTTATTCATATCTAGCAATCGAAGGACGGTGAGTTTAATAGTTATCAAATTATATCATATATATGTTTATTATAAATCATCTGCTTTATTGGTATTAATCTATTATACATTAAATAAAAAAATACATGATCCATAAACTGGTGCTTTGTTTTGATAATTAAATTAGAATCCATCCAATTCAGCTTAGGATGCATACAACTAAGTCTATTAATTCGATTAGGGGGCTGTTGGAATCTATTTCTTCTATTCTAATTCTTGCTTTTCTTTTTTCAAATCGATCATGCCTAACAAATCTGTTTAATTATTAGTGCTCTTAGGTTGACTGGCAGAGACAAATTCACCAAAATAATATTCATCTTATTATTCTTTTGGTTAATTATTGTTAACTTATATGTTAACTTAAGGGGAATATGCAGCAGCTTATGGTTTAACATAGTTGAGATTTGGTTATTATTGTTAAGGATAATTATTTATTTAATAGTTTTAGTACAAATTAGTTGAATTTTAATTTTATTACTATTACAAGGGATATAAATTTTATATGTTTTATTAGGCTTAAGGTTGTTAATATAATTATTAGGATTATTAATAATATAATTGTTAATTGTTTTGTTGAAGAGGAGGTTGGTATTATCCAAAAGGTACATTTTATTACTATTATTATGCTGCAGCAGGCACAAAAATATCATTAGGCAATAAATTAGTTTATGCTTTTTGTTGAGTTTAAGCTTATGGAATAGGATTGTTGATTGGAGTAGCTTTTTAGAACTATCCCCATTCATTTTGATTATTTTATTATTGTGATGGAGGTGGTTATAAAGGTTATGCAATTTAAGGTTATACAATTTAAGGTTATTATTAAGGGACCTATTGTGGAGTATCAAAAATGTCAAATAAATTTGTTTATTATTATTATTATTATTATTATTGTTATTATTACTATTACTATTGCTATTATTATTGTTATTAAGGTTTAGGCCCTGGAACATCCCACTTTTCACCAGGTTTAGCCAATTTCATTACAGGCTCGGAAAATGGTGCTGCAGTTGCTTATTATTATGAAGGTGCAGCCCATTATATTCCATTAAAACTTATATTGGCATTATTATTAGTATTATTACTTGCATTATTATTGTTAGCATTTGCATTATTAGTGTTATTATTATGATTTGCATTATTAGTAGATGAACCCTTGTATTTGTCTAGACCTCCTCCACTCTCTAAACCACCATAACTCGATGCTTCAATATAAATTGAATACTTACAATAATTTGTTGACTATGATTAATTGGATTCTTATCCATAATTTTTTGGCTTATTTCCCTCATATGAATTACTTCCATAACCTTAATAAGATGTGTTACTTCCAATAGCTCCAACACCACCAGCAGCTTAAAATACTTAATTTAGTGTTACCTGCTAATCGTTCTCGTATCTTTTTGGCACTCTCTCTTTCTTCTTCAATCAACTTTTCGTTGCTCAATAAATCAACCAATTGTTTTGTCTTGTCACGAACTAATTATTATTCATTTATTTACTTGAGAGTCCTTTATCAGAGCCTTGTTCAACCAAAAAGAAATCTGAGAAACTTCTGATTTTGTAAATATTGTCTCTGAATTCTCCAACACAACGAGGTGCTCCATTTTTCGTTAAATACTCTATCATGTTTAAAGTCTAGTATTTTAAAAAAGAATCATACTTTCAAAATCCGACGCCATTCTTTATTATCCGAATCAAGACGCTTCCATATGAATTTCATTATTGTATCGCAAGAAGTGCTAATAATAATCAAAAACAGTTTCTTACTATCCGTATGAAGCCTCCGCTACTTCTTATAGCAATTTAGTAGGTGTATTCCAATTCTCGTTGGAGGTTGCCTCAGACAACGTCTACTCTAATGGAGATTTGGTAAGCTTATCCTTGCTGAGGTAAATTGATATTCATACAGTTATTAAGCTGCTTCCTTGATGGCTTGCAAATTCATTTAAATTAATTAATGCAATTATTATGTCATTGTGCAATCAAATAAGATCAGATATATATATTCGATGAAGTCAAGTTTTAATTTAATTGACTCATAGCATCTCAAAAGAGGATCAAAACTTAATTAATGAAAACTCCTAGTATTCCGTTTCTGAAATCATAAAATTCCTATTGAATTTATCTATAAAATAACCACATAATATAAAATTCAATTCATCAATAATAAATATTGAGCCGCTAAAGAACAAACAACTTAATGCAGTATTTCAACAGGTAAGTTAGTAATACAAAATACAATATATTTGAAATATATTGTTATTTACCTATAAATCTTGATATTGTTTAATCTGAAGATATTTGGCAGTATTAAATAGAACAACTATCAATATTTAGAATTGTTTTTAATAGATGCAATAATTACATCCATGAGATTTATAAGAAAAAAGAATATGATTTATACAAATTGATTATTAAGGAACAACTAATAAAATTAAGAGAATTAAATATTTATAGTTTAAATAAATTTATGGTTTCAGGATTTGTATGATTAAATAATATAGTATTTTTACATGGATCATAAATTATTTTCTAAGATTAGTGATTCCATTCAGAATTAAATATGATAGCTGATTATTTGATTTAGATAGCATTTAAAGATTTTATCATATTTCAGAAAGGTTTAATTTTGAAAGTAAATTTGTATCCATACCCTAAATTACTCTAACGCCCATCTAAGATATAATTAATATTGAGGAAAAAATATCTCTAATAAATATTATCTTCAATTTGAAATGGAGAAGTAAAGATACTTTCTATCAATCTTTTCAATCCTATGGATATGATAATAAATATTCAATTAGAAAACAATTGTTGAATTTTGTTTTTACAATATCAGAAGATGGATTAGTTCGATTTTTAATTGTAGAAGATGATAATCAATAAATCTCTGATTTGATATTTGTGAATTAACCAAAAATAAGTTGATAAATAATTGTTATTAAGTTAATGAGTGTTATTGAAAAGAAATCAAATGAGTTCGAAATAAAGTGTATTGATATAATGTTAAAATGAAATATCTTTTGTAATTTTGTTTTTTTATAAAATTAGATCCATAAAAAAGTTTAATTAAATATGGAAATATCACTTATTTGGAATCATTTTTAAGCAGAGTTTTCAGGTTCATCTCTTCATAGAAATTAATAAACACTAAAAGTTTCATTGATTTATGATTATTGTTGTGAAAATATGATGAAGGGAAGATAAAAAATAATATAATTATTAATACTATATATGAAAATAAATATTCGTTTTTCCATTTTTTAGCATTAATTAATCCTCGAACGTATGCCAATAATAATTACAATAAATGTTAAAACTAACTCTTTGTGTATTGTTAGTGCTCGGCGCAACAGCCATCAATGTCTAATCATCCATCTGGACAAATCGTGACTAAAAGGCTCTCGCTTAAATCCACTCATCTGGCTGGGGTAAGTTCATTTTGAATTATGCCGAACTTCATATGTAAACAGGAGGTATCCTTTCTGAACTCAACAGCGAAATCGCAAAACTCGTAACTATTTATCGTAACTAATTTCCAAGGTTGATGAATTGGAAGAGGAATTAGCTGGAGTCCATCACGAATTCAATAGAAGAACAGATGTTCACATCAGAGAAGTTGCTAGACTTGAATAAGAAATTCAAGACAAGGAAAGAGGTATAATAAAATATGATGGTTTTAGAACTCTTCAATGCTCATGATTTCTATGATAACGTCCTCATCCCATAAAGAGATAGATTTGCTGCCTAACTTGAATAATTATAAGAAAACATTGCCTAAAACAGAAGAACACTTGCAGATGCCGAAGTCAAAAGAGAAAATGATCATGAAACCTTCGAATCAGAAGTTGTTGAACACAATGATGCTATCAGTGCTATTGATGAATGCCTTTAATTGTTGAGCACATTGGAAGCACCATCTCTTGCTTAAATCAAAAAGGTTCAAAAGAACCTCAGCAAAATCCAAAGCTCCTTGAAAAAACACAACTAATTCCAAATCTTCGTTAAAGTCCTCTTGGAAATCACAGTTGAATCTAACTTTGCTGACTAAGGTGCTCTTAGAGACGTAATTCTAACAACTTAAATGATAGATTGTTGTTGCTTTCAATAATTTGAGAGTTGAATTGGTTGATTCACTCAACTAAATCACTGCTGACGAAGCTTAAGCTGTTACTGATTTCAACGCCTAAGTAGTCTAATTAAACCAAGAACATGCTGAATTCTAAAGAGCAGTTGTTGTTAAGAATGCTGAAATCGAAGCTAATGCCAGTACTATCTAAATTTCTAATCAATTTAGCCAAGATCGAATAAACCCTTGACCTCATCGACGAACTTGATGCTGATTTGGAAACCCTCAATGGATAATTGTAAGCTGAAAACGATGACTATGCCTTCGCCACTGATGTCTACAATGCCACCGTTGCAGAATACAACAAGGAAATCAATGCTGCCAACTAAGCCTTAGAATTGCTCAACTAACCAAGATTCTAAGATTACGTTAAATCATAACTCAAGGGAGCATGATCTATTAAAATAACATCAATCAAAAGTTATCACCATTCTATCAATTTCCTTTTTTTATTGAATTGTATCTTCTGTTCATCAAACACTTCAAAAAAATTCATTTGGAAGTCATATCTTAACAACTCTCAACAATTTAGTTACTCTAAATATAAAAAGGGTTGTCAGAATCTGGCTAATCATTAAATAACATAAAAAATAGAATGATTTAGATAAAGAAAGCCATTTGCATAATAATAGGGATTCAACAAAAGTGATTACTATCAAAAATAACAATAAATTAGATTAAATTTATGAAAAAACATATTCAATTTTACTTGATGAGAAATTAAATTAATATCAAATTTTGGAGGAAGAATAATATTATTGTATCTTAAATAATGCAAGGTTGGATGCACAAGTCAATCTAACATATAGTAACAAGTGGAATACTTCTATAACTCCTAAGATATACGTTAATTTAAAAATAAAATAATGTTTATTCAATTAGATTGTGATGTTAAATTTAAAATAATATGCTCAAAAATCATTTTACAATGAATTTTTTTGGAAATAAACAATTGCTCATCTCTTCTAATTCCAAAATGTAGAAGGAAATTATTTTAAGTTTAAATTTTATAGACAAAATTAGAAAATAGAATTTATAATTTTGTAGCATAAATCATTTCCTTAAGATAAAATTCAGATCATACGATATTATTTGACTTATGAATAAAATTAAGGATTAATGATTAAATATAAATTCCAATATATTCAATTTAAATATCAAAACAATAATAAGTGTGAGTATATCATAAGGACAATTTACATAAATACGTGTGTAAAGTTACAGTCTTACGTTTAAAGCAAACCTGTATGTATTAAATTGATTGGGATAAAAAATGACCGTGTTCATCATATAAAAATGAGTGGAATTGTTTTAATTTTTAAATAAAAAAATAACAAAGATTTTAATTAATGAAGGGATAGGCTGAATAATAGAAGGGAGCAACTAAAACAGTCAAAAAAGTTAAAACCACAAACAAGAGAGCACCAGTTAGGTAGAATCTAGCATTTAAATTAGACTTTGGGTTAAGGCTGTATTTACAGGTTTTAGAAGATCAAAGGTTCAATAGAATGAAAACTAAGCATTACTCAAAATTGAACATGTTAATGATGTTGCTTCAAGCAGATTCTATTGGGGAAAAAGAGTTGCATACATTTACAAGGCTCATTCATTAAAGAATAACACTAAATTCAGAGTATGAATTATTTTCATTCAGGCAATTTGGGGACGTATTAGCAAAGCTCACGGAAGCAATGGAGTCGTTACTGCTCGTTTTGGTAGAAATCTTCCTCCAAGAGCTATTGGATCAACCCTCAGAGTGTTCCTTTATCCCAACAGAGCTTGAAAATCACATATACAATATACAATAATACATTAATCAATTTTATATTCTGGGTTTAAATCTAATGGATACTAGACTCCTTGGTTTGCTTTAATTTTTATCATTATTTCAATCAAATAAATATATTCGAGTTTGAGAAATAAAAATGAATAATGAAAATTAAGATAAAAAATGGGATTATTAAATAAAAATTATTTTACTAGGCTCCTGTTGCACAGGAAAAACGAATTTTATCTCAAAGATCTGCAGAAATTAATTTGATATAGAATCACACTCAACAATAGGAATTGAATTTGGAGTTAGAGATGTAATAGTTGAATCTCATCTATTTCGATTATAATTATGGGATACTGCGGGATAAGAAAAGTTCTTGAGTATGACATCAGGATATTTTAAAAATGCTGCTGGAGTGTTTTTACTTTATGATATTACAAAAAAGGACAGTTTTGATTAAATATAAGTAAAAATTTAAATAAACTCTAGACTTGGCTTAAAATGTGTAAACAATATTTAGATTAATATTGTGTCTTGTATTTAGTTGGGAATAAAATTGATATGCAATATCTAAGAGAAGTAAATCGGTCATCTGGTTAAAGTTTCGCTTAAGTAAATTAATTGCTTTTTGAGGAATGTAGTGCAGCAAGTGGAGAGAAAATTGAAGACATATTAAAAGAAATGGTCTCAAGTATATGTATCTATTGCATTTTAGATATATATCAAATATTAATGATGAATGAAATATAGGTCGAAAACCCTTAATCAAAGTCCTCTTTATCCATAAAATCGAATTAAAATACTTTAAACTCTTGTTGTATTTGAATGTATATAATTGTAAAGGGTGAGATTAATAATAATTTATTGAAATAATAATAATAAGACTATAATTTATACATAAGAAATATATTTAAAGAAATATCAATTCTAAAGGTTGTTTGTTTAGATAATGCAATACTTATTATTTTTCGATTCTAAAATATTTTGAAAATCAGATTTGCTATACGATTTATTAATATTTTTTTAGATAATTAATTTTTATTTTCTTTTACAATGCATGCTAAACAATTTTTAGCAATATGACTTTTATAGCACAATATAAATTAAATTTCATATATATTTTTAAAAAAACTATTATTTAATATTTGGTGTTACAATTTCTAACGTGATTCGTCACTCAATAAACAAAAAAGATTTTACCACATTATGATACATTAATAAATTTTCTTAGTTTAAAATAGATTTATCACAATCAATTGTAAATATATCATTAGATTTCATTAGTTTTGCGGGAACAATATTTATTTACCCACTGCATTAGGGGAATTAATATTTAAATTCTCTCTAAGTACCGATATTTTTTCGTTATTGTTTTCACTTCTATTAGGTGTTTCTGTAAATTTATCGACTGATATTGAATCATTTTTTTTATCTTCTAACTCATCATTTATCTCATCTTGCTTATTTTTTTCATCCCTCAATATTTAATTACCACTCTTGATAAGTATTTTATGTTCTTCTAATTTTGGAGTATCAGCTGGACTTAGTAATTTATCCCTTTAAGTATCCGAACTTGTGGGCAAGTCATAGAATTATTACTTGGATCCCATAATGTCGACATATTCAAATTTATCAAAGTGAGCATACTTAAATAACCATTCATGCACTGGTCTTACATCTTAAAACTACGTATTAGGATAATTCTGATACTTGAGATATAAGTTTCAAAAAAGGGATCAAAAGAGTTAATTCCTAATCTGTTTTATCTTCAAAATAGTTTAAAATATGGATAGCGTTCATAGGTTGAAACATGAAAGAATTGACTGAGTTCTATAGTTACTTTAACATTTAATATACATCAATTAGGATGACTGAATCTAAATTTCTTTTTAATAAAGAAAGATCCTTTACAAGGACACCATTGTATACTGTGCAGTTTTCTCTAAACAATCTTAAATCAACTAAACCATGAGGATCTATAAAATCAATGACAGAATTTGCATATTCACTGATGCTAGCAGTAAATATTATCAGTTCAAAGAATTTCGAGGTTTCTTTTATAAATTCTTGAGCCCCTGGTCTTATGTTAACATAAATTTTATATTTCTAATCTTTCATTGTAACCTCCTTAATTTAATACATACTTCAACAATCAAATCATTTATTTTCATTGGTTCAAACGAACTGTGAACCAGAGTTTCATCCAAATCAATAACTAAAGTTTTTCTCCCCTAATCTAATCACAAAAGTACTTTAGATCTTTCACTTTATTGTGGAATTTCAATCGGATTCTTAATCTATTCGTAACTTTATGTTTTAGTTTTTCTAAATTTGAGACATTTGCAAAGCAATTAAATGAAAGAACTAGATTATTATCTCATATTTTAATTAATATTTTGAAATAAATTATAATCACAAATTCATTATAATCCCAATATTATAATTAGTCTTTCCCTTCTAAAAGTTGTTAAACATTTGGAATTTGAAGTTTTGAACAAAAAAATTAAAGAAAAATACTTAATGATTAATACAATAAATAAAATCTCTAAATATTTTTCATTGTTAATTTAAGAAATGTGATATAGTAAAAAAAGTAAATAACGTAACACTTATCTCCAAATCTTCTTAAATTTTACTTGGATAATTTAAACATTTAACCAATAAAAATATTGAGTTAATAGTGCAATCAATATTTTTACCTACTTAAAACTGAATATTGATGTTAACCTAAACTAGACTTCTATTAGTACAATACTAAAATGTAATGTGAATCTGTTCTTTTAGTACATCTTAGGCCAAAAGTTCCTATAGATTCGTCAAAAAGCAATAAATGTGAAGAACCTCTTTTGATATACTAAAGGCGTATAAATCTTTAATATTACTCTTTAGGGTTTAAGTTTAGAATTTATTAAATATGAATCATATCTTTAAATAATTCTATAAATAATTTTAATTTTTAATTAAGACTCAAAGTAAAAATTTACGCAATTTGTAGTAAATACCAATGCTCTTTAAATTCTTGATATAAATCAAATATTTAACACCTTGCTCAATATTAATCATCATTATTGGCACTAAGTATTTCAAAAAATCAACTTATAAATACAGAAAATAATCTATTACGTATAAGTTTCTACATCATTCAGAGTAGAAATACAAGGTTGAAGTATAATCTAAATTTAGAGGTGAAAAATCAATTATTTTAATTCACATATAAATTTATTACAAAATTTATTATTGCTTGTAAATTAAGATGTCAACAAATAATAGCGCATAAATCAAAATATCAGTTGCTTCTTTCACTTCAGAAAAATCTATCACAAGATATGTTATAGCTGTGGAATGCAGCAATCAGAAGAAATGGGAAATATTAAAAAGGTATAATAATCATTCTTCAATTACAGATATTCGGAAGTTGAAGATATCCATAACAGATTACAAGAATTATTTAATGATCTACCTTAATTTCCAAAAAAATAGCTATTTCATCTGAATAGAAGTGAAATTGAGTTCAGAATGCAATAATTAGATGATTATCTAAATTAATTATTGAGCAGAAGAGAAATCTTAAACTCAGCTATATTAAGAGACTTTTTAATAGTAATATATTTGTCCTAAACAGCTTGATCAATATGATGAATTCTTACATCCCGTTCAAGTATAATGCAGGATTCTAAATATGAGTTTGAAGGACATACATGAGAATGATAACATCACTCTATTATTGTTATATGACTCTAGTATGATGGCTAGAATAGATACTTACATAAATAATATTTTGGAATCGAAAAAACAATCTCCTATAAGTACATTGATTTGCTTTAGTCAGAATGATTTTAAATAGAAAATATTTAGTAAAGAATACTTAAAGGCATTAACCTGTATGAGTTTTAATAATACAGAAAACGCATTTGCTGTTGGGTATATCGATAATTTTTATTTTATAGACTTTCATCAGGATTAGTGTATTATTACAGATTAGACGAAAAGTACGCAATTGATATGGAAGAACAATTCTAGCTCGCTTAATCTAAAATTTCAGGGTGTGTATTAATTTAAAGAGAGATATATGCAATAACAAATAATTTATTGAAAATACAAAATACTAAAAAAATATAGGAATAATAAGAAATTCCAATTGGCTCATAGGAATTAACTAATATCATTTATAATTCCACCAGGAATCTTGTGGTTATTGCTAACAATGTAGGAGAAATCTATTTATGTTAAGTGCCATTTGTAAAAATAGGACTCAAGGTCTCAACTCAGTCTACTCAAATTATTTAGTTATTGATAGATAACGAAAGAAATTATTTAATGGCTTTGAATCATGATCCTAGTCATATAATTATTTTTGATTTTGCAAAAGGACTTTAAAATGGGTATGCATAAATAAAGACAAATATTGAAATAAAAAATAAGGTAAGTAAATATTTAAATTTAGAGCTTATGCTTTGAATGGTCAAAGAAAAGGGGAGAGATATTCATAGGGAATGAGGATGGTACAATATCAATTTGGCATGTATAAGATTTATAACCATTTTGTATGTTTAATATGCTAATTAGATGTATTTAAGGCTCATTCTAAAAAAGTAAACAAGATTATTTGGAATGAAAATAAATCATTTCTCCTGACCGGTAGTGATGATGAATCCTTAAAGTAATGGTATTTGCCAAAGAAATGGAGAATTGGTCAAGCCGACAATTTCTCAACTTTTTGATTTATATTATTTTAAATTGCATGTTATCTATAAATACGATGGTGGAAGTAGATGATTTACAATAGCTCATACCAAGTAAGTTGTTGAGTAACTCATTAAAGCAGAAAAAAAGAGGCATATTAAGAGTGGGTTTTTGAATTACGAAGAAACTATAAAAAAAGGCGGTCACTTCATGTAATCAATCTCTTGTGAACAATTCCATCCTTATCAAACTTTTTCTTGGGATTCAAAATCTGAGGTTCCAGAGGTCTTTTAGTTGAACAAACCATAAGAGCAATAAAATTTATTGGGATCCATGACACATTTATAACCATCCAATAAGCCATTTGACTTAAACTTTGAAATTCCCAGATTGAGTGAACACATGTCTATTTCATCATTTTTGACTCATAGACCAATAGCGGAGTCGATATTGATACCAACTCCCTAATAGACTCAAGAAAGTGAAGCAAGTACTTCAAAAGAATTGAGCTTTTTTGAACTTTTATAAGGTACAAATGTAAAAAGGCCAAAATACTGGGAAGATTTATGTATGAATATCAATAATGTAGGTGACGATTCAATGAATAGTCAAGCAGTTGAGTTATAACCTATTTAAATAAAGTAGAAATTCGATTGCATCTCCTAATTGAAGTCTTAAGGATTGGTTATTATAACATAAAAATAATACATATAATTTGTAATCTAGATGTTATTAGTATTTAATTACACATATTTAGGGTTTTTAAAATGAATATTTTGTTTTTGACATTGATCAATTGTCTTACATTTAGTAATAAACAATTTATGTGGAAGATATGACTAGTTTATAATAAATAACACAAAAATTCATAGAACTTGCCAACTACATTCAAAGATTGAGATTTTATCTATTAACACCTTCTAATACAATATTGAGAAGTAAAATAAATACAATTTTATAATCATTTGTTGATGAAATTGAATAAAAAATACTTTAGATTACTATTTTAGATGAAGACATGACAATTTTGCATTTCTAAATTTACATTAAACATTTGAATAAGCAAATTAAAACTATTTTTGATATCTTTACAGCTGATGATTGTAGCTAAGTCAATAAGGCACTTTATGAAAGAATAATACAGATAAATTAGAGAGATGAATTTTTAGTTAAAGCATTTTATGAATTAAATAACTTTCAATTAGATATCTTTGCAAAAGGTATTAACAGCCAGGATGTAGAATTATAAATACCTTAACATTTTCCTTCATAGTTTTCTTCAACATATGCAAATACAGTTTAAAGTCTTGCATTAATTACCTAGTTAAAAGTATTAAAAATATAACATGTTGAAGAAATTTTAACAATTTGTTAAATATCTGAATTGTATTTGTAATCAAATCTAAAATAAAAGAATCAGTACATATAAACCATTTACAAATCAAAAGAATAAAGTCTAAAGGAAATTATAAGAAAATATCAAGTGTTTGTAATTGAAAAAGAAAAATAAGAACAAGCTAGAAGAAAGATAGAATTTTAGAGAATACAGATGTAAGTCAGGATCTAAAAATAGAAATACCTAGAATCTCAATAAGCAAAATAAGCATCTTAAAAAAATCAAAAAAATGAATTGTTAGTTTAAATTGAAGTCAATAGAATCAATCGAAAGTACAATAAATTAATTGAAAATTAAGAAGAAAGGAATCTTTAATTAGAACAAGAGCTAAACGAAAAGAAAAAACTATAAAAGGAAAAGGAATAATTGTTGATGTAATTAGCCGAATTGGGTGTTAATATTCAGGATGCAAAAAAGAATAACGAAATTTCAGTTGAACTTAATCCTACTCCTATTTAATTAATTACAAAAAAAGCAGTTGATAATCTACTTGAAGAAACTCCGAAAATGCAAAAATTAGAAGAGTAATTATTAACAGATGGTTTATAAGAATAAATTGAGGATAATCATATTCTGGAAGAGTAAATTGAGAATTAAAATGAATCTGAGAAAAAGCCTTAAATAAAATTATAAAATTAGTAACAAAAGTTTGAAGAAGAATTACAAGATAACTGCTAATATTCATTTTAGTTATAATTAGAAGTTTGTATTGGGATGCATGCTAGATTGCATAATCAGTTAGTGAATAAGTCTATTCATTTTTTATTATTTGAATAATTGAACTTTTTGTAATTATGGAATAATATCAAAAAGTACTATTTTACAAGTGATGGAGATTTCGTTGATTAGAACATTTTCTAATTAATAGATAATGAAAATAATTTTATTCCAAATAAATTGACAGAAATTGATATTTTCCCAAAATTGAAAAGCAAAAGCAAACTTGCAAGAGAAAGACAAGGATTTTATGAATGTTCAATATCTGATTAACTTTAAATAAAGATAGAATCAAAGGCTTAATTGCTCAAAGCCTGCTTTACAAATTCTATCCTTTAATAAATACTTATTTTCTTTGATTAAATTGTTAAGTTAAGATATTGTTCACACAATCTGAGGAGAAATTGGAAGTATATATAATATATTAAGGATCCTAAAATAGCAAATAGTTATGGAATGCTGCGTTATCAAATGTAAACTTTTATTGACATCTACTAAAACTATATATTTTATGATGTTTTAGAATCAACTTGGAACGACTTTAAATAACAATTAACAAATGCAAAATCAGTTGATGAAATCATTAATGTAGAGGGCAATTATCTAAATAAAATTTTAGAAACAACGTTACTGAAATCTGATAAAAAGATCATCAAAGAGTCTTATAATCAATGCTAATCGATGATCAATCAATTTATATAAATTGTAAGAAATATAATTATGTTAATAGTTAGAATTTTAATACAATTTTGGACTCATTTAGAAACAACCCCCAGATATTAGTAAATTAAGCTAAAATTTTAAAAAATAATCTGACTTTTTTAGTAAATTTATCACCTGGCTAAAGGATCCAACTACTTTTGATAGGCCTGTTTGATTTTATTGAGAATGGTTATTTTTTTTTCTTATTTGAAAGTTATTTTATAAATAATTATTCAATTTTTTTTTTATAGTATTAAGGATCTGATTTCATCAATTTTGTTTTTATTTCTTAATATCATAGATACTTGATTTCATAGTTATTATTATTAAAGATACAACCAATATAAGATTAAATATTAAAAATAGATTAAATCACAAAAAAATGTGAAATATATTAATTTATAAATTATCTGTTATTAATTGCTATCATAATTAACTCAATTAGCAAGCAATTTTCTCTTAAGTTGTCCTAACTTTGATGAGATTAGATCAACTGCAACTGCGACAACTCTCTTTTATTTAATTCTAAAAGTGTTTTTATATGAATTTACCTGTTGGCTGTGTCAGTGTCATATTCATTCTTCTTAAGTCTGCAATCGGTTTCTCTATTTTCCAGTTCCCTAGTTTTAGCAACAATTCTTGAATCAACTTCAAATTTTTCATTTGATGCTTATTAAATTCTAGTTGATAATGACTCGACAAGTCCTACAAATATATTATTAGAATAAACCTTCCATATAAGTTCTGTCTTAGCTTGCTTTTACTAATTAATCTGATAATAATGTTTAGAGTAATTCAAAATTACCAGATCTAAGTGCTTCTGCTTGATCTTCTCTAATTCTTTCAGATTAAATATAATTTTCAATTTATTTTAAGATAGACAAGACTTTTCTAGTCAAAACTTCTGCTTATGATGGTTCATCTTGTGCTTTGGCAGCTAAACGACTCATCATTTCTAGCATGGCTCTGTAGCCTTCTAAATGTACCTAGAATAATGTTGTAATTAACATGATGCTTTAATTTATTGACTTTAGCGGCTACTTAAGTGAATGATGTAAATTATTAGCCTTAATCTTCAGCATCATCAACTTCAGATTAATCATATTTGAAACTGTATGTCTCTTACAAGAAAGATGTTTCAGGTTTTTCAAATCTTTTTCTATTTTTGACAAGTACATCTAAATAACTATTGAAATATCCTTTAACTTAGTTCACACCGAATAGTGCTTATTCCAAATTATCTAAGATTACTTAATAAGTAATGGTTTCAGTCTCTCTTTTGTGAGTTTAGTAGTTAAGTTCTGCTTTCAAATCATTAATTTCGCTATTTTTTCTTTCTAGACTTGCTACTGCTGAGACTTTCTGAGGATTTAAACTGTCTAATTCACTTTTAAGTGTTAAAGAATTGACAGTATTCTAATTTATTTGATCTTTTAAAGTATTTATATCGATGTCACAATTTTATGAAATTCTTGCGATTCTTTTATCGTCTCTTTCTTATTCATTTTCAAGTGTTGTTTCTAAACCTTAAACCATGTCAATTAGATTAGAGACTACAGGATCGCCTGTTTACAATTCCATCAAAATGGTTTGTAATATTGTTTAACCAAAGTTGGAGTTCTATAACTCCTCTACCTATTTATCAAAATCAGCTGCATAACAGCCAAGAATAAGAAGGATTGGAAGTACAATTGAAAACTTCATTATCAATATTAAATATATTATTAGAATCCGTTTTTATTTGTTTTATATTATGACAATAAATATCAATCACAATCTCATATCATGAACATATCTTTTAGCTTCTATATTAAATCTCGTCTCAAAGATATCAACCCAATAAATCATAATTGAGATTTAAGCATTTCTCTTATTAATTTTATTATTCGTCTTTTTAAGGATATAAAACTTTACATTCTATCAATATCATTGCACATATAATACGAAATTTGAATTTCTTTATTTTTTTTACGGTAAATTTAAAAGAGGAATGAAAGAAAATATCTTAATTTTTACGATATTTGATTAATACTTAGCTTAAAATTATCCAAGTTCCTTTTATTTTAATAATAACCTCTTTTGCTCTGCTTTGTAATTAAGTTATACTCTATAAAAATATATACGTTTAAGAATTCAAAATTATATCAACTCAGTAAGAAATTTATTTATATCTCATAAGATTTTATCAATTAAATGATACTCTATTAATGCTATTGATTTCTCCAAAAGAGGATATGAATTTTGAGTAAGTAGAAATTCATAGATGAAATATTTTATTACTTAATTCAAAGAATAGCAAAAGTTTCAGGCCCACTAAAATTTTTACTCTCTTCTATTGCATTTTAAATATTTTTGAACATTTTCTTATTTCTAGCTATCTAATGTATCCAATCACATATATAATACTATCACATTAATTTGCTCTTATCCAAGATGATAATTACTATAATTATTCATTCTCTTCTTTATAACTTATTATTCAATTCAAGTTTTATCAGAGATCAATAAATGAATTTTGATTTGAATGCAAGATGTATAAATAAAAGGTTTGCAAAATTAATATCTTTTAGAGAATCCAAAATCCTTCTTTACTTTGATCATAACTCATAAATTCAAAAATTCAAACCATTATCCCTTATTAAATTGTGAGTAGTTAAATAAATCTAAGCATTGTTATTCTTGTAAGTTTCTTATTTGCTAAGTAATCATATCACTCTCAAAGCATCAAAGTTATGCTCGTTGAATTAGTTCATTCATTTTTGAAAACTTTATTTGATAATTAAACAAAAATTAAGTGTAAAATTCTCATAATAAATTTATGAGTGGATTTGAAAATATATATGATATTTTTACGATAATCTGTAAATATTATAAGCCACATATTTGGTTAAGGTAGACAGATAGATATTTTAAATACATTAATAAAGTACTTCAGTAATTCAAAGTCTCAAATTTTAAAGAGATGCCATGTATTGGATTTTATTCCATTTTTTATTTTTAGACTTTTAGAGAATTGATTAAATAATTAATAAATTAATGGTATATTTTTGTGATGTAATATTAATTTAAGTTTAAACATATGAAAGTTAAAAATTAAAAAGAATGCTAAGTAAGTCTTCCAATAAGATCTGAAAGTGTTTCTAATACTCAAGTGATAGATTTAAAATGGAATAATGTAACTGTGACATTGGTATAAATTACGTGTTTATGTTATAGAGTTAAGAAATTAAGAAAAAAACTCATGTCGGAGAATCTGAGTATCTTATTGATAAAGATTCTAATAAGAAGTACATTTTATAGAATGTTACAGGATATGCTTTGAGAGGGTAATTAACTGCGATTCTTGGTCCATCAGGAGCAGGAAAAACAACGTTAGTTGCTCTATTGAGTTAAAGATATAAAGGAAACAATAATATCACTGTTAATGGAACATTTTTGGCAAACAATGAAGAATATGTTAAGTTTACCGATTTCGGAGCTTTTGTAATGCAGGATGATTTATTGATGGCAACACTTACAGTCAAGGAAACATTACTATTCTCAGCCTCATTGAGATTGAAAGGGTCATAATTGGATAAGATACTTAGAGTAAATGAACTTATCAAAGATCTTAATTTACATCTGTGTTAAGATACCTATGTAGGGGATAGAATGCTAAAAGGAATTTCTGGAGGAGAGAAGAAAAGAACAGCGATAGGGGTTGAGTTAGTGTGCGATCCACCAGTTATCATTTTGGATGAACCAACATCAGGATTGGACTCCTATACTGCTTTTATTTGTATGAATATCTTAAAGAAAATTGCTTTAAAATATCAAAGGACCATTTTATTTACAATACATCAACCAAGTTTTGATATCTCCTCACTTTTTAATCGAGTGATAATTATGAATAATGGTCAAAATGTTTATTAGGGTAATGCTAATGAAATAATTGGATACTGTGAGTAGATCGGGTTGAAAGTATTGGCTTATTCAAATCCCTTGGATACTATTATGAATAATCTAAATCCAATATACAATAATTAATAGTAATTGATTACATATCAGAATTATTAGAAATATTTAGAATTAGCTGTGACTAGTTATACTACTCAGTAAAATGGAATTATCAAAAGGAGAACTTAGTCGAGTTTTGGGTAAGAGTTTAAAATGTTGTTTTGGAGAGCAAAAACTAATTTTTGGAGATCACCCACTCTCCTAAGAGCAAAGATAATAGCAGCTTTTATTCTATCAATATTTATTGGGAGTCTTTATTGGAATGTTGGTCATGAAATGCCTAATCAATCACCAGAATTAACTACATACTCCGAAGTTACTAAATTTTTATAGAACATGAATGGAGCATGTTTTATGGGAGGTACAGGTGCATTCTTTTCAGCCTTACACCCTATGATGATGTTATGTATCTTTATGATTAATTGTAGTTCCTGTCGAAAGAGATATATTTTTGAAGGAAGAAAATACAAAATTATATAAAATAATTCCCTATTTTATAACCAAGATACTGGTGGAAATTCCATCCAATATCTCAGTTTCTATAGTGTTGGCTTTGATTTTATATTGGGCATTTGGATTCATTTGGGAGGTTGCAAAGGTGATCCAATTTATACTGATAACTATAGCCGTATCCTTAAGTGGAAATGGAATAGGAATGTATTTAATTGATTAAAGTTGTAAAGCTTCACAGGTTGTCTATTTCCTGATCCAAAGCGAGCTGCTTAATTGGGACCTGTGATAATGTTGCCAATTCAACTATTTGGTGGTTAATTAGTGAATTTGAAATCAATTCCTAAATGGATTAGCTGGTTCTAATATGTTTCAGTATTTATTATATTAAATATTTAAGCCATTCAAATATTTCTTGGAAGCATTTGGAAGAACTCAACTTGAGGATGTAAACTTCCAAGCAATTATTAAGCAAGGAGATTCAATTTCTATTCAAATGATTAATCCTATGTAATATTATGGAAGGGACTTCGGATTATGGAATAGTATTATTGTTTTATTTGGAGTTGCTATAGCTTTTCATATTTTAGCAGTGATAATGTTAAAGTTATTAATTAAGAAGCTGAATGTATGAATGTTTTAATTGTTCAATATGTTTATGTTATGAATTTAGCTTAAGATGCTCCTTCTTTATTTAAATTATGTCTTAAATTGATTATATAAAATGTGTTCTTTACTTTTCACTACTTCCATTCGTATTTGGAAGCGAAGCAAATACGTCAAAATCTCAAAATGTTTTCGATGACTCTTCAAAAGGGAAGAGTTGCAAAGATTAATGTAAAAATAATAGTGACTATGATCGATGCTTTAATGACTGTAAAATCGAGAAAGAATAACCAATAATTCAGATAATAAGCATAACTTTTATTGTCTTAGGATTCATGCTCGTCTTATTTATTATTTGGAAGCGCAAGTAAGTCCTAAGATTGTTTCGGTGTGTCCTAAACAGAAGGACTATAATGATGGAGTCAATTTTAAATAATGCCATCCTAATAAAAAACAGTAATGTTTTGTTGAATAAATTCAGGAAGGTGGCTAAAATGCTAAACTAATCGAAAAATGAATTGATCTTTACATAAAATGGGAAGCTTCACAAAGAAGAGGATGTGTAAATAATGTGTAGAATCAATGAGAAAGAGTAATACATTTCAATTTCTCTCTTGGGAAATGACAAGTATGGCACATGGAGTGGCAATGGAGTTACGATTATTGATTTTAACAACCAACTAAAAATTTGGTTTGTGAAGGATTACGAAGAATAACAAGAAGCAAGATAATCCGGATTGTGGGAGCATCTCATCTACGAGGGAGAATTCGATGAAGAAGTAAAGGCTTTTAGTGGATAATGGCATTATGATGGATTCGAAAATGATTTAACTTACAGTGGTACTTGGATCCTAAAAATCAAATGAATAAATTATATATATATAAGTTTGTGACATTGATTAAAGTCTTCAGTCTTTTCTTTCTTTGTTTCTTCAAATTTTACATGAACCAATTCTCATAAATTAGGTTTTACAAAACTTGGTCCTAGAATAAATCAGATTGATATACTATTGTTATTAATGATAAATAAATCGTAAATAAATTTATTTTTACAAATATCATCAATCCCCTATGCTCTTATCTACGTCCAAGCTTGCAACATCCAAACTCTCCTCCTCCCAATTGTCTAGTCCTAAAAGATCAACAATTAATTATCTCAGTTAAGATTTGGATTCTCCAGCCAGATAGAGAATCAAATTACTTTCTGATAAATGGAATCACATTTAGAATGGAATTGACAAAGACAAACTTGAAAAAAGGGAAGTGTTAGAGGAGAGAATCAAAATCATCGAAGACGTTTTAGCCTCAGAGAAGCCAAAAGACGAACAAAGATTTAAGGTCTTGAAGGATTAAGTCTTGAAATTATAAGATTAAGCACACAACTAAAAATCAGAAAGAGAAGTATAGATTTCAACTAATTAGGCATTTGATGACAAAAAAGAAAAGGATTTTAGAACTCTTTCAGATAATGTCGCTCTATCTTTTGACCAAGAAAGAAATGCTAGAGGGTAGGCAGAGACTAAGCTCTAAAAATAAATTGACGAAAGATTTGCCTAAATCACACTTACCATCACTAGAAACACTCATTAATATGAAGATAGAAGTCAAGCCAAAATTGCTGAAGTTCTCTAATAAGTCCAATTAGTCAAAAATTAATTAGATTAAGAAAGAAGATCAAGGTACTGATTTTTATACAATCTATAGAGAGGAAGCAGCAGAATCTTTAACTGAATAAATAGATAGTGAAATTAACAAATTCTCTGATTAATTGCTTATTGAGAAGAAGGTTAGAGAAGAAACATAAGGCAAAATATTCAGAATGATTGAAGACGTTCATGGAAAACTACAATAAGATATCAGTTTTGAGAGAAGAGAAAGAGAGGCTACAACTGAAGCTTTGTTGAAATTATTAGAAGACGCCTGCATTAAAATCGATAAAAATTTTAGATCATTCTGATATATAAGAAAAACATATAATATAATTTAATTATTAATTATTTTTTTTATCAACTAGATAACAGAAAATTAAACTTTTTGAGTGAGAAAACATGAATAAAATCAATCCTATTCTTTCCTATATTTAGTAACAGCAAAATCTATAACAAGGGTATTAACTGTTAAAGTTTTGGAAATTTAGTTGAATGCTAAACTTTCGGCGTCTCATTTATATTGGTTATAATGCAAAAATGTTATTTGAAAAAAAGAGTCGACAATCTATACTGCCCTAGATTTATCCTATAAGGAGTGCTTTAAAAAATATAAAATGATTAAATCATCCTAACCTAATTTTATTTATAATAGAATTTGGTCTGTTTTTTATATATTTATTTAATCTTCTGATAATATTAAAAATAATGAATTAAAATCAAGAGATTGGGTTTCTATTACCAGACGGGACCACTTAAAATATTAAAATTCAAAACAATAACATAGTTTTTTATAGAAGTATTTCAAAATGTAAAATTTTCTTTTTATTTTAGAGTTGAGATTAAATTGTCCCGAAGAATTTGTTGCAGTATGTGATTTAAAGAAAAACGAACTGATTAGCAAATTCATTCATAGGTATTTTCTTCATCTCATACAAAAGGTTGGAACCAAATTGCATTTATAAATTATTCAATATGTAATAAGCATTTGCCATAATCTAACATAAAGACTAAGAAATAAAAGAATAAAAAGAAGAATGTACAAAATTAAGTAAGAGAGCCAAGGAAGAAAACGATGATATTAAAGCTAGATTAGATTAAGAAGTGAAGAATTTAGAAGCAACTAAAACTCAATCAGATAAAAAAATTAATGATCTTAATTAAAAAATAAATGAACTTAATTAGAAAATAAAAGAAATCGATCCAAAACTATCAGAAGCACAAAATAAAATAAAGGAATAATTATAAGATTTAGAACGGGCAAGGTATGATTTAAAATAAGCAAATTCAAAGCAAGAAGTTTGGAAGCAAGATATGGAAAATAAATCGATAGCAAAAGATGCTAAAATTTAAGAATTAACAAATTAGTGTATGCAATAAGATGCTTACATTTAAAGTTTGATCAATTAATTGAAGTAAGAAAGAATGAATGTTGCTTAAGTTTAAGAAGCTTGCAATACCAAATTTTTGGCATAGATGTAATAATGGCAATAATACTTTGTTTAATTAGACTCTGAAAAAAAATAAAGAGAAATTGAAACTTAAGAAATAATTAGAAAAAAATAAGATTTAGAGGCAGAAGTGAAGAAATTAAAAAAGAAGTTAGAGGATGAGGAATCTAATAAGAAGTCGGAAATAGATTCATTATAAAATGAAAAATAGAATTTAAGTTAATAAATTTATAGATTAAGAAGTTAGATAACTGAAACAGAGACTAAATCTGCATAACAAAAGCGATAATTAGAAGATGAAAAATCACAAGAAATTGCTTCATTAAAAGATCAATTGGATAGAGCCAATAATAAATAGAAAAATTTAGAAAAAAAATACAGATAGTATAATGATGAAATGGAAAGAGAAATTTAGTAAAAATAGAACAATGGGTAAGTGAAGGAAGAAGAGATCCAATTGTTATTAAGATAAATTCAAGAAGAAAAAGATTAAAATGAAAAATTAAGTGACGAAATTGAGGTGCTTTAAAAAAAAAATACTGATTTATCATAGAATCTAAATAATCGCAACAATCTTTATAGAGATTTAGATTTTAAAGCAAGTAATCTAGAAGAAAAATTGAAATCTGTCTAGGATGAGTCAAAAAGAGAGTTGACCTAAAAAAATGAGAAAATAGAAGAATTAAAGGTAGAATATTAGAACATTTTAAATAAAAAAGATCAAGAACTCTAGGGATTCATCAAGAAGCAAGAAGAAGTTGAAGAAGATTTAAAAAAAAAAATAAAGAATTTATAAAAGGAAATTGAAAAATTATAAGAAGATTTGGCCAAAATAATGAAAGAGAAACGAGAAATCGAAGAAGATGCAGTCAAAGAAAGATAGAATCTTTAAAAATAGATTGGTGAAGCCGATATAATGATGTTATAGAAAGATTAAGAACTTGTAGCAATATAGAATTCAGCTGCTGTGCCTGCTTATTAATTTAGAATATAACGATTGGTAGAATAAGTGCCAAGAGAATACAATAAAGATATAGAATTTGCAATAGAGACTATGATGTTGGACAAAGTAAATCCAGAGGCTTTTCTAAAAACTAATTAAGCATAATGTGTAGAGCTAAATTTTAAGTTGAATCATGTTCAGATATTAAAAGCAAAAGCAGATAAAACCCTATATAATATCAGTGATTAGGATTACAGGTAATGTGTAAAGATTGTTCCTATTGGAAATATGACAGGTATTCAATGTTTCGCTCCTGTTAAGTCAAGCGATACATCTTTAGATCGATATTTCTTTTTGAAATGCTTAAAATGTGCTGAGAAAAAACAATTTGAAGGCAAAATCTTCGGCATAAAGCAATTTAAAAAATAAGACCTTGAGGATTTAGAGACACTAGAAACAGCAACTGACAATTGTATGTCTACAGTCATTGCTTAAGAATTCATGAGACAATTTGTATAAGAATTAACTGAAAAAAAGGTGAAAGTAGAATTTGACTTCAAATTTAAAGATTAATTTATTATTGAAGCAAAAAAGGATTTTAAGCAATATTTATAAGAATCAATTAAAGGGTAATAACTTGTGCTTTAAAATGAAGGCATTAAAAATTATGTAGAATTTGTAGAAGCTTTGGATGGCGAGTAATCCAATGAATTTTACGATTATACTAGAGAATACTAGTTGGATAAAAAGCAACCTAGAGATGGAAACATTATTTTAGCATTTTTGGAATTTCACAAAGAAAAGAAACTTCAGGACATCTATAAAAAGTTTAACCCAGAAACCATTAGAAAACAGTTGGGCCATTTTATTGATTTTATAGGAGGAAATATGAAAGAAATGCCATAAAAACTTGTAATATTGATTTATATTAAAATAGTGTTATGCCATTTAGGAAATCGAAGTATAACCAGATTTCATTAAATACAATGGAGGACATTTGAAATTTAATGATAGTCCTTAGGGTAAATTCTTATCTGCGTTCACATATTATTCCATTGTCAAGAGTTAAAGATAGCTTTGCATTTCTCATATGTAAGGAGCAAAGAATCAGTTATATGATCCTATGGTTTCAACTTACGATGGCTTTTTGGATAAAATGGATTAAGGATATAATGAAATAAGAACTATTGAATCTAAGTTTTTATCTGAACCCAACCTTAACAAAGGAATAGACTTTTTGAAAGCATTAGGTATAAAGTGGAATTGAATAATTTAATATATAATAGAATTAGTTCTATATTTTTAATTTTCAAAGATGATTTTATGAAAATAATATATTAATAAAAATGAAAAAAGTCGAATAGGAATTGTTTAAATCAGTTGCTATCAAAGACATCGTATATTTGAATATTGAGAGAGGTTTGGTCTATATCCCCGGTAAATAAATTGACCCTGATGCTGGAAACAATGGAGAGATCTTTAAAGGTTATATTGGATATAACACTGACAAACAACTAGAATGTTGTGTTAAGAAGTTCCCAATTCCATCTTACAATGTAATTCTGATAATGTAAATTTATAGCAATCACTATTTGATAAATTATATTAAGAGCTAATATTTGGGAGATAATTGGTGCATAAAAACATAGTGAAATTTTTTGAATGTTCATATAGCAATAACAATTTTTATATATTTATGGAATATTGCAATGGATAATCCCTAGCTCAAAAGATGAGCTTAGGATATGAAGATGACTTAATGAGTACCAAAATATTCCCAGAAGGTAAGCAAGTAATTATATTTTTAGAGTATGCATTAAATATAATGCAATAAGTAATAGATGCTCTAATTTATATGAAGTAATTGAGTTATGATGGCAAATCAGGAGCAGTTCATAGAGATATCAAACCAGATAACATAATGTTCTCAAATGATGTTCCAAAGTTAATAGATTTTGGAATGGCTAGGTTTATGGATAGACCAACTGTTACACCCTACAAAGGTTCTCCCATATATATGTCACCTCAAAATTTAAGACAAGGTTAGTATGATTTAGAAAAAAATGATGTTTGGGGCATTGGAATGATTTTGTATTAATTAGTTGAAGGAGTATTTCCTTGGAAAACTGAATTGACTTCTATAGAAGATTTGAAAAAAGCACAAGAATCAATAAGGAATAATATCAAATTTTCTAATAAAGTATCTACGGGATTGTAAAAGTTAATAAGACATATGTTGTAATATGAAGAAAAAGATAGATGTAGTTGGGAGTAAGTAGTAGAGTATGATCTAATGAAACCTTATTTCTGTCATTTACATCGTCCAGAAATCAATGAAATGGATAGATTGGTTTAAAATTATGAATTAGTTTTAAAACTTCAAACTGAATTAAAACTTGAAAAGATTAATAAGTATGTTTTAGATTTAACTCTAACTAAAACCCATCAATTAAAAGAATTCCTACCCAAAAATTCATAATTAGATTAAAAAATCAATCAATTATACTTATAAAGAATTCTTTAGAAAAGAAAGTTTCATAAATTTAAAAGTGAAACAGCTTTACAAAGAAAACTATCATAAATTTTAGTGAAATACTTAGAACAAATGATTGTTGATACTATAGATGAAGTGTAGCTTGTGAATTTAAATTTTATTTGCCAAATTGTAATTTCCTTATATAAGAAAGACTTGGAATTGCAGAATGATTTAACATTAGATGATTTGTTACAACTAGCAAGACTTTGAAATATCAATATAAAATTGCTGATATTAATAATTATTTTTTATATCATTTGCTGCTAGGTCCAGGAACGCAATTTAGAACATGTATTCTATCCCAAGTACCGCATGACTCAGATTTCCAGCCTTTTTAACATCTACCCTATCAGAATACTTTGATGTTGATACTGATTTGCAACAAACTTATGTTTCATATCCACATACAACTCCTCCTGCACTTTAACATCTATTTGTGCAATCCAAACTCCATGGAGCAAACTGATAATCTTGTCTAAGATTGTTCTGTCCATTAAGTTAGTTACAGAGAACCAATCCAATAATCAAAATGAAAACGCAAACTTTCATTTTTAAATTATAATAAATAATAAAAACGATATTGGAATTGTATTATGTAAAAATCTTTGTAATCATTAGACAAAGTCTAAAGCTTTCAATTCCAATTTTTAATTATAGAACTCCCCAAAATTAGCCGGATTTGCAGACTCTATTGCATCTAACGCCCTAATATATTCATCCTTTCCCTAATCAATATCAGAAAAACAACCAAATTCAGTTGTCACAATCATATCATACATATATTACTTCACAGTATTTATATAGGTAATAAATAATTCCTATTGACTCAATATGTGTGAGTATTTACAAAAAGAATTTAAAAATTGTTCTTCTTTACTGGTTCCAAGTTTTTGCTCTCCTCCATTTATTTGTTTGATTTTAAATTCTATTATCTCTTCACCGTAAAAGTATAACTCCTTTCCTAACTTATTAAGAATAAATTACCTTTTTATTAAAGTACATACTATGGAGCAATAGAAAAATTCAATGGTTTTATTGATAGTTCAGTCAAATCTTTTACAAATTAATCCATGAACACTTAAGTAATTATGTTATTCAAGCTAAGTGCTGCAGCACACATTTTATTATCGTAATCTTAACCCTTTGATAAATCTTTTCTAATTAAATATCGATTCTTTAGTTCATTGATTGAAGTATTCTCTACTTTTATAATATAAATTTTCATAAAATCCCCCTCTTCATTTGGCTGGATACTTCTAATAGATTTGATCTCGCCCATCAGTTCTACATCTAATAACTATTCCAATTTAACGAATGATCCTCTTTTTATTGATTATAAAAAGTTATTGGATGGTTTAATTCTGTAAGCCAAATAATCAGTTTCATCACTCTAGCAATTTGGATTGTCCCTAAATTTTACAAGTCCATATCGTGAATTTATGAGTTATCCGACTGGAGAAACAACCTTCTCTAATCCTTTCCCTAAATTTTTATTACTAATTTATTTCAATATCTCTGTGAGTTTAAGAATCTTTTAGTTCATTCTAGTACATAGCTATTTCTATTTCTCAACAGCAGATACTAACCCATTAATCTCAGCAACTTTTGTTATTACTGTTTATTCTGATAATAAAAGCTTACTGTGTTGTAATCTATATTTTTCTTCCAATTCTTCTACATTAGCTAACAATTTTATTTTGGTCTATTGTAATTGTTGGATATCACGCTCTTATTTTTCATTATCATTATTAAGTTCTTTGGTTTCAGATTTTAATTGATCCATAACTAATAAATATTAATTAATTTCATCCTATCTTTAATCTAATCCCTTCTTTGCTTTACTTAATTCAACATTCAACTTATCAATTTCTAATTAATACTTTTATTATTAAAAATGTAAATCACTTTAAGTGTTTATTAATTCATTTTAAATACTCTTTATTTATTATTATAGTTTTTCAACCTTCTATTATAATTCATCATTCTGAGTTTTCAATTTTGTTTGCAATTCTAAATTACGATTTTTCTCAGAAATATCGACATCCTTCTTAATTTATTCTAATTCCCGAAGAGCATCATTACAATAATTTTTGATCATGATATTATTATTAGATAAATTGGTACTCTAGTTGATATCGTTTATTCCTTATTCTAAAATTTACAATTTTCTCTTGTAAAAAACTTCCAAGTTCCTATATTCATTCTCCAACTCATCAATTTTAAGCGTGTAATTAGATTACTTTTCTTGAATCTCATTTTCTAGTTACTCTATCAAATGATTTTTTTTAAAGATTTAATTTTACAGATTATATATTTCTTCCTAAAGTTTCTCTATCTCAGCCTCATAAATTTAGTGATTGAAATTTACTTTATTATTCCCTTCCTGTTATAGTGCCTACTTCTCATATAAAAAGCGTCTTTCTTATTTCTATGTAATCTAGTTTAACTCCTATATCTTTCTCTGTAGATTCTCATTTTCTTATTATAATTGCTCTTTAATTTTATTAATTTATGTAATCTTTTATTCGTACAACTCCTATTGAGTCACCAATTTCTCCTTGTATTACTGATCCATCCTCTACAACTCTAGAAAATTTGCGTCATTCTACTTTAAAATCGATTAATCATTGTCCTTCAATTTCTTCATTTGTATATTGCTTTATAAATTTTATTGCTGTAATTAAACTAATTCTTTACGCAGTTCCTCTTCATTATTCTAAAGCTCAAAAATTTTCTTTTTGGAATTCAAGTTTTCTTTTAAAATCTAATTAATGTCCATAACACTCAAATGAACGGTATGAGTTTTAAATTGAATATAGCTATTAGAAGCTGAATACATTCTATAATTATCTGTATTTATTAACACAATATTCTCATACGGCACAGTAAGTTCCTTACTTATCATTTTTTTAATTTAGAATGGTCCGCATACTAACTCCTCCATAGAGCCGTCCTCATATTTTACAATGTATTTGGTCTCACCATTTTATATCATCCTGCTTTATATTATATTTAATAATATTTCTATTTCTATTAAATGTTGTGAGAAATCAAATAAATAATATTCTAATAAAATACATTTAATAAGAGATCATATATTGACAACTTAATTTTTAAGCAATTTCTCTCAATAATCTTAGCATTATATTATCTTCTATCTTTTAACTATCTCTCATATCTACAATAGATCTAAATATAATTAGTCTTGCGATCAATTTCCCATTTGATTATCAATAATAACATAATTTCTTTATCAGAAATTGCAAAGTGAAATAATCTAATGAATATATTGAGACCGAAAGCATCTAGATTGAATATTGAAAAATCATGCGAATTGGAAATCATCTACTAATATTGAAATCAAGGTTTCAATCACTTATCAAATTATAAATTAGCCCATTCATATAACTTTTCCACTTTCTCAAGTAAATAGTTTTAAATATAATGTAAATTTTGATACCCTCAACCCTTAAAGCTATTTATTAATGCATTATTCTTGATGCTTCGAATTTGAGACCGCATTTTCTAATAATGCCTTTAAACTATACTAAATGTAATACAATTCTATAAAATTTTATAATATTAAAATAATGTCTGAAAGTGGCACTCCTGATGAACAAGAGGATGATTAATAGTAAAGGATTTAAGATGAAATTGTTGAGTAGGAGGACTAAGATGTAAATCCAGTCGGTGTTGCATAGAAAGCAACCTTAGATAGAGATTTAAGAAAGTAGCATTTTTTTACAATAAGTACCAATTATATGTAATATCAGATCCTGAGGAAGATTTAAAAATGGTTAAACTAAAGGTAAGAAATTCTTTAATTACACAAGCCTTACCCTAAGAGCAGTCAATTGGAAGCAATTTTCAATTAATATAAAAGAATTTAGCAAATAAAGCCTTCAGAAGATGAAGTGTTTTTAAAATTAGAGGATTAACAATTTTAAAAAGAGAGGAAGTTTACAATATCTGAAGTTAGAGCACTGAGAAAGGAGAGGAATCACAAATATTTTAAATATTTAATTGAAGTTAGAAAAGTAAGAATGAAAGTTTATACGAGAATTTTGTGAGTGAAGAACTGTTTTCTAAGTTTAGAAAAAAGGTGAAGGTTTTTAGTTTTGATGAGAATGCGGGCAATAAGGAAAAGTAGGATGAAAAATCTATTGATGAATCTGTCGAGAAAGAGAGCGATGTCTTTTCCAATTATTCTGAGTTTTATTGATGTTATAATATCTAAATAATGTATATGAATAGCAATCAAGGTTAAGGGATCATTTACCGATATAACAGTCGAACGTTGTCGGAGTAGCTTTCCCAAAACAAAATAAAAAAGTATCTAAGATATATCCATAACCACAAGAAAGGTCCAACGATAACAGTATAGGCTAGTTTAAACAAGTATTGACGGGGAGTGACTTATGATAAGGGTTACCAGTCGATGATTTGCTTTGTAATAGAAGTAGTTTTGCCCATGATCTAGATGGGAGTGAAAATGGCAACACATAAGATAGTGATTAGAAATTGTATGCCTTTAAAAGTGTTCATTTATTTGATTGCGTGTTTTACGTGATAATACTAATCTTGCTTCCTCTCTGAACAGGTGTAGCATTCAATAGCATCATTACCCATGATTCCAGGAACTGACTAGCATTTTAGACATTAATAATGATTACAAACTTCACATTTGTGAATTGGGTACAAGCTATATTATTATAAGACAAGACAAATTACATACTCCATTTTTTCAAATTTCTTTTGAATATGCTGAACTCGCAAAAAGGACACTTGGCATAATTTTTTTCATTTAAATAAATAGAGCATTCTTAACACTTCAATCTTTATTCGTATTTATGTATTTTGCACAATATTTTTCTATATATAGTAAACGGGAATGTCTCTGCTCCTGAAAATTCTTATGTTTTGGGTAAAACATAAAGGTTGGTGTTGATGCAACTGGAACATAATCTAGGAATGAAAAATAGGATTACGCTTATTCCATTTTTAAGAAGATGTTTGCAATTGGATTTTTGGAGATAGTATTATTTAGACATTCAGAACATTTTTTAAATTGATTGTTTCTGTTCTGTAAACGATTATAATCAGCTGTAGTTTTCTTTTCAGTCATAAAAATTATAATATAAAGTCCCTTAAAATCTTAGTTTTATAATGGTTAATCATAATTAAAAAACACTTTATATATCTGTTTTACTCAATTGTTTGCAGCAATAATATCTCTAATCTATTGAGCTAGAAAAAGCAAAGGATTGAATGACATTTCTTCTCTTTGTTACCGAAGGAATTGTTTCATTTTCTCCAATTCATGTTTGTCTGCTTGATCCTCATCCTCTTGATCTTCCCTTATTTCTCCCAATGACAATAAAGTGTCCTTCTTGAGTTCCTAAGAAGTCTACTCCTCCACTCCCCCCTGTTAGGCCTATTCATCCATGGGCAAAGGGGACTGAATCTCCTTTTGGTCCTTGCTCATATATTTATGAAACTCTGATTGATTAATTCCCATCTCATCCAAATCAACAGATCCTTCTGAAGATTCATACTCAGATCCAAGTTCAGCTTTGAGTCTCTCCTTTTCAACTCGTTTCTATTCAATCTTGTCAAATATTTTTATCTTTTTTAGTCTCTCTTAATGCTTTCTAACCTCATCTGATTTAACAACATGATCAATTAACTAATCTAATCATTCCTATTACCTTCATTAGTGCTGGTTATAATCCAGGATATACATTTTGCTATAAATATTCAATGGCGACTAAATCCCTTTTTGTGTTAGGTATCATTGAATTACAAATTAATTATATCGAATATTTTTATAGTTAAATAACTCAAGCAATTATATCACTTTATTGAATGACTAACTCAATCTTATGTTCTGTAGATTCCTTTTCATCCTCATCTTCCATGTGAATTTAGTTATTTAATTTCTAAAATTTCTCATGTTTTTACTCATAACTGTAAAGATTACTAAGTAAATTCATAAAAACAATAGACATACCCTCCCATTCTCTTCATAATGTAAAGTCCTAAGAAGATCAGACCTTTTAATGTAATAACAACAATGAAAATGTAGAACAATATCTCCAACCATGAATGTTCATCCTCCTCTTTCAATCCTTCCTCTGCATTATCATCACCTTCATTCTCTTCCTCTGCCACTTCAGCATCTTCATCCTCTTCCTCTTTTATGCTTGATTTCAACAGACTTGGCAATCTAATATTTTTAATAACCGACTGATTTTGTTTATCTGTTTAATCATCAGAAGTATTTATGACTTGCAATTTGAAATAATCCAAAGTGCAATTCGCTGATACAATAGAGATCTCTTATTAATCCAAATCAAAAAGAATGTCCTTTTTCCTCATCCAATTTTGTCCCAAAATAACCCGATCTGATAATCTTTCTACTCCTATGCAAACCTATTGATTCTGTACATTCAGATATTCCTAAGGTTTCCAATATATTTCAACATCGTCATCAAAAGTGAATTTTATTGTAGGGAAATGCGAATATTAATCTGAAACATTCTTGGTGAATTCAAAACAAACCTATTATTAACTGATAGTTTTTATTGGAGCTTAATTTAATTCAAAATGATCTTTGATCGACTGCACTAATTATGTATATATCTCACGATCCATGTAAGAAATAGTAGCTCCGGAATCTATAAATGTTCCCTGACCTGCAGTGTAAATCTTACTATTAATAGTGAAGGTTTGACCTCCAAAAGCTATTTTGGTTAGGTTGACTTAGTATTACTAGGTGGGTTTGAATTTGATTTTATTTATTTTGAAATCGGGGTCTTACCTTATTACATCATATCCGCCAACACTGATGTAGCCATAATCATCGTTTAAGCAAATAGAGAATCGTCTCTTTAATGATAATGCCTTATCTTTCTTGGCTATAAAGTCTATTAAATTCGGAGGATGTTAGGAATGATTATTAATGGGTGCAAGTCCAAATATACCATCTGCCATTTATTGATATAATTATCCAGTCTCAAATTAAGTGCACCCAAGGATTGATTCAAAGGATTCCTACTTAATATATTGATCATCTAACTAAATCAATCCATCTCCTATTAAAACCTTGTCCTTAAAATAAAATCCTCCAATTGAGCTCCCCTCTACATAATAAGAAGCAAAATTGCATCTATCATGTTCAAATGAGGAACAATTGAATTCTCTCCTCAAATCAGAGCTATTGTAATTATTCTCATTGAATGAGTATGGAGGGTTTTAATGTTGTCCACATTAATGGCATTGATTGCAGTTGATTGTTGTCGCTTAGCTACCAGTATCTACAATTACACTGTGCTTTGTCATGTTTTCACCAACATAAATGTTCATATAATAATAACCTAGGGTTGAATTACCATATAATATTGCTGTATGAGGATTATCGACTGCCTATTATATTCATAAATTTACTCTATTTTCATGATTAATTTCTTAATTGCATTTTTGAAGGTCAATTAATAAGCATAAACACAGGATAATTATCATTATAATTAATATTTATAACAAAAGGTTGTATTTAGTATTTATTTAACACAAATATGGACAGCTGGATGAATGAGCAAGCGCAAACAATTAATATAAAAATTAAATTATATAATACATAGGTGTTCATTTTATGATTCATAAAACTAATGGAATTCTAATTTTTATTAAATATTTAAATATAAAATTGGCATGTTGCAAAGAAAGATTATAGTACCATCCAGAAGGAAACAACAAACAGAATCTTAGCCAATTGATGATTTTTATTTTGAAAGTAGTATTGAGACAGTAGATGTTGATGAGATAACATCTTTGTTAGCTAAAAGGCTTAAATTTGAAAATGGCGAAGATATATCCAATGAATCACTCAAAACCAAGAAATGCTGTTTTAGTGATGAAAAATTTATCAATTCCAAACAAGGATTGGAAATACTTTCTAAATAATCATAGATATCCTTGATACCAAATGAAAAGCACTGCGCCAAATATCTTAATTAATTGATGAGTGGTGAAAAGAGAATCATACAGGTAAAGAACATAGCAGAGTATAAACAGATAACAACTGGTGAGATCAACTATATGGAATTTTATGCATATCCTGACCTTACAAAACCAAAGAAATTGAAGACAAAGAAGAGGAATACCTAAATAACAAAGAAAATTCACAAATTTTGAATATTTGAATTGAAAATAGTCATTATACATTTACTAATTAGCTAATATGTTTTAATTGTTATTATATCGCAAATTATTGCTTATCCCTTTTAATAAATCACTTTTAAAAGGGACATTAATCTCTCATAATGTCCAGAGAGAATTGCTCAAAGAGAAAGTCATTGGAAATAATTTATTGAATTAATTTTATAATTAATAAACTTCAAGATGAGTTATAAGCCAATATCTAACGATTAGCACCCCTTGGACATAGGAGACGAAGATGGAGAATTAGATATTGTAGTCAAGAGAAAGGAAAAGCCCAGACCTAGTTAAAAAACATTATTAATCTGGATTGTCATTGTCACTTTTCTTGGTGCCATTCTAATATATATTGCTTAGAGTGATTCAACAGGCAATTAATAAAATAAAAATGGCAAAAACAAAGTTTTAAATTTCACAAAAGTCAATAAAACAAGTAATACGTGTTTTAATTTAAAGTTATTCCTGATAAAAATGAAAAAACAATGGACTACTAGGGAGATTAAGTTAAAGTTGAAGAAAAGGTAAAGGTAGTAAAGATGAAGAATGATTCATAAACAAATTCGGAAAATAAAAATGATACAGAGAATGTCTCAACTAAGGATGAAGATGAACAAGAGAGTTAAGGTGAAGAAAATAGCATAGATTTTGAAGGTAAATAAATTAAAAGCCATAAATTTAGAATTATAAAAATAGACGGATTAATTGAATAAAGAAATTAAAGAATATTTCAAACACAAGAATGAGACAGAGAATGAACAGACAGTCCCTGAGGGTTCCAGGGATCCAAGATACAGTGAAATATTATGTGAAAGTGGCTACTATATGAATAGAGAGGAAAAGATATGCAAGAAATGTGAAGATAGATGTGCTGAGTGTATGCATATCATTGGAACCTGTTACAAATGTTAAAGTGAAGTATCAATTAATCATATTAAGAGTTCTACTTAAACAATTATGGGAAATGCATTTCAAAATGTGAAGGAAAACATGATTCAAGTAATCTCTTATTATCAGATGATAATAAAAATTAAAGCATTCCCATTTGTTTAGGCAACAATCACACCTCTTCACTCTTTATGTCAGTTCAAAAGTCTAAAAACACTCATTTTGTTTTGCCTTACTTGATAATTCATCCAGCAACTACTGTTTCATTAATGTATCATAACAATTACCCTCTTGTTTATTATTTCAATAAGGACATCTTCAATTTTGAGGAGGAGATGAAATTGACTGACATTATCACTCAAGCCCAAGAAAAATAATTGATCGTGATCATAATAGCATCTCATACTTTGTACGATTTCTCTTTGTTCAATACCTTTTTATTTTAAGAGGCCGTATAAAATATTGAACATTTGGTCAAAGCAAAAAGTTCAACCTTCAGATCCTTTTTCGGTCAAGATTACAATGCATATGGAGTGGTCAGAGAATATTAATCGTAGTACAAAAACAATTCAGTTGATTTAGTGATCTCAGATGACCCTGTAGAAATAGATCAGTATGTTATTATTAGTTAATATTAATAGCGAATACTTGGAATCTAATTTATTGGTGACTCATGAACAACATTATACTGACTATAATTTTGAATCATTACAAGGAGCTTAATCATAAAAGACAACTGTGATTTTGTTATTCCACACCAAAAATGAATAAGATCAGAAGGATTATTGTTCAAGATTTCTTTATGTCTCTTTCTTGCAATGTGCAGTAAGAGAAATTCAATTAGATCACACCCAAAGAATGAGATAAGGATTTGAATTAATTTCATAATTTGTTGTATAACCAGATTTATGATGAAATGTTTTATTCTTTTATATTTTATGTACCATTAAATCAAGGGAACAATCTAACAGGATCTCTTGGGAACATACATGCATTTCTGATATTCTTTAGATTGAAGTATAAAAATGCAACTCTCTCTAACCCAAAGGCACATCCACCGTGAGGATAAGCACCATATCTAAAATGTTTAATTTCATCTTATATACCTGAATGAGTCAATGTAATCCTTCAATGGTTCAACAGCAATTCCTTTCTCTTTAATTTGTTTAATTAAGAGTTCTGGGTCATGCACTCTCTATGCTCCTGAAACGATTTCCTCTCCTCTCATGAAAAAGTCATAGGATAAAGTGTAGTTGGGATCATCATGACAAGGCATAGTATAAAATGGTCTGGCCTTCTTTGGATATCTGTGGAGAATGTAAAAGTCAGTTCCATATTTTTCTCTGACCAATTTTCCTAGAGTCTTCTCATTGACAGTATCTAAATCATCATGGGGGTCTTGATTAACACCTGCTTCATGTAACATCTTAACACCTTCCTCGAAAGTGAGTTTGAGTACTGGTTCTGGTATTTTGAATGGTTCAAATGGGAATTATTGGGAAATGATTTCTATTTCCTTTTAGTATCTCTTTTCAATTCCCTTGAACATATATATACACAAGTCTCCCATCAAATCCAATAATTCAGTGAAGTGTTCCTTGATAACCATTTCAATATCCATACTGATGAATTCACATTAATGTCTGTGTGTGTTTGAATTTTCAGCTCTGAAAACAGGGGCTACTTCGAAGACTCTGTCATAGTCAGCCATCAAACACATTTATTTATATAATTAAGGAGATTATGCTAAGCAAGCATCTTGGTTGAAATATTTCAACTTAAATACGTTAGTACCCCCTTCAGAAGTACCTCCAATCAATTTTGGAGTATGGATTTCAATGAATCCATTTTCTACCAAAAATTCTCTGAACAACAATCCAATGCCTGATTGCACTCTGAATATAGCTTATTTAGCAGGAGTTCTGAGATCAATAACTCTGTTATCCAATCTTGTTTTCAACATGACTTATATCTATTATTTTTCAGTTTTATCAGATTTTTCTTATTTTTATTAAACTTCTTCTTATTTTTATTAAACTTCTTCTTATTTTTATTAAGGTTCTTCTTATTTTTATTCTTAAACTCCATCTTCGAAATCGGTGATTCTTCTTGAGGCATCTTCAATTTAGAATGGTAACATAGGTAAGGATCTGGTGACTACCTTGATTGATCTCACTTCCAATTCCACTTTTTAAGTGCAAGATAAGATCTCCTTATTTGGCTATTTCACAAGTGCTTCAATATCAACTACAGATTCAAGGGGAATTCCTGACATGTACTTTAACATTTGGGCACTTGCAAACTCACCCTTTTCAGCCACTACTTAAATTGTATTATAATTCTCTCTCAAAACCAAGAAAGCCAACTTTCCCTTGACTCTTGAATTGTGAATTCTTGCCCTAACCAAAATTACTTGATTCACCAAAGTTTAGTCGACATCACCCACTTTGATCCATTTTCTATTTGTTCTTTCTTGGGATTGAATCAAACTCAAATCTCCATACCTTCCAACACAATTATCTTCCTCTTGTACTACCTATTACTATTGTTATTATTGTTATTGCTTTTGAGCTAAGTTTAGATCCATCAATCAATACCTTATTGGTGCTCCTATTTCTTCTAAGCCTTTTCTGCTTCCTTTTTTTCTCTTTGTAATTATTTCTTTGACTTTTATTCTCCCTCTGCACCCTACTCAGGAGGTTGAACTGGTTAATCTGACATCTTAAAAATTTTATTCTTTTATTAAAAGATAAATCGAAATTAAATCGGCCTGATTAATGTATTGAAAACTCTTAGTTGTCTAATAATCATATATATATATATAATTATTATTATTTTATATAACATTATGAGTATTGATCCCTACCAATGGCCCTTTCCGAAACGCACTGATCTCATGAATTTGCAAACAATCAGTAACCCAACTTATTATAACAAGTTCATTAGAAAATTCAAAGCAGATTCTCACTCCCCGTGAAACATCCTATAATCATGACATTGAAGGATCAGTTGCCAAAAAATGCAATTACTATCATAAAGAAGATTTTATCAACAAAAACGACGACATTGTAGGCGCAAGATCCAAGTCGAATATACGTCCATCCCACAGACCTGATCTACAGTTAGCTTTAGATGACATCAAAGGCACAAGACCAAATATTGTTAAATTCCAAACTTCACGTCAACCTCTTAATCCTCTCGAACCTTAATATAAGCTCCCCACTTTCATGGCCTCTCAACCAGATCCACCCAAATTTATCAGAGATGCCCATAACATTTAAGACATCCAAGGAGCTCAACCAAAACAAACCCACAAAAAACTCATAATCAAAGAATCAGAACACGAAGACATCTATGGATCTCATCAAATCCCCAGATTTCAGCCAAAAGGTACAGATTACCCTTATTTTCTCATAGATAAGATTGACTCTCTCTATGTTAAAGATATCAACGATTATTTATTGCATAAAACTACCAGGATTTCCAATCCTCTTGAACCTACATACGAACATTATGATGAAAAAGGGTAAGAGCTTATTATTAATTCTAGAAATAAAATCATTATAGGAAATATTGAGGGCAGTCAAAGTAAACCACTCTATCTGAAGGAACAAAGACAAAGTCTCCTGATACAAGATATTGATGGCACTCAACCTGGATCTTTGTCATCTCGATTCCTAAGGACTGGGGACAGGAAAGATTATCGTGAAACTAACAGTCTTGCTGATTTGTTAGCTGCAAAATCAGGCTCATTGAAAAAAGGATTGCCTAATGTTCGATACACAAATCCTTTGAATCCTCAGTATTAAATCCCTGGACAAAAAGAAATATATGGATCCGTTTTCACTTAAACCGCCTAAACTCATTTTACTAAAGCAGAACAATTAGATTAATTCATAAAGAAAAAATGATCACATTAAAATGTAAAATATTATACTAATGTCATGTAAATATTCACTGCCTTCATTATATTGTAATATTTTTATGCTACATTTTTGATTTATTTGTAAATTATAAGTCTATCTAAATTATGTTAATTCATAATTTTATTAATTTTAAATTAAAGCATCATTATCATTAAAGATATATTTGTTAAATCAGGTATTTTAATCTATTTTAACTATTTTTTAATAAATAAATTAGAGTCTTTAAATTATTTACATAAATGTCAAAATAATATTGTATAAATAGTTAATATAGAAATTAATAACAAAATTTAGTTTCATAATAATGCTCCCAATTTTGGAGATTTGGATATAAATTGCTATTGAAGCCTCTTTCTTTACTCTTGTATTTATCTACTTTTTTATTCCAATTGACTTAATTTAAACTCTGATTAAATCAACAATTCTTGTAAATTATTGTAATAACTCTATGATTTTTCATTTAAAAATTCTGCATCCTCCTTATCCATTTGATATTAAGAAGGAGTTCCAAAATCAGCTTGTACTTTACCTTTGGTGCTATGTTTATTTTTACTAGTTTGTTCTCCCTCACGAATAGTCCCTGTTGGTGTAAGGTTTCTTTATTATGGTATATGTGCATTTAAATGTTTAGTTGGAGTCAAATTTTAACGTATGTTAGATGGTATTTTTTGAGGAGTCATGGAGTAGGGGTTTTAAGAATACACAATTACATTAGGACTTAAGGAAGTTTTATTATTCACAATTTTAATGGGGGATGTGTTTAAAGCAGTTGGATCAATATTTTATTAAACTTTTCTGGTGGATTGTAATTAAGGATGATTTTCAAATGTCGTAGTAATAATAGATTATTGAATTTATGATGGAACTCTTATGGTTGGCTAGAGTATTCTCTAGTGTAATGATTTATCTTACTTATGAATATTAAAACATATTGTATTTAACAGATAAATTAATGAATAGAATGTTGTAAATGAAAATATATATATATTCAATGCGTTTAACTATTTAGTAAAAGAATCTGAATTGAATCAATCAATCCATGCTAAACATATATCAACCTTCACAAATAGCATCGGTGTATTTCTAATTGTTAAAGATAACTTGGTTGCACAATAATTTAAGAACTCTAATTAATAAAATTGCTTCTTAGTGGCTTATAAAACTAACAACCATACTTTGAAACCTGTTAAATTTCCGCTCCTTATGAGAGATATGTTTTCATACAATTGTCTGAAGGGTGTTTTCATATATGGAATTAGAATATTTTAACATGCATTTATAATTTTCACTATTTATTAATACTCAACTATTATTACAAATTGGAAAGCTGAAACTCTGGCTTATAATCAGCTGGGACTTCAATTGGTTTATATTATTTTGCTGATATTTTAAAGCCTTGTTATTTGATTTAGACTTCCACCTTCTCCTCGCTTTTATTCAATAAAACAAGTGGCTCAGGATTATTCTTAGCCAACTCAGGAAACAATTCAGGATGATAACTGTATGGTGGTGGAGGATAATGAGTTCTATTTGGATTTTCTCTTGGAATCACATCAACATAAAATGTTTTCTTAAACTTATAAGGGTCTCTTCTGAAATGCACGATACCCTTTATGATTAGTTATAACAGCAAAATACTTCCACTTTAGAATGAATTGTGTGATCTTTTCCCACTGAAGTATTCTATCCTGGTTTCCATCTAAAACCTCTTTGTCTGATTAAAATATCATTTGGAAACACTTCCTCTCCTCCAAATTTCTTTACTCCCAATCTCCTTCCTGCAGAATCCTTGGTTTTTTAGGTTGAACTGGCTTGCATCTTTGTGGCAAATCCATAGTAGATGTTCTCTGATAAGGATTTGAAATAATTCTAAGCAAATGCCTTAATCATATTATTTATGTTAATTATTGAATAAAAATAAGTTTAAGTATTATGAATTAAATTAAATTTAGGTGAATCCAATTATTATAATTCTATGAGCTCATAAATATATAATAATTACAAAGCTTTAATCAATCAATGATTCACCGTCATTGCTCAACATTAATGAATAGACGTCTTCTATTTTTAATAAATGTTCCGTCTCAAACTCCCACTTCTGCTTCTGGGTTATGTTTAAATATTTTCTACAATAGATTATTGGTATTTACAATGAATGTTTTTCTGTAATATACTTGAATTTTAGGAGTTATTTTTTGATACAGTATAATTTCCTATGTGTGTCTTAATATTTTTAATCACATTCTAATATTGTAAATCATTTATTGAACAAATCGATTTATGCTTCATTTGATAGCCTTTGATTTATTCCTATTAATGATTAATTGACTAATTCAATGAATTATTAGGGTGATTCTATTCAAATTACAAAATATTGAAATAATTTTAATTCAACGACCCTTAAGATTAAGTTGGATAGTCAGTGCTTTCTTAGAATTGACTGCTGAGTTTATGTTAAGAGTGAGAAATCACCCTATTTGTTTCTTTATCATTTGACTTTCTTTAAATCATCCCTTTTATTTATTGTGTATTTTTTGGTTGTTATTAAACTTTATAGTCGAAATGATCAAGTTCAATAGTTCTCTTTTGCTACTCTAATTCCAGCAACTAAATTTTTTCTTTGTAAGATACTAATTCAGCTTACAAAAATTGATTTTCTTCATAATACTTTTGATTCTCTCTTTTCAAAATCTAGCATATATTATTTGAATTAAATATACGTTCATCATATTTTTTGTGGTTTCTAATAACTCATTTCTTGTTGCTTCACTGTCTTCTAATTTTTATTGTATAGATTCAGCATGTAATTTCAATTATTGTTCTAACTAAGTTCAAATCATATTTACTTCATACCCGAATGTGATTCCTTATCTCACTCTCTTATTTGATGATTGATTACTCCAATTTTTCATATTCATCCTCTGCTCTAATACTTTATGATGACGTAATTGGATCTATGCTGTTTTCTAATTTCCTTTCATATATTTGAATTCTTACCTGATTTTCCTCTCTATTTTTAGCATTAGATTAGTGAAGATGATTTTTATGATATTTACTAATTAAGACTAATCTTCATAATCTTTTAGCTCTTATTCAACTTCATTTAAATCATTTTTATTCTCAATGTATTTCTCCAGTTGCATCAAAATCCTCTCTAATAAATCCTTAAGAGATGACTCAATTTCCCTATCAGAATAAGCTATCAAGCTAGTTTCACTCATTAACAGTTAATTTATTTATTAAATACTTATTTAAATGTTATTTAATATTATTATTTTATGTCCTCTGATTCATAGGGGACGATCAAATAAAATAATTTTTATTTTTTAAATCAAAATTTCTATCAATAACTTTTTTCAAATTAATAAATTATTAAAATAAACAAATTTAGTTCATATCAACCTTTCATTCACAAAATAACTTCTGGTGTTCCTTAAGAAGTTGTCATCAAACAATATTGATGCCAAAGGAACAGAAAAAATAAATTTCGTCAATAGTTTATAATTTCTCAATTAAATTATCTAATCAAACTTTAGTAAAAGTAACCCATTTAATACTGAAACGCATAAACAAATTACCATTATAATCTAAATCATATAATATTGATATCTTACATTATAATTTATTTCTACAGAACTATTATAAGAAGATAAATCTTCAATAAATTTATCAATTAAGTACGATAAACCATAACTCAAAATGGAAATTCCTTCTAACTCTAAAATTGGGTAATTTGCTCTAATCGTAAAATTAGTCTATTCAAATTCAGTCTTTATGTGATTTTTTATATCAATCAAAGCAGATTAAATTCCTTTTTGTAATACTCCATCCAGAGTATTATTACAAATATTTAAAGTTTCATCAATAGCCTATTTAAATGGTAAGCATAATTACTTATAGTTCTACACATAAATTTCCATTGCTAAACCTATCCATGAGACTAAGGAAATCCGAATCAAAGAAATAACTATTTGATTAAAATAACCATTATTGGTCTATGTATTCTTCCAATCCTGCCAATCCTTATTATGAGATTTTATAATATTCCTACAAATCAGTAGAATTTAAAAAGGGTAAAGCTACTTTATAATACAGAATTTCTCTAGCTTAATATAAACTTAACACATTCACATTTAAGGTAGCAAACACTTCATAGAGTTACCCAGTTTTTTTTATTTTTGTGTAAGAACTAGAGATTTTAACAGTGAAAATGATGAATACCAAGGCCAAAATAGCAAAATGGGTTAAAGTAAGCAAGATCCCTTTTGGATTATAATATTGAGCGACTATAGTGTGCTTCTTAAATTATTATCTGGAATGCTATGTGCATAATGTTTTGATTTTTCCAAAATACTCATCCTTTTCTTAAAAATTGAGCTTGTAATTTTAGATTTAGGCGTAATTCTTATCAATTAATTCCTATAATAAAGTTAATCTTTGAATCTCTAAATTTACGTAATTTTAATCCTAATTCAAAAGTAAAAGCTTGAGTTTTTCTTTTTATATTTAAAACAGTAATTGAGAAAATGTTATTATTAGTTAGATCAAAATAAAGAAGAAAAGGAAGACAAAAAATATTACTAAGATTTTCTACTAAGAATCATCTTACCTTTGTTGAGAGGTCTCAAAGGCAATTTAATTTGCTTCTGTAAATGCCTTCAGTAAGTTAGGTAAATTCTTGTAACAATAATAAAAGTACGAACTTTCATAATCAGCTTATCCACTTTCAATGTAAGCATTTTGAGTATCAAATTGATAATTCAGTAGAGTAATCAAACTATTTCGAAGATCAAGCTCATTAATTTCCCCAATATTTCCATGTTGTAAAAATTGCAAATTTAAATATGAATCATGATAAAGGGTAAAGAATAGAGGTTCAGATAAGATGGTTGAGATTCTCTCTTTTAATTTGTCATAACTACCAATTAACTTGGATTTTGGATAAGTTAATAATTCCAAATATTACTATTAGGTTACTAGCTTGTAATAGAGTTCGACGTTGTAGTTCACAATTGACAAACGTATCAGCTGAAAAGACAAAATCGGATAAAATATATCATTTTTCATGCTTAATAATTTGAAATCCTCTTCGAAATGATGAAACAAATCTATTTAGTATAAATACTAGGTTTATAATAAAAAGAATTACCAAGCTAAATCCAACTAAGGAAATAATAATTAAAAATATTCTGAAATATATCATTCTCTTAAAAATCTAAGGGACTCTATATGATTTTGCAAGATCATTCACTAAACTAAATTATCGATAATAAATGGATTTTTGCATAGCCGAAATAGCAGATTATTGCGAAGATACGCCTTCAGTTTTTAACTTCTAATTTTTTTGTTTTTTCTTAGTTGTATTAATATCCAGTTCCTAACTTATATTTTACTCTTCATCATTATTTTTCATCATCACCAGTTATTCATCCTATTAAATATCTGATTACATCAAATTTTAATATGCTAATTCAGATTTCTATATGAACTATTGACTATATAACTTTTCATCGTGCAAACTCTCATCTAGCAGAAGTGGTTTATCCACTATAATTGATTCATCTACAGGTGTAATAGTAATGATATTTTCGGATTGCTTAAATTAAGAAATATAAGTATCTCCATTATTGTAACTGCGTTTTGGATTTTTTATTATAAGTTCATAATAAAATGAACCAAACTCATTTCCTTTTTAAGAAATCTATAACTCACACTGATAGCATATCAAAGATGACTAATAATTCCACAAGGATTGAACCTTAATTGGCTATTGTTTGGTAAAATAAGATGAATGTACTTTATTTGGGTCTACAAAATAAAAGGTTTATTAACTGTAAATTTAATCCTATTTTAACTATTCAATATTCTCAAAAATGAGTTTCGCATCCAAACCTATAAAGTATTGAGAGAAAACACCATCAATTTTTAATACATCACTAAAGAGTTCATCATCAATATTAATGATTCTTTTTGTATCATCAAGGAAAATAGTATAGGAATTATCCTTTTTTTTTCTGAAAAAAACTACCATTTCAATAGAAGTTAGATTTAATTAACTCAAATCCATTAACAAATCTATCTTCCTACACAAACAACAAGATACTTAAATGTAAGATTCATTAATTTATTGATAGAATTTATTTTGCTGTCCTGCAATAAAATTTTCAATCAATCTCATATGAGAAAGCTAGATATAATTTGGTATCATATCTTAAAAGTTAAAAACTTCTAATTTATCAAATCTGTCTAATTAATTATATTTGCATTTGAGAATTTTAATGTTTTCCTTGTTGTTTATTTAAATTAACATACTGGAAAATTCATTAGACAAAAATGCATTACTGAATTTATAATTGATTTCATCATTATAATTATTGGATGTATTTTGATTTGAGGAAGAAATCATATCATTTAAAATTTCCATATAGTAGAACATTAAAATATTTTGTTATTTCTAATCTATTGAATAAGTAGATTTAATACCTGATGTTTATTTGAAGCAAACTTTTAATTTTTGTAAACCGACTATCTGATTATGGATTGACTAATAAGCTAGTTTCTCTAGGTTTTGCTTGGTCATGTTAGAGTTTACTTTCTCCAAATAGCTGATTTTATATTATACTATTTGATTTAGAATTTTTCTAATTTAAAAGCTTTGACTTTCTTGTTGCAAAAATTCTTTAATTGCAGTATGATTTTTTTGTGATTCACTCAATGAAGTATTCTTTTAATTTTGTAATTGTTATGCAATGTCTAATCTCATCAAATCTTAAGCCACTTTTAATACTATGATTTTATGTAACTAACCAATTTTGAATACTTTTTTGTTGATGGTGTAATTGTTGGACATTAAAATTTAATTTTGGAAATTTACTCTATTAGATTTTTGAAATATGATTTGAAAGTACTGGTAGACAAGAAGATATTGCTTCTAAAAAAATAACAGTTATAAATAACTAAAGACTAGTTGATCTGAAGTGCAATTAAATGACATCGTTGAAATCTATCTTTCATATTGAGATAACAGTTCCTTAAAGTAGATTTCATGAGAGATTTACTAAAAATTCTTGGATACAAGTCGTTTTTTACATGTACAATCTATATCGTAACACTCTTTAGTATGTTTTTAGAGAAACATCAGATAAATTATCTGCTAATTAAAACTGTTCTTCTATCTGGTGATATTGTATATGATTTAAAATAGAACTAAATTGCAGTCTTCAATACTGGAATTCGAGAAATTTATAAAATGTTTTTATATATCCATTTTAATTTAATTTTGGAAATAACAAAATGGTAAAATAAGCAAAAGCATCCAAATTTCTTAAAATTTATGTTAAGGAAATAGTTCGTGCAGTAGGTATTGCAAACTCACTGTTATTTCTATGAGATTAATAGCTAAAATTACTCTATAATAATGTCCATAGATTAATTGTTTTTGTTTTTACATTTAATATATTTATATTATTGATGATATTATCGGTAGGAGTAATGATGTAATTAAAAACAATTTGTCATCTTGAATATATAACATGAAGGATAGTTATAGAAATTTGATTGCAATCCGACAATAAGTTAGATTGGATTCATTGATCATCAAGTGTTCTCTTTGAAAGTCCAAGGCCCAATTATATGAAAACATATTGGTAAAGAAGACAATTAATGTAAATATGCCTAAAATGGCTACTAAATTTAAGGACACTTGCACAATATCATTAATGTTTTGTTTGATCGTCTAAAAACATATGTCCAACAATATGTATCCAAATGCGTATTTGATTATATTGATTGAGACAATTACAAATATAAAAAGTACCTTTATATAAATATTAGTGTTAAAGGCTACTTATAAATCAATGACTAAATTTTATGATCTACTTTTCACAATTAAAATGAAGCAAATGCAACAAAGAACGAGTATACATAAAAATACCAAGGGAATATAAGATAGTAGGGTTGAATTTTGTATTAATGTATTCGGTCTAGATAATATTGTAATTAACTCCATTTCAGATGCTGTACTGAATAGCTTTTTAGTAGACAATATATTAATATAGGCGATATTTTGTAGTTCATTCATGACTCCCAAAGTGAAATATATCATCAAAGGCAAATTCCAAATGAATTATTCTATAATTAGAGAGCCTTGAACGAATAGAGTAATTTAGTTGATTATTAATTCCATTCACACTTTAATTAATTAATTATATTTTCAATTGAGTAATTGATTGAGCAGATATAGTAATTTAAAATATGAATTATATAATTCAAATTTGTTTTAATATTTTTGAGATATTCAATATTTTTTATTGAACATAATGAAATAACTAAAATCTAATTTAAAATATGAGTTGGTTGGCATCATAAAAATAACATAAATTTTCGTTAATTAATTATGTTAAACAACAAATAAAATTAACATCAATATAGTATCATTCATTAAGTTTTTTGTGAAGATACTGAGACATCTATTTTCTCCTTGAGCTGCTTAACTTTCTTCATTACAGGATCCGAGTCTGTGAACCTTTTACCTATGTTTTCAATAGCCTATTCACACATTTCTTTCGCTTCTAAAAACTTTCCTTAATTTAATAAAATTGAAGCTATATTATTTTAGGTAGAACCAATCAGATGACTTTCATAGTCTTCCTATCATAAAACAATTAAAATTACATGTAATTATATCTTTAACACCTAATAAAAGACTTCCAGAGATTTGTCTAAGTTTTTTAATTTATAATATGTGCTGGCTAAGTACATTTTGGTGTAAATTAATTTTTTCGGATCACATTTATCTTTAATCTCTTCTTTTAAAATATTCGAGTCCTAAAAGGATTGGAGAGCCTCCTATAGCAAATTCTTAATTCTCTAATAATCTCCAAGTTGATCATAACACAGAGATTCTAATAAAATGATTCTGGAATTATAATTAATTAGTTTTTCAGCTTTAATTAATTCTAAACAATGCATAAGTGTTTTGATGGCTAAATCTAAATCAGACCTTGATTTCTGAATCTATGCCTATTTTTAATATAAATAGATCATGTCAATTATTGGACAGCCCACTTTTTATTTCAGTTCAATCAGTCTCGTAATAGAGAATAGGGATTGCTATTGTAAGGATTCATCAGTGGGATTTTTATCTTCAAAAATAGTAGACAAAGTATCAATTTCAATTATATTTTATTCGTACTCCTTTTTACATTACTCAAATTCGCCTTATATTTAATCCAATCCAATTTGCTATCGGTACTATAAATTGGCGAAGGATATAAATATCTATTCTGCCTTTTGATGATTGTTTTAATTAGAGTAGTATTGAAACAATATATCTAATAATTTAAAATTATTCTTTTCATAATTCCAAATTTGCTCAACATACCAAATATTTACTTAATCATTTTTTTCAATATCTATTTTCTTTTGCTCCTTAGAATATTTAATAAATAAACAATACATAGAATTGCTTGAGTTCCTCTTTGGATATTTAATTTTCGTAGAGCAATATTTCAATAATTATTTATACTTATTCAATTTCTTGGATCTCATTAACATTCTATTTTAAATATTTCAATGCAAATAGGTATTGTTGTCTAAGAGATTAAGGTATTTTCATTTGAGATAGTCTCTTGATATGCTTCAAAACTTCAAGACATTGTTTTTGCTCCACATGATATAAGGCAAGAGTTACAATTCTAAACAGAGAAATATTGTGATTACATCTTGCTTTATAGATCTGGATAGGGTAATGTTGCATCTACTAAATTAAGAAGAATCTGATATTGAGTTGAATTCTTGATCTTTTGATTTTCTTTGAAATGTTCCCAATAGATGTCTTTTTGATTTTTAGGCCAAGAAATTGTTAAGGTCCTTCCTGATTGGAGAACTTCATATAATTTAGGAAGTATTTCAAGCAGAGTTTCCTTACTTTTTAGGATTTTTACATCAATTTCAAGAACCATTGTATTATAATAATAATAATTGTAAAAATATTGAGATAGATATTAAAAATATTATATAATTAATTAACTTGCTAATCTCATTTGAGCATCTTAAATTGGATTTAACCATCTAAGAACTCCTCATATGATAAACATATCTTTCCACTTTATTTTAATTTGGTATTATGGAGATGCCAATCTGTTTTATAATGTTATCTAAATTCTTGATTAGTATCAAACGAGATCAAACATTAAGTACACTTAAATTGCTTACTCATATCACTTATTGCATTATCTTTTTGTGATTACTATTAAATTTATTTTAATTGATTCTACTCATCTTCTTCAACTTACTTTTTCATTTGTTACTATTATTGAATTTGTTGCTTTTTTTGATGTTTCTATTTTTTAAGGCCTTTCTGTTTGTACTTTTAATACTATTCGTCGTCAGATTCCTCTGAGTCAGAGATTTACAATTTTTGTAATCTCATTTACAACTTGACTTGGGCTATGTTATCAATTCCATCAATTTATTATTTAATTGCTGGTTCAATTACTTCCAAAGTGCTTTTAAATTTATTTTCATTAATTTTATTAGACAAAGTTCTAAATAATTTAGGATCAATGAAAAAAATGAATTTATTATTCTATTGATCAATATCCTAGAGTCCTAGTTCCTCTAACATCATATGCACCAATTCCATTTATTCATCAATAAATGAGATGGATACTTTCATTGGAGCTCTTTTAATGAAAAAGCTCTCCTTAAGTTTTTTAATGCATTGCAAAGCCTATAATTTAACAGATTTATCCGTCTTGACCACAAATTACACCTTCGAAATTGCTTACTCAATTGATTATTATGTAAGTTGGCTACCCGAAATGGCATGGATGCATTTTTCCTGTATGAATTTGACTATGTCCCTATAATAATGCTCCAATTAGGCTTCTCTTTCTTTATCTCCTACTTGAAGGTCTCCCTTTCCTAAGATTATTTTAATGATTTGATCCTTATCATCTGTTTAAAAGCATTGTTATAACTCTTTTCCTGATGCGACATCTCCTTTTGTAGCATTTGTGAACACCTCATAGACTTAGAGTACTTCACTAAATTATTTGGTGATAGTATACTTTAAATCCTTCTCAACTCCATTCCTCCAATTTATAGCCTTATTTTTATAGCAAGCTATTTCGAATTTTTGATTGTTGTTAGTACGATATTTAATGATTGCAATATTTGTCATTTATACAATACCCACAGGTTGTGTTACTCTCATTTTATAAATAAAATATTATATTAATTAAATATTAACGAGTTTTTATTCTTTAATGCTTCGTAAGAATAGTTCCACCAGAGAAACGTCATTAGTCAGCTCACTTGAACAAAAATCATTTCTAAATCTAGCAGGAAGACTCAATAGTCCAGAGTTCCAAGCCAAAACCACTTTTGGATTAAAGAATAAGGAAAATAAGGAAAACACTACAGCCCGAATGTTTTCATTAACTCCAACTCAAGAGAATCTCTTTTCGAGACCTGCAATCAAAAATGATAATAATAATCAAAATAATTCAAAAAGAGAACCAACGTCTAAGAACTACATGTACTTAAACATGGAGGAGTAAAACCAAAGAGTATTCACAAAAAGTACATAGTTGTTTTCTAAAACTCCCATCTATAATTAACCAATACCAACCGAACGATTCGACAATGCCTAAACAGTTACGAGCTCTTTGAATTTTACAAAAAAACCATTGTTCAACTCCTCCAATGAATTACCTGCTATATCTATTCAAAGTCCAAAGGAACTAGATTTCAACTCATGCAAAAAATAGCAAAGCAGCATTCCAACCTCTTATTTGGACAATGCAATTACATAACGAAACAATAAGGCCTAGGATCAAAAAGAGAATGTAACTACCAGAGTTTCTATGGATAATAATACAAACAATCTGCCTAAAATATATTACATTTCCTCTATTATCAAAGCATTTAAACAAAAGGGGTCCAATCCTGCCAAAGAACATCTCATTCACAATATGCAAGTATTGTATCATTATTTAAGCTAAGGGTATCATTATTGGGAAGAAAATTAAAGCTCCCCCCGTGAAGTAGAGTATAATTCTGCCGTCTGTCAATAAGAAAACCTTACTATTTGATCTAGATGAAACTCTTGTGCATTGTAATTCTAGTATTTCAGTTCCTGGAGATATATTATTAAATATTAATCATGACGGTGAAACTATGGAAGTATCAAGTTCCTTATTTTTTAGGCTTCCTTAAATGTCAGACCATATACTTCTCATTTATTATAATAATTAAGTAGGCATTTTGAATTGATAGTATTTACTGCCTCGCAATCTTATTATGCGAATGCAGTTATTGATTACTTGGATCCTGATAAAAAATTAATATCCCATAGATTTTATAGAGAGCATTGTATTCCAACTGAGGATGGACATTTTATCAAAGATCTACGCATTTTTAAAACAAGATAATTAAGCGACATGCTGTTAATCGATAATGCACCTCATTCCTATTTGTATTAATTATAAAATGGAGTGCCCATTATTCCATATATTGATAATAAATAGGACGAAGTATATATCTATTTAAATGTAGGAATTGAAATCTTTACTATAATACTTGATGCAATTCAAAAATGTCAAAGATGTTAGAGAATTGAATATGCAATACTTGAAAATTCAACGCTTTTCAGAATACGATGATCCATAAAAGCTATTGAAATATGAATTTGCTGATTACCTAGAATAAGCTGTTATATGATGATTAAATTACTACTTATTTTCATTTTATATTACAAGATTTCAAATGACAAAAGTCAAGATATCTAGCATTTCTCTTCTGACTCTGAGTAAAATACTCTCAAAATATTTATGATAGCTGTGAGATATTTTAGGTCTAAAAATAGAAAATTCAAAAATATTCGTTTTAAATCTTTTCCAAATTTTCTAGACATTCTACCTGAGAAGTAGGGGTGAACTCTTTTGATAAAATGGAAATTCTCGGAGAATGAACGAAAAGTGATTCTAAATCAAATAAGGGATATTCATACGAAATATCATAGGTAATATAAACATTTTATGATGAATTTCACAAATCGTCATCTTTATAAATATTACGATTTAATTATAAATATTAAGGATATTTAGTTATTATGAGTTCGATTATTTTCTATATTATAAAATTACGTCATGAAGAAAATCCTTCTGATAAGTCTTGTTATCGTACTGTCATATTAGACAGTAGAGTATAACACATTTGACGAACCGTTTGCAAAACACTTGTTTTACTTAACATCAGCAAGTTATTGCAGCGAACAACACATAAGGAATTGGAACTGCGGGAAACCATGCAAAGAACTCAAACCAATCACTGACGTCACGATCTTCGTTAATGCAACAAATGAGAATGCAGGATACGGTGCATATCATCCTGAAACTGACGAAATCTATTTAGTTTTCCGAGGAACCTTACCATGGAGTATCACTAATTGGATTGAGGATATTGACTTCATCAAGACAGATTATCCTTATTGTCCCAACAATTGTTAAGTTCATAGGTATTTTGAAAATGTATTTATATCATTCTAGAGGTTTCTATTATTCTTTCCTTGGAATTTAAGATTAAGTTTTGAACACTTTGAAATCATTAACCAAGAAGTATCCCCTCGCCAAGATAACCATTACAGGCCATAGTTTGGGAGGAGCTTTGGCTCACCACGCTCTGGTTTATTTGGCAACTGTATTATTTTACATTTATGTCAGAGAGGATTTACTATTAGCAAATTCTATACTTTTGGATCCCCAAGAGTTGGTGACAAGAACTTCTTTACTTACGTTAACTAACAACTATTCCCAGGACCTAAATTTAGAGTCACTCATAATCATGATCCAGTCCCTCATCTTCCAGCTCTCATTTAAGGATTCCATCATGTGAATCAAGAAGCTTATTATAAGGACTACTTGTTGGTTATTCACAAGAAGTAATAAATTAATAGATTTTTAGAGTTTAATTATGTAATGACAGTCTCAAAGAAGATGACAGTTGCTCAAACGCTAATCTAGTCGACTTATCTGTATCTGATCATGCCAATTACATGGGTTACGACATGACATTAGAATTACTCACTTGTTAGTGATTTAATTTAAATTTTATAGAATAAATTAAAAATGTAATAATCTGATCCAAATCAAACCTAAAATTGGGCTGCTACTACACAATCATTCGAAGTCACAACGACACAATAATAGTACCCCCAGCAACAATTCATCCCTAATCAATAGCCGAATTACTCTTAGCAAAATTAATAATATGGACAATAGCCTTAGCAAGTTACTTATGGACAGGTAAGTCAATTTGTATACCTTTTAAGCCTATTGTTAGCAATGTTTATGCTCAACCAGTTCAAGTTGGAACGCCTTACTTATAGACAGTGATTGGAAAGTACTATTAATAATTATTCAGCCAATTTAATGCTCCTCCATCATTTAATGCGAATGGTGCACCGTATCCTATTTAAATTATATGTCCAGTCTGCAAAACCTAAGGCATTACAAATGTAACAACTGAGATTGGAGCAGGAACCTACATGGTTTCATGCTTATTATTTCTATGTACTGGGTATAAAATTATTTAATGCTCAAAAGAATATTATGTTGTTGGGTTCCTTGTGTCATGCCTGATTGCCAAGACAAAATTCATAGATGTTCATCATGTCAAACAGAAGTTGGAATAAAATAGTATGATATATGTTGAACTTAATATATAATTGATTTAACATTATGATAGATTCCACTTAGGAAATCAGATATATATAAATATAAGTAATAATTTAGGAATTGGTTGTTAAGTACTTCTTATAAATTGTGATTTATTATAGTAATTTTAATAGTTTTCAGTATTTTTGCGAAAAAGCAGAATGAGCAAAATTAGAGATCTCCATTCTAGAATTTTCAGTGTTTATCTTAGATAATTTGGCTGATTGAATTTGCTTGTTATCCCATTCCAATTTCCGTTTGATTAATTATTCGCTCACTTAAATGTTTAAATCTCTTTAATCAAATACTTCCTCTTATTGTTTACAATTCTGCAATTATTCAATTAAACTTTGTTCTACTTCTCTTAATTATTGAACCTATTTGCTCAAATTAAATTCAATGTTTTTTATTGACAATTCATGCTAGATAATGGTCTGTAATCCAGAATTCAATTTATCAATTTATTAATGATAGTAATCTTAATATTAATATAATTAGATATACTTTCCTTCTAATTCACACTTTGTAATTGATGTTTCAACTTATCAACATATTGTTCAGCTTCTCTTAATTTTAAATCAACCATAAATTCCTTCTCTTGTAAGCATTTCTCTCTAATCTTCAATTTATTTTTTTCAATTTCTAATGTGTTTTGTTATTCTTCTAATTATTTTTTGCTAATCAATAATTATTATTCCCTCTCCTTCATCTTCTCTTCTTGTAAGAGTACTTTCTCCTTAAAATTCTATTCTTGTTCTCCTAATATATTAAGTTTCTCCTTAATTTGTGTTGTCAGAAGCCTCATTTCTTTCTCTCCCTTATTTAATTTCTTAATATAAACGCAAATGTACATTAGCCCTCTCTTCAATTGATTTATGTTCTTCTTCCATTACTTACTTTGTTCTATCAAGTTCTTCACATTTCCATTTGTATTTTTCTTTTATTCTTATCAATTCTAATTAATTTGGATCGCTAGTCACGATTTCAGGAACACTCAATTAATATTAGGTAGCAAATCTCACTCCTAATTTCTTATCTTAAGTGACATCTGGATTTGTTTGTCTTTGACTTAAAAATGATGATTTATGCAAGCATTGTGCCAGTGATTTCCTCATATTATTTAACAGATCAACAAATTAAAATATAAATAATGAAACTTAAATGAACCCATTATTCTGTAACTTAAATAAAAAGTGAATGTGGGAACACAATGACGAAAGTAATATTGTTAAAACTTGTGAGTAAGAGAGGAAATGTTGGTAGTTTGAATGATTGGATAAATATTTTCATAATTCTTAAAAAATTTAGGAATTTAATGAAATTTTCTGTTGCTTTGTAATAAAATAGAAGTTAAACAACCAAATGTTAAACTATTATGCAAATATAAATTCATTTTTTTTTTCATTGTTTATATTTTTTAACATCTATTGAGATCAATTTAGCTGGCACAATCCCTAACCTAGTAGGTACTTATACACCAGGACTCTCTTCTGATTGGATTCTATCTAACTTTGGTTCTTCCATTTTGTGTACTAATTAATTAATTTCATTAATGGTTCCAATGATTAATTGATGAGCAGCCAATTTTTCAGTTCCTGATAGGCTTCTAAGTCTTTAAATATGAGATTATGGAATTGATTCTTTAGTAAGCTTACTCCTACCCACAAATTTCAGTGAGTCTTTCTACCTTTCAACTGAATTTACTTTTTTGGATTCAGAGATTCTTGTCTATTTAAATTGCGGAGTTTTTAAACTTTGTTTTAAATCATTATCTTAGTTTCTATTTCTTGAATTCAATTCAAAAGTCATGCTATTCGATCCTTTTTTGAATATTTTTGGGGATTGAATCAACATATTATTCTTAATTTATTTAGGTGTATTTAGTTATAAGCTTTCATAAACAATCGGTTAATTAGATCTTGATTATTTTTAGGTCGATATTGATTTTTCTCTTGATGCCTATTCTGTTAGTTGTTATTTTAATTTTTTTTATTTTGCTTTGATCCACACATAAGAATTTGATGGATATGTAAAGGGTTTCACATTGTCTAAACTTTATTAATTCAAATGTGTTCTAGCAGATATGGGCTTAAACTCTTTTCTATAAATCATTTGGTACTACTCAACGAATGATGTGAAATCCTATCTTTGATTTTCTTGATGATCCTATTCAATGAAAAGTTGATAAAGCATGGGTTCAGTTAAATGAAAGCATGTAGAGTACGAAGTATCAACATTGAAGAGATGTACTAAAAATTGTTATATTTTGTAATTTTCTTAATTAAGCATATATAATTAATTTATTCCTCATAATGTCCAATAATAGCAATCAAAGTCAGATTCAATCATTTTACAATTCTAATTGTGAATTTTGAGACTGGGTTATTTGGAATTAGACCTTAAATTTACTCTTGGGAAAATCAATAAATTCTTAATAATAAAATTCATTATTTTTCTTTTTAAGATAATGTCTTAAACCGAATTGATCAACACTAATGAATCAAGAGACTCTTAAACCTTACTCATAAAACCTATACTGAAATCATCTTAATAGAAAATAAACCAAGCACTCCCAAGATTGGATTGGGCTGGGAATGAAATAATGAAAGGAGGATCTCATAAAATTGCCTTTGCTAGTTAATAGACCACACCAAGAACTTTCATGGACATTCTGTCAGAAGAACAATATAATTAAGACAATTAAGTTGATGAAGATTATAATGAAATGTTGAACTGTTAAAAAGTAAAGAACAAGACTAAATTTCAACCAGAACTAAGCGAATAGTCTAATTGCTGTTTTATTTATTGACTTTTTTATTGAATTGAGTTATTATTATATTGATATTCAATTAAAGTGAAAGTTGACTCAATCCAAATTCTATACAAATGCACATTCAATGGAATCTCCTTAATTTTAAGCGTTTTATTTCATTTTTTACAATAATTCATTATAATTAGAACAAATAAACCGAAATATTTATATAATATTTATTATCCAATTTAAAAGGAGATCTTCATTATTGACAAATACCATATTTTATAATAAATTCAATTATAATGATTTTGATAATTATATTATTCATGAATTAACTATTTGCATAAGAGATATAGTTTCTTTTCATTCAACTCATTTTACTAGTCAAATTTTTAAAAGAAAATTTCATCAATAAATAAATTGATATTCCTCTCTCCTTCAGTCTTAAACTTATATTGAAACTTTTCTATTTAATTGCATATTGGATTTCTTTGAGTCTTAATAGTGTTCAATATATCCTAAAATTTCAATATCTCAAATGTTAATTTTGAAAAAGTATTCACTCTTCTTCTTTTAGAAATGTGAAGCATCTTAAACATTTCTCTATTCAGATTGTTTCCAATTTATAAAATATGATTTTTAATGCTTTTCATCAAATATTTTAGAGGCAAAAACAACATCCTCACTACCAACCACGAAACTGCTGTGATTACAACTATTGATCCCAAGTGTTCAAAACAAATTCTTTTTACAACTTCAACCAAGCCTATTTACAGTAATTCCATTTGCTCATTAACTTGTTGTTACAAAGTGAAATTTGTATATCTATATTATCATCAATATATTATTACAATAAAATAGTAAAATTTTCATTTTTCAATTGAGTTGTAAATAAAATAATTGTAGAGTTGTACAACTTATCATATAAACAGTACACGTTTGTAAAATCATTACAATTTCCTAAATTACTCTTATTCTTTGACAGTTCTTGCATAAACTCCCAATCACTTTCATTAAAACCTGTCAATGATTGGTTATAAATGTAATTAATGTTTTTGGAGTCATATTCAAAATCAGCTGCATTTAATACCAACTAACCTTCCTTGTTTATTATTAAGGCGTTATAAGGAAGATCTTGAATGGCTGAATCGATTAATTAAATCATTTATTAAGCCATTCCAATACTTTCCCTCTTTGAATTAAATAGAGTGTGAGTTAATGAAATAGCATAAGTCTTAAGATGGACAACCAAATAGGCAGGTGAATAGAAAAATTCGCTGTTAGGGTTTAACTTCATTTATTATACGTGATTAGTGTACCATAATCTTTTCTTTGGTTAATAGCCTTTGACTGAGTATGCTAAGGGATAAGCAGAATAAAATTGTGTGTCTGATAGATCCGCATATGATAATATAGATTCTAATGTTACTGGAAAACTGATGGTGAATTAATTCAAAATTTATGTTGTTTAATTAAAAATCTCTATGGTTTTATCGTCTTAAGGTAATGTAAAATGATCGCTCGATCCACAAGCTTAATAGCAAAATTAGGCTGCAGAATAACGAAAGAAACTGCCATTTATCTCATCTTAATAAAGGCAACGCTCCAATTAATCCATTTTCTTCAGCTTTAGTTCAATATCAGAATAATATTGAAATAATTTATTTATGTTATTCAATCTATAGATGTCTAATTATAAACTATTTTTTACATTGTTCGTGTTTTCTAATAAAATATTGTTTGATTGATTAGCCAAGGTTTTAAATCGAATTATTTTCTTGTCTAATAAAAATTATAGATGATGAAGCTTATATCATTTTAAACAACAGTATATTCTAAATAAGAAAGGCAATCCCAATAAATATTGTTGAAATCACCATAATTGCAGTTATCCCAAAAATAATTTAATTTTCCATTTTTTATTTTCTCAAGCAATTATGGAAGCACATTATTTTAATAATCTTATGTTTCTGCAAACTTATTAAATAAATTATTTGTTATTATATGATAGTTAATATATAAATACTACTGTTTAAATAGTCTAATTTTATTTTAATCGTGATTTCTAGAATTACAACTATATTTCAAATTCATTTAAGCAGTAAAAGAAGTTTTAATTGCTTCATTAATTTATATTGTTTTTATTTAAGTCAAAACTCGAGCTTAATGAAAATTAACTTAAAATTATTATAAATTAATAATCAACTTGTTATCAAAATAGAAATGGAATATAATGCATTTTAGACAATTCTCAAGTAGAAATTACAACAATGCCTAAACGTGTTAGTATCAATTTCCTTAGACTATATTTTTGTGAATTAGTATTTCTCATCTCTAAGGACTTTTGTTTACATATCTAGTAATGGTTTATGTTTGAATATAGAATATAAATCTTAATTTCTTCATGTTCATATTCTCAAAGACAATTAAATTTTTTCTAAATTAAAATGATTAATTATATTAAAGAGACTGTAATAAACTTAAATTATTTGCTTTACATTGAATAAAAAAGCAAAAGACTATATCTAAATTATCCCAATTGAATCAATTCTGTCTCTTAGTTAGGGATTACCATTTTAAAGTAATCTCAAATCTCTATAGGCCAAGTAAAATTCTTAAAACTTTTTAATGTAAATCAATGTAAGAAATTTATTTTATTTACAATTTTCTTTTAGAATAATAAAAATTAATCACCTTTGATATACTTAAACTTTAAAAATAAATGAAATCCCTAGATTTAATTAGACTTCTAAACTATTTTGTTAAAACCAGTATAAATAATCCGAATTAAGCCAGTAAATTTATGAAATATCTTACTTTTACTTAAATTACTTCATCTTTTTGGTATATATATAAGATATTTTTCTTTATTTTATATATATATATATAAATTTGAGTCTAATTAAGTGTTTATAGTGAAATCCCGCATATTGTACCATTCTTTATATGAGAATATACCAAATTTAGAAAAGTAAGTTATAAAGAGCTTCTAGAAAGATATTAGCTAGAGTTGCTAGAATTTCGACTATCTTTTATTACAATATTTAAAATTACATATAAGATATTAATAATTATTTAAGGTCACTAGTCCAAACTAGCCTTATTATAAATCTAGATGATTAGAGACTGAATAAACTTATTGTTTTTCTTACTTTTATCAATTTTTAACTAAAACTTCTCAATAAAAATCGTTAGTTCTAATCATTAGTGAATAAGAGTGAGATAGTTTATCATTCTAAGAGATTTAAGTAATTTTAACCTTTTCAGCATTCACAATTATAATTTTAATATCATTATTAAATATCTATATAAAACTATGAAAAAATGGTTGAAGAATTTATTTAAATAATATTTATTTTAATAACGAATTTTCATTATTCTTATGTTTGAGCTTAAGTTGTCTACAGTTATTGCTTTACCAATATACCTGCTAATTACTGAATGCTAGTTTTCTTTGATTCTCTTCGTTTTGCAACTTCATTTAAAATTTATGCCTTGTCAAGCTTTTTTAACCCTGATAGTGAATTATCTAAATTAAATTTAATAATTACCCTCCTATTTTTTTTTAATTTATGCCTATTCTTATTATTATTGTTATTATTATTATTATTATTGTTATGATTATTAACTTTGTTGCTATTGTTCTAACTTTTTCTTTTTTTCCAATTCTTTTTATTCTGCCAATTTTATTTTATTGATATTTTACTTTGCTTATCTTAATACTGTTTTGTACTTATAAAATTTTTCAAAAAATTTATCAAAAGGAACTTTTGTTTCAGCATAAAAATTAGAAAGATCATCGTATTACGATTCAAGTTGCTTTAAAAATGTTTCGTATTCAGCTAATTAAGTCACAACTTATTAATAAAAATCCGTTAATTTTCCTTCAACTAAATCTTGTATCGGAGGAGATACCTTTGATTTGATAGCCTTATCAACTGTCCTAGAGTTCTTTTTTAATTCATTTAAATCTGCACTCAATTAAGTTAATGGAGTTTTAGCTATATATTAATATCATTTATTACCAGCTAATTCTATTTCGTCTAAGTTTTCATCAACAATCACTAATTCTTATTTTAAATCTTCCTCTGCTTTCTGTATTATAAACATTAATAAGTTGCTTTTATTATCTGTAGTTTTAACATCTGCTAATTTCTCCATCATATCAAATTTAAATCCATATGCACCTCCTCTAGCAGATTAACCATTCATATAATTTCCAGCTGCTAATGCATATTCCATTATAACTTTTGTACTCTTATCATTTTTAGTTTTCTCGATCAATTTTTAAAAGCCAACTATTTTCTATTGCAAATCTTCTGTTAGTTCTTTGTAATTACATTTAAATTTCAAAGATAATAATCTAAATTATACTCAAATAGTTACCTAAAATCATATCCCTTTACTGAGCTAATATTTATACAAAAAATATCTGGTAATGCTAAATTTGACTGATCTTAATCCTACCATAGTCCAATCTCTGTCTCATTTGGCATTGCTGTAATCAAGGATTCTACTACATTTGGTTTTAAGACAGTTTCATCAAGTCTTTAAAATAAGTTTAATAAATTTACTGATAAAGACTATCAACTATTAATTGATTTGACATTTTAAGTTTCCCTAAAACAATTTCTAAATTTTTCACTCTTTCTGGACCCAGCATTGAAATTTTAGCTGGCTTCTAAGGTTAATTGGCTCCGCCCTAAGCGCTTGCATTACTTTAGGTTGCCTTGACTGCAAATAGATTCTCAATAATAGTAAAATCCATTTTTAATTTAGTATCGTCTATCTATTCCCAAACAGTATTTTTAATTTATTCTGGCTTAATAACTGTCCAGCAAACTTATTTTAGTTAAACATTAGGTTTATGTTTTTATTTTCCAGCTGTAGCTCCAAATTAAGGATCTGGGCCGCCAGGAGGTCTTGGACCCGGAGGTGGTGGAGGAGCTCCTCCAGGAGGAGGTGGAGGTCCTGGTGGTTTTGGCCCTCCAGGTGGTGGAGGAGGAGGTGGTGGACCTGTTTTTGATCCTGGAGGAGGAGGTGGTGGTGGAGGAGGAGGAGGAGCACCTTTACCTCCTGGTGGTGGAGGAGGAGGTGGTGGTGGTGGTGGAGCGCTTTTACCTCCAGGAGGAGGAGGAGGAGGCGGTGGTGGAGGAGGAGGTAAGGTTTTTGAACCACCAGGAGGAGGAGGAGGAGGAGGCGGTGGAGGAATCAATGTATTTGTTAAAGTTGATCCAGGTAATGGTGGAGGTGGCGGTGCAAATGTATTGCTAGAATTTTGTATGTTTTATTGCTAAGAAAGCAATTTCTGTTCTAAATTTTCCTTTTCTTTTTGTAATTGTTGAAGCTTGTCTTATAGAGCTTAAGTGTTAATTGATTGTTCTAAGGGTATAATTTATTTATTATATACTTTTGTATTCTTCTTCAATTTGATTAATTTTTATATCAGAAGCCTTTTAACTTTCTCTTACTTCATCAAGTTTTGAGATGTCTTTTTTTTATTATTCTAAAAGGATGGCTTATTCTTCAATTATATTATTTAATCTTATAAGCTCATCTTGATACTACTCAATAGTTTTGAGTTCACTTTAAATTTTGGTAGCTTAAGTTTTAACATAATTTACAGATTAAACTTTTTCTCTCAATTATTGTAATTATAATTTTTTAGCATACTTCTTTTTTATCAATTTTTCATTCGTTGCTTATAACTCTCTGCACTCCTTATTCTTTTCTGTCAATAGAATCTCTTTTGCTTGGAGATTTTCACTTTGTTCCTTCAATAATTATTAGAATTCTATTATCAAATTAGATAAAATTACTTTTAATTTCATTTTCTTAAGTGATGAATTTCTGATTTTATTAATGTAACTCTTATTTGAGCTAGTCTAGTTGTTGTTTAAATTCTTCAGAGTTATCTTACTTATGAGAAAGCCTTTATGGAGGTACTTCTAATTCCATTTTTTGAGCTTTAGCCAATTACATGATAGTCAGTTTTTCCTTTAATTGATAAACCTCATTTTCCAGTTGTTAGATAGATTTTTGTTATGATTCATTTTCTTATTGAAGTGCTCTGTAGTCTTTATTTTTTGAAGCCAATTACTCATTTAATTGAGAATAATTAGTTTAATCTGATTTTAATTTTTTTTCTAAATCACCAATTTTTCTCTATAAAACATCAACAAAAGCTTCATTTGACTATTTTTTAGAATTCATATCTTTAATTTCATTTTCTAAACTCGCAATTTTTTCATGTAAGTCTTCTACTTATTATTTCATTAATTCTAATTATGAACTCTCTGCATTTTCATTATCTTTTTAAGTTGGTATATTGAGTTTATCAATGTATTTTGAAATACCTTCTGCAAATTCAGTGACAATTTGACTTCCTCTAATTTTGGATTCATGTTTAATATTTTCAACCGTTCTTTATAGATTAGTTAAATTCGCTTTTCCCATTTCATCTTAAATTAAATTTAAATATTGAGGTGTAAGAAAAGTTGATTTTAGATGTTTAGCATGCTATTTTACTTCTTATTTTTTTGGTTCCTGTTGTTATTAAATGGGCACATCCTTATTGTTCTCCAAAAATGCCTCAATTTGCCCTTCAATAATTTTAATTGAATTTGAAAACTCTCCAATATCATAGCACTTTCTGGATTCTCTTTGATAAAGCATTGGCAATTTAATTTCTTCAGTGTAATTTGGATCTGTTTGGATTGAGTGTTTTTACTTATTGTTATCAATTATCTATTATAAAACAACTTCAAATCTTAATTCATCAGCTTTATATTCAAATTCTTCTATTTTGTTGACGATCATTTTATAAATATCAGCCATTCCAAAAGTTATAAATTACTAACGCATTCTTTTTCTTTCCTCTTCCTAAGTTGGAGATTCAGTTAGAGTTACTATAAATACACATAATGTTGCAATCATGACAGCATTTCTACTTTTTTTTAAGGTATTCACAAAGAATATAATTTCGTTCTCTTCATACAATTTATTTAAGCTTTTGAGAACCCAATTGTATCCTTCATCTGTATGCCAACATAAATGAGATGCAATTTCTAATACTGTTGTTGTTAATTCAACATGAAATGGATGTAGATTTTTCAAAATGATATCCATAGAATCTGGGATCTGTAGCATTTATTATTAGTTCTTTTCTATTTTGACTAGAATTTCAAGTATGTTTAAGATTTAAACCTGATATAAATAACAAGGAGGCTTCTTTTTCTCAATTATTTATTGAGCTTGCTGGTGAAATTTAAATAAGTTTTCTATAAGTAAATTGATTATGGTGTGAAATTGTTCCAATTAATCTTATTAGTCTTGAATCTATAGGTTTTTGAGATACCTTCTCAGTTATTCTAAATCCTAAAGTGTTGGATTAGATAATTTTAAAGTGAAGTAGTTCACTTCATCATTTGGTAAATTTTATAATAAATTCTTGCCTGTGATATTTTTATATTCATTCAGAATTAAGCATTTAAAGTCTAACTTATATTAAATGATTTTACATTATGGAGTGCTTTAGAATTATTGGAGAAGCTTTGGCTCCACTTTCAACTCTTTAATCAATGCGGAAAGCTATTGATCAAAATCTTTTGGTATTGTATTTTTTTAAGCCTATAATTTCTTTTGATCCAACATGAATCTCATTGTTAATTAGGACTCCTTTATCTATGCATCAATCGATATTGGAGAAATCAATTTCCCATTTGAAATTGCATTCCCCATCAAATTAAAATTAAATTAATAATTCTGAAGTCTCAAAGTAGAATACTAATTAGGAATGTGAGATTATTAAATATAAAATTGATTGATAAATTAATTGAGATGATGCAGAAGATAAATTATACGGTTTGATTGTAAATATAAAAAAAAGTATAATTCTATGGGAATAAATCTCGAATGGGAGTCTATATAAACAAATAAGTCAAAGATGATTACGAGAAATAGTTTTAAGACCATCCTGATTTACATCAAGCTATTCAGTTGTATCAAACTTATTTGCTTGCTAAAATTTATGTAAATAAAGTAAAAGGGTTCATTATGATTGATATCGATGAGCTAAGGCAGAGTTTAAAGATTTGTCTCATTCACAACATATAGATTAGTAGATTAAATCCTTTGATGCTCAATAAGACTTATTGGATCCAATAGTCCATCTTTATCTCATTTATGATTAATATAATTATTAAAATAAATGAATAAAAGTAAAACCTAAAATTTCCATCTTTATGAACCATAACGTGCTCTATAAGGTCACAAAGCACAGATTTATGTAGCTAAGTTCAACTTTGATGGATAATATTTATTAACTGGTTCGTAAGATAGATCTATTATATTATGGAATCCATATAAAGAAACTTAACTAAAATAATATTTTGGGGCACATAATTATGAAGTATAAGACCTAGATATTCTATAAGATAATTCTAAATTTGCATCTTGTGGAGGAGATAAAATTGCTTTTTTATGGGATGTGGCAACAGGCTAGGTGATTAAAAAATTTGGACCTCATAGTACAAGAATAAATTGTGTTGGAATTGGAGGAGAATAATCAATTTTAGCAACAGGAGGATACGATTGTGAAGTGAAAATTTGGGATTTAAAAGATAAAAAACAAAATTAGCCAATACAAAGAATCAAAAATTTTTAAGATAGTGTAACCTAAATATCCTTCTTTCATCATAATATGATAGTTTCCTCAATTGATGGGCATATTAGGTATTACTACATTATTTTTTATATAAGAACTTTCGATTTAAGAAAAGGAGTAATTTAAGAAGACTTTGTTAAGGCAGGAATCCTCAAATTTAGTTCTAGTTTCGATGATAGATTATTTGCATTAAGTTGCAATGATTCTATAATAAGAATTTTAGAAAAGAGTTCTGGGACGATCTTAGCTGCTCTCCAAGGTAGCCATATCAGTAATTAGTATTCGATTAATTGCGAGTTTTCTTGGAATGATGGAATGCTATTAACAGGCTCTGAAGATGGAAAATTGTGTATTATTTATTAATATAATAGTAATCTATGATATCCTGACAGGAAAATGTTAAATAACAAGAAAACTTCATGATAAATGCTTAAGTTCCATATCGTTAAGTAAGTAATAAAACGCTTTTGTTACAGCATCATATGACAATGTTGCATTGTTGTGGATGGAATAAAGTTGAGAGAATATGTATGATAACTAAAGTTTATAGAAAAAATAGTCTATTATATATTTGTTTATAAAGTTATTTATCATTGATAATATTTTTTTGAATAGTATTTTGGTAAATCAATATTTTATACATCAAAAGAAACCCATGTATTGTATAAGGTATTTTAAGTTAAAGACAGAGTAGGAAACAACAAAGAAATACTAGTTGTTTCAAAGTTAAATTTTAATTTCTAATAACTGGATTAAACATACATAATTTATTTATTATTAATTATGGAAATTTTCAATACTTGCTGCTATAAAAGAATTGATGTGAAAACTAATGTACTATTGATAAAAAAACATGATAATCATTTTTTCTAAGTATTCTTAACTTTTGGTTATGCTTAAGTTCCTGCTCTAAAACCATTCTTTGCTCTTCTAGCAATAGATTTCAAATATCTCATTCTTCCTGTTCCTGTTGATCTACGTCTAGCAACTTTTTCTCCCCATCCGCTGTCTATGATTGTATTAATTGATTTTCTTACAAAGCCTTAATCTTGCAGCTGGATATCCACATGAAGCGCATCTATTTTTTTGAATGTGGAATGTTTATCTACCACATCTCTTGCAAAATGTATGAGTCTTTTAATGTCTTTTACCGATTGCTGGTGTACCTCTTGCCATTTATTTATTTAATAAAAGATTTAATTAATTTTTTTAATCAAAAAAATCATGCACACTAGAAATATAAATGATATCCATTATTCCCTTTACCAACCTATATTTTCTTTTATCTGCCAGTTTCATTTATAACAAGCATATTATAATAATGAAACAAGATCTAAATGTCAAGAGTTATATTACAGGGTATTTCATTTCATTTCAAAATTCTCCCTATTTTTATCCCTTTTTAGCAACGTGATCATTTATTTAAATTATGTTATAATCAAAAATAAATTCTAAATAAATACCTAAAGACGCTCATTATAGCAATTACATTTACATTAGCAATTTTAAAAGTTTCAGTTATTAACTTATAATACAATAATAAGAAAATTACATTTCATAACGATAATAATTATTAATTGGAATTCCTGTAAGTTAATCAACAAAATATTAATAATTATTGTATTTTGATTCATCTTTATAATGTATTTAATCCAAAATAGCATTTTAGTTATATTATTTTTATTGTTCTTTTGATTCAAATATTTATTTTAGTTTCATAATTTATATTTAAAAGAGAAAATGAGTTTATAAACTAGATCTATGGAAAGAACATCAGCCGGAGAAAAATAATAAACTTGGCACTAAAATAGAATTTTTATAGAAGAAATGAATACCTTGATTGGTTCAGCATTAGTGGAAGAATTTAGGAATGATAATGAAAATGATGTTAACCCAAATATAATTATTGGAAATGGAGATAATTTGCCGAGAGGAGCAACAAAACTAATTAATGCTGCAGATCCAAAGGAATTAGGTCAAGTTGTATTAGATAGTGATATTGTAATATTTCATCAGAATTATTGCAGAGCAGAATATGCGTACAAACTATTAAAGCATGGGTAATACTAGTAGTCTAAAATCTTTATTTTAATAAGCAATCCTCTTACTTGGTCGACTACTCCATTAAAAGAAAGAAAAAATGATGAAACTGCTATGAGGTAATCAATGGGAGGAGAAACAGAAGATTAACCATTTTTTAAAAAGTATGATAAATTCACAGAACACGATCTTCCAATAAGGAAAATTCATTATTTGGAAAGATTAAAGCATTTAGAGCAATAAATCATCGTCTGTGATAAACCTCAATTACATGCATACATAATAACGCCAGGTTTAGTATATGGAAATGGAGAGGACATTTTATACGATTTATTTAAAACTGCATGGATGACACCAGATGCAGAATTGCCAATTTATGGAGATGGAAACAATATTATACCTATGATTCATGTGAATGATTTAGCCAATATAGTGAATAAAACAGTCACATTAACCCCTAATGAGAGGTATATTTTTGCAGTTGATTATGAAAATATGACTTAAAAGAAACTAGTTACTACAATTGCTAAATCTGTAGGAAATGGTTTTACAAAGAATGTTACAATACCTACAGAAAAGATACTAACCATAAATATTTGGCTTAGACCAACTTAAGTATTTGAGTCTGAAGATCAATATATTGATGCTAAGAAAAACCCTATAATAATATGGCAATGCAAAGAAGGATTTGCAAAGAATATTCTAAAAGTCAGGGAATAATTTAAACTCTATAGAGGTTTAGATACTGTTAAATTAATCGTGCATGGAGGAACCGCTTCAGGAAAATCAAACCTTTGCAAATAATTAGCTAATTTTTATAGAATCCCTCATATATAAATTAAACCCTTAATTTAGGAATTAATTGAATAACAATCTGAATTAGGGGAACTAGTAAGGACTACTTTGTAATAAGTTAAAGATCAACTGGTTGCAGAAGCATTAGCTATATTTGAAGCTGAGAAGAAAAAGAAAAAGGTTCCTAAAGGATAACCAGAACCTGTATTTGATCCCTCTGGCATTTAACCAAGACTTCCTGACTCAGTCTTGATTTAAGTTTATAAGTGGAGATTGGACCAAAATGATGCTTAAAATTTAGGTTATGTTTTAGATGGTTTTCCAAAAACATTAGAATAATATGAAAAACTATTCATAAATGAGGAAGGCTAATTAATAGAATCGATTAAACCAAAAGGCGTAATTTATTTGGAATACTCGGATGAACAATTAAAAGAAAAAGCAAAATAACACAATGACAATCCAAGATATTAAGAGGATCTGGTGGTCAAACGATTGGCTAATTTTAGAAAGAATAATGAATAATTGTTGTCACAATATGAGTAATTTGATATCAAGAGAATTTCAGATTCTGAAAGTGCTTTTGACTAATCTAAAGATTTTATAACGAGAAATGGACCAATTTTGGTTTTGCAAGATGTAAAAGATGAAGAAGTAGTATAAGTGGATGAATAATAAGATGATGTTTCACCTTCTCCTTAAATTTCATCAGTTCAACAAGAGAAGGTTGCTGCAGTGTAGTAATCCTAAGTACAATAATCTTAAGTAGGACCGAAAAAGAAAGGAGATCAACTTAATGTAATACATTCATTTAATTTAGAAATCAATAAATGAAAGCAGAGTATCCAAAGATAATAAAAAGTTAACGGATGAGTAAAAATAAGACCTTATCAGACAACAAGAAAGAGAACTCTTAGATTAAAGAAGCTAACCTTTAAGACAATATTTGGCTGATAATGTAGTTCCATTCTTAACAGAAGGTTTAATAAATATATGCGAAAAGCATCCTGAAAATCCATTATAATTTTTAGCTGATTTTTTGGAATAAAAAGGAAATGAATTATAGGCATTAGGGCAGTGAAATTTATTTTATAAAAACAATTTAATAACATTAAAGTAATAAATATGATAAGTCCTTGAAAGATTGTTTATAGTTATATTTTTTCTATACTATCTTCTTAAAATTAAGAATAAAATAATTAATTTTCAAAATTAATATAATCACAATATTCTTTCAAACAAAAAAGTGAGACTTTAGTATTTTCTATATTTATTATAGTTTCTTAATCAATCTTTATCTTTTCTTTTTATAATTTTAGTTGCCAATATTGTAATGAATTAAATTTTTTTATTGTTAAAGATTATATCAGTTTCATCTTTCCACTTTGTAACCTTTTTTCAAATTTTTTAATTTAAAGTTGAGCAATCTTCCCACTTTCTCCAAATTGTTGATAAACTCAATTATGATATGATTTGTAATTGGCCCGTTCAAATTCTTTTTGATTTATATTAAAAATTTTAATTTTTTCTTCATGACCTACAGAGAATTAGTCCCAACAGTTGAAGATCATAATGCTGGACATGTAATCGGATTTATAATCGGTAAGCTATATTATGATAAAAGGGTTGTTATATATGTTTGCTTTTGTATATTACATTTATAAGAAGTATTTGTCAAATTTGTTTGAAGACTTTATGAGTTTGTTAGATGTAAGTAAATATCAAAATAGTTAAAATTATAGGATAAAGAATATGAAGAAACATATAGGCCTATACTATACAGTTTACTAAACTCAATGCAATATTTGATTTTATGTTTTTATTCAACATTTAGCAGCAAGTCAGATTTGGGAGTTTCAGTAATTATTGGATCAGATGCCTTTAGTATATTATTCATTTTTGGTTTGATTCTTATTAAATTTCCTACTTCACATCATGGAGTCTTGGACACATGGACGACATTAAGAGATTGCGTTATTTATATAGTTGGATTGCTTGTGATGTTGCTGTGTCTGTATTACGAGTGGGCTAAGATAGGAACAGCCTTGGTTCTACTAGTTTACTACATATTAGATTTAATTGTTTTAGCAGGGAATTATGAAATAAAAGAAAAGATAATGGAATGGTTGACCCTTAATAATGAAGATAACGAATTCAATTCAGATTAGCATTTGGAATACAAAAAAAGAAGGTATTCAGTAACATAGTTGAGAGATGCAGGGATGGTTGATCTCAAAGATTAGAGTTTACAAAAAAAGATCAACACATTTGAAGCAATTTTGGTAATCAAATATGGATAGCAAAATCCTTAAAAGAAAAAAATTAGATAAAGATTTGGATCAATTGTATATGCTATTATATTTTCAATCAGAAATTAAATCAAATCTGAAATTCAAAAGCGATCAGAATTTTACTAAAACCTTTACAAACCCAAATAGAGGTAAAGATAATTACTAAACGATGAATAACCTCAAAGTGCAATCAAATAAAGAAATGATTAATAAGATAATGATCAAGATGAAAATCCTTTAATAGATTCTAATCCTATGGAATCTGTGCACCAACCCAATAATTAAGATTAACAACCCCCCTAAAATTAAAATCCTGAAGACCAAATGAATTAAGAATAATCAAAACTTGAAATGCCTAAAGAACCCTTAGATAAGGTGTTATTTATTATTTTCTTCCCTATTCATCTGATATTGTATTTATTGCCAAGCTATAATGAAAATGTTGTACCCAAAAAATTGGTGCTATGCTTTTTTTTGAACTTAGGTTTGCTTTGTGGATGCTATTATTTAATTGATTGGTGGGGATTCGAACTAGCTTTGGCTACAGGAATCCCTTTATAATTAGTAGGAATGATTTTTTTGGGCTTTTTTACTTAACTATAATTTGCCAATTATAATTTAGAAGTTGCAAAAATTGAAACAAAACTAGAATTCACTCAGGCATTCTTCTAAACTGCAATATGCAAAATATCCCTGTGTACAGGATTACCTTGGGTTTTAAGAATTATAATTGATCTGGACATTGAATATGAAATGGATTATAATGATTTCCAACAAGCCTTCTGTATTTCAATTGCAGTTCTTTGTGTAATAGTGTTTATTTTACTCTTGCTTGCATTGGCTAAAGGATTTACTTTGAAATCTTAGGATGGAGTAAAGATGATCGTTCTTTATGGATTATTTATTTTGATATCTGCTATTATAATTGGAATGAATATTTTAAAGTGAAGTTGATTTATGAAAAATATCGAAATATATATACAATTTATGATATAATATATTATAATATATGAATTTGGTATCTTATTGAAAATGTAATACATAAAATTATAATATTTAGTGCTAATACTAATGTCCAAAAAACTGAAATTTATCCAACTTAAAAGATCATCAGGCGATAAAAATTCATAAATAATTGATTTCACTTCTATTTAATGTTTGAATGATATATGTAAAAAGGTGACTTTTAAAGAAGATGTTCTTTATATTCATTTTAATAAAAAGGATTGCCCAATTGCAGTTAAAACATTACTACACAAGCATTTACAATAATAAAGCTATTCTACATTAACTATTTAATGAATATTTATATGTATATTTTCGTATTTTGCTTGCTCAATCTAAATTACATTTTTTTTTAACAATGCACACTCTTATCCCAAAGAAGTTAATTTTGAATTAAACACTTACAATTTGATGAGCCTATTGCTGATTCTATGGATGTTCTTTAACATTATTTATTCTCAATCAATGTTCTAAAATTGATCAATTAGTTTTGAGTTTAGGCTCCTCTGAAACAATTAATTAAATATTAGTGATATGAGTAGGATAAATAAGTAAAAAATATATGATCAATCTGGTTATTCTATGGAAATATATATTATTTATATATAAATGTGTAATATTATTAAATGAAATAGCAAAATTACACATTATATGTTTGCGAAATTTTGTAAAACTATTTTATAAAATATTTAATTTAACTAAATATTTAGAAATGCAAAAGAAGCTCTCGAAAATTAAAGAAACATTTGATAAGTTAAAAAATTACACCTATAAGTTTATTGTCACGACACCTGAATAAGGTACAAATTCAGAATTTTCATGCAAGTTATTTGTGAATTCATTATTGATTTCAAATGGGTTTGGTAAAAATACAAAAATTGCAAAATAATAATGTGCTGATATAGGATATGATGAATTAATGAAAAAGGATTGGGAATTTGCTGAAAAAAATAATTTTATTATCCCCAAAGATGAACACTATCAAAATCTTCTGTCTTTAATATAAAAGATCAAATAAGAGCTTCATATTTAGAAGGATTTAGAAGAAAAAATCGAATAATCGGATGGTTATAAGTAATGTCATTTGGAGTTTGATAATCTCAAGAGTGAAGGCTTTAGTTTTATTGAGTCTAATGCTAGAAAAACTAGTGCTTATAATTTGATCTAGGCTATTTTTGAGAAATATCGTAATCTGTAACACCATGATAATATTAATTCTTTATAATAGAATCATTTTGGTAGATAATCTGGTTAAGTTTCTTAAGATTCTTTTAAAAAGGTGAAATTAGAATATAATGATAACATCTATTAAAATACTCCTTTAAGATTTATCAACAATTTATAGAATAATTAGCAGACATAAATATAAGTAATTTAACAAAAAATCGAGATTCCAGAGGCTGCACAGGTATTTCCTGTATATTAAAATGTTCATTTGGATAAAAATTAAATAAATGAAAATAATACTCTTTGTTTTTAATTAGCAAAATAACTTCAATTAAATAATGAGTCTTCTTTTATTTTTTTGATGTTTATATAGCAATTAAATGGATTCAATTTCCAAATTGCTGGATCGTTTATATCCAAATCAATTAGAATCACTAAACCGGAATTAGATATAATTTTATAAATTTCTGATTAGAATGAGATTAAGTTTTAAAAGCTTTTATAAGATTCAGAGACTGAATTTAGAATTCAAAAAGAAAACAACGTCATAATTTTGTCATATAATAGTTAACCAATATAAACAAGATTAAAAATTTAAGTACCATCTCTTAAGATTAAATTGTATTGCTATTACAATTACAATTTAATTGATGAGTAGCATTCCTCACATTCAAATGAGATGAGTTAATACAGTTAGAAATATGATTAATTATATTTTTCTTCATTATCTTTATGTCTTGCTCATTAATGGAGAGATGATAATTTGGAGTTATTGCCAAAATAAGTATTCTATAGTTACAATATTATTTTTAGCTTTTAGATTATTTAGTAGTTTAAACAACTAATTAATTCAATTATTTGAACTCGCCATACTAGGTTCTTTGCTAAATAATCTATCTCTTAAAAATAGGAATTCTAGATGAATTGAGTTAGGGAAACTAGAATGAAAAAGAGTTGAATCCTTTTTTATAATCAATTGGTTCTTTTTATTTAGAGTTGATACATAATATATCTGATGAGACATTGCGTCAAATAAAATAAATTGCAGGATAGTGGAATAAATAATAAATTAATATTTGGGTGAAGAAATACATTTGAAATAATTATGTTTTATAAGTATCTAGAAAATAATAAATCATGAATGGTTTGCATTAGTTTATAACACGCTTTTTGAAAATATTGATATAAATGGGTTATTATTTATTTTAATTATTTCCTGATGGGATGTGGTTGTGTTACTTCAGCTGCTGAAAATCCAAATAGAATATCGAAAGTAGACGATTTCAACATTACAGCAAATGACCTGGTAGTAAAAAAGTTGGGAAAAATAAATAAAGATTATGAAATAATTAGACCTTCAATAGGAAAGGGTTTGTATAAAATTCATCTACCCAATAGGTAGTTTCGGGAAGGTTTACAAGGTTATACATAAAGTGTCTGGAGTTTAAAGAGCTGTTAAAGTGATCAGAGCAACTTAATTTGATTAAGATAAAATCGCTCAAGAAGTGTTAATTTTAAAAAAAATGGTTAGCAAATGATATAATAGCTAGGATCATCCAAATATCTTAAAGGTTTATGAATTTTATCAAGAGGGAAACTATATATCAATAGTTACTGAATTGTGTACTGGGGGAGAATTATTTGATAAATTATCCAAAGGTTAGAGTTTTAGTGAAGACATGGCAGCCATAACTATGAGACAAATTCTATCTGCAGTGAATTATTGTCATTCAAATAACATAGTTCATCGAGACTTAAAGCCTGAAAACCTATTATATGAGAGCAAGGATAAAAATGCGCTTCTCAAATTAGTTGACTTTGGGACTAGCAGTGTTATTCAACAAAAAATGAAATAAAAGCTAGGAACTCCATATTACATTGCTCCAGAAGTTTTGAATGAAAGTTATAATGAAAAATGTGATGTTTGGTCTTGTGGTGTAATACTTTATATTTTACTTTGTGGATATCCGCCATTTTAAGGAGGCACTGAAGAAGTTTATATTAACTATACTTGTAGATGATTATGGTAAAAGTTAAGGAGGGCAAATATAATCTTGAAACTGAAGATTGGCAATGCGTTTCTGAAGAGGCCAAGAATCTAATCACTAAAATGCTAAGGAAGTATGTAATCAATCTATATAACTAAAGAGATCCTTAATAGAGGATTAGTGCTAACGAAGCCCTTAATCACCCATGGATCTAAAAGTTCACTTCAGTTGTTGATGTTTCTAATTTAAATAAGGTTCTAAACAATATTAGAACATTTCAAGCTGTCTGTAAGTTACAAGAAGCCACCTGGATATTTATGGTTAATAACCTGGCCACTTCTGATGAAAAAGCCTAAATTATGAAGGCATTTTAAGCCTTGGATTTAAATCATGATGGATTGCTGAGCAAAGAAGAATTAATCATAGGATTTTCTTAGATAATGAGTGAAGTAGAGGCTGAAAAAGAAGTTTCAAGAATAATGAGACTAATCGACAAAAACAATAGTTAATTGATTGATTATACAGGTTTCATTATTATGATTTATTTAGAATTTCTTATGGCAAGTACAAGCAGAACTGAATTTCTAGACGATGAAAGAATTGAAAAAGCGTTTCAAATGTTTGATCTTGATAAAAGTGGGGGCATCTCATAAGAAGAAATATGCGAGGTCTTAGGTGGAGGAACACAGTATGATAAAAAAGTTTGGTCAGATTTAATCAAGGATGTCGATATCAATGGAGATGGAGAAGTAATAAATTATTTTGATATTTCAGATTTAGTTAGATGAATTTAGATAAATGATGTTGTCTATGATTACAAAGGAATGATGGTTAATAATATGAACAAACTATAACTATATATATTCAAATTTTGAAACTTCAAATTAACAACTTAGACTTTAGCAATATAGATCTTTTCCTAACAAAAATATACATTTTATTTACTTTTAAATTTTCCTTCTTAAGAAGGTATACTTATGCCAGTTTATTTTTATGTTTTAACCATAAAATCCTTGAATCAATGATTATAATAGATTGCAAATAGGATTCTTTTATTCCTATTCAATTATTTATGGTTCATTATTGGGTTTTTCTTCAATCTAAGAAATTTATTTTTCTTCACCCTGTTTTATTTGTTAGGATTAACACTATTTTATTTCCTAGGATTCACCCTGCTTTATATCTTAAGATTAAACTTTTTCGTTATTTAAAGTTTGTTCATTTTGTTCTTACTTATTTTTCTTTTCCTTTTTCTTTTTTTTATTAATGATTCTACTTTTCTTCTATTTTTTCTTTTTCTTTTCGATAATTCTTTGTTCAACTGTTTATTATTAGTTTATGTTATTTGTACAATTTTCTTGATCAGCATTTTATTTATTCTCAGTTGGGTAAAACTCTTAATTATTATTCTCTAAGATCACAATTTATTCCTCTTATTGGGGTACTTATATTTTCTCAATTTCCATTTCTTCATTGGTTATGATATTATTATCAGAAACTTAAATTTAAGGTCTATCTATTTCATCATTTTCTTTTTCTAATTGAATTTCAGATGGCTCCTATTAACTAATCATAATATTGTTTTATGGAGCTGAAGTTTAGGGCTAGCAATGATTTTCTTGCTCAATTTCTTCTTACATAATAACTTCTTAGGATTGCGTTTCATTATTTTATTAATTTTCTACTTAAGATTAAGGTTCTAAATTTTATATTTTATCCACCTCTAAGTCACAGGCAGTTATTTTTTCAATTTGTTCATTTTAAATTATGATTTGTGACTGAACCTATATATTTTAAGATTCTAAATCATTAATTTACTCAGTATTTACTATTATTGGACTATCTTATTTTTATGGTTCTTAATTGCTTTATTTAGGGCTTTTTTCATGCTAGCAAGACTATTCGTCTTATTAAATTTGCTATTCATTCAAGTCTTAATTATTTTACAATTGCATTTGATTTTCGAAGTCTTTTGATTCTTGAAGTAACTAATTTTATTATTCAGCTCTCTATTAAGCTTCTTCGTGAAGTTTATTGGTGGTCAATGGTTTTAATTGAAGGGACGAAAAGTCTAGGTTGATATTGTTGTTGTTTAATTCCTATTTTGACTCATAACAATTAGTTTTGTTAGATGCTTCTTACTAATACTCATCTGCGAATTCATCGATTTAAGATAATCCTTTTCCATTTTTTTATTCATTGGATTGAATTAGGCTGGTTTGTATGTCAAAGATAGGGCTTTTACCTTCTGAATTTGAAGTGATATTTAGTAGTTTAGGTTAGGACTATTTATTGGTTAAATTAATTTCTAATTAGTTATTCAGTACTATAATTGAATTAATTCTTTAATAATTCAGTTCTTTTTTTAATGAGGAGTTCTAGAATAATAATCTTTATGAAATTCCACTACCGCCTTATTTCTAAGGGGTTTCTCTGACTCTGGGATTGGGAAGAGTCATTCCTATTTTCTCTAAATATTTGTAATATTAGATTTCATAATCATCATTATCAGCCATTTGATAAAAATATTAATGAAAAAAATTAAAATAGAATTCATTATTAAACAATCATTTCAAGCTTTCCAATCAGTTCATAAGAGTCTTAATCTGAAACTTTTATCTTTGAAATCAAATCTTAAAATTTAGGATTATTTAAAAATAATTATGGTCTTGTGTCACATAAACTTGCAATCCACTTCATACAATTAATTTATAATTTGTGATTATTAATTTTTTTCAATAAAAATGAAAATAAGGCTTCGCATTTTGAAATAGGCAATTCTTTTATTACATCGTCAATCAAATTTTGGTCACACTCAAGACTTGAAATGATCATATTTGAGTTCTTTGTTTATAATCCTTCAAGAATCTGAATTAAAATTTCCTATTAATTCATAATATTTATGTTTATTATTTTAAATTTTAAAATATTGGAAATAAATCATGCACGATATTTTTTATCATAATCATTTACTTAAGAACACTACCATTAAAATGATGCCATAAAATATGATGGTTGGTAAAAATGTCTTAACAAATCTTCCAAAACTTTTTTAATCTATAAACGCACAAATACCTAACATATTATCCGCTTATAATGAGCATAAGCCATATATGGAACATAGTATAAGATTATTTCCCTTTATACTTCATATTAATTAGAGCCTTTGCAACATGGCTGTGACAATTATTTGTAAATAAATTATGCTAAATTTTATTGTCATAAGTACCATCTATTAACCGAATTCATCGTCTGCTTTTAAAACAGCATCATCCCAAGTTTATCTTGAAACCTCAAATTCTTTATTTAACCTAACATATTTTAATGGTTTTCCAAAAGTAAAATTGTCGATTGCTATGAAATAAGGTCCCCCAAAGTCATGAATAGTTCCTTCAGATGTGCAAATTCCAGTATGTCCTATACAAGGAATAAGCCATGTTATAACTGGTATACTTGTCCAAACAATACAGAATGGATATCTAAAAGAATTAATTTTTTAAACACTTTTAGTTTTCAACACTTATTTAATCGACTTATTCTATTTCCATATTTTCTTTCTCAGGTTCTTGTACTTAATTTTCCTCCTACACAGCCAATTTGTGATTTTGATTTTGTTTTGCAGCCATTTGACCCATAATATTTAATAATAAATATTGAATAATATATCGATGATAAATCTCTTTATTTGTATTCATTCCTATTATTTTTTTGTTCTTTTAACTGTTGTTGTTGTAGTAGTTGTAGATTAAGAAGATTCATCTTAATTAGGCTATTTGCTTTTTAAATTTTCTGATTCGTTCTAAAGTTCAATTAATTTTTGCTTTGTTTCATCAAATGTCTTGTTTAGATTAAGATATCTATTCTTCCAAGTATTTATTTCATCTTGCAGTCCGACTATAGTGACAGATTGTTGCTACCTTTCGTGTGCCTCTTCAATCTTTTGCTTCAATTGTCTAAATATTAATTGCACTTTTACTCAATTTTATGGTCTCTTTATTGATTTTGCATGGTTTCCTTTTCGTATTTTGTTTTCCATTAATTTATTATTTGATCCTTATTCAGTAAGTCTTAACTGATATCTAAACTTTTTGCTAATTATTACTCCTTCCTTTATTTTTCGTCCTTCAATTGTTAATAGGAACGATCTAAGAGTTTTTAATGTTCAGTTATTAAAATATTCAATTATTACATAGTAGCTAATTATCCTTAAAGTTGCTTCTAGTTATTTCGTGCTATTTCTGCCATTTTATTACAGCAATGGCCATCGAACTCATTCTCTCCTGTAAGTACTTTATAAGCGGACATTCCATAGAGTTAAGTTAATTCAGAATTGGATTTATCATTTGCTTATTCTTACCAATTCAAATAACTTGAGTTTTCTTGTCGAGGACAAAAAGTCTTGGTTACCTCATAGGGAATTTTTGGTTTATTTGGGCAGATTGGATTTGATATAACTTCGCTCGAGTCCATATGAAAAATAGTTTAGAAATTTAATTGTAAACAAATAATATAATTTTTATTTTTAATAAGAATATTTATTTATTAAAATAACTTTATCTACTGTTGATCAAAGGCATACCTTAAAATAGATGAATATACTATTAATCTAATTAGAATTAGTTTAGCAAAACATAGAGTTTAAACAATTAATATATGTATAGATATAATTCATGGTTTATGTAAACCTTTGGTGCAACCGTAAAGACAATCTCTACATCTATTACAACAAGTAAAATATTCATCTTAACCACATAATCTACAAGAGAAGTATTTTAATTTTCCAGGATGATATGTGCAACTAGCTTCATTTTAACCTTCTTTTTAAGCAAATCCACATCTAATACATTTCCACATTATTGGAGATTATTCAATTTCTTGTGTTATTTTTTAGATTTCTTCCAAATACTTCTCAAGATTATCCATATTATCCTCAATCCCATTTAATTTTTTGAGAACATCATTTTTTATATTTTGTACATATTCTTTGTCGTCTAGATTGGATTTTAGTACTTTTAATTGTTTCTCTTACTGAATATTTGATTTTTATAAGTAGTCAATCGATGCTTTATAATCCTAAATTTAAACTTTGATTTCATCATGTTCTGAAGTCACTTTGGCTAAAGTTAAGTTGCAAGAGCTAATAATTCTATCAACTTCTAATTCTGAGAGAAATGAATCATGGGTAGTTTATAAAGAAGACCTATGTCGTGTTTTTAATAGCATTTATTTTATTTAAATTATCAAGAATATAAATTGATGTTAGATCATTTTATTCCCAATTTAGTATTCAACTCAAAAATAAGCATGGGTAATCTACTCGAATATACAGGCTTCAATAGTTCGATCAAAGAAAGAAGAAGATATTAAATAGACTATGATATCATTATTATATAAAATCATCGATTCTTGAATTGAGGTGAACTGTACATTTTAAGTGAATTTAAGTGTCCATTTTAGCCAACAGTAAGTGATTATATTAAATTCAGTTGATCAATAAAGTCTTCGCTATCGGAAACTGACTCTGCAATCATCATTTAATAAGAATTTTCAACATCATCTCTTTCTATCATTTAAGAATGGCCTTCCTCATAATTTTATTCAATATTCTCTTAAACCTAAGCTAATTGCATCTTTGCTTATTAGAGACTAGTTTAAGATTTAAATGTCTTTAGCTGTTGTTATTCTGGAGTATGATATAGATCTATGTTAGTGACAGGAACTGATTTAAAAGGAGAACTTTCAGTTTTGGGGGTTCGAGGCAAAGATGATAACGTTTTTGAGGTTTTTTGATAATTAACAGAGTCTCTCTTTGCAATGCTTTCATACACATCCTCATTCGTTATTGTTCTTAATCCGATATCAGATAAATTTTTCTTTATTAAAGATGTTTTTTGTAAGCCTACAGTGACAAATTCATTTATTTTATATGGTTCATTCAAGGTTATTTTGATGACTTCAATAGGTTTTCTTTGTAGATCTTCAATGTCTGAGACATACTTCTCTACTGTCTTATGATAACAATTCATTATTTCATTAAATGGCTCTTATGCAATTTGTTTGACAATACGATCTAAATTTTATTGCACATCATTTTTCATTCCAATGCTTTCCTACTTTGAATTTTGAAGTGTCTTTATAGTTTCTTCATACGTTAAAGAGGTCTATTTAAAATTTTAAGTTAATTGTTGAATTAATTTGTCTTTCTCTTCAGAAAGTTGCTAGGTAACCAATTAATGAAATCTGATTACTTTGTCTACCTATTATTCGAAGTATTTTGTAATGTCCTACTTTTTAGTTAGTAACCCTGACAATGCTTTATCATATTAAGAAAGGTTTCTATTAACCAAATTCAGAAACCTGTCGATTACATCCCTTCTTTGTCGTTCCTCAAATCCATTTATTTCTTCAACCACAAAACCTTTGCCTGCCATATTAATAGCACATTTGGAACACAATGACACTGAAAGATCCTTTGCCATACAATATTTAGCAGTTTTTTAAGGGTGATTCATACAACACATATTCTTAATCGGTTTAGATTTGTTTAAAGAGTTAACATTTTCATTTCCTGCAATTGAATTGTGAGGTGTGAATTTCATTGATTTTGGTTAAAACATTTTATAAATTTTTGAATTTTAAATTTTATTATAAACGAATTAATTATTGCTTTATCTGATTTCAAAGAATAATAACTAATTCCAAATATTCATAATGTTTTCATACTTGAAACATATTTTGTGAATCACAATTTTGCATAAAATTTCTATATAAATTTCTTTATAACAGTTTTATCAATTTGCTTCGATTAGAAAATAATTTAAATGAATATTTTCTCTGTTATTTAGAATCTTTTATATTTTCTTTTTACAAAATAACATCCGCTGTGAAGATTTCGTCTTTATAACCTTTCATTATCATGTCGAAATTGTATTCTTTTGAAACCCATGAAGAACCATGACTGAAACTAGTGGAAATTAAACAATTCCTCTTAATTTTTAATTTAAGGTTCCAGGACTATATAATTGATAATTTTAATCATTCTATATTATAAGTTTAAGTTAACAGTGGTTAATGGATATGCAATTATAATGGTTAATATAGGGTAATTTCTTTAGAAATGATATCAATAATTTAATTTAATAATGAGCGTGATTAATCCGCAATTTAAACCATCTAGATTTCGATTAGAAAGCCTGGGACCTTAATTGGCTTTTAATCCAACCTACAACCCTGTATGAATTTAATGTTATTGTAGCGATTTTGTTATATTGGAAGTGAAGACTATTTAAATGATTTATTGTAATTAGAATAACAGTAGTTGGAGGAACAAATGATTGCCTTGATCACTCAGCAGTCGCTTGATATGGAAGAGAAAAGTCCGTAAGTGACAACTTTGGCAGAAAAGCAATAAAATAATTATAAGAAGAAAGTATGAATAATTGATATATCATTAATAGAAAGTCTTTGACAGTGCTGATTATTTTATGTAACAACAACAGAAGAAGGATTTAACCATAGAGTAAAAGTAGGAAGAGTTGCTGTTGACCAAGTATGCGGCTGCAGATTTGTAGTTTAAGACCCCCTTAACCAAGAAATAAAAGAAGGTGTTTGACTCAGCAGACTACTTCCTTTCACTATACAAAAATTGAAATAATTAAATCCGTTTTAAAATATATAATGAAAAAATCGATTGTCTTATTGACTCTACTCATTGTCTTGTCAAACACTCAACGTGGAACCTTGGTTACTCATTATGACTTGGATGGTAATTTGATATCTGAAGAAATCATGGCACCAATAGAAGATGAAATAACCTATTATGATAGCAATGAGTCTGCTATTGATTCTAGTATGAATCAAGAAACATAAAATTAACCAAATTTAACAACTCTTTAAGAAAACGAAGACTCAGCGTCAATTGATGTTCCAATTTCAACACCCAATACGCTAGAGCCAGCGGAATCCGAGTAACAATAAACAAATTTGATAGGATCTTCTTTTGAGATTTAACCTGTTGTAAATTAACAACCTAAAATAGAAACATCAATAGAATAATAGCATAATTTAGAATAATAAGTAGTAGGAGAATTGCATTCGCAAGAAGTCCCTATGAATTAAAACCTAGATTTGACTATTCAATAATAACAGATTCTAGAACCGAAACTTTCCCAAGAACATGATGACATTTCTATCCAAAACTCAGACATGTAACTATAGCCTGTTGTTGTTACATAAGATCAAATGGTTGTTGTCTAAAAAGACATTGATTAACAGACAAATTCTAGTGATATAAACAACACAATTTTAAATGCTTAATAAACATCAGATAAATTAGATGAAAAAGAGCAAGAGTAATAATCGAATAAAAAAGATCAATAGAATATGCTGAATACAAATGAAAAGTTGGAAGAAAATAATTTAGAAGCAAAATAAGAAACCACCAATAAAGTTATATAAGATATGCCTATTTAAGATTCAGTCATTATTTAATCAGGTAATGAAATTCATATTTCACAAAATGCACCTGAAATTTAGTCAGAAAGTTTAGGTTCAGTATAGGAACAACAAGAAAATTAAAAAGAATAAATAAATATTTAAACTACCAATGCAGATGATTAGTTCGAAGTTACATAAAATATTGGTAGAATTATTTAAGATATGGTACCTGAATCAGACGAAGACACCCAAATACTGGAACAGCCAGAAGATTAAGAAATATAACAAAAGGCAGTCCCTTAGCCATCCTAAATAGAAGAAGATATCAACTTTAACAATGAAGATGAATAATCAAATAATTAGGTAGAAACATAAGCTTAATCAGTTAATGAAGATAAACAAGAAAATTAAGCATCAAACAGAAAAGGAGAAGAACAATAAGAATAGTAAGTTGAAAAAGAAGTACAAGAAATCACTTAAGAGTCCACTTAAGCATAAGAAGATATACCTGAAGAGTTGAAGCAAAATGTAAATTCGCTTGAAAATAATATCAATAAATAAGGAGACATGAAAATTAATAATCCTTTTGAAGATGATGGTCTAAAGCTATCTAGTGAGATTATTCAAAATTAATGCATAGTAATTTACTCTGAATGTGAGTATTAAGGGTTAGCTTTAGAAGTTTGCGACAGTTTAAAGGATATTGAGTAATATCTTCATCTGTATTTTCGATAGGAAATTTAAACATAAAATCAAATCCATTTACATTCCAAAAGGGTATGGACTGACAATCTTTGAAAATTAAAACTATAATGGTTAGAGCCATCGTTATACTTCTTCTTAAGCATGCCTTCAGAGAGAGGTTTCATTTATTCAACTCTAAATGGATCAATCAATAATAATAACGCACTAAAATCTAAGAGGTTAACATTGAATATATAATATACGATATTCGTTGTAATTAAATAGAATATTCTTTATAATCGTTTAAGAATTCATGTAAGTCCTTTTATAAATTTTAAATTATTGAAATAAATATGGAACTTCATTTTCCTGAGGTATTAAAATGATACATCTCATTTTCTCTATATAATCTCTTGTTATTCTGGCAGAGATTTAATAAAATTTAGATAACTAGATAACAACTTTTTCAATATTTTACTAGTCTCCTGTTATTATTTCTAGTTAATTTCTATAAGCCCAAAGTGAAATTTAAAATTTATAAAGAACTCTCAAGATTGATTACATGTAGTATTCAATTTAAATGTAATTTTTTCTTAATATTTAAAGAATACTAATGACAGGATAATTTAACATTTAAATTTCGGTTAAATATTGCAATTTTTCTTAAGTAATTCAAAACTCTCAATTATGCTTGGACTTAAATGAATTAACTATAGATAATCAATCCCAATTTGCAGTAACTTAATTCGAATCTTCTTTATTGAAATCAAATTCAGTATAGATATTAAATGCTATGTAATTTTGATAAAGAGTCTCAATATAATATGAAAATTTATAAACTATTTATTTATTTTTGAATTATATTATAATAATTATAAACCATTATCAGCTATGAACTATTAAACATTCAAACCAACTATTTTAAATGATACTACCAATAACTTTCCTATTTAATTCAAATAAAATGAAAAACCTAACCTTAAAAATTCTGATTTTAATAATAGTTTTCATGAGAATAAATTATTTGGTCAATAATTAGAGTACATCAAATAACTAGATGAATAAAAATCCATAATTGAAGGATAGAATCAATTTATTTAGATTTTACGCAATTCAATTGAAAATAAATTACAAATTGAGGGATTTCAAGAAGTTTTAGATTAAGTTTTGAATATGTCAAGAGAGTAAAAAATTGATTTATTTGCCTTACTTTCATAGCTTTACCAAGAGCTTTACAATTAGAATTAAAATGTGACATAGATTGAAAATTTATAACAATTAGTTGATAATTTAAATCATTAAATCAACTTTTATGCTAAAGAGTTAATGGAATTAAAAGTCGATAAATAGTATTTGATTGATTAATTGGACTAATTGGCAACTACAACTAAAGATGATGATACAATAATTTTTAAAGAAGCTTAAATACAAAAATTAGAATCAGAAAATCACCATTTGAAATCATAAATCTAACAACTATAATAAAAAAATGAAAAATATTAATAGGATATCTAATAACTTGAAAAGAGACTGAATAAAATTCAAGTAAATTTAAAAACAGAAGAATGTGAAAAAGAAGAGTTGATGAAAGAATTGGATGGGTTAAGACAAACCTTTTATAAGAGTTTATAGAAGGATGAACAAAAGTAAGAATTCAATTTGGCTCTAAAAGAATAAGAAATGGAGTTCCTCAATACAAAAATCAAAAAGCTGGAATAATAGAATGAAGAAAAAAAAAATTGCATAGAGGAAAAATTTAAATAAATTGAATTGTTAAAATACCAACTTCAAGATCTTGAATAAAAATTCTAATATTAGCTGGAGGATTTCGAGATAAAAACAAATTAAATCAAATCTGATTATCACGAGCAATGCTTATATGGAGATTAACTTTAAGAATAATTATCAACTTCAGAATAATTCATTTAATAAAGTATTTATATATTAATATTAAAGTAACATTGAAAGTCAATTAGATTACAAATGGACATGATTAAGATATTTTGAAAAATTTACATAATCTAGAGGAATTTATATAAAATTCCTCATTGGCTGAATAAAAATATTAATAATTAGATCAAGAAAAATCTTAAATAATATTTGATTTATAACATTAAGTTACAGACTCTCAATAAATAAATTAACAATTATAATAATAAATTTCTACCTAAAACAATCAAATTTAATAATATTAGAATGATCTAAAAATAATAGACAAATAAAAAAGAATGTTTAAATCAGAATTAATTCACATGAAATAACTAGATGAATAGAAAAACAAAGAAATCTAAGAACTATAAATTCAATTTTCAAAATATGATAAAAAATTATCTAGCCAACTAGAATAATAAGTAGAATTAGAAAAAGAGAATGCATAATTAAAAGAATAAATGAATATTCTATAATCATAAATGAATAATAATAAGAATTAACAATCAAACAAGAAAAGTATTGCTTGCAGCTAAGTTTCAATTTAGGAGCAAAAATTTAAGAATTTTGATTATATCGCATTGTTAAAAACAGTAAAATTATTGGTTTATTTTAGTTTGAAATGGTTAAGACTATGTTTTCAGTTGAATGTTAAGATATTATTTAAGAGATGCTGGTTTTGCAAAACAAATTAGTTCGAACTGAAGATATCGATAGCGATCTTATTTAATAAGAAATAAAACTATAGCAAAAATTTTCAAGTCAATAACTAAAATTGAAGGATGCCCAATTTTAAATGGCTAAATTAACCAAAGAAAATAAAGATTTAAAATAAAAGGTGAAATAATTAAATTATGTTAGATAGCTACTGCACATACGTAAAGTTTAAATCAAAGTTATAATTAAACAAATTAATCGTTTGGTTAGAATAATAGTATTACCAGATATCATAAATAATCAATATCAGTCCATACTAAACTACGTCCTTAATGAATCTATGTACTTGTTTTTCTATTAATACATTATTTTGATTATCTCAAAATTCACATTATTATTTATTAAATACAAATAGTTGCAATTAATTATTAGTAATAAAAAACTATCAAGTTAATTGCAATTCAAAATAAAAAAATTTTAAATAATCTATAAAATCAATAGAAAAACTCTATTTTTAAGCTTATAGCCATAAATTATGAGTTTTTTAAGCTTAACAAGATGAGAATAAAAAATTAATTAAATATTAAAACGGAGCTTGTAAATTTGGTTGTAATTTCAAGTTGACTTTTAGAATTAATTTAGATAGATGAATTTTGAGGATTAGAAATAAATTATAAATATATTTTATTTTTATATATGAGTAAACAATATAAAGACATTAGAGCAAATTTTGTATTCGACGTAGCTCCAAAAAGCACTCATTAATCAAACAATGAAATGCCAGTTGTAATTAAGTAATCAGACCCAATAAAAATTGATAATCAGTAATAAGATGTGCCAGAAATAAGTTAATAAAGATAATAAAATTTTGATGAAGAGAAGTTGAAATCGTATTAGAAAATGTATGAGATGTGCCAGCAATTATATAATGACAAAGCATAACTTATAGATGTATTATTGTATTAAACTTGAGGCAGTTGATTAATAATAGAAATAAATATTAGAACTGGAAAGACAAATTAATGAATTTGAGAATTTGCAAGCAAATTATGAAAAGGAATAGATCTAATTAAAGGAGGAATAATTATAATATGTTCAGGAGATTGAAACATTGACTTGTCAGTTATAAGTTGTGATGGCTTAAAAATAGGATATAAATCAGATTTAGAATCATTAGGATGAACTGTATGATTAATTGATGAATTTTTTATATTAAGAGAACCTTTAGGAGTTGATAAATGACTAGGATAAAAGTAATAAAAAGATGATTGTATAGTTTTTAGTAGAATATGTAAATTGTTGTTTTGATGGTTTAGTTAATAAACTAATATGTCTAAAAAAAAAATTAGGAAGAAAAATTCTAGATTCACATTAAGGATAATATTTAAATAATTTATGATTTATAAAGTAAAATTTAAGATCTAACTTGTAATCCTTACAGAATCACCACTCCTAAGAGTGTGTTGAGTGACACTTTAAAATAGAGCAAATTGAGCAACAGTGCAAGCCATTTTCATAAGACTAATAGTGTTAACACTAGCGACAAGGAAGAATTGCAATCGAAGATTGGTATTTGCATAAGCTTAATTAGACTCTTTAAAGCGCCAAGGTAAACAAATAAATAAAAAATGGTAAGAGTTTTGTGAAAATATATTAAGAGAAAGGAACGATGTTATTAAATATCATAAAAAATAAATTGAATCTATTACTGAGTAGAATCTAGAGTTAAAGAAAACTATCTCTGAAATCATACAATATTTGGGATAGAGTTAACAAGATTTGTGGATCTAAATGTTGGATATTAAATAAAAAATACATTTGAAAGTCATTGATTTGAGTAGAAGTGACAATATCAATTAATTGTTGGTAGAAGCAGAACTCAAACAATTATTCTCTATATAGGCACAATTGAGAAGCCAATTAAATCGTAATCGACCATTAAGAAAAGATTTATAATGAATTATATGTTAAAGAGATAATTGTTGAGTGGTATACGTGTTAATTTTTTATTTTAATTTATGAGACTTCTTCATCTACTCAGACCAGCACTTTCAATTATTCCAGAAGTACAAGAGCCAAGATTCCCTCAACCATTGAAGGTCAAAGTGCTCATCACAGGAATTACTCTATTTATCTATTTGATTTGCTGCTAAATCCCATTATATGGTGTATATAGAACTTCAGGTATTTTATCGGACAATACACATTAGGATCTGACCCTTTCTATTGGATGAGAGTAATCTTGGCCTCAAATAAAGGTACCTTGATGGAATTGGGTATTTCACCAATTGTAACATCTGGAATGATTTTGCAATTCCTTAGTGGAGTAGGTTTTATTGAAGTTAATCATTCGGTGAGAGAAGACAAAGTACTATTCAATGCAGCCTAAAAATGTATTGCTAATATCAATTTTTAGTATTATCCTTTATTATGGCAATTGCTGAAGGAATGGCATACATATGGTCTGGTGCATATGGTGACATAAATCAAATAGGAGCTGGTAATGCCATTCTTATTTTGTTATAATTAACATTTGCCGGTGTTATTGTTACAATGTTAGATGAAATGCTTTAAAAAGGATATGGTACAATATAAAAATTTAAATCTTTTAGGTTTGGGATCTGGTATTTCATTGTTTATTGCAACTAACGTGAGTGAAAACATTCTCTGGAAATCATTTTCACCTATTACCTTGTCCACTGAAGCTGGAACTCAGTTTGAAGGTGCTATTATTAATTTCTTCCATTTGCTATTCACAAAATAAAATACACGTAACAATTAAAGTAATTCTTTTAGTCTAAGCACTTTATTATGCATTCTTTAGAGAATCAGCTCCAAATCTTAATAATTTGTTGGCCACACTGTTTGTGATTTCATTAGTCATTTACTTATAGGGTTTCAGAGTGGAAGTTCCATTAGCAAGTTAAAAAATTAGAGGATTAGTGTCATCACATGGAATTAAATTGTTTTATACCTCCAACATTCCAATGATTATCCAAAGTACCCTTGTTTAAAATGTCTATTTCCTTTCATAATTACTTTATAGAAGATTCAAAACCAATTTCTTTGTTAAATTGCTAGGTACATGGTAAGAGGCAGAATTTGGTGGTTAATCAGTGCCCATTGGAGGTTTGGCTTATTACATGTCTCCATTAAGAGATGTCAAGGATATTATTAATGATCCAATTCATGCAGTGGTTTATGTGCTATTTGTTGTTTTCATGTGTGGTTTCTTTGCTAAATTTTGGATTCAAATTTCAGGAGAAAGTGCTAAAGATGTGGCTAGAAAATTCAAAGATGAATAAGTATCAATATTAAATGAAAATAGATTAAAATTAAAGGATTGAGAGAAGAATCTATGGTCAAATATTTGTCTGGTTATATTCCAGTGGCAGCCTTTTGTGGTGGAGTTTGCATAGGTTTATTGACTATTGTTGCTGATATTTTGGGAGCCATAGGATCAGGTAATTATTAATTCTAATGATTTTAGGAACTGGAATTTTGTTAGCAGTTACAATCATTTATGGGTATTTTGAAACATTTCACAAAGAAAAATATGATAATCAATCCATATTTTGATCATTATCATTTTATCTATATATGTATAAAATTATCATATTTAAATTTAAACAGCCTTATTAAAGTAACTCAATATTACTTTCAAAATTAATTAGGGCATTTGGATGTCTTTTTATAAATAAATGATAGAAATTCATTCTAATGTTAATACAAATCTAATTTTCTTAAAAATAATAAATTTGTGGGGCCATTTAGTTGGAAATTCAATTTCATTTATCAGAGTTGATTTTCCTTAAGCACATGCTGATTAATCTTAATTTAAAAAAAATACATCTATGTAAATTTCATCTCATTGCAATTATTAATCTGATTTATAAATCTTTGATTTTCTTTATTTAAACTATCCTGGCCATTTTGAACTTCAAACTAGCATCAAAGATACATCATATCAAATTCAAAGACTTTATATAGAATAATATAAGAGGGGCTAATTCAAAGTAAGAATAACAGATCAATATTATTTATCCACCACTCAACACTAGTATGCCTTTATGACAGTTAATTTTGAATGAAAAATTGTGTATATGTTATAATTTTATATTATTTATATTTCTAAATATGAAATGGGAATACTTTAAGCAGTATCAAGGCTTGATAATTCAAACTAACTTGTCTCCTACTATAAATAATTTCAGCTATGCAAAATTCCAAATTTGTGTGTATTTCCTGTAATTGTCATACTTTTTAATCGATGATTCAAATGAACAAGTTTTTAGCCTGATAAAATCATTCACAAAAATATGTTTGATTTCTCCATACTTTATGAATAACAATCCAATAAACATTTTAATAGGCATTGCGATAACCATACTGAATTGCTTCCCTTATATCATTATCACTTATCGCTTCATAATGAAAAGCCACAATAGTGTAGACAGTATCTCAAAGAGTGTTTTGGATGTATACAATTATTATTATCTTATTTTAGTTAATTACCATACTAATAACTAACTATTTTCTTAACTTCACTTGGTTATTTTATGTTTTTCAACTCTATTATGTTTGTTGGAACTTGCTGAATGCAGCTGATCCATTGTTGATATTACTTTCTATTTTTAATTTATTGATTGCTTTGGTAAGCTTATTAATTTCAAATATCTATTTCATCAACTATGAATTCTTTTAGTAAAGTTTAAGAAAATACTTTAATTACAACAATATAATAGCCTAATTATTATTAATCCCGTTAGTATTTCTGTCAATCAGAACATAGTTTATTTTTATTTTGCTTTCAAAAATTGTTTTTGGGTTGTTCATATGCATGCTCATAGGAGAGGCAATCATCCAGTATCCTTTTGGGTAAACTATATAATACTAATCATCTTAGATTTTCAGCTTATGCAAAACTATATAATTAGGGATTAACAATATTCACAATTGTTTATCTAATATCAACAATTCAGAAAGCATTTTCAATAAATTCTTATTCATGCATAGTGATATTTCTAATATTGTTGCCTGTTGCATAGCATCTGACGACTGCTTTGGTTGAAATGAAAAGATAGAATGTTTATCAAACAATTTCAAAACAAAATCAATATTTTGAGCTATTGTATATTGAGAACATGTTTGAATTGAATAGTGAGGCCCAAAAAAGTAAGTAAAAGGAGATAGAATATATAACTAAATTTTGTATGCATCACTCTCATTGTAGATTAAATAAATGTTAATGTAAGAAAATTGGATTTGAGAAGATAATTAAACTTGACCAAACTGTTATTTTTATATCATGCCTGTTCAAAAAGAGTTTTGACAAACATAAAGCCACAGTATAAAAGAGGATTGGAGATTTTGAAGTACTATCTTTGAAGTTCTTAACTTTCATTAATAAATTTAAAAGGAATGGACCTAAGACTTATTAAGAACTGAAAGTTCTATTCTAAAAATAAAGAGAATATTCATTCTATTTTATTTAAATGTGTTTATTTCTATAATTCATTATATAGGCTTAAATGCAAAAAGACGAAGATTACAACATTAATTCAGAATCTCGAAGCAGAATTTCAAATGTGAAATTGTAAGTGAGTAAAAGCGAGAGAAGTATTGTACAGAATCTTTATTAGATGGAGTAAGTCAAATAAAATATGTTACCATTATTAATCTAAGTAATGAGTATACAAAAATAATTAGATCTGTTAATTTAAATCTGGTTTTTGGAAGTAAATTTAGGAAGGCAAAATAGCTACATTCATTGAAATAGAAAAATAATTGTAATAACTGTAAACATTGCAAATACAGATAACACAAGAGTATAACAAGTATCGATCAATATTTTTTGTTAATGGAAGGACTTATAATGTTTAATTCTTAAAATTTGATGCTCTTATCTAATTGATTCTATATAACAATGCTAGAGCATATTATGAGATGGAAAAAGGTAAAATTATATAGAAAAATAATTAGATTGTAAGGAGATCTTGGCATATGAAAGAAGCATGAGTACTTTTGAAATTACTAACATTAACTTTTTCAAAGGAGATGCTATTTCAGTTAAGGTGTGTATAGCATTCGGCCCAAATATAGGGAAAGTCAGAAATAAAGTGATTTCACCTCTGATTCCTCGATTTTTTGGATTTGCAGACATGGCATCATTTATAGATTACACAAAAGGTAATATCAATCCACTCATGCCAAATTGGCTTTTGGGTGTTCATGATGAAATGATGCAAAATTATATTAGAAGAGGATCAACTTAAAGAATTGGAAAATACTTCTAAACATTTGCAAAATTATGCGATCAAACATTAATTAGATGTTAAGTGTATTTGGCTCATAACTTTAGTCCAGATTTAGAAGCTGATTTTTCAATGATCGGATGTTTGAAAAGATTAGAATAAGATGAAATAGATCCTAAGGAGGATTCTAAACGATTAAGAAATCTGATATTCAAAGGTTAACAACATGTCTTATTTGATATTTATGGAAATTTAATGGGTATTACTTAAGGATTATATAAAATGATTGATCGTATGCAAAGAAAGCCTAAAGATAATAATAAGTAAGATGAAATTAAATAGAAGTCTTTTGAGAATGAGAATGATGAGTCTTCTGCAGATTCAGAATCTGAAGTGTATCAATAAATATTATTTATATTAGTTTTGATGTCTATGAAATTAAGTGGTCAAATGAACCTCTTACTATCGAAGACTTCTACTTAAAAGTGTTAATTTGGATGTTGTTCCCATTTATTACTGCTGAGATTGAATAAACAGGGATAGAATTTTTGATGAATGGTTAAGTACCTCCAAAAGGAAAATATCCAAATCAAATAGATCTGGAAAGTAGTAACACGGTAGTTTCAAACAAAGAAACATATATGTTTGTACCAGAGGATATCAATTTATTTGTTTAACAATACAACAAAGTTCTAGGTAAAATAAATGAAGATGAGAAAATTCAGACTTCTAATTTCTCTCTTAGTGGAAAAAGATAATAATTTATGGAAGCTGAATCATTAAATACTAAATAATAGGTTACAGTATTTAATGAGAAATTGTGTTCATTCTTTTTTGAAGAATTCCTAAGAAAACATCAATAAATGGTGCTGGGCAATTTCTCAAGACAGGAGATGAGGGTTTCTAATCTGAATTAAATGACAACTAATATTTAGCATTCTGAAAATGCGGATTCATCTTCTGAAAGTGAAGGACAATTAAAAACTAGGGCAGAATAAATGTATTATGATAAGTTCCAAAATTATATACAAAGGATTACAACATAAGATTTCAATCCTATTCCGGTCATCTATTCTGTTAACTATGAAGAATTTAGGTATAAAAAGAATGAAATAGAAAATAAAGTCTAAATGTTTGTTATTGAATTGACTGTAAATGAATAATAAGTTGCTAGTATGGAAAAAGGATATCGTAAATAATTAAGAGACACATTAAAGTAAATGTAGGCCTAAATGAAATAAGATAAAAGTGAAAATGCAAATAGAGGATCTGCTAATATTAAATAATCATAAAATTTATCCTAAATATAAGTGATCTCAGACGATTCAATGAGCTTGCAAGGCAATTTCAGTGAAAAAGTTGATTAGGATGATCAAATCTCTTTATACCAATTTTTGAGTCATCCATCTAAATAGGATGAATATTGTTTTAGTGAACAAAATATTCTTACTGATCAATTTATTATCACATCTGCTAAAGACGAATAAAATAAGTTACTCTCAACAAATAGGAAGAGTCTTTAATTATATGAATTAGGTCTATAAGGTGCTAAAAGCAATGGAATAGAAAATCAATTTGAATAACAGAGTAGAAAAAATCCATTTGACCTTCTCAAAGTATCAGAAAAAGAAGCAGCAAGCAAAGTAGTGTTAAAATTATCACAAAAAAATAAATAATAGAAGTTTTACAACGAATTAGAGCAGAAAGTCATACAAAGCAACTAAGATAAAGATAGAGAGAAAGTGGAGAATGAGGATTCATATCTGATATAACTGAAGAATTTTGATGAAAATTATAAAGCCATCAATCAAAAAATAAGCGAATTTCAATATCCAAATTCATATAACTTTTAGAATTATATTCTATTTGCTACATTACTCTTAGTTATAGCATATATATTACTTGTTTCTATTGCAGTTTGGAATTAATATGATTATGGAGATTGCATGAATTTGATCTAAATATTGCTAAAGTTTCAAAAAACCTATTCTCTTATTACACATGGATTGTTTCGCATTTAATATTCATATGACTTTAATATTTCAAACTTTGATTAATTGCATTTCTTTTATGATAAATAAATATTTTAAGAAGTTGATTAATTGATAAATTTTAGCAATGCCTAAAAAAATACAATTAATGACATTGGTATTTAACTTTCAATTTTTTATGATATTGACAACAGTACTAAACTGAATTTATCCATTACAGAAACAATTTAAAAATCCTTAGCTCAATTTTATAAAGTTGTTGAAAATTAGTTTGCAACAAATTATGAATTATAAACCCAACTCATTTAATCAAGTGTAGCAAATTTAAAAGAGATTGGCTAGCTTCCTTAATTGGCTTTTGATTCTTGCTATGATAACAAAATTGAAAAAGAACGGTATTATTAATAATTATTGATAATATTTATGGTGATCATATTCCTCCTTGTGTTGATTCTATCATCCTCATAAATCCCAATGATTTCAACACTAGGAAAATATAAAAAGAAATTATATATGGCATTATTAGATATTAATCAATTACAATTTGCTTAGGAACAAGAATCTTTTGAGACTCTTGCTTCTACTCTTAAAAAATCAGTTTATGATTGGATGATGATAGATTTCATTGTTGAAGGCAAAATATTTGATATCGAAAAGTATTTCTTAAATGGTGGTTATTCTGAAAATGCATCCACTAATTACATTGAGAATTAAAATAGAGCTAAACAAGAAAAAAATAAATTAATCAAAAAATTGAAGGCTTCCAATATACAACAAATTAGATATATCATCTTATTAATTATTGATTTGGTAGTTATAATGTCATATTTTTTGGTGATATTCCTAATCATCTTTATTTTGACTGATCAATTATTATCAGGATTAGAATTGCTTTTCAAATATTAGACTCTTTAATCATCATTCATTAATGTATTGAATAACGCTGATATGGTAGCGTACAAAACCTTATCCAATTCATCCCTATATTATAATATCTTAACATAATCAGAATTTTAGAATTACTCTTAAGTGCTCCAAGGCACAGAATAAGACTTTTTTCTCCAATATGATAATAACATTATTGGTTCATTGGCAGATGACAAAATTAATTATAAAATTGAATTCATGAATCAATAAGCTATCTGCAATGATCTATATGCTCTGGATTGTCAATCCACTTTAGTTGGTATGTATAATGAATAAATTTTGGCATATTATCAACAAGGACTCAAATCCTTAGTTGTTTAAGTTTATAAAATTATTCAGCAATACCCTTAATTTTATGAGGAAGGATATGTAAATAATAGCCTAGCTGATTTTGTTAATTTTGCTCAGACTTCTGAGCATATTGCCTATTTAGATTATGGAACAGATCTCATTATTACAGCCTATTCCTCAATTGTTGATATGGCATAAGAGCAATTTGATATTCAAATTTCAAAGTATCAGCAAACTCTAATTATTTTTATTTTAAGTATAGGGTTTGTAGGACTAATAATAAAAGCCTTTTTAGGAAGAATGCTAATGAGAATGTAGAAACAATCGATTGATACATGTCAAGCATCATTGTTACTACTATCACCCAGAAGATATACATAAAAGTCTATAGCTAAATTAATTACATAAATAATTTGATTTTTTTCTTATTATTAAATATTTTTATAGCAACTTAAATAAATTCAAAAGTCATAATTATAATTTGTTAAACGGTCTTCTGATTTAATCTTTGCAATATTAAGAAGTTCCACCTTTTGTTTATTCATACAGGATTGGGAGCATTTACTAGAAGTCATCTTACAATGGAACTTTAAATAAACTGATAATTTAATTATTTTCTTGTTTTTTACTAAAGACTAAAAAAAGTGATTCTTTCCTGTAGTTTTTTTTAGATTATTTCTATTTACGTAAAATAGTAAAAAATGCTTTTAATTTCTATCTACTATAAAAACTGGCAAAGGTTTTACTTAGAAATTGAAAATACATCATATATTTTGAATTTTGATGCCAAAGATCAAATTATTATTAAATCTTAAGATCTTTATTGGCTATGTATTTTTAACAACTTTAATCAAAATTTTTATCAAATATTGATCTCAAAAATTGTTTATAAACTCTAAATCTTAAAACAAAGTTATATATAGCCTCCTTAATAATTTGTAAATTCCTAGAAGTTTGATGAATTTTTTCTTTAAAATTCCATAGTAATGATCTTTAAGTTAGAATGGGTTAAATTTTATTGATGTTTTGAATGCGGACCTTCTTTTTTATTTAATTAGCAATCATTGAGAGGCAACTAAAGAAATATGAAAATAGTAATACAATTTAACGTCGAGATGAACTCTTCCAAATATAGTATTGCCTTTCAATCTACACATATTTCTTTTAGCTCTAAAATAAATGGTCTTCATTTTGATTTGAATAATTTAAACATGATGTATAATTTTATGTTGGTGCTTGAGCCTCTCATAAATTATGTTGATCAATTATAAGTATGCAATCAATCTAAACATTTCAAATTAAATTTCTGATTTTAAGTAACGATTTTGATCCATTTCTTTTTATTATTTTAATTTTTTTAACAGATGTGTTATTTCTTTTGAAAAATAATTGATCTATTTTTAACCTTACGTATTGATTTCTAATTGTTTTCTCTTCTTAACAACTTCATGAAATTTCTTTTATTAGAGGGTTTTGTATAATTATTTTTGGGACTTGATGCATTCATCATTTTAGATTGTTACATTTAGTATATTCTCTTAGATTAAGTTCCTTCCCTTAGATAATTCAAGCATTTATTTTTTTCTTTTTTTTATAATCTATGATGCAGTTAAGTCACAACTGATTAGATTTTATTTGATTTGTTATTTACTAATTGGGCTTTTGTAAATGGTTTAAGTTCCTTAAGTGGAGCCAAAAGTAAATGAGATTTTAATGGTTGTGTCTAAATCGCAAACTAAGGAAATAAAGATAAATTTTTATCTAAATTATTTGTAATCTTTGCTTTTGTATTTCCAAGTTTTGACTTAGAAGATTTGTTCACAAGAAAATTTTGATGGAAATGGATTGGTTGTGGATAAAAATACTTTAAACTTAGTTTATTCAGACTAATTCATCGTGAAGGTTAAAGGTACTGCTTCACCTTAACATCTAATTTTATAATAATAAAATTCCAATTATCTCAATTTTTACACATTTACAAAATCTTACTTGAGTTCAATTGGATGCTACATTATTAAAATCTAAATTATACAATTTCAAATTTATAATCAATCCACATTTCTCCATCATTTAGAATATGTTATTACCTTTGATCATCTTAATTTGCAAGTTAAATCTAATAGGCTTTACTTCTGAGAATAAATTATATGTTTAATACTCGATTACTGAAATTGTATTGATGTTTTTTTCATAGTCTGGCATCATTATTTGCGTTATATATGATATCTATTGCAATGCCTTATAATTTTTTTGGTGATTAATGATATTAGTAGTCGCCCTTCTATGTGTTTGTAAAAACTCCTATTCTGATTCCTAAGATTCAATTGAAAGTGATTATTCTCTTGGTTTGGATACATGAAATGTCATAGCATGAGTTTATCTGCATACATCTCTATCGAATCTGAATTAACGGTTACATAGAATTATGAATTGAAGTTGAGCATCTTTAAGCTGTAGAATTCCTTTCATTATTCTGATTATGGACATCTTAGAGATATGTTCTTTTTCGCAACCTATTCTAAATTTAATTCATTAATAATTTATTTATATGATGACTTAAAAATTTATTGAAATAGTTAATCAAAGTTATCAATAGACGAAGTCATTATCCAAATTTAATTCACAACTGATATGCCCTATTTACAAACAATTTAAACATTAGATTTAATCAAAATGTTTTAAAGTTACTAATATAGGTCTATAATTTATTTAGATCTTTGTTTTGCATTCTGCTTTTCTATGTCCTTTAAGATGACATTTAAAGCAAGCAACTTACTTGCAATGATGTGAATAGTGATCCTCTTTTAGGCAATAAATACAGAACTCTTAATTTTATGTTGTACATTGTCTTTATACATGTCCTACTTTCTTACAAAGATAACAAAAACTAAATAAATCTCCTTGAAAATATCTTGTTTAAGTATTCAGCAGTAAAGACTTGGCTACACTGTATTTGAAACAATCGTTTTCGTTATCATACTTTGGCTCATTGTTTATTTGTAATCTTTCAAGTTTCTATATCAGGTATTCATCGCAAACTTTCTCCACTTTGTTGTTTTTCTCATAAATTATAGGTGGTTAATCACACGATATAGATCTGAATTGTGGCAATTTCTTACTTCCAATAATTGAATACTCAGATACTTCCTCTTTCATTTTACTAAAAATTTTAGTGTAATTAAATTAGTTATAATTTGTATTAATTAAGTTGATTTAAATATTTTCAATTTTATAAGGTTTTATCCTTATCAAAACTTTTACTTGAGAGAGTATAGAGTATTTTGATACATTCTAATTAAAGATTTAGTTATTATGAAATTGATGATAACTATTAACTATTTTTATTTTTCTAATTTTATGATTTACTTCTAAATTTTGCTTGTGAAAAGAAGTTTGAATAAAGTTAATAATAAAATGGAAAAAGGGAAAGATAATAAATTAGTTATTTTAAGTTTGATGAGCATTCGGAGAATAAAAAGTATTCATAATCATTATTTACTGTCATAAAGAATGATTTATGAGTGCGATTAACCTAATCTTAGTAATTAAAAACTTAAGAATTTAAATTGTTATATAAATAGATTTTGGGTTATATTAATATTTTACAAATGTAGGTACTTGATTTATGCCTACCTATAGTTATTTTGAAGGAACAAAATATAATCTATTTCATTTTGTTGAACAAGCAAAATAATAATATTATTTTAGAATTAAAATGGCAATAGATAATAACACTTTAAAAATTTTATTATAACTAGAAGCTAGATTTCATGAGAAAATTTATAATTTAGATCATGTAAATGAAATGTTAGAAATTTACTCAGACTTTGTTCAAATATTTGATAACTAAAAGTGCGCTATGAGAGAGTATTTCCTAGAAAAAATATAATTTTTAATTAGCAGACCTGAAACTATATAGTTATTAAAGAAATAAAATTTACTCGACATTCCTAAGGATGGTACGAAAATGTAGGGAAGAATGAGATTTAGTGTCTATAAAAGAGCTTAGGTGAATGAAATGAAAATCTAATAAGAATTATAAAATAATGAACTTAATCAAACTCAAAATATGAATGAATTGCTCTAAGAATATGATAAAGTATAAGAAAATATAGAGAAATAAATTATAGAATCTCTAAATAATTAGGATGAACTCTTGGAGAAAAGAAAGATGAATAGGAAGATGAAAACTTAAGTAATGGCTTAATCAACTTCGACAGATAATATTATTCAATAAAAGTAATAAAATGAATATAATGATGAATAATTAGTATTAGCCGAATAAAACTTAGACATCTCAAAAATTGATAAAGAAGACTTTACAATAAGTGAAGATAATTAAGAGTAATGATAATAGCCTATATGCAGTCTATTAGTTCAAATAACTTTATTTAATGTATTCTGTAATATCAAATTCTTAAAATTAACTAATCTATTAATTACTTAAATAATAGTTTTATATACAAATTGTAAAATCCAAGATTTTTTCTTTTTGTAAAACTATCATTTCTTCAGTTAATCATGATGATTTCAAAATGAATATCTTCGAAAGTTTGAATCAATTTAGTACTTATAATTTTAATTCTAATTGGGTTATTTACAAATTATTTTTATTATTTAAATAGCCATATCAAATTATGCATCTTGAAATAAATGAAAACCATTGCAATTCTTAAGCTAATCGATTGAAGGGAAAAATATGGATTATGACTACAATAACAAGAAGTTGTTCAATGGACAGAAAATCAATTCTGTATTCACCTTCTTCAAAAACAGAAAATACTTCAGCATTTGGGGAGAATTTAAAATTTAGAAAAAGAAGTTATTCTAATTCAGTTTCTACGCATGATTAAGTGTCAAATAGATAATAAGATTTTAATATGACTTAAAAGGATGGTCCAATTTAATTAGAGAATAAATAACAAAAATAACTTAATGATAGCAGTGGTAGGTCAATGCCAGCATCAAATAAGAGAAATACTAATAGATATTAGGATGCACTAAATAATATTTATGAAAATAGAAAAGGTGATGTAAATTTTAGGCAATTTCATTAAAATTTTTAGTAAGATGTGCTCTAGTTGGAAGCCTTATATTATTAGCTTTCTTAATTAGGGTTTCAGAGATCTGCACCTTTATAACTCCCACCTATTTTAAGCTACTTCTTATATGCTTTAATTATGCATAGAGTCGATAAATAAGATCTTTTTTATCAATTTTTTGAAATATATTAGGTTGATGAATATTATCCCAAATTAAGAAAATTTTATAGTGGATATTTTAAATAGAAGCTCTAAAACTAATGTTTTTCACAAATTTCTTATTATATTGACCCAGAAGATTATATCTCATATGAGCACATTTTATTCACATATATAAATAAATTGATTCCCTTCCTCAATCTAGATTATAATATGCTTTTGGATGATTTTCTATCATACATTTCATTATCAAGCCTTTAATAACAATCAATAGAATGCTCTGTAACTGATGATAATGTTTTTAGAAAAAACAACATTGCAATTGGAAATATTAGATTTGTCTTCAAATAAAAGGATGGATAGCTACTTAATTTTAAGCAACCAATAGGAAAATTTGAAAATAAATAATTTCTTGATTATGTTTAGTTTCAGGCTGAGTTTGCTTAATAGATATCCTCAGCCGAACCCATAAAATCTTTTTTTCATATTGTTCTGAACCCCATAGTGAAAGGACTATGATTTGTTTCTTTTGGCTGATCTTTACCTAAATCAATCTATATTTCAGAATTTACATAATGATTTGGTAGATTCTAAACAGATACATAATAGAATAAACCTATCCTAAATTTACTTGGAAATAACTAGTGAGAATAGAGTATGTAATAAATGTGTAGGCATGTTTTAATATATTCCAATTGAATTTATTTGTGAGAAATTTCAAGAAACAATTGGATTGAGTGTGGATACAAGACTGTAATTTATTATCATCTCGTAGTATTTATTGGATCCGCAATTATAGTCAAAAAATGAAAGATACCAAAGAATATGGGTGAGAACAGTGGAGAAAAAATTCAACTAATAATAATTATCAAATGTTTAAGAATAAAGTTAAAACGATATTTAAGGGCAAAACTAAAAAGAAATTTCTAGTCAGATAAGTATTGAATAAAAAGATGACAATAATTGTGAACTTGTACAAAGGCAAGATCTAGAATAATAAGCCCCCAAATCTCATTAATAAAAAGATGCATAAGAATAATTAATTTGCTATGAGGAGCAAGAACCCACTGGATTAGTATCTGTATTGTTTTTAAAAGAAAGATATTGTAAAAGTGAGTTTAATAATTTCAAAACCAAAATTCCTGAAATCAGAATCACAAATACGTTTTTCTTAAGCCATGAACCATAATTTTCTGGACAAAATTCCTAAAATAGTATAAATTAAGATGCAAATTCCTAATCATCAAATCAGTCAAAAAGTTGAAATAATAAAACAGATTATTGGAGGAGCTGCAAACCAGGTAAAATTCACTTTTGGATAATATGAAAGCTTAGTAAAACCAGCTAGAATAAAGTCTCTAAAAACCTAAGAAATCTTTTAAGATTTATGAAGATTTATTGTTGGAAATTAGATCTGAGTTTTTCTCCTATTTAATAAAGAGGTTTACATCTGATTTCTAATTTCTGAACATTGAGCATTTTTAATTGGATAAAATTTTGGAATTATATTGGGAGATAGGACTTAGTAAAAATAATTAAAAAGAATTAATGAAAATCTTATAGAAGAAATTAATGCTGAAAAGTATTCTTGATTAAGGATAATTTAATCTGAAATTATTTACCTCAGATTATGTATTTATAAGTGAATGTATAACTACATAAATTACAAATGAAATCAAAAATAATAATTAGAGCTTTAAAATCTCTGCTAACTTCTATGTAATAAAATTTTTTAGATTGGATGAGTTTGGAGAGTTTCAAAGAATTGGTTTATCAATTAATGCTTAAAGTTGCCACTCTTTAATTCCATAGCTTGAGGAGTAACTTTAAAAAGTAATCAAAAAATGGAAACAAATTAAAATAATTATTTTTTCAGTGAGCAAGTTCAACAAAGAATGCATAAAAGCAATTTCCAACTAAATATTTAATTTATATTCCAATTTCGAACTAAAATTTTATTTTTTCGAAGAAAGTAAGAAGGATCAGAGCCAATAAGATGGATAACAATAAACTTTGATTTCAGAATAACAATTGATTCTTTTAGAAAACGACTTTTTTTAACACCGATATGAACTCCATAACTAAGATTATTTTTAGCCTTTTAAGTAATTGAGTGAGAATTTGGATCAAGAGTTGATGCGCTTTGAATGTAAAGTAAATTTAAAAATAATTACTTATAGATCCATAATGAAAAAATTAGAAATTTATGAAATTATAATCATATATTATACCAGTATTTAAGATTTTTTTAATTGCCTTTTAGTATTTATTACACCCTTATGCAATAGTAACTTTTAAGAATAATAGGCTGCCCTATGATAGTACTATGGTCAGGTTTAGGATAGCTTAGGTTGAGCAATCATAGAGCACATTCTATTGATGCCCATTTTCTAGCCTAGACCTCCATCCAGCCGTTGACGTGTGGATGTCCAATCTTTTAGCCTAGACCTCCCGTCCAACCATTGGTGCTTGCCTAATCTTCTAGCCTCGACCTGCAGCGGTTGCGGTGCAAATGATTTTGGATACTATATATTCTATTAATAATAAAAGGAGTTGGTGCTTGCAAACTATTTGTTAATTAGCAAATACAAACGATGTTGAAATACATTATTGAAGCTATTCATTGTTGTGATTCTTCTAAGTTTATTTAACTTTTCCTAGATAAAATTATGAATTGAAAATTCAGATTCTCAATATCTATAACCTTATTCACTTTGTAAATCATAGGAGTGAAAAAAATTTATCAACATATTACTTAGCAATTGTGTCTTAATAGGTACATTACTAACTCTTGCTGGCATGTTCTATCTGTATTGTTTGATAAATTTGAACTATCATCTAAATTTTATATGGCAATTTCAATCGCCCTTAATTAATTTAAAACGAATAATTTTATATAGTGTTTTAATAAGAAATGCATTGACCATTTGTGCTGAAGGAGCGAAGTCCTATCAACATATCCTCCATTCTTGAACTAAAATATTTGAGCATCATCTTTTTCTTTTACTTGAATAATAATAATAGCGAAAAAATAATTTCGTTTATTTAGATATCAGGCTTGGATTAAAGGATTCCTTCAGTAGCGGCGTCACCTTTGCAGCATTACGAGATATATGGTGGAAGTTCGCTCATGACAATGACCGAGACTCCGTCCTTCATCCAGGGTTGTTCTGTAAGGTTATAGTTCAGTGCTTAGACCAAATTTAACCTATTTCCTTCAACAGCCTTCATGAATCATCAGTGTAAAACTAACTGGAGCGTTTACTTAGAGGCACATGAAGAATGTCTAACCTGCGCCTAGGCTGTACTTATCCCGGGCTGCAGATCCCTCTGTGCCAAAAAGATAAGCCTCTACTTTCTGTTTG